CATACGTCGTCGTCGACTCGTCGCGACAGGCGGTCTCCAAATAAAATGGCAGGCCTTCCGATTCCCGAACTCGTGCAGCCACAGCCTCCCTCCTCCCCCCCTCCCCCCGTCTCGGTCGCCCAACAGCAACGGCAACAGCAACAGCCCAGCGGCGGCCGGAGACCGAGAGGCTCTCTCTCACTGTCACACACCATTCCTCACATCCCAGTCGAGACGCTCTCGTCTCGTCTAGATTCGTCGCAGAGGTGCCCCGTTGATCGCCGCCGCGGCGTCTGCTTGTGCCCAACACGTCGGACAGGGGAGCAACAAAATAAGTATCCGCCTCTTGCCGGCCTTATTCCCCCCAGTCCGGGGGGCGCGCGCGCGCGGCTGGTGTTCCGCGACGGCTCCCGTCGTTTGCTGCTGGCGGCTCGGTTGGCCGAGGTGGTGGTCCTTTCTTCGTTTCCGCTTCCGCCTCTTGCGCCTGTGTTGTTGTTCTTCGTTTGTTGCTTGGTGACCTGCCTTTCCCACGTCCCGACCGACACGAGTCGAGACACCTGGGAAGACGAACGAGAATGCCGCCTCTCCTTGGCCTCGCGCGGCGAGGGCTGCTGCTCCGGCGGCATATGTCTCTGCCAGTAAGCTCAGTGCCGCCCTCCGCACGCCGTCTAGCGTCCACGGCCCCTCCGTCCAGGTCGCCGGCCGCGGCATCGGACACACGTCTCGTCTACCTCGCCGTCGGCGTCGCGCTTGGCGGCGCCGCAGCGGCAGGTGTCGTTGCCGCCGTCAGCCGCCCCGTCGAGCAAGAGGGTGTGGCTGCGGAAGTGCCGCCGCCGCCAAGGTGGAGGGCGACGGAGTCCCGCGTTGCCAAGTCTGCTCGTAGATATGCCGATAGGCAGACCACACTCCAGGTGCGTGCCTGACTTGCTTGCAGCTCCCGGCGTTGGTCGCCCACTGTCTGAACGTCTGGCTGCCAGGCCGTCGCAGAGATCCGCAGGGCTATCGGCGACGATGCAGTCAGCACCGACGACGGCGACCTCGAGGAGCATGGCCACTCGGAATGGTCCACGTCCAACACGGACGTCCGCCCCGTCGCCGTCGTCCGTCCGGCCTCGACAGAGCAGGTCTCGGCCGTCGCCCGCATCTGCTCTCGCTACAGAGTGCCCATGGTGCCCTACGGCGCAGGCTCCAGCGTCGAGGGCAACTTCAGCGCCCCCTTCTCCGGCGTCTGCGTCGACCTGTCCGCCATGGACCGCATCGTCGCCTTCCACCCCGACGACATGGACGTGGTGGTCGAGGCGGGCCTCAATTGGACGCGCCTTAACGAGACCATCAAGTCCTCTGGCCTATTCTTACCGCTGGATCCCAGCCCAACCGCCCTCGTTGGCGGCATGGTTGCGACCAACTGCAGCGGCACCAATGCTACCAAATATGGCACCATGAAGGACTACGTCGTCAATCTAACAGTTGTGTTGGCCGACGGCACCGTCGTTCGGACTAGAAACCGGCCTCGGAAAACGTCGGCTGGCTACAACCTCAACGGCCTGTTTGCCGGCTCCGAGGGCACCCTGGGCATCATCACCCAGGTCACGCTCAAGCTGGCCATTGTGCCGCCCGCCTTCAGCGTCGCCACGTCCACCTTTGCCACCGTCAGAGAGGCCGCGGATGCCGCCTCCGCCATGGTGCGCGGGGGCGTGCCCGTTGCCGCCCTCGAGTTGATGGACGACGTGCAGATGAAGGTCGTCAACAAGAACGGCGGCGCGGGCGGACGCATGTGGGACGAGCTGCCCACCCTGTTCATAAAGTACGTTGTGGCATACGCCCATGTCCTGCGCAAATATCGCGCCGACTGCTAACCTGACGCAGATTCTCGGGCACGGAGAACACAATCAAGGACAGTGTCCTCCAGGCTCGCAAGGTCGCCGAGTCGCACAAGTGCCGGTCCTTTGAGTCTGCCGACACCGCCGAGCAGATGGACTCGCTCTGGTCGGCGAGAAAGCAGGCACTGTGGGCATCCCTAGCCATAAGACCCGAGGGGACGCAGATCTGGTCTACCGACGTTGCCGTTCCGCTCTCACGGCTGGGCGACATTATCGGTGAGTTTCAGTCGTCGGGGAGAAATGGTACCCCAGCGCTCAACAGATTACAGAGAGTTCAAGAGAAAATGCATCCAGGCTAGGGCTCTTCAACAGCATATTGGGGCACGTGGGCGATGGCAATTTCCACCAAATGATCATGTACAACCCCGCCGATGCGCCACAAACGAGAGCCGTCGGCGACTGCGTGAACGCCATGGTGGACAAGGCGCTCGAGCTGGAGGGCACCGTTTCGGTGAGTGGACACGACTTCTATCAGCTGCGCCTGTACTGACTCGAGGGTCTGGTAGGGTGAACACGGCATAGGCCTGGGCAAAAAGGTTCGCACTCACCGTCCTGCTGACAACGTCGTTGAGCTAACACGAGAGACGCAGCACTGCCTTGCCAAAGAGCTTGACCCTTCCACGATTGGTGTGATGAAAGCTCTCAAGGAAGCGCTTGACCCTCAGTACGCGAACCCTGGTTTGTAAAACGAGCAGAGAAAAGCTGACAGGAAGATGCAGTTGGCTGCTTAACCCAGGCAAGGTATTCGACGAGTGATGCCATCTATGTGAGTCGTACATAATGTAGACACGAGATGAGATGTGGTGCGCCAGGGGGTCTTCTGCCAGCATATGATCCCAATAAGCAAGCACCACTCAAGACAGTGATTATTGCAGGAACTCTCTAAGGACAAGTCTTGTGATGGGCAAGTGCTGGCGGCGGTCTTTGTGATCATTCCAGCCTCACACGCGCCTGGTCGACGTTCGTACTTCAACAGGTTGTACCCCTGAGCCTCTAGCCCTGGTTCACAACGCGAAGCCATGTATACATCTGCGCATGAATAAATATGGCGCGATTTCCGCCCCTCTGATTCAAAGAATCTCCGAGTCTCGGCCCATCCTAAGAGCTCTTCTTTACACCTCGATGTTCGTGAATACCCCGTCTTCGGTCTCGACCTACCCGGGACCAGAGATGTCCCGTGGACTCGAGTAAGTCACCCGAATCGCCATTCTCAATGAAAGCGGTGCGTAGGAAAGCCATTTGGGCAATGCTCGGTTCTTAAGGGAACGTGCTGCATGTACGGCGGCTGAGTGGACCGGTAGGATCAATCCAGGAGCATCCCGTATCGCGCAATCTCACAGTCGCCGCAGCGAATCTGAGCCGCCTCTCAGCACCTGTTGACAACCAAACTGGCAGTCATCGCAGGCTGTGAAAGACACTCTGCTCACCGAGAAATACTGGCCTCGAGTCGGTTTACCGTTCATCCCATCCCGTCGCTGACAGCAGACTCTGTCGTCTACGGCCGCGTCCTTACATGTACATGTAGTAGACCTCTTATATGGAGGGCTGCGTAAGTACGCGGCGACCTTCTTGAACGGGCAAGATCGTTACCCCACCTGGCCCGGACTCGTGCGTCTGTTAACTGAAGCTACGCACGTGCTGAGAACAAGTCAAGTCTATATTTGCCTTTCCCGTATCCCGCAAGGACAAGCACGTTCCAGCTAGGCTGCGTTACGGATGGAACTCTGCTAGCCACGACGAGAGGCAGCCGACGTTTCCCAGCTCGTACAAGTGAGAATGGTACCGGCAGCCATTTGGCCAGCTCTATCATTATTGAGCGATGCTCTAATACGGCCCCGGGATGTTGTTAGGAGCAGCTCACGAGAGCAGTTTGCCTACATGCCGGAAGCCGATGCTAGATTCGCAGATTACCGAGACCTACCGTACCGGCAGGTTTCAAGCCCGTGGCAAAAAAAGCAACCCGTTCCTTTTTTAGGCTACCGGGTAAGAGGCGACTATACTAGTCTGGCTGGTGGCTCTATTTCGTACGTGGGCCAGTCTTGCCCGTGACTGTCCGAACAAGCGAGATGGGCTGCGTCGAGCCAACTTCATCACCGGAGACGGTGGATTGCGCGAGTATCGTATCTACGCAGAGCAACTTACTCGTCATAAAGGGCGATCCGGTCCTGACAAATGCCTAAATTCAGACCACGTGTTGTGCCCCGCCATACGATCTGATGTCGTGTTGAGATTCTTCCTTGGGTTTTCTGGAAATAAACCCTTGATGATCTGTAACCCGCTTCAAAGCGGACCGAGTCGGGGCCGTCGGCGTGGGGTCGCTCTCCGCCGACGGGAGCGAGAGTGCGGAGATGCCGAATACGTTCAAGGAAGAAGCCCAAGTTATCTCCGGCATACGGCAAATTTGGTAGATATTCTTGATCGAGGCGAGCATTGACTGCCGGATGCTACCAGCGTCTTACGGCTCATTCGTGCGGAACGCCTACGACGTCCGTAGACTGGGGCGTATTGAGTTTGATCCGGAATGGCTACCGACTTTCAGCTGTGCCAGGCACAGAGCGCGACACACCTTCAGGCAACTCGGAAAGAAAGTATCGAAGCCCCGGGTTGTGAAGTTGACGGCTCGGCATCGGCGGACTTGTCAGGGTGCACGTACTGACACAGTTGGACTTGCCTTGAAACGACGCAGTGCCGTCGAGTGAACCCGCACACAGGTGGCATGAGCGGGCCAGCCGGTCGCACAGACCGGCGCCGAACCGCGTTAGCAAACACAACTGCCATCGCCGATGGGCGTGTTTCGCCACCGGCAGATGGGAGCCGGAGATGTCAGTCGTCATGCTGGTCGGGCGTGTCCACCGTCGCAAGAAGAGTCGGGGTCTCCCTGCTGGCGCCACGTGTAGTCGAAATATTCGAAACGTGCGTCCTCGGCGTCAGCGGAGAAACGCCCGTCAGCGTCCTGCCCATGCATGACAGACAGGGTCAACCTGGTTTTGGCGTTTTGCGGAGTGTAGTGTCGTTCAGCTGCAACAGAGGTTATGGAGACTGCGTTGGTCTTGTGCTGATCATGACAAAGCGGGCATAGCGCAACAAGTGCTGAAGAGGTGGATGACAGGCCGCCGTGCCAGTTGACCTGTCTGGCGTCCAGCCAAGACGTGAAGGCACGATATTGCGGCTGTCATGGACGAACAACGTGGCTCAAGACGCCTGCCAAGTGTGACATCTCCGCCAACTGCGCAGCGGTCTGCAGGCTCGTTGCCTTCTCATTCGCCGCCGACGCAGTATCTGCACTGTGCCTGGCGAGTTGACAATAAGGCAAGCAACCTGTCGCGGTGCGAATAGACGCATCATACCATGCAAGAGAGAATGAAGTACAACAGACTCGTGCACCCTTGCAGACGGAACTGCGCTGTGTCCTGAGACGCGCCGGCACGGAGACGTCACGACGTCGTGCGTGGACATTAACATGGCACATGAGATCACATTATTGGATTCAATGATCCCGAGGTTTCATCAACGCAGACTCGAGTAACCGCTCTGGGTAGCTCGCATCTGCTGCCAGTAGCTCCGTTGATACCTTGACGATGAGCCATTTACTTTCGGAATGAAGCGCCGTTCGCGTCGGATATCACCAGTCTCGATCAATGTCGGCGCGGTGGAGCGTGTCCCAGGCCCAGGAGTCGACTCGTCGGCACTGGACGGCACGTACGTGGGCAGCCCAGCCAACGTATGCACCTGCCTTCCTTGTGACATGGCGTCCTGGCTTTGCTGGTAATCGAGCACTTCCCCCGGCAACTGACGCTTACGTTCGGAGGCAGCTGATTGAAGCTGGCTGGTGTTGATTCGTTGCCTGTACGAAGTATGAGGGACGATGCGGGCACCCGAATGATGCCACCGCTGGCATCAACCAGCGGCTGACATGGCCGCAAACCCTGGCTCCGGCATGCCTGTCGCTGTGGAAAGATCTCCCCTGCGCGGCTAGCCACAGGACTTGTCGTCACTCACACGGGGCGAATTTGGGGCAAATTGGACGCAATTACGGGAGAGCTCTTCTGCTTGGCTGGAGCAGAGACGGTCGAGATTGGCCGGGTGCGATTTGAACATGCCCACCGGGACCACGCATGGCTCGTGCTCGGTACGAAGGGGTCGTAGGGCACAATGTTGCCTTCGCGAGGTGCCATGGGTAAGGTGCATTTCAGGAACGGTTGTCTCTTGGGAACGTTTTGGGGCGTCGGTGCCGACGGGAGCAGCGGTCGGCCAGCTGTTCGGGACACATCTAGGGGGAAGCCTTTTCAAAGGGCAGGATGGTGGCGTCGCCCCCTGGCACAGCCGTTGCCAGGTGCCAGGGGTCCAAGCAGGGGCTCCATGGCGCCGCTGGTTGTGCATCGTCGGGTTGGTGCCCTTGCCGCCCAAGTGGGCAGCCGCGAACCATTGGGGGCCGGTCTGATATCGAAGCAGCCTTGGGTTGACGGCGCTACGAGGAGCAGGGCAAGACATCCGTACGTGTACTCGGCGATGTCAAGGAGTCCGGCGGCAGGAGAGGAACTGGTTCCAGGCCTCGCCAGTGAAGAACGTACATCGTACCGGATCGCAAAATTCAGTCTGCACGATCAGATCAGTCACGTTCCATCGACCATCGCGCCGCACGCTGCTTTGTCGCTGTTGGTGACTGGGTTCGAGGGGCTGATGTGACGCCAGGTTTGACGGACACGACGCACGCGCATGCGCGTATCCGCTTGTGTGAGTGCCAGCGCCTGCACAATTCCCACTTGGACCAGCGCACACATACCTCGTGGCGGCCACGACTCGCAGGCATCGAGGCAGGGGTCGACGAAAAGGAGATGGGAGCGGGCGGTGGCGTGGTGCGAGGAGGACGGGAGTGACAAGCAAGGTGATGGTGCAAGGTAGAGTAGAGCAGAGCAGCGCAGAGAGCGTCTTACCACCACCACCACCACCACCAGCGGAGAGTGCGGATGCGTACGAAGCGGAAGGTACAGTTGTCCTAACGAAGTACTTTGATCCGAGTATTCGCACCTTCCCGAATGTCGTGTCTCTCTCCCGCCATACCGTCGTCGCTCCTTCTCAACGTCGGTTGCCCGCTCCTTCTGCTGCTGCTGCTGCTATTCCTGATTCCTGATTCCTGAATCCTAACGGACCAGCGGGTCTGGGTGGCTCCTTCCCGCTCCCTCCTCAGGCTTCGCAACTTGGTTCCCCAAGGTTCCCGTCTCTTCTCCCCAGTCCCGCTGCCGTCCGCCGTCACCGCGCCTCCCTCTCTCTTCTCTCCACCTCAGCGACTGGGTTTGGCCGCCGCCGGCTTCCTTTGGCGTCTGCCAATCTGCCCAACGGCAACGGTACAGCTCCACCGCACCGCTTTGATCATCACGGACGCGGCGGCGCCCCCCAAAAAAATCCACCCATCCGCAGCCCACAATTGAGGTTGCTGCTCTCCCCACCGCCACCGAAGACCGACTCCCCTGTCAGTCGAGCGAGCTCCCCAAGCTCCCCAAGCTCCCGCTCCAGCACTGCCCGCGCCAGCCCCGGAACCGGCCAGCCGGCGAGTCCGTGCCCGCCGAGCTCGCCTGGGCCCGCTGGCCCCTCGCTCGTCGCTGCCAATTGCAGGCGCCACCACGGCGCTACGAGCAGCTGCCCCTGAGGCCCTGGTGGGGATCTTTGGCCAACGCCCGCAACGAGCAGAGACCAGGCACCACCAGGCACCACCAGGCACCGGGTGACATTGGGCCCGTCGTGGTGACCTCTCACCAAAATAGCAGGCAGCTCGGCCCAGCTGGGAGAACGGCCCAGTGGAGGAGGCAGGGGACGGCTAACCCACAGGCATGGCTCGCCAACATCAAGACCGGGGCCGCGCTGGGGCCAGCGCTGGCGGTCGCCCTGGACCGGGGAGCGGTCGACGTGGAGGATGGCGAGCAGTCCCGGCAGGGTCAGAGGAACCAGGACCAGCAACGAGCGGAGGCCGCAGTCGTCGTCCGGCCCGCCGCACGCATATGAAAAGCTTTCTGCATCTCGAGAGCGCCCCTTCGTCTCCGGCAAGTAGTCTGGCCTCTCTAACCGCCGACGACTGGGTTTGCGTCGGCGAAAACGATGCCAGCTTTTTGCTGTCGTCGCCCACGTCGAGCACTTCAGCCACCGACAACACCATCATGAATGCTAGGACCACCGCCGCGGGCGCTCCCGCGGCGTCTGGCGCCACAATCAATACTCTCGCCACCGCCGACCTGGGCGCCCGCCAAATAGCGTCGTCGTCGACCTCTGTTACGGACATGACGGACATTGAGCCTTCGGTCGTCTGCAGTCCCGCGACGAGCACCGCGAGCAGTGGCGCCAGCAAGCCTCAAGTCTTGCGCCACCGTCACTCGATGCATCCAACACTTCGACAGCTCCGCTTCCACGAGACAGCGGCCCGCGACAACGGCGATGCCCTGGGCGGCAAACACATGGAGAGCCTGGGGGCCTGGGACTGGGACAACAACAATGACACCACCCAACACATCGCTTCGCGCAGCCCCAATGTTCGGCACCGATACCAACACAGTGTCCGACGTTGCGACCACGACACCAGGCCCGACCGATGCCCTTCGTCCCCTCCAGGTGAGCAACAATCGCTGCAAACCTGGAATCGAAGCAAGAAAGGGCAAAGTGTTTCCAACATCACGCACACCTCCTCGGAAGAGTCGTCGTACATTGGGACCGACTACGCGGCGCCTTCGACGGCCATGACCAGAGAACAGTTTGAGGCATTGCCGGCTACGGTCCAACGGAAAGTAAGTTCAGCGGTAGATTTCCGTCGTCTGTACATTTTACCCCGAGCTGCAAGGTGGACAAGGACGATAAGACAACGGATGAAACGGCGTGAGCCAAAAGCCAAGGACACTGAACTTTACCTGACATGGCATGACAAGGTGTCTGCCTGGTTGGGGAGGCAGTGGAGGCACAAGCCAAGGCACAGGTACCGCCGTCAAGACACACAGACACACACCTGCAACCACGCCAGTGACGGGGTCTCGGTTGGATCAGTCTCAGTCGACGGCGGTTGGCTCCATGGCCGAGGGAAAAAGCAAGCCCGGCACGCGCACACACAAGTACAAAAAGAATGCATGTGGTCGGCCTCTGCATGCATGCCATGCGATGCGATGCCCGCTGCAGCAGCACGTTTTTCTTTTCTGTTGCTCGTGGCCCGGGGCCGATTGTGTTCTGCCTGCCTGCACTTCGTTTTTTCGTCCCCCGCCGGCGTCTAAGCTTCACATCCCGATCGGCAGCCACCGACTCGCGCGTGGTGCCCGTGTCTTTGGTCTGCCTGCGGTTGCCCAGCGCCTCGGTTCTGGCGGTGCCAGGTGGGTTTGGTTGTTGTCTCTGTTGTCCCCGTTTCTATCGCGCAACTAGGGACCATGATGCCATGGGTACCGTCTGGCGCCCGCGGTCCGGGCGGTTTCGGGCAGAGTTGCTTGAGGCCGGCTTGACAGTTGCAGTCACTGCAGTGGCGCCGGCACTACGCTTGACGACCCTCCTTTCTATCACACCGCTGGCTACTGTGGCAACATGGCCGGCATTTGTGTGCCTCCTCTGCTTCCCGTCCCAGGTTACCTACAGCATACAGAGCACCTAGCAACGACGGCCGATCGAGTGTCCGGTCCGAGGCTTTGCTAGACGGGCGCGGTCCATGTGGATGCCGTCGCCATCATGCCTTGTTTTGCGCAGCTTTGCTTTTGCAACTGTGGCATCGACAAGACTTTGACGGCACATCATGCAATGTGGCTCGTGCGAGCTGGGCCAGGGCCTCTCTGCATGCTGCATGCTGCGCGCTACGCTCTGCTTGCTCGTTCTGTCCTCGCACAGGGCGCCTCTCACCTGCCGTTGCGTGCACGTACGTTCGCGAATGTGAGCTACACGCAGATCAACCATGGCACATCCCATGGCGTCCCATCACATCGTTGCCCTCGCCCAGAGCCCCCTTTTGCCGGTCCACCATGCACATCATGCACGCCCTCCGGTCCAGCCGCCAGTAGTCTCTGGTTGCGGGAGGTTGTCGTCGGGACCGTGGCGTCAACGATGGCTTGGATGGCTGCTTGAGCAACCACTCGGTCGCTGTTACTTGCCGGGATCGTCAGCCCATTCGAGGCCGATGGCTTTGCAACCCGCACTGCCCGCGTTCCTGCGTTGAGACATGCCATTCCCCCCTGGGCTTCTGCCCTGGCTTGCCCGTGGCGCCGTGCCTGGTGTGGCTCCTCATCCCCGCGAGCGCTCCCTTACATGCTACAATTTCAATCCATATTTGTTGTTGCTCCCTGCCCCTCTTTCCCCTCGTGCTTAAGATGCCAACTGCCGCACGCTGCGCCCCTGGATACGGTCCCAAGCTAACCAGCCTGTGCGTCGCAGTACTTTTCCACACTTGAACGGCTGCGGTTTGCCCAGGACCCTCACCCTCACCCTCGTAACGTCCCTCATCCTCCGTTCGAGCCTCATTCGGCGCATCACCGCGCTGTCTCGGCGTCTCGAGAAGGAGACGCTCGACGGCCTCCACTGCGGTTCGGCTTCAGCACGGACGAGCTCGACGACGCCCCGCATCGTCGCTCGCAGCTCAGTCGCCAGCCCGTCCGTGTCTACGACGACCCAACTGGCAGGCTCGCCATACAACGGCAACAGAGCGCCGAGCCGTTGGCGCCCCTTCGTCGCCGTAAAAGCGTAATCTTGGACGCCACCGACGAGGCATACCTGCGCATCGGAAAGCGGAAATCACAAAACTTCAAGCTCGAAACCCTGTCGAACCAGTCAAGCGAACTGCAACCAGCCGACGACATGTTCTCTACACGGTCCCAAGCGAGAGAGCCGGCGGACTTCAAGAAGACCAGAGAGTCTCTTTACGACAGCTTCCGCTGGCTCGAGGAAGACGACGACCTGGATCTGCGGTTGTATCTCGACGACTATCACATGAATCTGAGGGAAGAGGTACCGGTGCCAACCAAGAACTGGCGACCGTCGTTTCGACGCCATCTCTCAATATCCAAACGCCCGTTCGGAAGAGCCTCAGTTTCTCTCAGCCGACCAGCAACCAAGGACAGCAACATGGGACCCTTGTTGATGGGCTCGCCGATTGGGTCTACCCCGGGGTCACCTGGGCACGCACGCAGAAGATCCCGGGCCCTGTCGTTGATGTCGTCCAACAAGCAGAGCGCTCGGTCCGACTCGCCCCCTGCCATCGACCCTGCGGCGTCCCATTACCAGGATCCCGACGCGCGGATGAAGCTCCGCGTCTACCTGGCGTCGCCGCACAAATTCGATGAGGCCATTGAATTCGGGTTCCCGTCCATCGACGAAGTGCAGGACAAGGAGAACAGCGTGCGCGCGGGCGCACATTCCCGCGCAGAGGCACACAGGCTGCGGACTTTTCTGGAGGACGACGCGTCCTCGATCTATAGTGAAGCATCGATCGCGGAGCCCGAGTCCCCAAAGACGCCGGAGACTCTGGACAAGCAACTGCGCGTCCGATCGGCCCGCGTCAGCCAAGACCCTCCCGCCGAGCACAAGTTGGACTACGCACAGGCACCCGCCTCGTCGCGGGAAATGACGCTACGAATGACGTTGACGCGGTCTGACCTTCGGGCCGGCGACGAGCAGATATACGGCTGGCAGAAGCGTCACGCCACACGGCGGTCACAGACGCGGAATGAGCCTCACTCACCCCCACCGTTCTCGAGCGACGGAAACTCCAAGGAAAGCATCGAGCGTCAGTTTGCTGCAATGGACCAAGAGTACCTCGCTAGCGACAACGGGGTGGTGAAGCGCTTCTGGAATCGCATGCGCCGGACGTGAGGCGCCATTCTATCTCATCAATCACCCCTCGACAGCCCCATCCCTGAACCACGCTCGGCTCAGACACATCCTCCGACTACCTAATGTCATTCTTTTGAGCCATATCGTTTCGGCAAACCCGTTGCCCTGTCATTCTTTCTCTCTCTATCGCTCTCTATACCCTTGCTGCATGTACGATTGGGCTTTTCCGAGACTCTGTCCCTCAAGGTGGCCACTCATTTTCCAGCGACTTGTTTGGGGGATCTTTTCCAGCATTGTGCCTATTGGAGTTTACGGGGATAAAGCTCATGTCGATTTGAATTTTGTTGTCATTCCTTCCCGCAGTGGAGTCTAGGGCATTGTAAACATGCGTTCAGGTGACAGTCTTGTTGTTGGACTGGACGGCGAGCGAGGGTGGAGTTTGGGGCGATGTAATGCGACATATTTTGCTGTACTCCATTCCCCTTCGAAAGGCAAAAACATTCGAATGTGGTATCATCAATGCGAGATGCTGATGATGTGAAATCGGCCTGCATAGCGCTTGTGACAGAGCGGTCTTGTTGTCCTGCGCTCCTATGATGGTCTTGCTCCGTCGCTTCACGTCGTACATGGTTCTTTCGCGCTTAGTGGCACTCGGTTGTTCTTGCTTCTGCGGATAACTGGGATGATGGATGGCACACCATCCACGCATGCAGTCCAAAGACAAACAAGCCGATCAGCTCGACCGCCCACCCCGCCGCCACCAAGCTGCGTGGCGCACTCTGCTCTGCTTACGATGCCGCACTATGGTCAAAATCTGCGGGTGTGTGTCTCGGGCAAAGCAAACATGCAGGCCGGGCAGAAAGACTATCGGGGCCCGGACCGCGCAGCGCAGCAAACGAGACGCGCGGGAGAGTGGCGGTGGTACGACTTGCCGTCGCCGGAAGAATTCCAAGCGTGGGGTTTCCCCAGTGTTGTCCCTTGATGGTGATGATGTTGTGACTTTGCGTTTACATCACCGGCATGCTGGACCGCAGGGGGGGCCAGAGGGGCAAGAGCGGGACGGACGACGCGCGGGGCCGGACCAACGTGGACGCTGCGGGCTCGGCGTGCGTATGCCACAGCGCTGAACGGGGTGCATGAGACGCTCCGAAAGTAGACTCCAGGATGCACAAGATTGTGAATCTTGGCCGCGGCCCGGTGGAGCCAATATGTGGCTGCTGCGTGCCTATCTAGCCTTCCGCAGTTGCGATGCCAAGGGGGCGCAGGTGGATTGAAGTTGGGCCCTGGGGGACCTTGGGGACCCCCTTGCCTGCGATGGAGGGAAGATCCATCGGCTCCACGAGCCACGAGGGAGCCCGCATTCCTCCCACATGGCCTTGTCCGCCGTCAAGGTTGGCATTGGCGAGACGGCGCCGTAGGGGGACGTAAACGGCAAGGGAGCCAAGAATCCCTTTACGTTGGCGAAGGCCGAGTATGGTAGTAGTACTACATGCGTGTAGATGGGCGCGTCTACTGGTTCTCTGTGACTTGTTCATGTGCGTCATACGACAGTGAGGATGCCCCGAGCTACCAAGTGTTGCTGGATGCTCTTAGCAGTTGGACCACGTATACTCATGACCCTTGGCGTGTCGCCTGGCCGTGCGCATTGAATCGGTGCATTCTGTGAGGCACAACGTCGTCGCAATGCTCGACCACGCTGAAGCGGTAAGCCAGCCAGGGACATGGGGCGCGGCCAACCCCATCAGGACCCTTGACTCCGCGTCGAAGCGAGGCCCATCCTCAATGAACATTGAAGTCGCCAAAGTGTTGCCGCACTGTTGCGACACCTAGTTACGTCTTGTGGTTGAACATGTCACGTAGAGCCATTTTTATGAGTTATCGCGATTATTCACCATCTATGAGTGAAAAGTTGTGTCATTACATGAGCCTTTTCATCCATGGACCTGTAAATATATGCCAAAGGGCCGTCGCCCACAAAACGACATCGTCCGCCTGCCGGTATCAAAGTCCCGCCGTTCCAGACCGGTCAGAGACCCAACTTTCAATAGGCTTTATTATGGTACACCAGATCGTACAGAGCGCGTCCCTCATCCGGATTCAGATCACCGCAGTGCTCTCTGAAAATATGCATCCTAACACCTTCTGTCAGTTTGCAGCGAGCTTTTAGAAGCCACGGTGTAGCAAGGGACTCTCTCGCCTTGCGAGATTCGTACGTACTTGAGGAGCGCCTCTCCGCTATCATACTGCTGCCGGCAGCTGGGGTCGCGGAACCGGCTCGGGTCCGCCGCGTGGAACCAGCAGACGTACTTTCCGTCCAGGCGGCCCAGGTCCTCAGAGTGCTTCACCTCGCGGCCGAGGATGCGCAGGGACAGCCCAGTCGCCGGGGGTCCGTGTACGGCAGGCATTGGTAATGGGCTGTATATATGTGTGTGTATACAGTATATATGCGTGCTGGTTATCAGTTCTGTCGGGCACAGAGGCGGTGCGTTCCGGCGGAGGATGAGATTTGCAAAGCGGAATAAGAGCCTCGGCAGGAGCCACAGCTAATCTAGACGGTTGTCTTGACTAAATGGTTGAGTAAGTTGCGAACGAATGGGGGCTGCGTGGAACGGTCGCGGCTCATATACGGAGACATCCTGGGCGTAGACGAGCTGACGATGCGTAAAATATACGCATTGCGAAAACGACTTGATACAAGACGACGTCACGGGGCGTTTTTGTCAACTCGCAGAAACGAGAGTCGCGGCATCTAAACCTACTCCTCCCCCCTGACGCCAACGCATCTATGTGGCCCTCACAATCGGGGGTAGCAACATAATGACCGCCTCCTGAACCACACCCCTACGATTACGTTTACATTGGACAAGTTTGGAAGCTTGAGCCTCTTCAAACTTCTCATAGGGCTGGCCTCCAAGGCTCGCTCCATGTGCACGTCTAGGTCTGTGGGTCGTTCCGCGCCCTGACCACGAGGCCGCGTAGTCTGCATGCACGCAAGTCAACCACCGCCACGTCAAAGTGGTCCATGCGTGTTCGTTTCGTCCGGTTCGAAGTCCGGGCGGGGACTGTGCAGAAACCCCCAAAGTGGGCGGATGCGGAACAGCCCTGGCGCGGCGTTTCGAAAACGAGGCTCTTCTGGGCGCACTGGACTGTGCTGTTGAATCCTGCCACATCGGCGGACCCAGACGGCCCAAGACTTCGTGTCTACGGGCACCACCGCAACAGAAGGCTGCGAGCTGGCCAGTGTGGTCCTGCTGTTGTCATCGGGCTATACTTGATAACCTCGATGGTGCTCGCCGTCTCTGTCCCGTGGCGGCCAGTGTGTCTCTCCGCTGGCGAAGGTAAGCTGTGGTTACACTGAATATCTGTCTGCCGGGCCGTCAATGTGGCAACTTAGGAAGTAGTCTGAGTTGTCTGCCTATGTAGCATGTCAATCTCAGTCTCATTCTCGTGTTGCAACGCAGACAAGTCTCTCTCTCCCGACACAACGACAGACCGTCAATACGTCGCCCTGCCCATCTCGTCCACTAGCCGACAGTACGTATTCTCATCCAAGTCAAACAAGTGGTGCAGAAAGATGTGGTTACTGTCATCTCTGGTCAGCACCTCCCAATATACGACTCTCATAGTCCGCATACGCCACTCCCCCCGAGGCTTTACCACTCACAAGACAAGCTGCTTGTACGTCGGCCAATACCGCCGACACTCCGGGCCGCGGAACCTCGCCGGGTCCGCCCTGTGGAACCAGCAGGCGAAGACGACGCGGTGCTGCGACGACGCGACAGCCGCTTCATTTTCCTCCTCGCCTTGTTGACTGTTCGGTGCGGCCGTTGCCGACGATGACCTCCGCTTGTGTCCGCGAAGTTGCCGCCGCCACGGCGCCGCCGCAGGGAGGGGAGCGAGCATCGTTTTGTATGAGGAACCTGGGGCCGCGTAAAAGACGGCCAGCTGGATTGAGAGGGTTAATGCTTCGCGGCAACAAGACGAGGATGTGGACTAGCTATACTACTAACTGTGCGGCTTCGTTATCAACTCACCAGGAACCAAGGTAATGCGTAATGACTCAACGATTAATAGAGCACACTTTAGCGGCTACGGCCGGGCAAAACGAGGACGGGGTCGAAGATTGACGCGAGGGGCGTACGTTACGTTTTCTGGATGTAATTGGAGAGCTGCTGAGAGCAGGCTGGTGAGTGTGTTTCATGTATTGCCTGGGCCATGTCCCTGTTCACTGTTCGCCGGAGCGGCGGCACTTGTCCCAGATCCATCGTCTCTACCATCTCACGCGCCATAGTACAAATTGGTAGACTCTGTTAATGTCGCTAAACGATGCTTTGTGCGGGTACCGGCACATGTGTTTTGCCAACCCCCTCCTCCGTCAAGGACCTAGATCCTGAAGCTATCAATGCGGGCATCCAACAGCCTGTAGTCCTGTTTTGACATGTTGCACGTATAAAATGTATCGTCATCATATCTCTTCGTCGCTCTCTTCGCCCAGCAGCTCGCCCTCAACGTCATCGACGACCGCGTAGTCGCCGCGTCCCCGCGCAAAGCTGTCCCGGGTCGTGAACCTCCGTGGGCCGCTCGAGAACCAGCTTCTGTCGCTGCTTCCTCCTCTTACTCTGTCATACGATCCGACTGCTGACCTCCAGAGGCTCGCTGCGATGAGTGGCAGTGCCGCCACCACGGCCGCCACCGCTGACACGGCGATCACGGGGTACTTGACCCATGGCCGGTCGCTGTCAAAGGTCGAAGACTGGTCGCCGAGCCGTATCTGCCCAAACTTGCCGTCCCAGTTGCGGTACACCCACCAGCCCACGGCGCCGGCTATGGCAAACGGAATGACGACGGCAAAGAAGATGACCACTCCAGACGTGCGATGCTTCTTCTCAAACTCGTCCTCATGTCCTTCGCAGGGGTGCTCCGTGGATGTCTTATCGAGCTCGTTGCCGCCCTGGCAGGTCGACAGTGGCACCTTGCGGTAGCCGGTCGGCTCGAACCACGACGTTTCGTTGGGATGCTTGGAGCACCATTCCTTGCCCGACAGCGGCTCCAAGCCCCTGACCAGCTTGCACTGCCCATGGTTGTCCAGTTCGTAATTATACGCACTGCGTAATCGTCAGTAAAGCGTCGAGCAAGCGAGGACAAGAAAAGTGGATGCCAAAGGCTAGGAAACTCACCATTCGTAGTCTCGGCGACTGCATTGGCAGTCTTTGTGGTCGTACAGCCGCTGGATGCTCTGCTCATTGTAGCACTTGCGGTCCGCCTTCTTGCGCAGGTATCTCGCCACGTGTCCGAAAAGACAATCATCGTCTTGGAGCGGGTGCTTGGGTGACCAGAGGTAGTAGTCGGAGTCGGCCTGAGAGTCCTTCTTAAACTCGCACGCCTTGTTGGCCAGGCCTGTAAAGTCGAGGTTCACCGAGAACGTCTTTCCGCTGCCCGACTTGCACCAGAGAAGGAAGTTGCGCGAAGTGCCCGAGTCTAGTGTCGAGATGTCCAGGATCGTCACGTCTTCGTCTGCAAATGTGTACTCCTTCCACGTTTTGCCCTCATCGAGCGAATACGACACAATCTTGGTCTTGGCAGGGCTGGCATGGGTTGCCCTCTGCGCCAAGACAATGATGGAGCCTTGATCGCCGTAGCGCCACGTCCAGTGACCTTTCTTGACGCTCGTCCAGGTGACGCCACCGTCCCTCGACATGAAGGTGTCTGCGTCCTTGATGTCACCTAGGCTGGAACCGACATTGCCGACGCCGAACAGTAGCCCGATGGCAGTATCCGCCGAGAACGTCCGGCGCTTGTCTTCTCGCTCAGTGTAGTGGTGGAAGTGTAGGGCGCAAGAGCTGTCCCCCTTGGAGCTGCTGCACGAGTACGACTTGCCATCTGAGTCTTTGGCCGGCGGTGCCAGGTAGCCCCATTCCGAGCCATCGTTGTGTGATATCTTGGTCTGGAGCGTCTTCGTCTTTTCCTTCTTGTCCGTGTTGGTGACGACGTTGATCAACGTGACACCCTCGAGGCCCGAAATCTTTTCAAAGTCCACGTACGTGTCCTCGTTGCAGTTGACGTTTGCGGCGCTGAGAACGTAGCTGGTGCCGTTGGAGTTGCTCTTGATGATGGACCCGTACTGACGATCAGGCCCACCTTCGGTTCGGACGAACAGGTTGATAGCATGCGTTGAGCTATCGAGCAATGTGTACTCGTTCTGGTGCCCCTCGCGGAAGTTGTGTGGGTAGTGGGCCCTGTCGTAGGATTTACCGTCGAGACTGGCGAGGGGGTGCAGGTCTTCCGACTTGCCATCCTTGCCGGCCAGGACGATGAACTCGCTCATGGTGGCAAAGTTGATGACCTCGCCCTCGTGCGTGGTCCTGTCCTCCTCGAAGAAGTCGTCGCTGGAAACCACTGTCATGGGCCCGTCGTTCCTCTCCTCCTTCCGCACGAGGCAGACAACCTGCTTCAGCCCGCGGAACTTGTACGCCGAATGCCCTGTGAACTCGCATTTCTCTGCGTACCGCCGGAGAGTCCTCCAATTATCGCCGCGGTCCGTCGAAATGGAGGCCTCCTTGAAGCAAGACTTCTTCTTGCCCACCTTCTCGCACTTCTTGCCCAGCCAGATCAGCCAATCCTTCTTGTCTGGGTGGAAGCTGAGAGGAAATTCGGTAGGATCCGGTGCCGTGGGCGCCTTGAACTTGTGGAAGCTCTCTCCGCGGTCGACGGTATACAAGACGTTGTGGCTGCTAGTTGTGAAGTAGACGACGTCCTTGAAATACAGGTGCGGGTAGATGCCCTTGATGTTCTCGCCCTCGAGGATGCGACTGAACTTTTTGCCATGATCATGAGAAATCCACAGCTTGGGCTCAATCTTCATCGTTCCATCGCCAACGTACTCGACGGGCCTCACAATGAGGGTCTCGTCGGTCGAGGAACTCGATCCGCCCCTTTCCAGGTAGACTTTTTGGAAGTCCTTGAGCTCGGCGTCGAATTCGACCTTGGTGCTCGAGACCTTGTCGGTCGCGGGAGGGACGGGCTTGGAGCCGCCCTCGGAGCATTTCCTCTCCACCTTGTCGTCTTTTTGCTTTCCACTCGGCCTCTTGCACGTGTTTCCGGGTATGAGGCGCCACCCGCTGGAGCCTTTGAACGTTCCATCGGGGTTGTCCTTGCAGGCACCATCGGGTATGGGGATCGGCCCGGCCTGCTTGCACGTCTTGCCGTCGTCGTCTCGTTGGAAATTGTAGTCGCATTCGAAGTCAGCGTCAGAGCACTCGCAGTCCTCGTTCTTCGGAACGGGGTCTTTGAATTCTTTCTTGATGAAGCAGTCGGCAGTCTTCTTGCGGCGCCGGAATGTCTGCTTGTGGCCCATGATGCAAGTGGGCTTCCCGTCATCGTCCACCCGGGCGTGCCAGTCCTCCATGTCATCGTCGCCGCAAGTGCGTTCATGGAGCCCGTCAAAGTTGATGGCGACCATGTGGTAAGTTCCCTTCTTCTCGCCCAGCAGTATGAACTTGAGACTCGTTGAGTCTTGCGTCGTCGTCAACAGGTCAGGCTTGAAAGCGAGATCCTTGGGTAGGGCAACTTGTTTCCAGTTTTCGCCGTGGTCGAGCGAATATGAAAACTCCTTGACGTCTTCCTTGCTTGAGTCCTTGACAGCAACGAGGATGGAGCCTGAATCGCCGAATTCGTACTTGTGTGGGCCGTCAAGAGCCTTCTTCCAGGTCAGGCCGGCATTGTCTGAAACGAAGAGGTTGGCGTCGAGGAATTTGCCCAGGGAGTCTCCCGTGTTGCCGTTGCCCATGACAAGGCCTGGCGCGGGGCTTGAAAAGACACGCCCAACATTGTCGAGCTCGGTGACCGAGTGCAAATGCAATCGGGTATCACCGGCCTTGATCTTGTGGAAGGTCCTGCCATCGTCGAAAGTGATTTGAGAAACGATGACCTTGTCCTTGGCCCTCCCTTTCTTCTGAACCTCGGCGCCGTTTTCGACGGTGTTGACCAAGAAGATGCCCTGGATGCCAGAGATCTTTTCGAAGTCGACGTGGCCCTTGCGATTGCGGTTCGTGTAGGGGATGTTCTCGGTGAAGTAAGTGCCGTTGGAATTGCTGGTGAAGAGGACGCCCATCGGGTTGGACGGGTGCGATGTCATGACGTCGATCTGGATGCTGTAGTTTGTTCCCTCGAGAACTGTGTAGGCCTCTTGGTTGATTCGATGGGAGTGGTCGTGGCTCTCGTCCTTGGGGAACATGGCCCGGTGCCACTTGAGGGTGTCATCGGTGATAAAGAGGGCCATCTCGTCGGTGCGCGCGGCGGAGGTGGCGACCAGGAGGTACTTCTTCACAACAGCCAGGTTGAGGACACCGGGGACGCCCTTGTTCGTGTCGACATTGGGTTCAAATTCCTGGATGGTGCCATCCTTGACAGCGAAGAAGGAATCCGAGACGAACAGCCGCTGGTCCGACTTGAACAGGGAAAAGCGGTCCCTGACAACGCAAAGGATGCGCGATTTGTCAAGCTCGGCATCACCGGTCGTGAATTCCTTGGACGACTTGGCCCACCAGCATCCGCCGGTCAGGGAGCGCAGCGGCTTGGTAGTCTTGAAGCCGTCAATGGTGTACATGGCCTGCTCTTCGCAGAAGATGTCCTGGCAGTTCATGGCGTTGAATATTATTCGGTTCGGGTCGTCGGCATGGAAGACGAGAGTCTCGGGCTGGAACTTGCTGGGCAGGACGCCAGTCTGGAACTTGGTCCAGGTCTCGCCCCGGTCCTCGGTCTTGAAGTGCGTCTCGCTGGCGGTCAGGATGAAGGCCGTCTTGGGATCGAACTGGTGCATGATGAGGAAGAGCGACTTGCCCTCAGGCACAGCGCTGACGCGCTCCCACTTGGCGCCGGCATCCTTGGATCGGTAGACGTTGCCCTCCTCGACGTCCTGGAAGACGACGGCGTCACTGTCTTCGAAGTAGCTCAGGTAGAGGGGCGGGTGGTCGAAAGTGTTGACGGTCATGTCAGGGCCATCCTTGGCGAGGGCCAGAGATGCCCACAGGACGGACACGGCGAGCAGGAGGCGCCATGCCGCTGCGGGCGGTGCCATGGCTCGTGGCCTCATGGTTGGCGAGAGCTGGTGGCGATCCCGGCAGCTACCATGAAGAGCTCTTGTGGGGGTCGTGCGCGCGCAATCGACGGGGCCGGCGTGCGGTACGGTTCTCGACGCGTTGTTCGCGCTTGGGTGGCAGAACAGGAGCAGCGTGGCGACGTGGTGGCAATGTCGGGCCTGCCCGCGATGGATGGGTTGATGGAGTTGAGGATGGGCGTTGTGGAGGAACCGGCGACGTTTGAGCTTGTGCGCCAGACGTGGTAGACGTCAGCCTGGACGGCTCGGAGGTGTGGCGCGGCTCTGCGGCTGAAAAGAGGGTCTCCCGCATCCGGGCTCAGGGGCCACGTCAAGCAGTTTTGGCGCACGCCATAGGCTGAGCGGAGCTGCCTGAGGTCTACTTTAGTGGGTAGCTTACCTGTTGGCTAGCGCACTGCAGCGCTGCAGAAGGCGGTGGTAGCGGCAGCTTGGGACGGGACGGTGGGAATGTCTGCTAGGAGAACAACGCCTTGCTAGGTAGTCCGGTCAGGCCGAGGCCTGCTGGAAGTGATTCACGTTGCAACGGGCTGACTTTCTGTGAAGGCGCCTTGTGGTGACTCCATGTGCCGGTACGCATCTCGTACTTCGTACAAGCACCTCCAAGGTTCGCAGCCAAGAGTCGCAGGCGGCGTTTCACAGCGCCCACCAACCAGTCTTGCCGTGCCGGTGAAAGATGACGCAGGGCCCCTTCGGGAGTTTCTGGACTGGCTCGGCTGGGGCACCTGGACAAGCCGGGCCCGCATCAATTGCATGCTGTGACACTGCGAAGGTGCATTGCACATGTGCCTCAGACATCGTCTGTGGCCAGAGGCAAGACCCCATCATCTCACGTAGACGACTGCAAGGACATGGAGTCTCAGCGTCTCCTTGCTTTGCTTTGCGCGGCACTTCACACGTGCATGCGTCCTCGTGGCGTCCGCGGGCGGGCTGGGGATCCCCAGAGATCCTCAGACATGAGACTGCCGACCAAAACAAACAATTGCCGTTCATGCCGAACTTGGAAGGCAGCCAGTCGAGAACGTCGAACAAGCCACAAAGATGGAAAGCCGTCTGGGCGCAAGCACACACAGCTGGTACCATTCGCAGGCACATTGTTCGAGTAAGGTCTCGTTTAGGCCGTCGCGTCGGGTCCAGGATCCTCTTTGAAACGCTGTGGAGCCGGCGAGAGAAGGCCCCGTTTGCTTGCCTGGGTCCGGCGCGGAGCTGAGCTGGTGGGGATCAAGGGGATGTTGGGGTCGCGGTTCCCCTTGATATTGCAGTCGGCCACCCCCGGTCGAGCAACGGATTGCCCGAGATCGAGGCCTGGTCCATGTGATGCTCATTCGTCATGGACGTGCCCGTTGTGGCAGCCAGACGACAGCAAGTCGGTATTACCTGCTCGTACGGATCACGCCGTAACAGGGTACGCGGACAGTGGACGGCGCGGCGCGTCTCTGATTGGAATGACAGTGCCCGGGGAGCTCGTCGGGAAAGGCCAGCGCAGGGGCAGATCTGGCCAAGTGAGACTCTCGAGATCGCGTCAGCTGCAGGGCACTACAGGGGCCGGCAGGGGGGGCGGCTCGTCGGTGCTTGCGCGCAGGCCGTCGTGGCGGGAGTGACGGCTCGCTTTTTGTGGAAGAAGCTCTGAGACAAAAGTGCTGCTTTTATAGCATAGTATACAAATATTGCCAGGACAAAGCCTTACGCACTGGCTGGCCTTGCTGGCCTCGAGCCTCGTCCATCGCAATCGTGACGGTCCGCGAGGGCGGTACCTTGCATTGTCTGGCATGCGGGTAGCGCCCGCGACGGAGCGGGCGGGCGACGACGCGTGCACGTGGAGGCGCGAGGTATGCGCCTATCAGGGGCTGCGAACCCAATCGCGACGGCGCCCCTGGCAACGCGCCAAACAAAAAAAAGCGCCGGGCAGCTCTCTGTCTCTCTGCCTGTGCTGACGCTGCCTGCATCTTCGGCAAGCAAGGTGCTCCGTCTGTCCCGCTCCGTGCAACGTCGTACACGTAGTTACCAGCCCGACGGCCCAAGTGCGCGCATGTCAGCGGCTTTGTATTCCGTATGCAAGCCCCCAGCGCGGCGCGTCTTCGTGGAAGCTTCTCTTCCGACGCACGGGGCCAGGGGTCTCCGATGCTAACGCGAAGCCAGAGGTACTGTAATTCTCACCCGCCCATTCCAGGCTTGAACCCCCCCTGGCTTCGTGTCCCCCTCTTTGCTCCGCCAGCCCTGGAGGTGCCACCGCCCATCGTGAGCAAGAATCCATCAGCACCACAGGGCACTGGGCGGGTATTCGTCCCCTCGTGCCTCTGGTGCCTCCCCTGCCAGGCATGTGCCTGTGCCTGTGCCGGTGCCTGTCTGTGTCTGTGCCTACCAAATCCCTGCCACTGTCCATAGGCGCGTCCCTTTCATTTCCAGGGCCTGGCAGACGACGCCCGCAACTCGGGACGGCGCAAAACCCAGCTTTCCGGCGCGGGAGAAGCTGTAGGGGCGCGCATAGCGCCCAGGCGGGAGTGCACCAGGCGTCCACCGCTGAAATCGGTGCTTATTGCCTCGAGTCGGAGTTGCTTGATGGATGCCACCTCCCGCCACAGCAGCTACTTGTAACGGTGACGGCAAGCTGCAAACACCAAGGTGCTGCACTAACTCGCGACGCGTCCCTGCCCACCATCTGCCATTAGCCGCCACTTCTCGTGATTGCTCCTGCCAGGCCCGAAGCAAGTATACTACAAAACCTGCTCCGCCGTGTGTTGTGAGGTACTTCTTGGTAGTCGGCTCTGGCGCGCCCGCGCTGTTGATAGCCCGCACCCCCCTTGTCTGCCAAACGCAACCCCCCCGTCCCGCCTCCAGCTCCTCCTCCTCTGCCCTCCGTCCTTGTTCTTGTTCTAATATTCCCACCCCATCCCATGCTCCCCTCCCCTCCCCTCTCTCCTCCTTCACATCGTCGTCGCTCCCTACTCATCCATCTAGGCTTCCGCTCTACACCTCCCTCCTTTCGTCCACCTTCACCTTCGCTTCCCCGCCCGAGACGCCGTTGTCCTACATACGCGTTAGAGCGTCCGTCGTTGCGCGCGCGCCGTCGCCCCGCGATACAAAACAGCTCCCCACGGCACAGACCAGAAAAAAACAAACCGTCGCAACCACCTCCGCGTAGCCGCCGTCGCTCTCTCACTGCTGCCCAGCGTCGCGTTCGTTCTCACCCTCACCATGGCCGCCGCTGCAACCTACAAGCAGTTCCTCGCCAGCCCCAGCTCCTCGCTGCTGGCTGACAAGGCGACCCTGCACTATATCCCTACCACCACCACCTTCTCTGGCGCGACCGAAATTATCAAGCACCTGAACTCGCTCCAGAAGCAAGTCAAGAAGAAGAAGGAGGAGATCCTCAATGTCGTTGATGGTGGTAGCCTCATCGCCGTCGAGACGGACACTGGTCTCGAGTTCCAGACGAGTGGCGGGGCCTACCTCCCTGGCCTCGACGACAACTTCGTCACAGACCGCGTGGCCTATCTGCCCATTGTAAGTCCCATCTTCGCGTCCCCTCGCACGCGGTCCGCTTCGTTGCATACTGACCCCCCGGGCGTTGCAGATCCACATCGTGACCTTTGGCGACGATGGCAAGATCACGCAGATCCGCCAGCAGTGGGACCAGGGCGCCCTCCTGAAGCAGATTGAGATCATTGGCAAGATGGGCCGCAACTGGCCCATCAAGGATAGCAGGGAGCAAATCGCCATGATCCAATCGTGCCTCAAAGCTTCTGGCAAGGTCTCCGCTTCCGCCCCCCAGAGTCACAACGACGTTGTCGTTCGTACCCGCGGCAACTCCAACAACGCCCTTCGAGACCCCCATGCCTCACTCCAGCTTTTCGGCAACCGCGAAGAGCTCGAAGCCGTCGAGGCCGCTTCCGTCGTGTCGCCTTATGCGGGCAACAGACCCCGGCAGCGCGGCTTCACCGAGATCTTGGGCGACGAGCCTCACGATGACGAGGACGAGCACCGCCAGCGATCCATGTCGCCCACCAAGGTTGGCGGCGGCAAGAACTTCCAGCCAATGCGCATCTTCGACGGCCAGGAGCATCGCGAGGAGGAGGAGGAGGAGGAGTCCCCCAAGAGGGGTAGCACATACATCCGACCCAACCCTCGCAAGTACGAGCACTTTGACTTTGCGGATGGATCCGACCCGCAGGACCACCCTGAGCGCGGCGTGTCACAAGAGGAGCGGCCCAGGTCCAAGCATGACAGCCAGTGGTCCTTCAACGACTTTGTCACTCCCCACAAGCCCAAGCCTACCAAGACGTACCGCCACCAGGATGAACGCCACTGGGACACTGAGGCCAAGAACGACGACGAGGCGGGCAAGCCGGCGGGCAAGGGCCGCCGGGACGCCGAGACGCACTTCGAGCTTCAGGATGACGGCGAGCGCCTGCCGCACCAGGACCGCCCCGGCACCAGGCCTCGCGGCGCCATGCACAACGAAGGACTTGGCCTGTACAAGAACAAGCTCTTCGACCAGGAGGCGGCCACTCCAGGTCCCAAGCGCGCCTTGGGCAACATCACCAACCTCAAGGACCGCACCAAGGACTTCGATGCCCACTTCGCCATGACGGACGACTCGCCGGCGCCGGCGCCTCATCGGTCCCAGAACGTCCCCGAGGCCCGTATGAAGGCGGTGAAGATGATGGACGCGAACTGGGCCGCCTACGACAAGTCGCCCACCTCGCAGAAAGAGAACCAGCCACAGGCCAAGACTCAGGAAGACACCAAGATTCATATTGCCGGTGACGGCATGGGTGGCAAGAAGGGCACGGACCGAGACTGGCTCTATGGTGGGGCGGCCGAGGAGAAGGAGCGCATCCACATCGCAGGCGACGGCATGGGCGGCAAGAAGGGCACGGACCGGAACTGGCTCTACGGCGGCAACGCGGAGGAAGAGCTTCCCAAGCCCGCGCCGTCGCGGAAAGGCAACGCGGCTGCCTCGCAGAAGAGCTTCTGGGACTTTTGAGACGGACTCGCCAGGCTGGGGAAATCGGATCCAAGGCAGCCACCTCGTCGGATTGCGCTGCCATTTGACGACTACACGCCTACACGCGGCTCATGACTCATGAAGAGAGCCCCCGTTTTCTATTGATTCCCTATCGCATTGATATCACATCACACTTCGCTTCCCAGCCGTTGGACACTGCGCGAAGACAGACGCACCATGAATCGGTCCGACGCCAGAAGTGCGAAGAGGCACATGGGCTTTTCTCTGCTGTCGATTCTACCAGTTTATGTATTCTCTTGTATGTTGCACTTGAAGAAAAGCAAGAATTTGTACGTCTCCTTGGGAGGGATAGCCGAGCCAAAACTTGTACGTAGCATCGAGAGAATGGACCTTTCATGTTTCGCCACGCCTCGCGCGGAAGAGCCCGGGTTTTTGTGAGGCTTCCTCTGCCATCAGTCGGGGACGCGTTGTTGGACCGAGCGCAGATGGGAGGGCGGCTACGCTCTCACAGCATTCGTATGAAGTATAGGCGGCCTCATGCGTCCGCGCTTGCCAAGCCAAGCGCAACGGTCGCTCACCACAAGTAAATCGACCTTCTAGCCGACTAACAAAGGCATCATGGTGAGAAATCTCGACGTTGGGATACATCCAAGGGATCTATGTACACTATAAGGTCTCTTTATCCACCACATCAAGGCATTAAACAGAAAAAGACCACCCATTCCCCATGATATCATGTCGTCGCTCATCATGCTCCTCCGTAAACGCCATGCCAAAGAAAGAAACCCAACAGGAACCAAAAAAGGGCCCTTGAACTCCCGGCGCAGACCGTCGTGAGAGCGTACGCCGTGTCCAAGACCCTTCGAAAGCGACAACTAGATACAGGAAATGACATGTACAAAGGCTGGCACCAGCCTTAACAGATAAACTTGTAAAACTTCTTCCACGTGGGCCACGACGCCTTCTCCTCCTGCTCTTGTGCCACTAGGATGGGCAGGTTAAAGTCGCGTCGGCCGGTATCGACGTCCATCTCCCGCACTTTGACGTATCGGGTATGGAAAAGGATTTTGTGAGAGATGTAGAAAAGGAAGATGATGGGCACGCCCATGTACTTGAGGAAGAAGTTCCGCGCCACGTCCGTCGCCGCCATTTCGCGCCACCCGATCGGGAATGCGCCGACCCAAAACTGAGCGATGAGGACCAGAACGTTGAGCGTCAAGCCGACATACGAGCCCAGGACACCGACTTGCGAGTTGAAGGGTATCGAGCTGAGGCTGCGTCCATGGTACGCCCACGCGCGGCGGAAGCGAATGTGACACAGGCAGATGGACGCCCAGGTGAACACCGTCGAGAGACCCGATATGGCGAGAAGCCAGTCGAGCACGTTATTCTGGTGCCTGAGGTCGGCGAGATATGCGAGCAGGCCCAATGCGGCAGCCACGACGATGGCTACAAGCGGTCGTCCGCGCTTGTCCACGTAGCCCAAGATCTTGGGCGCCTGCCTCATTTTGGCGAGAGCGACGAGCGTCCGCGAGGATCCAAACACTGCCGAGTTGCCCACCGACAACACGGCGATGAGGATGACCGAGTTCATGACCGACGGGAGAACCTGTATTCCCGCTTCCTCGATGGCGATGACAAAAGGCGATGCCTTGGCGTCGGCACTGTTTGTGGCGTCGAGGAGTCGGGGGTCGTTGTAAGGTACCAGCAGGCCCACAAGCGTGAGGGCCACGATGTAGAAGAGCGTGATTCTCCAAAACACCTGCTTAATGGCTGTCGGCAAAGATTTTCTAGGATTGGCGGTCTCGGCAGCTGCAAGCCCGACAAGCTCTGTGCCCGTGAAGGCGAAAGCAGCAGTCACGAACACACTGCACAGCCCTTCGAAGCCGTTGTGAAATGCGCCGGGATTGTGCCAGTATTCGCCGCCGATGTAGCCACGATCCGGCGTCCCTCCGCAGTTGAGTACGATGCCGAGAAGACTGTGTGCAATGTCAGTGTAAGTCCCTGGCACGTGCGTCAGTGGAACGTAGGCACTCACATGAAGCCGATGACGGCAATGACTTTGATAATGGAGAAGGTAAACTCGGCTTCGCCATATCCTTTCACGCCGAATAGGTTGATGAGCAGGATAGCGATGAGGAATAGGGTCACGAATATAGCGCTAGGCAGCTTATCCGTCCAGTAGCGAATGGTCAGGGATGCCGCGATGATTTCCAGTGGCAAAACAGCCAGCCATTGTAATGCATAACTAAGAGATGATTCGGTTAGCCTCAGGACCGACACGGCAACACCTCCGGTGCAGACTCACTTCCAACCCATGGCAAATCCCCATGAGGGGTCGAGGAACCGCGTGGCCCACGAGGAGAATGATCCGGCGATGGGGAAGATGACGGCCAGTTCTCCGAGGGCCTGACATGTGCAGTACAGCATGGAGCCAACGATCATGAAGGCGATGAGCAACGATGCGGGCCCTCCGTCTTGCAGAGCCTTGCCCGATGCAACAAACAGGCCGGTACCTATTGAGCCTCCGATGGCAATCATCTGCAGGTGCCTACCCTTGAGCTTGCGCGCGAGGCCCGTGTTGGCGGACTCGACGGCGGCGAGATGCAAGTCGTAGTAGTAGGTGCCATGGCTGCGGGCTGTGGCACTGGAACTGTTGACTTGGCTGAGATGGTCGCTCGGGAAGAAGGTGGTGTCGGTGTCGGGCTTGAAGCTGTCGATGAAGCGGTGGAATCGCGGAGGCGGCCGGTCTTGGTAGTCGGGCTCGCGCATGCTGTAGGAGCTGCCGTGAGTGAGCGACTCCTCCTTGATTTCGAGATTGTTGAAGGCGTTGAGCTCAATGTCTCGATGCGGCGCCATGTTTGGCGTCGTCGTCAAGTACTTGCCCCGTGCAGTGATGCACTACGGCACTGTACGTTGGTCGTCGCAAGCTGGGCACGGCAGAGTACTGGGTTGGGGACGACGGGCGGCCCGTGTGTGGCGAGATGGCGTGCTCCGAATGATGTCTAAATCGAGATAAAGTGACGACGCAAAGTCGACGGCCGCTGTGCGGTGGTTGCTCGTCGTCGTTGTCGTCGCCGAGTGCGGGAACGCACGCAAGCCGCGGGATCTCGTCGCCGGGCGAGAGACGGGGCGATGCGGCAGGCGGCCGGCGCGGTCGTCACGGCTATCGGTGTCACAGTCGTCGTTCGCTGTCGTCGCTTGTCGCAGTGGCACGCCCCGATTGGTCCGGACCCGGGTGCATACGAAATAGGCGCTCTCAGGCGCACATGGGCATGTCGGTCCGCCGTGGGCCGTACGCTGGTATCCGGCGTGAGGGAGCGGGGAGAGAATGAGGATGTCTAAGATGCTGTGCCTGGAGGAGTAGGAAGCAGGCGAGAGATGACGGATGAGGTGCAAATGGGGACGGTGGGCTTTAGTGGAGCGGCGGCGCAGTCCACGGACGTTGAGGCAGGCGCTCTTGGGCTGGGCGTCCCGGAGAGTGCAGGAGCCGTGGGGTTTCGGCGGGATGGAGGGAGTTGGTTGGACGCCGCACGAGGAGAAGGCGCGCGGGCAGGCGAGCAGGTACGTACGAGTACTTGCGCTTGCGGCAGAGCGGCATCGTAGCGCGCGAGTAGTGCAAGTACCTCGACGTCCCTGCAACGGGGAAGACCAACCTGGAAGACATTTCACGCACTGCAGTCACCTCCACCTGACCGGCCTTGCAGTACCAGTACTTGCACGTAGCGCTAGGTACCTGCCGTATCGCGCGGCTTCAGGTTGATGCCAACAGACGAGAGCGATTTCATCGCGGTACGGAACCTTGAAGTGGCCTCAACGTCCTCGCCTACCTGTGGTGCAGAAGGATGGAAGCGAACACACGGCGTGGCAACGGTCGAGCCCACCGTCTCATCCGGGACAGCAGCGCCACGAGGACGCTATCGAGACTCGGGCGCTGATCGGCGCGCCGCGGAAGGCAGACGCAGCGACGCCGCAGCGTGCGCGACTCGTCTCGGAGCGGGAGCTAATGGTCTCGGGCGGCCATGTACGAGTACCAAAAAGGTGCCACTGGCATGTGCGCCGTGGCCCCCGAATCTGTCGCTGCGACATTGGCGCGCCTCGCCGCACCGTACCGCACCTTATCTCTGTGCGACTGCGCACTTACGAGGGTGTTGTCGCACATCGTGCTTCTGTATTTGGAAGCGCTCAATGATTCAAGTGCCCTGATAACTGGCTCGGTCCTCCAAGAGACACATTACGCACTCCATGTGCATGTACATCTGTGCGGTGATGTATCCACACTCTCCCGCCAGCCTACGCGTCCAAGCCGCGTGCGCGCGCGCATCCCCCACCGACTGAGGTGCATTGCTTTGCTGCTCGACAGCGGTGACACGCAGACACGGCAGCGTTGTGGCATGCGTGGGCCTGGCGCTTGGCGGTCGACGGAGGCGAGGCACGGCGACGGCGTATCGGCTCCAGCGTGCCATGGATCATGGATCCATCCATGGATGCACCTCTCTGATAGCGGTGATGGCGCGGGGGAGGAGCCTGGAACCCGGCCCAGACCCTCCACCCGGTGGGCCTTTTGGCGTGGCACAATCAATCGTGGGCCAGCCCGGAGAGCAGGCGAACGAGGGCCAGGGGTCCTGGGCATGGATGGGCGATGGGTGATGTCGCCGTGTTGCATCCTCCAGGGCCACGCCCATGTCTACTGGGCTGTCACTGTTTGGTTTGTCTCTCCGTCCGTGCGGGTCGGAGACGATGGAAGATCGTGCACGTCCCTGAATGGCAATTGCGCATTTGCCGGCTCCTGAGACATGCTGACGTCGCTGTCGAATTCGTCTGCCTGGGCGTTGGGTGGCCAGGCACGGAGTTGAAACCCATCATCGTTGACGAACCCAATTCCTCCAGCGCCAGGGCAGTGGTGGAATGAAACGCAGGGTGACAAGTAGCGCCCGTTTGCGCTCCTCCCATTGCCCGCTACTCACCACGCCCTGGACGACACCGCCGATTCGGGCCCCGAACAATCGCTCCTCCACCGCTCACGTCACGGGAGCGTCGCTATGGCGTCCCCAGCTGCCTTTCAAGGCTGTTCGTTTGGCAGCATTGACGCCACCATGCAGGGACTGGTGGCCAGCAACCACCACCTCGCTCTAGGCCGCCACTCCGCCCGCGCAGGCTTATCGAATGACTCGATCCAAACTAGCATGTTGAACTTCGACGCCAGCTGATGCTCCAGATGCATGAAAGGTACACGTATCCTCCTGGTATAAAGCCATGTCTCGTACAAAACAACAACCTCACGTCGCCCACGGCTTTTAGTGAGACGTCGGCTTCGCTTCAGCCCGCCCTCCAATGATCTTTCCGTCGGGGCCCCGTGGCTTGCGCTTCCATCCTGTCGAGAACAACCCGCCCATGTCAAATCTCGGCAACGGGTGCGCCTCCGTGTTGAGCACCATTTTGTCCAGGGGTAGCACGTCGTCGGGGGAAAACAGCAGGTACAAGTACTTGAGCGTCTCGGCCTGCCGGGAGCAATGTCAGTTGAACCTGCGAGAGGTGCTCCGTTCGGGAAACATACCAGCCAGAAGCTCTCCATATTATCCTTGATGACGGGTGGGATTACGTTCGCGTTGTTCAGGCTCGTAAAGCCTCCTCCATCCTCCACCGCAGTGTAGTTCATGAACGAGCGGAACATCTCCCATCCCCATTCACGATATCTCTCGTCCTTGGTGATCCTCCACATATAGAAGAGGCTCTCCACCGTCTCTGGTCGCTGCAGGTTATGTACGTCGTTTGACTTGACGTTGAAGTCGTTGCGCCAGTTGGCTTGCGGGTCTGGGTCGAATGTGGAAGGCGGGTCGTGATGTGCCGACTCTGGCAAGGGGGGGTCGGCAATGTTAAAGTGCGTAATCTCCGCTGCGAGCCCTGTTGCCATGAACTTGTACATGCCCCAGCATGTCTGCGTCAGCTCCCGCGCGAGCTTCATGTCGGCCTCTTGCTTCTTGCCCCAGGTCGGCAATTTGCGCGCCTCGGCTTCCGTGAGACCGCCCGTGGCAGCCAGCGCAATGGTGCCAGGCATGAAGCACACGAGGTGGTCCATCTTGGGCGACAGGTATCCCCCCAGACCCTCGGGCCGCTCGCCGATGATGGTGAACCCCGATGGTTCGGTGTATGTGATGAGATGCTTCCGTACTCCTTCGAGAGACTCCTTCCACATCTCCTTGTACACGGGCTCCTGCTTATTCGTCTGCAGGTACTGCTTGATCAGGTACTCGTAGTAGGAGTCGCCCCGGCTACCCAGGCGTATATTTTCGCCTCTAAACTCGCCGCTCGTCGCGTAAATGTAGATGGGTACCAGACCATCCTTGGGGTTGTTGTCGTCAATGATCTCCATGACCTTTTCGGCCTTGTCCCAGAAGTGCTTCTCGCCCGTGAGCTTGGCCAGGTACTTGAACTCGAGCTGCACGCTGGTCGCCTCGGCCGTCGACGACGCGCCCATGTCGGCGTGCGAGGGAATGCCCTGATACTTGGCGAGGTTGACACTGGCGTATGGAACCCCGGATTGGGACTCAAAAGCAGCCAGCAGCCGGTCGCCGAGGTCCCTGGCCTTTTCAAGGTAGAGGTCCTCGCCCGGCATGCCAGGATCATCGTCCTTCAGCGGCGCCATGTTCGGAAACTCGGTGGAGAGGTAATGCGCAGACAGCAGCCCTCCAAGCATTCGTATCGTCGTTTCGAAGGTGTTGACGTCTTGATCCTGATCCCAAGTCAAGGACTTGGAGACCCATTCTCGAGCGCGATGTAGGCGCGTTGTTTGGTTCATAAGAATCAAGGTGTCCAGCGAGTCGACGATGATCCAACCCAGACCCTTGGGCGCCATGTTTTTGCCGCCTTTCGAAAAGGGATGGTACTCGTCGTATCCTGCAAGACGATCGTCAGCATCTCAATTGCCCTCCAGGCTGTCCTTCAGGTTGCGGAGACATACCCCAAGCGTAGCGCTCGTAGGCGTCCCAGCTCAGCTCGAACGCTTCCACGACATGCTGCCGCCTCTCGTCCCAATTTGCTTTTCCCCTCTCATTGCTCAGCCCTATCCACGACCATGCGGACGTCGATTTCCGCTTTTTGGCGTGGGAGAAGAAGCCCGTCAGCCAGAGGAGGCCCAAGATGCCGAGGGCTATGGAGCTCAGCACGCGCTTCCGTCGCCACCAGCGCCGCCTCCGCATTGACGGCGCGTACCCGTATGGTTTGTCCTTGTACATCGGAAGCTCATCCTGCTCGAAGTAGCCGGCGACCTTGCCCTGCACGTCGCTGAGGATGCCGCCGCCGGAAGCGCCTCGCCTCGCGACGGCCGCCCAGGCTCGGTCTTCCAGGTCTCGGTGCGGGGCCGCAAAGTTGGGCACGTTGTTGGGGATCGAGAAAGACATGTCGAGGGCGCTGGCGCCGACCTGGGCCGCCTTTTCCTTGACGTTCTGGGCAGCGCGGAAGACGTTGGCTTTGAGCGCGTTTCGGCCGTGGATGTTGAAAGGGTCGCGGATCATGGGGGGCGTCTAGCGCATGTCGTGGCGTGGCGTCTTTGGGCGGTCCGTGGACGGGGCGCTGCTCCGTCGGTGGAAACGTAAAACGAGCGACTGGAGGATGCACGATTCGAGATGCGAGATCAAACGGCCGCCCAGAGAGAAACACGCGCAGAGAAGCAGTTGATGGCGCAGGCACGCAGCTCAGGGACGGGAGCTGTCGCCTCTACGAGGTTATGCACCGGCGCTTGGCGTAGGAATGAAGCGTCGCTGTCCGGCGACCCAGGCCCCTGGAAAGAGGACATGTGTGCTGAACCGAAAAGGGCAATCCTGCAGGTGGGCTGGCGGGCAAGACCCGTTTGGCTGGGTCGCTCCTTCCTAGGCACCGCAGGCACCGCACCCAAGGCACCTCACATTGTGCTCTGCACTGAACTTCGCTATTGCCCTCTCATCTCTTCTGTTCAGCAACATCGCCGCCACGAGCATGCACTTCTAAATTTGCGATATGAAAGCGTGCACAGCAATGCCTCAAGCCAGAGGGAGCCATCCACGCATCACCTCGTGAGCTGTTGCAGCTTTCCTCGCCATTCCAGGCCGGGCAACGGACCGGGGTACGCCTCAACCCAACCATGGACATCAAAGACTTTCCCCATCTCAGTCGCGAGGAATTTTCCGAAGCCTGTCACAATTTGGACAGGCGATACTGCCAGGCAACGCTCGGGCCGGTCCGCAGGCGTTGGCGTTTGAGGATCTGTGCCGCGCTGGACACGCTCTTTTTCGACGATGGTGGCTACTCAACGTATATCCAGATTACACGTCCCCTGGAGCACGTCCTCGACCACGGAGATCTGTCACTTGACCTGGACAAGTTTTCCTTTTCTGAACCAGATGAGGGCGATGCTATGGTCATGGCAGACCAGGGCATGCTAGACAACGAAGAAGCAGACTCGGTAGGACCCACGTGGACCACGATTTCATTCATGTCCTCGTAATAACCAAACTCTAGGCTGCCATCGTCAAGCACATGCCACGGCCAGACGTGCCGCATGTCACGTACGAAATCCATCTACACCCAACGTATCGGGTCCCTTGCCTGTGGTTCTCCCTCCACAACCTGCCTCCTGATGAGCCTGCCTTCAACATCGACACCGTGTTTCGCCGCTTGGTCCCCGACGAGTACAAGGACGGCCTCCGGGGGCTCGGAGGCATCGGTGGCATCTCTGCTGATGTGAGTTTCGCGTTGCCACCAGCCGCTGCTAGGCGAGGTCCAATTTGAGCTGGGTCTCACCCTACTAACACAAGCTCGCAGCATCACCCCATCACAGGGGTTCCGGCTTTCTTTGTGCATCCTTGTTTGCTGGGGGATGCGATATCGAGCTTCCAGTGCTCCAGGGAGAACTACCTCATGATTTGGCTTGGGCTGGTGGGCGGGTGCGTCGGACTGTGGGTGCCCAAGGAAATGGCCCAGCAATGAAACAAACCAGTTTTCATCACTTGGCTCGTCACTTCGTTGCCCGCTTTGAAATGTGCGGCGCTCATTCGTCGTCGTCGCTATCCTCCTCCATGGCCACGTCCTCTTCACTCTCCTCTTCTTCTTCGTCCCGAGTGCGCTTCTGGCCGCGGTTCTCGGTAGCGTCTGCGTCCTTCATTGCCTGATCTGCCCCCGTCGAGGGTTTCGCGGCGGCATTGGCGGCCGGAGGCGCTCCAGCCGGCGGGGCGTCGAAGATGCTCCGCTGGAGATCGGTCTGCTCTACGGCAGCCGCGCCAGATGCTGTTGTGGGGATCTTGAAGGTTCCATCGAGTTTGGCGACGAAGTGCGATTTGGACTTGGCGTATTGGATTCTCTGCTCGGGTCAGCACAGGCCCCGGGACACCAAACAGCGGCGCTGGTAGCAAGGGGCTCCCACAAGTTCGCGGCCCAGAAACATTTGCCCATTCAAGTGTCTCATGGCCTGGGTAGAGGTTTGCACGTCTTTGTAGACAATGTGGGCTTGTCCTCGCATGCTCATGGTCTTCAAGGCGACGACATCCAGTACGGTCCCGTAGGTCGAGAAGAGCATGTACAGTGCGGTCCGAAGGTCGGCCTTTTGGATCTTGGCCGAGGGAAGATTCGTGATGTAGAGACTGCGCCGCTTCAGTACATGCGCACGGGGGATCCGGGGAGGGGAGGCAGCATACGTCTGGTTTGGAGGGATGGACTGGACCTTGGCCGGGAGGGAGGCATTCGGGGCCAGGGCGCTGCGGGTAGGGACTGCCGTCGCCATTGTGCCGTTGCGGCCGAACCTGGTTGCGGAAAGACCCCGTCGGGAACTCGACGAATTATGCGCGTTTGATTTGGGAGGAGGCGCGACGGGCGCAAGGCGTTGTGGCAGTTGGCAAGTGTTGTTGTGCTAGGGCGGGAAAGAAGACTGGAGTGGAAATTTCGAGGATGCGTGCCTAGCCTCGCGACGTGACCACCACCAGCGGCGCGCATGCGACCAGCCGGTGTCCAGGTGGGTGGCCCGAGCTCCTCCAGCCTTGGGCTGGTGCAATGCTGTGGCGGGCGGTGCTGCCACTGGGAGTGGGGCAGCTGTGGCCAGGGTGGGTGGCTGGGTACGTACCGCCCATACGTAATGGACGCCGCCAGCAAGCAGCGTTGAACCCCGCCGTCAGCAGCATCGCGTCGTCGTCGTCGGCAGTAGCACAGCCCAGCAACAACCTCTCCGTCATCACCTCTCGCCAATTCTACTTGAGCGATAGTAGAGAGCTCCTCCTATCGCCACCTCCCTCGACATTTCCTCCAAGATGGCTGCTCCCGATGTCCACCACCTTTTCCACAACCCCATCGCCGACCACTCCTTCTCGGCAGACCACAGCGTCCTCGCCGTGGCTCGCGACACCGCCGTCGAGCTCTATGGCCGCGTCGGAAACGCCTTCAAGCTCAAGGACGAGCTCAAGGGCCATGACAAGACGGTTACGAGTGTTGACATTGCGCCCAGAAGCGGCCGCATCGTGACGTGCTCTCAAGGTTCGTCGGGCTTTCCCCTGAGCCAACCCCTCCGTCGCTCGCAGGCACTGACCAGCTAGACCGTAACGCGCTGGTCTGGGAACCCTCGCCCACCGGCTACAAGCCAACACTCGTGCTCCTCCGAATCAGCCGTGCCGCGACCTTCGTTCGCTGGTCGCCCTCGGAGACCAAGTTCGCTGTCGGGTCTGGCGATCGCGTCATCGCCATCTGCTACTTCGAAGAGGAGAACGACTGGTGGGTGTCCAAGCACCTCAAGAAGCCCATCCGCAGCACCATCACGAGCGTTGCCTGGCACCCCAACTCGGTTCTCCTCGCCGCCGGCTCCACCGATGCCCACGCCCGCGTCTTCTCGAGCTTCATCAAGGGCGTCGACACCAAGCCCGAGCCGAGCCCCTGGGGTGAGCGCCTGCCCTTCAACACCGTCTGCGGCGAGTTCTTGAACAACTCGGCTGGCTGGGTGCACTCGGTCGCCTTCTCCCCGAGCGGCAACAGCCTTGCTTTTGCGGCGCACGACAGCAGCGTCACCGTCGTCTACCCCAGCGCGCCGGAGCAGCCGCCCAAGGCTATCCTCACCATCTCGACCCAGCTACTGCCCTTTAAGAGCTTGCTCTGGAAGAGCGAGGATGAGATCATCGCCGCCGGCTACGACTGCGAAGCCTTCCGCTTCCAGGGAGGCGAGGGCGGCTGGCAGCTCGTTGGGCCGGTCGAGGTCAAGAGCAGCCACGGCGCGGGCCAGGAGCGGGAGGAGTCGGCGCTCAACATGTTCCGGCAGATGGACCTGAAGGGCAAGATCAAGGACGACACTCAGCTCAAGACGGTCCATCAGAACACGGTGACGACCATTCGACCCTTTGAGTCGTCTGGTGGCCGTGTCACCAAGTTTAGCTGTAAGTCAAAGCCCCAATTTGTCCACTAGAGTAGCGTGCTAACTCGTGAATAGCGAGCGGCGTCGATGGGCGAGTGGTGATCTGGAATGCCTAGATAGATTTACATATGCTGTAGATAGGACAACAATCAATAACTCGAGTCAAAACAATGCTCATCAGACTCCAATCAGCCATCTCCTGGTCCAAATTGATCGCGACATCATGAGGGCCGCACCGCTCACGTCAAGAGATCACTCGTATTGTACTTTTATTTCACTTTTATTCATTGCATTTGCCTACTTGTTTCCATATCTAGGGCAGGGCAACAGCCTCAATCTCGACGTCGACGTTCTTGGGGAGAGTCTTGACGGCGACGCAGCTGCGGGCAGGCTTGTGGGTGAAGAACTGCTCGTAGACCGAGTTCATCTCCTACATTTGGGGTCAGTACAGGTGACAAGAGTGTCAAGACGTTTAGAACGGGGGGCGTACGGCAAAGTGGTCCATGGAGGAGAGGAAGATGTTGCACTTGACGACCTTGGGGATGGAGGAGCCGGCCTCCTTGAGGACGGCCTCGAGGTTCGTGCAGCACTGGCGGGTCTTGTCGGCGATGGTTCCCTCAACCATGGTGCCCTCGGGGGTGAGGGGGATCTGGCCGGAGCAGTAGATGGCGTGGGGGGTCTTGACGGCCTGGGACTGTGAGGCGAGGTCACGTTAGAAAGGCTGTCGGTCAAGATGAGTCGCAGGTTGAGCACTCACGTAAGGGCCGACAGCTAGGACACATCAAGGTCAGCTCCAGGATCATGACCAGACGACGATTAACACGGAGAGAGGGGGAAAACTCACGGGCCGGGGCCTCCTTGGTGAAGATGTTGGTCTGGTCCGCCATTGTGGATTTGGCTCGGGAGAGAACTGGAATCGGTGTGAACGTCTGGGCTCGAGGAACGAGGAGCAGCGGCTGCGACGCCCGCGCCCGTGCCGGGAACGACGAGGCGAGGGCGACGGCCCGGCCGCTGCTACTGCCCGCCAGGCGAGCTGCCATTGCCGACGACATACCTGTGTGTGGGGGGCGGGAGAGCGTGAGCTTCAATGGGAGGAACGAGGCAAGGTAGCGGATTGCGGTGCGTGCCTACAGTGAGTGTCTTGAGAGGAAGCGAGGTTTCGAGGAGTCCGGGAGGTGGCCGCGAGTAGATATGGGCGCCGGTGGTTTGAAATACGTACGAGTGCCGGCGGGTAGGTACGTTTGAGCTTGTTCCCTCCTCCGCCCTCCGAAGGCCGGCGAGCTGCCGCCCGCCCACTGCCCACTGCCCACTGCCCACTATCTCATCCACAGGGCAGGTGCGTCAGTCAGTCCCGCGCCTCGCCAATGGAACCCCGCGGCGGGGAGCGGCGGCACTGCACGGCCGCAGCCAAAAGTGGGCGGGTTCTGACGGCCCAGCCAGCCATCCAACAACCTGGATGGCAAGCGCAGCGAGACCTGGAGCAGTGAGCCGCCCGCGAAGCCCCGGCCCACCAGGAGCCACTCGCGGAAAGAGCGTCGATTCGTTACGTACAATGTACGTAGAGGTATCTCGCGATGCCCCTGGCGCTTCGTCGAGCCAGCATTCCCGTTTGAGATGGAGACTCCGGCCGTCGCGACCTCCCGAAGGCGGCATAGGGAGCTGGACGGTGGTGGCCCCGCCCGGCGGACTCGGAGCGCCCCGGAGCTGCCCATGCTCTGCTGGCGATGCGCGTCTCAGCCCGGCCGACCATTGACGTGGACTGTACAGAGTGAGATACGTCGTGGCTGACGGGTCGAGGAATGGAAGCCGCCACGATCTCATCCCCTGCTCTGGACCCTGCGCGGCATTGATCGACGGACCGCCGTCATCGCTCAGTCTGCACTTGTTTCGTGGTGGAGGCGTTCGTCTCTGTCAGTCTGAATGCCTTCTCTACGTTGCACGCTCCATGGTCGCCCACTACCGTTGGGTAGCCTGACAAGCCTGGATATTGCTGCATTTTCCGGGTGGCAAGGTAGGGCGGGCTGTATAAAGGTAATCTACAGCCTTCCGTTGAGCTGGATTGTCAGATATCCATTCTGCTCTTAACCTGCCTCAACTTTTCACGCGTTGCTCTGTGAGAGCCCTGCAAGTAACTTCGATGAGTCCACGTAGCCTCGAGGAGGCCTTGTGGCCACGACAAGGCCTTGCGACTCTTAAGGAAATGCCCCAATTGGGTTGGCAGGGGTGTCTTCTGAACCCTTTCGAGGCTATTGGCGCCATTGACCCGCGACCCGTGGCGGTTGTGGCGATGTCTACATAAAGGGGATGCTGGGCCCCCGGCTCGCCAGCTCAACCACAGTACCCAGCAGCGACCTCCACAGTGGCTTTCGGTCGGCTGTAGCAGCGATTCTACAGCGCGGCCGTGGCTCCAGCTACCTTGAAAGCTGGCAGCGATGCGGACGACAAGACTTGCTGGTTGAAGCTGGCGACCAAAGAGATCCAAGTTTGCTACCGCACATCCCTGGTGCTGTCCCGCGGCCAGAAACCAGCGGCCAACTACTTCAATGCCGAAAGCACGACCCGTTGCCGGCGGACTGGATGATGAGCAGTATCAATGGCAGCGACAGCAATTGGCCGGGCCGGACGTGTGGGAGCGCATTCCGGAGCACCCAGATGCTGCTGTCTGGCCAGGTGTCCAGATGGATGGAGGCTCTGCGCGAGGGCCGGCGCCTCGGTGGAACCCGAGGCCACAGTCAGCGCCACCTCAATACCCGCGTGAATAGCTCGCCCGCCAGGTAGTGTGCTTGCGAAGGATGGCGAGGTCCTCGGCTGCAGGTTTCTGGTCTGGTAGGCAGTTTCTTTGGTGCAAAGGCGAGCAATGGCCGCCAAGGCTGTCGCGGCGGCGCGCCCGCCTCCACTGCCCCTGCAGCAAATTTACAGGAGCTGATGCGGGCGGGCAGGGTTAGGTACGCGCCTGGGCGCAGTCTGCCAGGGCTGGACGACGCTATCAAAGCTACCCAAGGAAACACGGGACACGGGACACGGAACACGTCCACCTCAAACTCAGCCCTTTCCGGCGCCACGGCCGTGAGCTTTCCCCTGCACCCATATTCTTACACCCTCGTTCGTCTCTGTCTTAATATTCCCTTCTTGTCCATTCCTTCGGTCCCCTTTTCACCACCCCCAGACAGGCTCCGCCCCGGGCACGCACTAGGTCAGGTACAACGTGCCTGGACAAGTTACTAGACCCGCGGTAAGTTCCCCCCGAAGGCGCCCCCCCACCACCCGCCTGAGGTGCTACGGACGGGGCGGGCTGGTGCCGCTGCCGCTGGAGCTCCGGGCCACCGCCAGCAAAACGCGACGACGCCCTGAGCTGGCCTCTTCCGTCTCCTTCTCCCCTGGCCGTGTGTGCATCTCGCATCCAATCCGCCATCTAACGCCAGACCGTCCTGCAGAACCATGGCGCGCAGCCAGACGCCGCAGGGCAGCTTGCGGCAGCGCAATGCCCCAGTCAAGAAAGGCGCCGACTCCCCCGGCGTTGCCCCTGAGCACGAGCTCGACAAGCTCGCCAAGTTCGCCATGCAGAAGAACGTCGCCGACGGCGAGCGCGAGCACAAGGTCGCCCTGAGCCTCATTACCGTCCTGGCCTTTGTCACCCGTTTCTGGGGCATCAGCCACCCCAACGAGGTCGTCTTTGACGAGGTTCACTTTGGCAAGGTAAGTCGCAATGGCGCCCGCGAGCGTCGACCATCGAGGGGCCAGCCCGCGTGCTAACGGGACAACGTTCGCAGTTTGCTTCGTACTACATCGAGCGAACGTACTTCTTCGACGTCCACCCTCCCTTCGCCAAGCTCCTCTTCGGCTTCATGGGCTGGCTCGTCGGCTACGATGGCCACTTCCACTTCGACAACATTGGCGACTCGTACATCGACAACAAGGTGCCTTACGTGGCCTTCCGAGCCCTCCCCGCCATCCTGGGAGCTCTCACCGTGTCCGTCACGTACCTCATTATGTGGGAGTCGGGCTACAGCGTTCCCGCGTGCATCGTCGCCGCGGGCTTGATCCTCCTCGACAACGCCCACATCGGCCAGACCCGCCTGATTCTGCTCGACGCGACGCTGGTGCTCGCCATGGCCTGCAGCTTGCTGTTCTACATCAAGTTCTACAAGCTGCGCCATGAGCCCTTCAGCCGCAAGTGGTGGAAGTGGCTCGTCCTGACGGGCTTTGCGCTCTCGTGCGACATCTCGACCAAGTATGTCGGCCTCTTCGCCTTCGTCACCATCGGTTCGGCCGTCATCATCGATCTCTGGGAGCTGCTCGACATCAAGCGCCCAGCCGGCGCCATCTCCCTGCCCGAATTTGGCAAGCACTTCGCCGCCAGGGCCATTGGCCTCATTGTCTTGCCTTTCATGTTTTACCTCTTCTGGTTCCAGGTCCACTTCGCCATCCTTTCGCGCTCCGGCCCCGGCGATGACTTCATGTCTCCCGAGTTCCAGGAGACCCTGAGCGACAACGTCATGCTCGCAAACTCCATGACAGTCCAGTACTACGACGCCATCACCATCAGGCACAAGGAGACCAAGACGTACCTTCACAGCCACGAGGACACGTACCCACTGCGTTACGATGACGGCCGTGTCTCGAGCCAGGGCCAGCAGGTGACCGGCTACCCCCACAATGACACCAACAACTACTGGCAGATTCTGCCTTTGGACGACGACAAGCAGCGGGGCCGCAACGTCAGGAACCGCGACTTGGTCCGTCTCCGACATCTCGTCACCGACAAGGTCCTCCTGTCTCATGACGTCGCCTCCCCCTACTACCCGACGAACCAGGAGTTTACCTGCGTCAGCGTCGAGGAGGCCTACGACAGCCGTGCCAACGATACAATCTTCGAGATTCGCATCGAGAACGGCAAGTCGAACCAGGAGTTCAAATCCATCTCTGGCCACTTCAAGCTCATCCACAACCCGAGCAAGGTGGCCATGTGGACGCACACCAAGCCCCTGCCTGATTGGGCCCACAGGCAGCAGGAGATCAACGGCAACAAGAACATTGCCCCTAGCTCAAACGTGTGGTTTGTCGAGGACATCCCCACGATGCCCGCCGATGATGTGCGACGCCAGAAGGAGGAGCGCAAGGTCAAGTCGCTGCCGTTCCTGGTTAAGTGGTTCGAGCTTCAGAGGGCCATGTTCTACCACAACAACAAACTGACGAGCGACCACCCCTACGCCAGCCACCCGTACCAGTGGCCCTTCCTGCTCCGCGGCGTGAGCTTCTGGACCCAGAACGACACGCGCCAGCAGATTTACTTTATTGGCAACCCCGTGGGCTGGTGGTTGGCGAGCAGCCTTCTGGCCGTTTTTGCGGGCATCATTATTGCCGACCAGATTTCTCTGAAGCGCGGCATCGACGCCTTGGATCACCGTAAGTGGTCTCCATACCTGGTTAGGCGGTTTCATAACTGACAAGGACGCAGGCACTCGCTCTCGCCTCTACAACTCGACCGGCTTCTTCTGGCTGGCTTGGGCAACGCACTACTTCCCATTCTACCTCATGGGCCGCCAGCTCTTCCTGCACCACTACCTGCCCTCTCATCTGGCGTCCTGCCTGGTGGCGGGCGGTCTCGTGGAGTTTGTCTTCAACGCCGAGCCCGCCGATGAGGTACCGCCCGCGAGCAGCAAGAAGGGCTCCGCTGCCGGTCCCAAGAGGCATATTACCGCGCGCGAGAGGTTTGCGGGCCAGAGCATGATGGGCGCGTGGATTGCCTGCCTGGTCATCATGGCCGTTGCCGTAGCAGGCTGGTACTTCTTCCTTCCCCTGACGTATGGCTACCCCGGCCTCTCGGTGGAACAGATTCAACGTCGCAAGTGGCTCGGATTCGATCTCCACTTTGCAAAATAGGGGGTGCAATGAGGTTGTCATGATTGACAAATCGGCACTTGAAGGGATGCTCGGTACCAATGAAAAAATGGACATTGAGCGCACCGTGGTGAAGACGTGCTTGGGGGACGGCGTCACAGAAATGTACGATATTTGGCTGGCCAGGCGCGGCGATGACATACAAGTAGGGCCCAGAGAGGCGGGCGAGGCTGGGTGTCTCGGAGGCGTTTTGCTTAGGAAAAGACATGTGGAGAAGAATGGCATGATGTTTGAGAAGCTGTGGGAGCGTGGCCGTCAAACGGTCGTTTATGAAGGGTGTGCATGTCTTTATTTTGTCACTGCGAGCTGCTTGGCACGGTTGACCTGCTGGCGATATGCACCCCAGACTCCTCCATCGCGGTTGTCCTACCGTGTAAACTCTGAAAATTGGCCATCGCCCCGCTCCTCAAGTGAACCCCTGAACAACAACGATTGCCGAAAAGATTCTGACAAGAGTAAGATAGTAACGGCTGTCTTGCCCGAGGAAATCGCGTGTCACAAACGCTGCCTCCCGCCGCGGGCCGGTCAATTTCCTGGGTTTATAACTACGGCATGGCCCCTCCCTTGACGAACTCGTGATGGTTCGAGGCCCAGGCACGTTACACACCTTCGGCAGGATGGGCCGGCCCCACCTGCCTCGCGAACGGGAGGGCATTCCTCTTCGTACCCCTGGCTCGTATCCACTTCGGGGAAAGGCGCCAAGGTGCCTGCTTGGCCAGCTCGCACCAGCTTGGCGGTTTGCTTCTTCTCCCCGACACAACGACACTCGCCCATCAAGCACGATTCTGACTGCTTGCTCTGCTTCGACCGGCGCCATGCATGCTGGTCTTGTGGGCTCTGTGCATCATTGGCGAGACTAGGAAAGCACAGCCTTGGGCACCATTAATACCGACTACCTCGTCTTGCTCGCGACGCGCAACTACACATCGCCCTGCTGCGGCACCCGACCGTCCGAACCAACGACGATGCTCCTCTCCGATGCCAATAGGCTCTACCTCCGTCGCATCGTTCGCTGGCGATACGTGCGTCTGCTGCTACTCATCTTTGTTCTCTTCAACATCTTCGACGTTCTGCGCATCCATCACCACCTTGTCGCAAACGACAGCCTCGTCCATGGCCGGAGAGGCGCCACGGCGGCAGGGCCGTCGCGCCCGCACGAGCGCGTGTATATTGCGAGCATGCACTTCAACAACGGGCAGATTCTACGAGAGCATTGGAACAATGCGGTGATACGCCTGACGGAGACGTTTGGGCCCAAAAACGTCTTCGTGAGCATCTTTGAGAGCGGCAGCTGGGACGACAGCAAGGAGGTGCTGCGTCAATTGACGGCCGAGCTCGAGAGCAGAGGCGTACCTCACCGAATCGACACGTCGGACGTGACACACCACGACGAGCTCGCGCGAAGTGATGCGGAAAAGGGCGATGGCTGGATTGACACGCCGCGGGGCAAGAAGGAGCTGCGGAGAATACCGTATCTGGCGCGGCTGCGCAATCGGACCATCAAGGATCTGCTGGACCTGCACGAGAAGGGTGTCGACTTCGACAAGGTGCTCTTCCTCAACGACGTCGTCTTCTCCACCGAAGACGTGCTCGAGCTCATGGACACCAACGGGGGCGAGTACGGGGCTGCCTGCAGCCTCGACTTCTCCAAGCCGCCGCTCTACTACGATACTTTTGCGCTGAGGGACATTGAGGGCAAGCCGCACGTCATGCAGACGTGGCCGTATTTTGGAGCGAGGGTTTCTCGCAGCGCCTTGGTCAACAACATGGACGCTGTCCCCGTTACGAGCTGCTGGAATGGCATCGGTTGGTCTTCTGCTCCTCAGACTACGATACGTGGGGAATCTAACGGCCTATAATTCAGTCGTCATGCCAGCGGAGCCGTTTGTCTCGTCGACACGCCTCCGCTTCCGGGGCATCCCCGACTCACTTGCCCTGCACCATCTGGAGGGCTCCGAGTGCTGCCTCATCCACGCCGACAACCCCCTGTCGCGCACCCTGGGCGTCTACCTCAACCCGCGGGTGCGTGTCGGCTACAACCTCGCCGCGTACGAGGCGACACATCCGACCGGTGCCGCTTGGGTCTCGACGTGGGACATCTTCAAGGGCATGTGGCGAAACAGGATCAAGCGCTGGACCACCGTCACGTTTGAAGGCCTCGTCAGGGCGCGCAGACTTCGCGCGTGGGAGGCGGAGAAGCACGGCAACAAGGAGCCCGGGGACTTTTGTCTCATCAACGAGATGCAGGTCCTTGTTGACAACGGGTGGGCACACGTATAAATGGATGGCACACGTGGTGTGTATGTGTATAGGGCGACCATATCCGATTATGCAAAGATACCCCAGCAACTAACCTAACTAGAGCCTTGGAAATATATGACAAGCAGGTTCAGCAACAAACCCCTTTCATCCTTCTACAGACTCTTTGCCCATAGCCAGTCACCAACATCATCATCCTCCTCCTCCTCGCCCTCCTCCTCCTCTTCCTCATTCTCATCCTCATCCGCTAGGTCGTCGGAACATACGCTGTGTCTCAGGAGACTGCCCGGCCTATCCTGCCGGATAGCCTTTGCCAGCTCCCGCCGGTCCTTCTCGTTGAACCTATAGCTGTCCTCCTCCAGCACACTCGCACACCTCAGGACATGAAGCCTCTCGCGCCTCCGCTTCCGCAACCCCACGCTTATCGCATAATCCTCCTCCTTGCTAAATCCCGTCCGCCCCTCCACCCACGCCAGGACGTCGTCCACCGCTTTGGCCTGCCAGCACAGCTCCGATATGGCGCGGTACAGCATCTCGTTGCGGCGCAGGGCCTCGGCGTCGCAGACGCGCACCTCTCCCCACCTCCTGCTTCTCCCACCGCCGCCTTGTTCGTCGTTGTTGCTCCTGCTCTCGTCGTCGTCCTCGAGCCTCCAGTCTGGGTGGGGGGCGGTGCAGGCTGCGAGGTGTCGCAGCACGGAGGTGTTGCGCGCGAGGAAGGCGTCTATGGCGGCGAAGGACACGTCGGGGGGAAGGCTGAGCGCGTGGCGGATGAAGCGCAGGCGGCGCTCGCCGCGGCGGCTGCCGGGCTCGTAAGGGGGGAAATCGGGGACGATGGGGGCTTCGGTGATGGGCTGGGGGGGTTGCCTTGCTTCGGCGTCGGTGTCGGAGGAGCCCTGGGTGTTGGTCCTCTTGCGCTTCCGGGACGGGGGGAGCGGAGTGCGAGGCTGCGATAGAACATCACGATGATGATGACGGTGGTGGTCTGGATGCTGAGCACTGTGGTTAGCCTCCGGTTGCTGTGCTGCCTCACTGCGATCCCAGCCGTGGACCCAAGTTACGGCGTCGGATAGCGACATGTCAGACTCGGTGGAATGCTCAGGCATAGTAGTCAAGCCGCGATTACTCGTTGGTTCACTGCCGTGGTCCCTCGATGCGGACAAAAGTGGAGGGCATCGTCTCCCCAGAGGAGCAGGAGTCGCCCAGTACAGCTACGCAGGCAATCTATATACATCACGATACTATCCTCACGGTGTTGCTTCATGATTGAACAGTATCAAAGGTAGAGACACACTTCCCAACGAACTATGGCCGGTACGCTTTGGGATAGCACCTGGTGCGGAGCGTGTAAGCGGGACAGGAGGCATAGACCGTTGAATAGACGGCGAACGCAAGTGACATTCTCCTTTGTTCGCCCACCCGGACTACAATCCACGGTTTTACGTTACTGCCGCCAAGAACGATTGCGAATGAACAATGTCGAGACGCCTTCACGTGGCCAGTCTTGGTCGACCGGTCCCGTTCAAGCTGGATAGCTAGATTGAACGATGTAAGTGCAGTCGCGAGTCTACGGGAAAGTGGGCTGGGCCATCCGGCTATCCTTGACAAAGGTTGGAGCGTGAAACGACCAACTACGTATCTCGGCATGCGCAGCTATTCTCTGACAAAGAGAGGACCTTTGTTGCAGCACGACTACGTACTATCTGCTTCAGGCGCTCCCCCTGGGAATGGCTTGCAAAGACGCAGTCACAGGCATGTTCAAGAAGTGGCGCAAATGCCCAGAGTCTCAGGCAACACGGCGGTTCAGGTGATACGACATTGCGCCTCTGAGTTCTGACGATCCTGTGGAGCGAGACGGGGCGTGCCGTTGCATATTGCTGCAGCCTGGGGCCGCCATCGACGCTTCCTCGTCATCGTTTTATTTAATTCGGGCGCCTGAGGTTCGCGGCGGATCTGGTTAGGAGTCGAGGGCGGGACGGCGCTGGTGTCACGATAATCGGACCCGCGACGGGGAGCTGGTGGTCTGTGCCAGGCAGCTCAATTCGCCAATCGATGAGTGGGCCGCGGCTGGAGGAGCCTCAGGGGAGGAAAACGGGTGCCTTGGGCAAGCGTCGCAGACACGCGCGGCATGACGACCAGCCCGGCGCCAGCAAAAGTCACAACAGGCGCGGACGGGATTGGGACCCGGCACGCCGGCGACAGGCTGCCCGATTCTTGGGCGCGCCATTGGTGGTGCTGGCCTCCAAGTCCGAACGGCTGCGCGGACCACGGAACACGTGTCCCCCGAGCCCTGTCGTCGAGCCAAATCGAGGGGCCTTGTACGAGGTAAATGGCTCGCTCTCAAGTCATACGACATGTCCAGAGCCCTGTTGGAAATAACGGGGTGGAATCGGGTCGCCGGCCGTCCATTTCTCGACGAGACAGGCTGGCAACCAAAGGGGAAATCCCCGGGACGGCATCAGGGAGCAGGGGACCGGGAGCGAACCCTGCGCCGGCGGGTGTGTGTTGTTGCGTGTGTGTGGGTGGTGAGTCAATTGTCTCGTCTCTGATTCAGATCAGCCAGTCCGCCGTGTCGCGTCCGCCAGCCCTACCAGTCCCAGCGAACAGCAGTGGGAGGAGTCCTGCGGAGCGAGAGAGCGTCCTGAGCATGGCGTCTTGGGAGTGCGACACGGCCAGCTGGCGTTGGCGTCATGCAAGGCCCGCGTCACACGCATCGTCGACGCCCCTGGGGGGCCGCGCTGACTGGCTGGCAGTGGTCGCCGCGGCTGTTGTCTGCTGTGGGCGTGGGCGTGGGCGAGATGCATGGCCTGCAGACAGGACTCGCTGCCCCTGCAGGGCCCTGGTCGCGAGCGAGGCAATGCGCAGCAGCAGCTGGGCCCGTACTGCCCTGCCCTGCCAGGCGCATCTGAGGGCTCCCTCGCCCATCGGTTGACCTTCAGCCTGTCTCTTATACACATCTAGATGTGTATAAGAGACAGGCCCTGCCCTGCCAGGCGCATCTGAGGGCTCCCTCGCCCATCGGTTGACCTTCAGCCATGCTGCCCTGCCAGCCCGTGCTCGTATGGAGCTCGACCGGCCCGGGTTTCGTCGTCGACAAACACCCCATGGAGACGTGAAGACGGGGACAAAGCTGGAGCCGGGCCGGACGGGCCTCTCTGGTCCTTGTCCTGTCTTCACCGCACACGACAGACGACCCGGCTGCAAAGTGTCCTGAGCGCAGCATTGTCCAGCTATTCCAGGCCCAACAGGCGGGCGTGTGTGTGGCTGCTGCAGCAGGGAGGGCATGAAGGTCCGGGCTGGTGGTGTGGTGGTGTGTGGTAGGCGGTGGGCGGCGGGCGGTGGTGGAGGAGCCCAGCCGGGGTTCGGGCCAACCAGTCCAGACTGGCGTTGAACTGACCCTCCATCCCGGGCGCGGACGCGCGAGGCATTGCGACAGGCTTACGGCGGCCGCTGCACCGTGGGAGCGGCGGGATCCAGCTGGCACGTCATTCGGCAGAGGGCTCTTGTTGATCGTAGCAGCAGGCGGCGTCGAACCAGATGCGTTACTTGAGCAGTTACGCAAGCCCGCCGTGACGGCTGCGGGAATGCGCGTGCCTTGATGGTGTCGGGTATCGGTCATCAGATCCAACGGCGTTTGGTCGTCGACCGTCGCACTATGATAGCCTTTTGCGCCGCCATCGTCGTCGTCGTCGTCGTGGAAATGGATGGTAGATGGGACCACTTCTGGCGTGCGACCGCCGCAGGCGGAAGGCGAGTCAAGGGAGCGAGCCGTGGACGCCTGTGGAAGATGGGGACGACCGCTGGAACCAACGGCCGGGGGTGGCACCTTTGGGGCGCCACTTGGCCGCTGAGTCTCCCGTGTTAGGGACGAGACTTGGGGCGGTACGGTGGGCTGCCGGGATGCCTCTGGGAGTGGCCAAGGGATCTGAGGCTCTGCTCTCACTGCCTCTGGCAAAGCGGCCCTCGGAGCAATGCTGCTGTCTCCATCTCACCCGCCGCGAATTCCAGAGTGCCAGCAGCCAGCCAAGCCAGCGCACACAGCAGCGCCGCCAACCCGGATGGCCAGATAGTGCCGCACGTAGCCCTGCCGTCTGCCCACTAACGCGAGATACCCCGCCGACAGGGATCGCCATCCACGCCCCCCTCGCGAGAAGCGCGAGAGCAGGGCGCTAGTCCCGATCGGGGTGGCCTCCAGGCAGCAGCCTCCGCTGGGCTGAGGCGCCCACCGACTGGCTCAACGGAGAGCGGTTTCTAAGCACCACCCTCTTCGCTTTGTCCCCATCCATATCACCGAATGCCTCGCCTCGTTTGACCTCCATCCTCTTCCACCTCATTGCCAGTTTCTCTCGCCGACTGAACGCTCTCGCCGCCCGCCTCCCCTCAAACGCCACTCGAGGTAGACGTTCAGGTGCGGTTTGCGAGTCCCAGCGCCTCTCGTTTCCCATAGCTTGCTCGTCTCGTTTGGCACCCTCCTCGTCGCCACAGCGTCGTCTCGTCGTCTCTTCGTTCCGTCGTTGCCGGACCCTGCGGACCGTTGCTTCGCCTCTCCCACATATATCCGGTTTACGCCCCTGCCAGCCTCTTTACCGAACTCTACAAACCCTCTCCACCCTCAATCAAATCGCGCTGGTCCATCCCTTCGACGGTAGACTCGTTGGCTCTCTCTCGCTCTCGACTCGTCGCCGTCCGCGTCACGCTTCTCGCCAACGTATTTGCACTTGTTGCCGCGGCCCTTCTCTGGCTGTCTGCGGCATCTCGCGCAAGATACACCGGTCGTCCCGGACAGCTCGATCTGGTAAGGAGAACTCCTGTCCTGCCCGCTTTGCAGTTGGTGTGCCATTGCCCTTGTCGCCCGCTGGTTTCTCTGCTCTGTCCTCAACTCGATCGGTCAAGCCAATCTCGATTGAGGACTAGACATAGAAGTCCTATCTTGTGACTCACAGGCATACACCACACTACAGCATACACCGGGCTGACACGTCTCGTTCCGTCGCAGTTCCTTAAGGACACCCGTGGCCAGAATCTCTCCATCTACCCCCACCCCCATCCACCTGCACCCGCAGCCGCCATCATGTCGCTTGCGAACCCTCGTCGCCGCGCCCCGGTGACTCGTCCGGGAAGCGAGGGTGAAGCCGCTCTTTCACTTAAGACTGGCATGGCCCTCCGCAAAGGCGCTACCTTCCACTCTCCTCCCTCTCCCATCCCCATGGCATCGGACGAGACCTTCTCTCCTCCTCAGCTGCCTCGGTCACCAACCAACGTCGACGACATCGTCGACGCCAACCGCCGCCGTGTGGCACTCGCCATCGACGACATCACCGAGACCTTGGCCAGGGCAGACATCTCCGCCTCCCTGCCCAAGGCTCCCAAGGCCTCGCTCCGGGACACCAGCTCTCCTGTTCCCCGCGGCCTGCTCGGCCTCGACGGCCCTGAGCAGTACATGGCCTCCAAGTCTGAGGCCGAGCGCCGGGTCCTGCGCCCGCGCTCCGTCCGCCGCTCCAAGCATGGTTCTGACAGCGGCCTCGGAAGCTCCATCACATCGGGTGACGAGAAACCTTCAACCATGACGAAAGAGGCGAAGGCTAGCCCGGCCCTCACCGGGTCGGCAGCAACCACGGCCAAGGACAACCTTCGCCCTCTCAGCCCCAAAGCATATCGGAGAGTTCACGAGCACATCCTCACGCCTCTGCTCGGCGAGCCGACTTTCAAAGAATTCAGACCCCTCGTGCTTGACGTACCGCGTCGCATCAGGTCGAAGGACATAATATGCCTTCGTGACCTCGAGAAGACTCTCATCTTCATGGCTCCTGTAAGTCGATTATCAATGGAACGTGGCGTTAGGGGAAATACTTATCGGATGTTGTTCGCAAAGACCAAGGCGCCTTCTCTCTATCTCGACTTCTGCCTTACATCCATCCGCTGCATCCAAGCGACCGTCGAGCTCTTCTCGGACCGCGAGCAGACTCGGCCCAACGACCGCCCTTACACTAACGGATACTTCATCGATCTCAAGGACCAGATTCTGGAGTACGGAAGACAGCTGTACGCCGCTAAGAACAAGACCGGATCCCTCGAGGACGACGACGTTGACCAGTACGTTCCGCGATTTGTGCCGCTCGATCAGCCTGCTAACCACCCAACCAGAACGGACGAGATCAAACTGTACGGTGGCGTTGCCGACAACGGCCGCCCCGCAGAGCTCGTTCGCGTCAAGAAGGACGGAACAGTCATCTCACTCGCCACCGGAAAGACGATCGACATGGAAGAGTCCGCCGTCAAGATCAAGCGATCCCACAGTGAGCAGCTCGAGGACCAGGAGGAAATCATGCGCTCCATGGCGCGCCGCAAGAAGAACGCCACTCCAGAGGAGCTGGCCCCTAAGATGTGCCCGCACCCTGGCTGCGGCAAGATGTTCAAGCGCCCTTGCGATCTCACCAAGCACGAGAAGACGCACTCGCGCCCGTGGAAGTGCCCCATCGCAACTTGCAAGTACCACGACTTCGGCTGGCCCACGGAGAAGGAGATGGATCGCCACGTCAACGACAAGCACTCCAACGCCCCGGCCATGTACGAGTGCAAGTTCCCTCCGTGCCCCTACAAGTCGAAGCGCGAGTCGAACTGCAAGCAACACATGGAAAAGGCCCACGGCTGGACATACGTGCGCACCAAGACCAACGGCAAGAAGATGCCGGGCTCTGACGCGCAGCACACGCCGTCTCTGCACCACTCATCCACGCCGTCCACGACTCCTTCGTACGGCATGCAGACACCGCCCGAGATGACGTCGCTCGACTACCCGAACATCTCCAATCAGGACTGGTTCAATAATTCCAGCGCGTACGACATGCAGGCGAACAACGCTGACGCCATGGACATTTCCGTGGACCTCCGCTCGCCCGCGTCGGCCGCATCGTACGAGCAGTACCCTCCCTACCAGAACGGATCCACGTTCATCATGCCCAACGAGGAGGACATCTACGCCGCGCAGGCTCAGCTCGGACAGGGATCCGAGCTGCAGCTGCCGCTCGAGATCCAGAACCTCCTCAGCGCCAAGCTGCTGCCGCAGAACCTGCCCATCTACCGCACGCAGCATATCCCTCAGGCTGCGCCAGCCCCGCAGACCCAGGCCATGCCGTCTCACTTCTCTCCATCTGCCCAGCAGAACGCCATGCTCTATACCCCCGACTCTCAGCAGGCGGTCGACGAGGGATTTGACGACCCGTTTGGCGCGGGCTGCGCCGACTTCACCCTCTTCTCGGGCCAGCAGGACAAGAGCCAGGTCAATGTTCAGCAGCCGCTTTTCGGTGAAGTCACGGCTGAGGTGCCAAGTGCAGGCTTGGGCTTCTCTCAGACGTCCCAGTCGGACATGCTGAACCAGGTTGACTGGTACTCGTTCGACGCCGTGCCCTTCCCGGCTTAGGCAAATGTCAAGCGCTTTGTGCGTTGCCCATGTGGCAATGCCATCGCGTTCTTGACGTCACGGCAGATTCACGAATTCAATGAAGAGGATATTCGTTCCCATACAGAGAGAACAAGGGAGAACTCCTCGTGTATTACAACACTTTGCGCTTGGTTTCGGGCGTTTGATTCATCCTTCACTGCTTCCCTGAAAGAGAAATGGGACGTCTCGCTAGTAACGGACTATTATGAGGCCTGAAATCGCAGAATGACGGGATAATGGGATTATTTGGGATTGATGCGGGGCCCTCGAGGCACCCGCCACGGCTTTGCTGGGCTTTTCCTCGGACGGAATTCGGGCAGCAACATCTTCTCCGTCTATCACATTTAGAGAATAGAAGATTGACCACCATATGACCGTTTACAAGGCTCTTTTGTTCGCGTGTGACTAGAGATGTCTGGCCTCTTAGACAAGAGTTTCGGCTTGCCCATCGTCCGTGCTATGGGCGCGGGACAGTTCTTGCAATGCCTTGCCGTAAGCTACGTGAGCTACCTGAACTGATGGTTTCTTGTGCGTAGATTTCTTGAGACTCGCCGCTGTGGTTGAGCTTGTTTCGAGAACCGCGTGAGGTGCAAGAGCACGTGACGACGCAACCATTTGGGCAACCTACCCTACGCCTCCGGCCCTCGAGTCGCGACTTGTCGTTTCCGCCCCATGACTCGGCTTGCAGCTCCCGCAGTGCTGGCATTGGCTTCCTATGGGTTGGGCGTCTTGCGAACGGTGGCATTTTAACGTGCAATGGCGGAGCCGAACCGGAGAAGTGATTGTGACGGCTCGGACAGACGTCTGCATCTCTCATCGACCCGGTCTCACCTGTGCAACGACGTCCACTCGGCACTAGAGTTGCAATGCGACGGAGCAGGTACCCGAATACACAACGCCTCAAATTAAACAGCTGTTCAACCCCCGATACCCTTCCAGTGCAAAATAATAATAATCCATATACATTCGTGTGAACGTCGGACGCAGAATTGCAATGAAGCACGTGCTCAACCGGCAGCCGTGCCCCCTCCCCCCAAAACAGGAACCCGCGAAAATCCTCCAAAAAGGGAAACACGCAAAAAAAAAAGAAAAAATCAGGCAAAGCCGCCTGGGAAAGGATCAAACTCCGGTACAGGGAATCGAACCCTGGGCTGCTCGGAACCACAACCCCATTTCCTCGAGTAGAGAGGAAGGGAAATTGAGAGCGAGCGATGTTAGCCACTACACCATACCGGATTGTGCTTTGTGCGGGAGGCTTGATGCCCCGTTTTGATGAGATGGGGACGACCTGAAGTGCTTGATATTTCTTTCAGGTGGGGGGGAAGGAAGGAGTGGGAGGGGCGGCGCTCGCCTTCTAGACCACCAGGTGGAACGGGGCCCGGCCTGGCAGGCAGATAGAGACAGACGAACGGGTCTCAGAGAGGGGAGTGCAGGAGGGCCAGAGACGCCAAAAAAGAGGGCCGGCTGGGGCCAAAAAAGTTTTTGCAAGCCGGCACCGTTGGGAAGAGCCGTTGGTGCTTCGTCGGCCAAGCAAAGACGGGTGGAGCGAGGATGGGAAGAAGAGGTTGATAAAATGGACAAAAAAGGCAAAAAGAAACTCCGGTACAGGGAATCGAACCCTGGGCTGCTCGGTGAGAGCGAGCGATGTTAGCCACTACACCATACCGGATGTTGATCCTGTTGGATCCGATTGATGTTTGGTCTCGCGCTATTAGTCTACAAGAAGGCCTGAGAGAACCTCCCCACAAATCTTTCAGCGTTGAAACTTCCCTAGAGAACAAAGGTGTTCACTCAAGTCTCTTGAATTTATTGATCATGCCTGTACAATGGCAACATCATCTTGGTATATGCTACATGCTAAAAAAGATGCCGCCAAGTGAGGGCAGTACCCATTCCAAACGCCACGAGGACCGCCGCGCCGGCTCCCATGCCGGCAAAGGAGGGAGGGGGTCGTGATGCGCCCGCGGCAGATTCGTGCCCGCCGTCGGCCGTCTCGGTGGGCGTCGCGACGACCACTTCCGTCGTGGAGGCCGCGGGCCCGCCGCCAGTGGGGAGACATCCGTCGCCTACTCCCTCCGCGCACCCCTAGGTGGTCTTCTGCGGCGCGTGCAAGAAACCCTTCTTGTCGGCCTCGAGGATGCCGCGGTGCCAGATCTTGGCCATCTTGCCGTACCCGACGTCGCCCGGGTGCGTGTCGTCGGCCATGTCCCCCTTTTGCGGGCCGTCGGCGGCGTGCATGTCGACGAAGACGATGCGCTTCCCCGCGGCGGCCTTGTCGTCGGCAAGTTTCTTGATCTGCTCGTTGACGCGCACGCCGCAGGCCTCGCGCGTGGTGTTGAGGTTGATGAGCAGCGTGGACAGCACGACGGTGGACCCGGGCGACGCGCTCCAGAGGTACTCGAGCATGTCGCCCATGCGCTTGCCGGCGCCGGCGATGTCGGAATTCTGCGCGCAGTCGTTGGTGCCCGCGTTGACGCAGAAGAGGTTGGGCTTGATGCCCGGGACGGACGCCCGCGCCTTGCCCTCGACCTGGTCGATACGGAAGCCCGACCAGCCCTCGTTGTCGTTGTCCTTCATGGTGCCCGACTTGCGCGAGCCCACCATGTTGATCGGGTAGCCGTCCTTGACGAGCAGCTCGCGCAGGTCCTTGCGGTAGCCGTTGCCCGTCGACGAGTGTAGGCCGGCCGTGATGGAGGCGCCCAGGGGCATCAGGCGCAGCGGCACCTTGCCGGCTCGGCTGTCGAGCCTCGCGTCGGCGGCGGGGGGAGCGGCTTGGGCTGTGACATGTTTGTGTTAATCCGAGCGTATTCTGCATTGCCATGGTCTGTCTGAACTCACCATTCGAAATCAACGCAAGGGCAACGACGGCCGCTTGGCTGAGAGACTGAAAGAACGGCGCCATTGTGATGAGTTATAGCGCCGGATCATGACTAGACCGACAACTCTCCTGTAACTGAGAAAGGGGACTTGAACTTTATATCCAAATCAAACTGGTCAGACACGATCTGGCCGAGGCGAGATCTCGGCGCCGCTAGTGATGCTAAAGCAGGGTATCCCGCCCACCCCTGGGACCCGCCCGCCAGGCATGAGGCTCCTGGCGATGATGACATGCCACGAACTGGCCTGTCGAGGGCGCAATTTGCGGGGGTGGCAGCCCTGCTAGCGCTCCGCGGCGCCGTGACGATCGTCACAGCAAAAATAGAAGTAGGATGGCGGGTTTTCTTGGTCAGCGCTCCTCGAATCCTTCGGGCCCAGTTCTGGAGCCGCAGTCGGGTATGGTCGGTGGGCATCGACTCTGATTTTCGGACTCGAGGCAATCTACCCAGTCGAGGCAGAATGTTGCTATTCATGGTCGCTGCTCTCACATCATCGACTCATCCGGGCAGTGTCACATTGCGGCAGTGAGGTCTGAGTAATGGCGGCTTGTGACGGTCGTGTCAAGAGCCTGCTCGAGCATTTTCGCTCTTGTCTGGCACATTGGCGCTGAGTGATGCCATGGTTCTCGGAGGAAGGCGCGTGAAAAAAGACGTGTTTGCCTGCCGCTGCAATGCAGGCAACCCCGGCGAGCTTCGAGATGAGGATGTCCAGAACCTCAGGCTTCCTGTTCCTGCGCCGACAACCTACACAGCCCCAGGAGCTAACATTTTGCAAGGGGTCGCTGATGTCAGCGCCATCCGCGGGTGGCACAGGGGACCCGGCGCGGCTCCAGGTGGGGCCTCAGGCGCCGAGCGGCGCGATACCCGCTGAGGTGAGGTGCAACAATCTCAAAGATTCAAGGTCTTAATTTTGGTGGCCTGCCATCTCGCTTCACACCACCACGACGCCGGCAGCGCATCCTCAGCATCCATCGTCTCAACGCCCGCCGCCCGCCCGCGCCCCAATCCCGTCGGGGCGAGCATGTGCGGCATCCACGCGGCCATCTCCAGGTCTGCACACCGCGTCGCGTCCCCGACCCTAGAGAGGCGTCTTCGAAGTCGAGGCCCTGACCACTGCGGCACCATCCGCACCTTTCTGGACGGCGAGGGCGACGGCCCCGAGGGCAGGGCTCTGTATTTGACCTTCACCTCGACTGTCTTGGCCCTGCGCGGAGATCACGTCGCCAGGCAGCCCCTTGTCGATGAGTCCTCTGGCTCCGTCTTGTGCTGGAATGGCGAGGCCTGGAAGTTCCGCGGCCGGTCGGTCCAGGGCAACGACGGCGAGGCCATCCTGACAGAGCTGGTCGCGGCAAGTCGCCGTCGTATCGAAAATGAGGGCGGCGATGACGTTCTTGATGCGCTGCGCGACATCCAGGGTCCGTTTGCCTTCATCTTCTTTGATAAGCCTGCTCGCCGCATCTATTATGGGCGCGACCGTCTCGGCCGAAGGTCTCTCTTAATCGAGAAGGGTGATGCCTTTTCCCTGTCGAGCGTTGCAGAGTCTTCCAAACAAGGCTGGGCCGAGGTTGAGGCAGACGGGTGCTATACGCTGGACTTGAATGCTTCGTCCGATGCTGAGATGACCCCCCACAGACATGACTGGGTCGCGGACGATCAACTCGTGAGTTCTGGTTGGGAGCACATCTTTCATGCTGCTAACATGCTGCTCAGGTCTCGGGTCTTGGCCTGTTCAATGTCTCCATAGCAAGTGCCCGAAACAGGTTGACTCGAATTGCACCCTCCGTAGGCTGCTTGCGAACCCACCTCACTGATTCTCTGAGGTACCGCGTCCTCCAGGTGCCAGAGCCACCCAACGCGTCATCGACGGATGCCAGGATTGCCATCCTATTTTCCGGCGGACTCGACTGTACCGTTCTGGCACGCCTCACGAGTGACCTGCTGGACCCTGACCAGGCCATAGACCTCATCAATGTGGCCTTTGAGAATCCCAGAATAGCAGCCCAGCACAAGACCATCTCCGAGCAAGGCCTGTACGAACTCTGCCCTGACAGGATTACAGGGCGCAAGTCCTTTGCCGAGCTTGTAGCCGTCTGCCCGACGCGAAGGTGGCGACTCGTCTGTGTAAGCTGACAATGCCCATGATTGACGCGGGCCCATGAACTGACCAAATGCCAAGGTAAACGTCCCCTATTCCTTGACATCATCACACAGGTCCGAAGTCGTCGACCTGATATACCCACACAACACCGAGATGGACTTGTCCATCGCCTATGCCCTCTACTTTGCGTCACGCGGCCACGGCTTCAGCCAGGACCGCCCGGGATCAGAGCCGTGCCCGTACGTGACCACTGCTCGTGTACTGCTCTCGGGACTCGGAGCCGACGAACTATTCGGAGGGTATATCCGCCACGCCACTGCCTTTTCCAGGCGTGGGTATGAAGGCCTCAACGACGAGCTGAAACTGGACGTTGGCCGGCTCGGAAAGAGAAATCTCGGACGAGACGACCGGGTCATGGCGCACTGGGAGCGAGAGGTGAGGTTCCCGTATCTCGACGAGGGATTTGTCAAGTGGGCAATCGAAACCCCCGTGTGGGAAAAATGCGACTTTGAAAGTCAGGGTGCGGATGAGGACGTCGAGCCGGGCAAACGGGTCCTGCGCTTGCTTGCTCAGGAGCTCGGCATGCCTTCCGTCGCCACCGAGAAGAAGCGGGCGGTGAGTCGCAAATCCCTGTGCCCGGAATGCTGGCTGAACCGTGCTAACGCGCCATTGAAGATACAATTCGGGGCCAGGACGGCGAAGATGGAGAGCGGCAAGGTCAAGGGCACCACCCTAATCGCATGATCGGCAGGGGGACCCAGCGATTCCGCTTGCAGAATCTAGGCTAGACGAAACGCCCGGCAGTGATGATAGCACAGATACTTCCGAGCTGCCATACAGAAAGACGACCGCGGGACGGATGCATTGTGCGTTCGCCGCTGCGGCGGCCAACCCTCTGCTTCCGACTCTGACGCTCGCCAGCAGCAATGACGTCGTAAAGGCAAATCTGAGCCGTGAGGCGGATGCGATGTGACTTTGCCACGCGCACACGACCTTGGAATCTCGAACAGGTCTCACACGCACCCAGTTCCATGGAGCCGTAATGCAGAATTTTCTCTCCCCTGAAGAACAACGGGGGAGAGAACGCTGATGACTGTGGCTTGCATGGCTCGTGTGACGCACAGCGCAACACCGGCCGTGGGCTGTTCTGGAGAACTATTCCCCGTCCAGCCACTGCCGCCCGATCTCATTTCGACGACTGTCCCTGATCTGACATCTGGTTTGCTCGCTGGAGTTGCTTTTTTCAGCTTCAGCTTCAGATTTCACCGTTGTACAGGCACCGTCGCCGCGCCGCCGTTGGCAATTTAACACACGAACGCTCGGATCCAGCCGGGTCTGACCGCGCCCCTCCCCTGCCGACCGGGTAGGGTGCCCTCGTGAGGCACGTGTGCGATCGTACAGCGGCGCCATTCCGATTTCGTTTCTTTCTTTTTCTTTCCTTCTCTCTTTTCACCATAGCGTTCGTCCCAAGAGTAAATGACAGGTGCCATGAAGTGACCGACGGGATCCAGTTGCCGTCGGTGCGGCTTGCTCGCTGCCCGATTCGACCGATATCATGTGGCTGCAGCGCCTCGAGAAGTTGTCTCTGATGAGAACGTCCTGGTCGCTTCGCGGCTACCTCATCTCATTCGCAGGAGGACCGAGTTACAGGTCAATCTTCCGGTACGCGAGCAATGCCACATAGAGCGCCGAGCTTGTTGGCTTGACTGTCGCCATGCGGTACAGCCCGAAGGGCTCAATCGCGGGACATTCCGCTAGATACTCTTGCTTGCATCCGTCAGGTGCAGGGGTATGGGCCCTGTCTCGGCGGTGTGTCCCTTTACCAGGCAGCACCACTGTCGCGGGCACCAGACCAGGAACGGCCCCGGACAGACGGGCTCGAGCGTCGTCGACGAGCTCCAAGCTGCAGCTATCATTGTGCAAGTCAGTTCTAGACGCAGCTCTCTCGTGATTAGACTTTTCTGCGGTGCTGCCATGTTCGGAGTCGCGCGAGCTGCCTCTGCTTCCACTCTGCTCTTGGCAGGTCGCACAAGGGGTTTTCTGGGAACCTCGCTGTCATTTCGAATATGAATATTGGGACGCCGCTGCCACCAAGTCGCAAATGGGGAGTATGGGAGATGAGGTACAAGTGCGGTGTCACATGTCGACTATCTCTCCTATGTTGCCGCCGGTAAGGGGTTGAGGCTTGCCTCGGGCTGAAAGGGCTGTTTCTCGGGCACTGCAGCCCAGTAGTTGTGCCACTAAACTGGGAACGCACAAAGAACGTTACTTGTTTTCAGCGTATCCTCGCTGGTGTTCTGATACTCCTTCATGAAGGGCCCCTTGCAAGGTCACCGTGGCCCCCTGTCGTGGAGTTCATGCATGCAGTGCCACACTCGAGTAGGGGACGGACCAGTCTGTACCCCGTAGTTCCGAACATTTCGTCTTTTGTCTGCCGATGGAAATCAGGGTCGGTGTTCCCGGTACTCGTACGTACCAGGTTTGTCGGGTAGAGTTCAGGAGAACATACCCAGTCAGCCCCGCACTTCTAAGACATATTGAAAGGCGAGGAACTGTGCGCTCACGACCGCAGGACTGCGGTAATTGGTATTCCGTAAACCTTCCGCTATTTTTACACAACGGCTTGGCGGTACTCCCTGACGCACCCTGCGGCTTTGATGAGGAACGGCTGGCAGGCTGCGAATTGCACGCTTTGGAGCTCGCCTTTTGCTATTTACTGCACTAGGCGACCAGCCGTCCAAAGGAGTATTGTCGACATGGCGGGTCGCTTATCGTTTGGTGCGCAGTTAGCGTTTGATGCTCACGGCTAGCCTAGGAAACAGTCAAACGGTCACCGTTGGCATGTGGTCCCGGTGGGTGGTGACGGTGCACTTGTTCCTGGTGGCAGGCATGGATGGATGCAGGCAGGGTCCGTGTGACAAGCTAGTCGATGTAACCTGGGGCCGGCCACCTCAGTTGTTCGTCAGCTAGGGGTGACGATCGTGAAGGATGTGAACGCAGGAGGGCAAATTTCCGCGTCGTTGCAATGGTGACAGTGTTGATCGGGCTTTCGTATGCTTTCCTTGCTCCGCAGAGATAGGAAACAGTACGTCAAGCGCCAACGTTGGCCGGGAACACCATCCCTGGAGGAGCACCGGTTGATGGTGGGCCCTCATGAATTGAAGAGACGCAATCGGGTGCCTGTGAAGAACAGGAATCGTGCTTCAGCCGCGGCGAGATGCGTACTGTTGGTGATGGAGACGAGTTGTGGCGTCGAGGCGCGGTGGTTGCGGTGCGCTCAAGGGGCGTCGTTATTCTTGTGCCACCGGCCTGGGGATACCGTATGGACGACCCGCGACGGTGGACGCCACAGCATGAGCCAACGAGCTGTCGGTGCCGCTGGAGCCGTTGGTCCGGGACAAAGGACCCATAATCCGCACAAACTGCCGTGCAAGGGTGGCGCACTGACGAGGAACAAGGGGGGCACCGAAGACCCGAAAGAGCTGCATGTGAGAGACGGCGGAAAGTGGTGGCGATGAATTTCGTACCAGGTAATTTGAGGGGAGTTCAGATGAATCGCAAGCGTCTGTGCGATGTCGCTGTCACCGGGGCCGGGTGCTGGTAGCGCGATGGGAGTACGGTGTCACGGACCTTGGTCGGTACCTGTGGTAGCCCAGGTGGCCGGTCGTCAAACCGAACGAAAGAGGTCCTCTGCTCGTGCTTGTGATGAGCACAATGGCAAGCATGTCAGTCGTCAAACTTGGAGGTTGAGTGTCTCTCTGCTTGAGGGGCACTCACACGGGCTTCGGGATCGAATAGTCCGGACGGGCACAGGCACAGGCACAGGCACAGAAAGGTGCACAGCCGGATCATGATGGCTCTTTCCCATCTAGGCGGCCTCGTCGGTCGGTCGGGTCGCAATGGCCAATCGGGGCGGGGCGGTAAGGGCCCGTTCGCCGGCGCTCCTTCCCCATCTTTGTGAGTCCTGACCTCGGGCTGGACGAATCTGGCGATGGCAGGCAGGCCACATCCACTGCTCTTGCCGTCTGAGTGAGTCCAGTGGCCGGTGCCCACTGCTCACTCCTCAAGTGGCAGCGGCCTCCGCTTCCGGTCTCCAGCCTCACGATGCATGCACCCTGTCGGGTCTCCACCTCGTCAGTCTTGACTCTGTCGCCTTGGAGCTTCGCTGGCCGCTGGCTCTGCAGCCAAGGCTCACCTGCTCGTCCGCTGGCATCCTGGCCCCGGCAGATCGCCGTCTTCTCTCGATGGACCGGCCAGGAACCCACTCGCACCGGCTCCCCTCGTCTCCACGTACGAGTTCCGTGCCCCGAGCACCAGGAACTCGAATCCAATCTGCTGCGGCCCAGCTTCTCTCCTGAGCCCTGGCCCATTCGTCTGGACTCCTCTTGGACCACGATGGCGACGCGGCTGTGCCCCGAGCTCGCCCTCCATCCCCCACCCCCGTCCACTCGCCGCGGCCCAGCCCTTCGGGCCCGACAGGGAGACCACTCACGATGGCCTCAGGGGTGCGTCGTGAGCTCCTGCACTCGTAGATTACCGGTCCAGCCTCCAGCCGGACCTGGTGCGCATGGGCCGACTGCAGCGCCGTCGGCCGCCACCCCGGACCGAGCAGACCAGCATCGCCGTCTTGGTGAGCGGGCAGCACCATGACCGGTTGCCTCTATATAAGATGAGATCCGGTCTGCTCTCTTTGTCGATCCCCTCTCATCCATCAGCTTCTCTGCAACCTCGCCGCTTGTTTTGGCAACAGTCACTCGTTTGCTTCCAAAGCACCAGTCGCTCTTTAGCCCACCACTTTCGTTTCTGCTTTTCCTTGTTCAGGTATATCACCCACCTTACTCAGTACTACACCGTACTCGAACATCAAAATGCGCTTCACTGCCGCCTTTGCCACCCTCTTGGCCAGCACGGCCGCCGCCAACGCCATCGCTCCCCGCACGGTCGTTGCCGATGTCGACGCTGAGGTTGATATCGACGTCGACATCGACGTTGACGTCGAGGCCAAGATTGACGCCCTCATCAACGTCGATGCCGATGTCGATGTCAAGGTCAAGGCTGCTCTCGATGCCGCGGTCGACTTCAAGTGCCCTGGCGACATGACCTACTGCCCCTGGGCCAAGTCTTGCTCGTGCAAGCCCGGTCTGCACCTCGACATCAACACCAAGAAGTGCACTGGCAAGGCCATTGTCGGCGCCTGGCTCGAGCCCAAGATCGACGTCTTTGCCTCCAAGGGCGTCAAGCTCGCCACCTTCTGCGCCATCTCTCCTTACAAGATTGTCAAGTACGACGCCAGCCACGAGTACTGCCAGGCCGGTCCCAACACCATTGCCTTCGTTGCCGCTGCCAGCATCCTCCTCGAGATTGAGGCCTACGCTCACGCCGCCATCGATGTCACCGCCAACATCTCCGCCGACCTCAAGGCCACCTGCGCTGGTCTGGCCAGTCTGTATGTCGCCACCGCCGTCGAGGCCGTTGCTCTCTTCAACACCGACGTCTTCGCCCTCGCTGCTGTCAAGGCCGATGTCGACGCCAAGCTCATTGTCGGCCTGTTCGCCAAGGTCAAGGGCCTGCTCTGCGGTCTGGGTCTGGGCAAGTGCAAGGTCGACTGCGTCTCCTACTGCACCAAGGGCTGCAAGAACTTCATCGATGTCGGCCTCGACGTCGATGTCCACATCGGTGCTCAGCTTGAGGCTCTTGTCGGCCTGTGCATCCTTCCCAACGTCCTGCTCATTGTCGGCAAGGCCCACGCCATCATCACCGTCGCTGTCGACGGGCTGCTGTGCCTGGTCGGCGGGCTCATCAAGCTCATCGTCTCCACCTACGACTGCCACTGCCACTAAGCTACGGCTGGAGCTCATCATTCAGAGAGGTCAGCCGCGGGGCAGGCGTCATCGCCCTCGCCGTGTGCAGCGTAATGTCTTTGTCTATTGTTAACGGTATGACGGGCTGCTCGCCGACCGCGTGGACGGAGCGGACATTTAGAAGGACAGGCCAGCGATTGCTTTCCGAAGACGTCGATGACAACGAGAGTCGGGGATACCATGCCAGCCATGCCGCCCATGATGTACATAGTTGCTCTTCTTTGTGCATTTGGTCGCGCGTTTCCAAGTCGCTCTGCGCAGTTCAGTGGTCGCGTTGGAGTTGAATCCCACGCATCTACGAGAATGTAAATTGAATCTGATCAATTATTGCGGCACGCAATTTTCCTCGGCAAAGTCTTGCCTCGTGAGCGTAACAGATGTGGTGTGCCATAACTCTAGTAGCGGCCAAAGCTCAGGGCGCTTGCGCGGCCTTTCTAAGCGCAGGACGTCCCAAATTTAATGATATTGTACAATCAATGGCCCCCCCTGCTCTAGCTCCCCCAAAACAGTTCCCTGCAACAATGATGGACGGCGGGTGCGTCTGCCGCAGCATGATGGGGTAGTAAGTAGTAATTAAACACGGCCCGCGTGTCACGCACAAGCCGGCACCACCATCTGCTTGCCCTCCTTGTCCACCATGAAGTGACTGAACGCCTCCTCGTCGTTCTCGTCCTCCAGGAAGCGCCGGTCCTCGTTCTCGGGCGGCAGCTTCGCGTACAGACCCTCGCCGGCCTTGGGCCACGTCGGCGGCAGGGCGTCTTCCTCTTCCTCCTCCTCCTCTTCCTCCTCCACGTCTTCTCCCGCCTCGTCGCCTTCAGCTCTCGCCGGACGCGCCTCACCGGCCGTTCCCGGCTCCTTCTTTGGCCGGATGACGGTGATGCGCTTGAGCACCTTCCTGCTGCCCTTGACTTTGCGGGTGCCTGCCTTGGGGTGCAGTAGCGTGTGGCCGTGGCGCGCCCGGGGTTTGGCTCCAGCTGTGATGCGGGGCCTGGGAGGGGCGGCTTCGGCGGCCGCAGCGGCGGCAGCAGCAGCCCCCGGGAGGTTCTCCCGCCACTCCGGGTCGTCAAAGATGGGGAGGTCGGGGTGCTTCTTGGACACGGACACGAGTATGTCAATGAGGAGCTGGGGCTTGAGCTGGTCGCAGAGTGACAGAATGTTGAGCAGCTCTGTCCTTTTCTTACCGAAGAAGTACTCGGTGCGCTGCAGGTGTTCATGTCAGCCACCTGCTCGGTCGCATTGGAATGGCATGTCTCCTTACCTCTACGTCGGATGCCTGTCTGGCCAGGAAGCCGACGAGCTCTGGCTTGGCTGGGATCACCCCGGGAGGCAGATTCGCCAGCCGCCTGCGGCGAATCTTTTCGACGATGAACTGTCGATCTTGAGCCTCGCTGCTTGCGCCTCCCGACTGCTCCCCGCTCTTAATTAGGCACTCTTGGCAGAAGGTCCCTGGCTTGGAAGCCACGCCTTCCGAAGATGACGTCCAGGAGAGGCATTGCTGATGAAATGGCTTGAGACAGCCGTGGCAGACGACGAGTGTGTTTTGCGGTACTGAGGTTTGAATGCCGCACTTGGAACAGCCCTGGCTACTCGCTAGTGCGTCGGATGCACGGGCGGGTGCAGGCGCAGGGCGCACTGGCACCTTGAATGGGATTGTGCTTTGGGAGAAGTCGATGTCAGCCTCCTCTGCTGCACGCTTCCTCTTAAGGCCCGGCGAATAGGAGTGTATGTATCGCCTGGCGATCTCTGAAACATCCGACATGGACCGTTCCTGTAGACTGGGCTGCTGGGTGTTGGGCATAGGTAATGTTGAGGCTGTGAAGTTGCTGGCGCCTGGGACTGCGGAGCTACTTCCATCCTTCTCGCTGTTCGAATTTGAGAGAGTTTCATTTTGCAAAGCTGGTTTCGATGCGCCTGCGCTACCAGTCCGCGCTCTGCTCAGGATCCAGGAATGAGCTGCAGAAAACTGCGGCGAATAAGTCGCCTTCGAGGGCGACGGCGCAAGGGTCGCTACTTTCTCATCTGAGGGCCTATCGACGCCGTTTCCATTTGCGCCGGGAGAAGCCGGTACTCCTGAGAGCATATCTGAGTTTGAGCCGCTTGGTTCCATTGCGGACTGCTGGGGTGTAAAGCTGCCGATATGTACTTGGCCAATTGCCGGATAGGGGCTTCTGCGACGACGCTCAGTCTAAGCCCTTGATATGAGCAGCATGACACGCATGGAGGTTCATGACCGCAATCGCCGACTCGTGGGCTATGTTGACGCTGACATTAGATGAATTGATGGTGAGTGAATGAAGTCGAGGAAGCGTGGATGCGGCGTCGTCGAACCACTTCACGTGGCCGTCACGTGACCACCCAACTACGTATTTCCCCAGGCTGTCCTGTCCTGGCATCCCCCCGAGCAGCGGGGCTTTTAAGTCACGTACAGTTGTTTATGTCTTTTGTTATCTATTCAAAACCCGTTCTATATGTCTAGCTGATGACACCCTGTGCCTTCAGCGCCGCAATGTCCGACTCGGCCATGCCCAGGTGCTCGCCCAAGACCTCGTTGGTGTGCTGCCCAAGCATGGGGGGCACGGTGCGGATGGAGGGCTGGCTTTCGGAGAACTTGACGGGCGTGTTGACCATCTTGATGGGCCCGCAGGCCTCGTGCTCCATCTCGACGACCATGTTGCGTGCCAGGGTGTGCGAGTGGTTGAGGGTGTCCTGGACGTCGTTGACGGCGGCGTACGGCATGCCGCTGCCCTCAAATACCTCGAGCCACTCCTGGGTCGTCTTGGTCTGGGAGATGGCCTCTATCTCGGCCTCAAGCTCAACGCGGTTGGCGACCCGGTCTGCGTTGGTCTTGAACTTGGCATCGGCCTTCCACTCGGGCTTGTGGAAGCCATCGCAGAGAATGCCAAAGAGGCGATCGTTGCCGCCGCCAAATAGAATATCGCCGTCCTTGGTCTTGAAGGACCGGTATGGGACGATGGATGCTTGAGAAATGGTCAGCAGGGCGAAACGCTGGGGTGCGAAATATGTCCATGACCCGGTCACTCACGATGCGCGGTTCCCCATCTGCCCGAGTCGCGCTTGCCGCTGATGAGACAACTGCTGGCAATGTTGGCCAGGGTGGCGGTCTGACAGTCACTCAGGGCGACGTCGATGTGCTGTCCTCTGCCCGTCTTGGCACGCCCAAGCAGAGCGGCCATGATGCTGTTGCTCGTGTAGAGACCCGTGGTGAGGTCCGTAACGGCGACGCCAACTTTGACGGGAGGGCCGTCACGGGAGCCGGTGATGTGCATCAGGCCGAACTCGGCCTCGACCATGACGTCGTAGCCAGCGCGGTTAGAGTAGGGCCCGGTCTGGCCATAGCCGGTGATGGACGCGTAAATGAGCGCCGGGTTGATTTTGCGGAGCGTCTCATAGTCCATTGAGTACTTCTTCAGAGTACCCGGGAGGTAGTTCTCGACAAGGATGTCGCATTTCGCGACAAGCTTGTGGAGGATCTCAACGCCTTCCTTGTGCTGGAACGAGAGGCCGAGAGACTTTTTGTTGCGGTTGGCCTGCGCGAGACAAGTGAGCATTGCATCCAATGAAGACGGCAAGCCTTGCATAGGGCAATCCTTACTCCTAGGAAATAAGCAGCCTCGCCGGGACCCTTCGCCCCGGACTCAGGCTTGTAAGTGGCATACGGAGGACCCCATGCGCGCGTGTCGTCTCCACGGACAGGGTGCTCAATCTTGATAACCTCGGCGCTGTACGACGGGGAACCAGTCAGAACTTTGTCGGGGTCACACAAGCAATAAGACAAAACAAGTCAGCCGTACCCCAAGTCGCCCAGGATCTGGGTGCAGTATGGCTTTGTGCGAGCGTCAGCATAAGCAGGTGCATCTGTGTGGCGGCGCCGAAAAGGGCGGGTGGGTGACGCGACTTACACCGGCGAGAACGCGGGTCATGTCCAACACCCGGTAGCCTTCGAGGGGCAGCGAGCCCTGCGCCGATGCCGATGCCGATGCCGAGTAGAACCGATCCCGCACGCGCTGCCGGACCGGCGAGCTGCCTACCCGCGGCGCCGTCGCCGAGGCCAGCGGCCGCATCCATCTCGCAACCACCGCAGACATGCCGGAAGTGAATCTGCGGCCGGCCGTCGAAGTTGACGTATGTTGGAGAAAAGGGAAGGAGAGAGGAAGCGGTCTCGGAGTCGGGAGTGTGAGATGCGGGTTGGCATGCAACGGATGAATGAACCGTCGAGGTGGGAGGCGGGGGTGGAGCTCCACTGGCCCCCGTCGGCATCCGAAAAGCGCTGGGCTCCTCCGCGAACCGCCCCCGGCCGCTAACAGACGAACTGGAGTCTTGACGGGCCAGCGCCAATGGGGAGCTGGAGCTCTCGCCGCAACCCCCCGAAACAGCAATCCAGGAGAGTCCCCAGGGGCTCCAGGGTCAAGAGTGGGCGCTGTGGCTGGCTCCCCGCGGGGGCCGCTCTGCGCTAGAGAACCTTGGAATGGAAACGCGGGACAAGTGACCACTGACAACCGCCGCCGCCAATCAGTCGCGTGGTCGTAGCCGAGCTGGTGCGAACCTGGAAAGCTCGAAGCTGCCTGCGCCTTCCGAGCCACGGCTGTTGCTGTTCCTTCCCGTCAAGTGTCCAAGCCCAAGCAAGGAAGCGGGGTGGGTTGGACGCGGCGCCGGGCTCTGGAACTTCACACTTGCCTACTTCGTGGACTCAACCCCAAACAAAGGGCATGCATGGATGGCCTGCCTCGCTGCGCAGCCCGAGCTCCCATCGCATCGCGTCATTCGTCATTCGTTGCCCTCCGCCATCACGGCATCCAGAGTCCCAGACGTCCAAGTTCCCACCAGGTGTAACCCCGCGGCGCTTTCCCGATGCGGCCTCAACCGCCGCCGACCTGCTGTTTTCCACTCCAGGATCCAGGTCGCCCACAGCATCATGATACAGACAGTTCCTGGTCACGATCGCAGTGCATGCATGAGTCCCGCATTCTGCAAGCAATGCCCGGTGCAGAGCGCCCACCTCGTCCAACAAGAACGGCACGCGGCAGTGCCCGCGGCCCGCTTGGCCCCCTTGTCTCGGGCAGACGAGCGAGCGGATGCGTTCTTGGGGGCCACGGGGGGGAGGAGGGCTGCGCCGCCCGGGCGATCCAGGACAGGCGACCGGGGCGCGTTGGCCATTGGCTGCGTCTCTTTAACCGCTGCACACATACGAAGTACGAAGCGTCGTCGAGATGGGCGACGCTCTCTCCCAGTTTGACTGCCTCGAAGGCCGAAGACACCCTCCGGCTCTCAACCCCGCCGCTGCAATGCAACCTTGGGTGAGTATATTTGGGTTCGCGGGCGGAGTCGAGCCGGGAGGCCCTCCCTCCCGGTCGACCTCTGAACGGCAGGGCTGATTGCAGAACAAAGGCCATGTATGTGCCTTGTTTGTCTGTGCCACTTCGTGCGGACGCTTCTGGCAACCACCGCGCGTGGGCGGTCCATGACGCCGGGGCCGGACGCTGCTCCCTGTTGCAGGATGCTTTGCAGTAGCAGCACTCTCCCTTCGTACATTGCCACAGTGCGTGGTGTTGATGTAACATGCGTGAGCCAGGGCCTTTGTCTGTTAGCTGTGAGTGTTGCAACCTATCCGTACATAAAGATGGCAGCCTCCGGCGTTGCAAGCCGACTGGTGGCCATTCATTCAGTGGTCAGTGTATAGCTATCAAAGCAACCTTTCTTTCCCTTCCTCGTGACACCACGCTCGCTTTTCGCGACACAAACACGATGGCCCCTTTGAATACAGAGACCGAAGCCGCCCCCGGGGATGCCCCTTCCTCGACCCCCATCGGCAGCAGACCCTGGGTCATCCTCGCCATCGTGTTCGGAGCCGTCTGCGTCGTCGGTTGCGGAGCCGCGTTGGTCCACCGCTGGTACAAGAAGTCGAGGCCATACCGGGAAGTCGCCGGCGACCACGACACGCAGCCGGTCATGGCGACGAGGACGACTACTCCCAGTCCCACGGCGACGTGGCCCAAGCTGTCGCCGTCGCTGAGCGTCCGCAGCATCCACAGCGTCGTCGACGAGAGGCAGCTGGAGATGCAGAGGGCGCAGATCATTCGCAAGTCGCTCGCCAGCCGCGCCTCGTCGCGGGACATGTCGATGTCGCAACCGTCGCGAGAGACTCTACGGCCTGCTCGAGATGGGCGCGAGTCGCCTGAGCTTCATCATCATCATCATCATCAGCAGCAGCAGCAGCGACAACAGGCACAACACGGCAAGCAGCAATCACAAGAGAGGGACTCGAGGGATTGCGAACAAGGCATCGACACCGAAGACGACACGCCGGTGGAGAGCCCCGTCGGGATGGTGCGGGACTGGAAGCGATGGGAGGCAGGCGTCCAACAGGATAGCTCGCGATCCCTTGCATACCACCCCAGCATGGAAGAACTCCCCGCCAACGATGCAGGCGCTGCTGCGGTACGCTCGCGGGGAACCTCGCCGCCAGCTCAACGCCCTCTTACATATCCAGCGATAACCGATGTGTCGTTGGCGTCGCCATTTGGGGGCCGGCAGCATCCCAAGTACTCACCGCTGTCACCAGTCGGAGAGGCGGACAATGAGTATACGCATTTGTAAAAGATCAGGCATGATAGAAAGGATGGCGCGGGCATTTTAAGGAGTTTGACTTTTTTGACTTTTGGAACGGCGCACTCGGAGAGGCCTCTGCGGAGTTTTTGTACACATACCTATGTAGCTTTTTCCACGCAGCAGAACAAAGGAGAATCAGCCTTCCCTGCTCAGGCGCCAATCTCGTTGGTAACGTCCACAAACGCCCGCCACTGCTTCCAAGCCTCGCCGCTCTTGATGGCCCAGCGGGCTCTCCGCACACCTTCCTTCCAGCGCTGTCCCGCCGGACCACGCTCCGTGACGACCTTGCCGTCGTCGCCGTGCCCCATGTCGCTGGTGTCCGCCTCGCAGATGCCAGACACGACCAGGAGTGCGGCAGTGTTGATGAGGACAAAGTCGATCAGGGGGTCGTCCTCGGGCATCTCGCCGTGCAGGATGCGGCGCAAGATCTCGGCGTTCTCAGCCGGCTCCTTGCCCGGCGACACCTCGCTCAGCGGGTGCGGCTGGAGCCCGAAGTCACTCGGCGAGACCTTGAAGTGCTCGACGTAGACCTCGCCGCCGGGCGTCTTTTCCTTCAGCATCCAGCACAGCGTCGGGCCGGCGCAGCTGAGCTCGTCGAGCTCCTCCTCTCCGCAGACGATCAAGGCCTTGCGGCAGCCGGCCGTCCTCAGCGCCTCGGCAAAGGCAGGGCCGAGGTCTCTGCGGCCGACGCCAATGACGCGCGCCTCGAGCACGTCGTCGACGGGGTTCGCCAGCGGACCCAGGTTGTTGAAGATGGTCCTCCAGGGCAGCTGCTTGCGGACGGGCGCCACGTAGCGCATGCCGGTGTGGAAGACGGGGGCGAAGAGGAAGCTGTAGTTGGTGGCCGAGTAGACCTTGACCAGCGTGTCCGGCTTGACGGCGCTGATGATGGGCGCCCGCGGCTGCATGCAGTTGACCATGTCGGCACTGCCCGACTTGGATGTGCTGGCCTTGTTGCCGTGCTTGGAGACCAAGAGCAGCGCCGACGCAAGGATGGATGACGTCGTGCTGATGTTGAAGGTGTTGTGGGCGTCTCCGCCGGTGCCTACGATATCACACTGAGATGCGAGTCAGATATAGCTTCATCAAGCGCGTCCGGGTTCAGAGGAACGCATACCAGGCCACCTCTGTAATTGCCCTCTTTCCTCCCGCGCCGCTCCAGGACTTGCCTCAGCTCGTCCGTCGGTATGGGAGCCGCGGCGTGCATCATGACGTGGGCGCACTTGGCCAGGACGTCCGCCCGAAAGTCCATCTTGGTGAAGTGCAGCGCCATGAGCAGCGAGGCCGTCTGGGCCTCGGTGACTTGGTTGGTGAAGAAGTGAGAGATGGCCTCGGCAATCTCGTCGGGCGTGACCTCGACGTTCACGGGCCAGAGCTTCGTCAACAATGGCTTGATGTCGACGGGCGGCAGGTCGGCCTGACCCGACCCAATGGGTTGAGACGCCATTGCTGCTGGATAGATGTGATGAGCGGTACCGTCTCTGAGTGACGGGCGAACAGAAGAAGCCGTTGAATGTCTGCAGCTGGCAGACGTGATGCGTCGAGAGGGGCGTCCGGTACCTGGCTTTGGGTTCCAATTGACCTGACGAGGTTGTCGTCAATCGATCCGGTCTCTCTATTGTGACTCAAGCCTCAACCCAGCTGCCAACGGGAAACATGGCTGCTTCGACAGACACCCACACGGCAGCTGGTCGTCGAACAGTAATTGGCCGAGATCGGCCACACGTGGAGCCATTCGCTGGAGGTGCATGGAGCGCAGGCTGGCGGCAGTCTGTGACTCTGACTTTGTGCCGCTCCGTTCAAGCCACGCATGGACGGGCAGTCCAAAGAGCCGGCCATCGGATTAGCAATCTTCCGGAGCCGAACCGCATGGATCCTGCTGGACGCCACACCTGGCGGCATTACTCAGCCACAGAGCCCAGTGCGCTCTCGTGCCAGGCCTGGCCAGGCAGTCAGCCGTGGCCGGCCCGTGCACAAAGGCGCCTCCGCCTCCCTCCACTTCCGCCACCAAACCTCTCCCCTTCAACCTCATTCCGCCTCCCTTCCATCGTCACCCTCGTCACTCTCTTGCCGCCAGAAGTCGGTCTGCGATCGCGTTCATCTCGATACCATCCCCCAGCGCTGTTTGATAACTGCACTGCGCGCCCGAGCGACCGCGACGACCACTTCGAGCCGACTCTTCGTTGCTCTGGGGTTTCTCCGCATTCCCCAGACGCCTTCACTGGTACAGAACCGTCGGCCGGCAGCAGTTTGACCTCCTCATCACCCGTCATCGTCATTCGCGCGCCGCCTCGTCTTCTCTGACTCTGACCCTTGAGAGGAGGCTCGACAAGCTGCACAAGCGCACGCGGCGCCCAGCGATCTCCAGCTTGCGATTAGGATAGTAGCCAAGAAAGAAAGAAGAAAGAGAGAAGAGAAAAAAAAAAAACAGAAGCCAGAGAGGGAGACTGCACTCGTTCTTGCTGCCCCGGGTTTCGCGCAAGCATTTAGCCCACGGGCGATTCTCCTTTGTCCGCGCGCGGATTTCGAGCCAAGTCTTTCGTTTTCCGCATACCGTTGAAGCCGTCGCCGCCCGGGTGACAGACCGCTGCCGGCAAAAGCCTGCCGAACTTCAAAGCCGTCAAAGTGCATTCGCCACTCCTCGTCCAGCTCCACAACGATCGTCTCCTCCTACACGGTACCGCAGGTGACTCAACCTCGGCTTCGAGATCTGCAGTCGTCAAGAAGACGCAGCAGCTTCGGCGTCGCCGTAAGGAGGTCAAGCGAGCGCGAAAAGTGTTCAACGAGGTCAGCAACATCTACACTGCGAAGCCGTACGAGCCCAAGATGCTCCCACCGGGTGGAGACGGGAATGCAGGGGCATTCCAAGAGGATCTGAACAATATCCTCTGCTGCCCCGACTGTAAAGAGATTCCGCCGAATCTCATCGAAGAGTTTTCGAGCGGTGACATGGTGTGTCAGAGCTGCGGCGTTGTCGTCGGCACCCGCATCATCGACACCCGATCTGAATGGCGTACCTTTGCCAACGATGACCACGGCGGTGATGACCCGAGCCGAGTCGGTGGACCGCAGGACGAGTTCATCGAGGGAGAACAGCTGGCCACCACCGTCGCCTTCTCCGAGTCCAAGGCTCACAAGGCGCTGTCGCGGACCCAGAACAATGCCAATCAGGACAAGGCACAGAAGGGACTCATGCAGGCGTACAAGGAGATCGTCTCGCTCTGCGAGGCCATTAACATGGGCCAAAACGTGTCCAACGCGGCCAAGCACATCTTCAAGCTGGTGGACAAGTACAAGTTCATGAAGGGCAAGCCGCAGGAGGCCGTCATCGCCGGCTGCATCTTCATCGCGTGCCGCCAGAACAACGTGCCGCGGACTTTCCGAGAAATCTTCAACTTGACTAGCGTCAGCAAGAAGGAGGTCGGAAGGGTCTTCAAGCAGCTGCAAAAGTTCCTCCAGAAGCTGCAGGACACCGAGGGAGAGGGCGCGACGGGCCTCAACACCGTCACCAACTACGAGAACACGTCGGTTGGTGCCGAGGACCTCTGCGGCCGCTACGTGTCGCAGCTCGGCTTCAAGAACCAGCAGAAGATCTCCAAGATCTCGCGCGCCCTGGCCGAAAAGGCCAACGACATCTCTGCCCTGGCCGGCCGATCGCCGCTCTCCGTCGCGGCCGCGTGCATCTACATGGCCTGCCACCTTGTGGGGGAGCCGCGGTCGTCGACGCCCATTGCCAAGCAGGCCGGCGTCAGCGACGGCACGGTCAAGACGGCTTACAAGCATTTGTTCGCCGCGCGCGACCAGCTGATCGAGAAGGAGTGGCTCGACGAAGGCATGAGCATGGACAATATCCCACAGGTGCAGGCTTGATCTGGAGGCCTGATGCACCACCCGCAGATCGCATGCCTGTCGCGGCGGCTCCGGGCGACGTCGTCCGCAAGGCATACCGGGGGTTACGGTTGGTTCTTATTGATGCCAGAGAGGACCATTTTTGTGGCGTTCACGGTGGGGGCGCAGGTTGACTTGACTTCAGATCACTTGTCAAGTGCTGGTTTCCTGTCCATTTTTGCTTGTTTCGGTGAGCATCATCGCGTGAGGGAGCAAGACCGATGCCTCTGGCACCCCAAAAGATTGTTCACGGTACAAAGTACAAAGCAAGGTAGCAAGGGTTGCCGCCCAATAGACAGAACAGATTGCATGCCCATCTACGCACGATCTCGCTTGCTGCCACGGCTCGTGTCGCATGTGTGTGTGTGTGTGTGCATGTGCTCTGGCTCTCTCGGTCTGCGTTGCTGCCCCCGGCCACCCCCTGACGAGGCATCGTGTCTCCACTCAAGTCCGGGAGCGAGTCCCCGCGTGCAGGAAAGAAACATGGCAGAGCACGCCGCCCAGGGTCAGCTGGCCCCCGACATGTTGATACCGCCTTCTCGCCGTGTCCAGTCACAGAGCTACGCTGCGTGCCACTCGGGGACGATCAAAGGTACGAAGCACGGAGTACTCCGTACTGACTGCGGTCCTTGCACAGCCGGAGCCCGGCTTCGGCAGATGAGGGCGCCGCTCCTTTCTAGGCCGGGCAGGGCAGGGCAGGGCAGCACAGGACAGGCGAGAACATGACAGGCCGGAGCAGGGGGTGTCATTGTTCAGGCAGCCCGCCTGCAGGCTGCGACGCAGAAGCAACACTTGTTGCCGTGCCTGATTCACGTGGGTTCCCTGTCGCCCGGATGCTTCCGGTGCGGCCGTGGGCCTCGTAGCCCTGCGCCGCCGCCGTGATGCTCGCCTCCAGTCGGGTACGGGGCAAAATGTACATCTCGCCAAAGTACTTTGCATGGGCGCACAGCGCTGTGTCCGCTTCCCACTCGGGAGGACCCAGCATTGCACAGTACATACAGGTAGGGTCGTCTCCGACGTGCATGGCAAAAGAGTTAGCATATAATAACAGGCCCTTCTGCTCCCACGTATGGACCGAGCGAGGGCAAGGGAGGCGGGCACTCAGCTAGACAAGCAAGCCACCAACAGGCTCTTCAGGTCGATGTGACCAACTGTGACCCGTCACGGATGGATGCTTGCCACAGTCACGCGCGCCCAAAAGGGCTCTTCGTGGTGCGCCGCAAGGCAAGGGGGGGGGGAAACCTACCTCGTGCTTCGCAGGACACCTCTGCCTGCGTACGGTGGCCGGGGGCGGCCTCTCTTGGCCACCGACCCCCCGGTGAAACTGTTGTGTAAAAGGATAATTTGCCTTGCTTTCTGCGCGACGATTCCTGCGTCGCACAGCCACGACAACCTGGAGCCAATAAGTGCCGACCGCGTTTACTTTTTGCAGCGACGGGCTGGCCCTTCCGCCAGCCCAGCCGTTACACACGGTTCCTGGGGCCCGGTGGGGCCGCTGGGCCTCTCTTCAAAGCCGGCCGTTGTCGGTTGCCGCGCTCCTCCTGCTCTATCCTTCTCCGTTGCTCCTTGGCTGTGTGCCTCTGTCCATGTGCCTGGGCGCGCTATGGCCGGCAGCGGCGGCGGCGGCGGCGGCGGCGGCGCGTGTGCGAGGCGGGTGAGCTGGCGCCGTTGCGCATCGGGGTGGCCTTCCCATCCATCCAACAGCCAGCGAGCGAGGCGACATGGATGCCCGGACTCCGGGACGAGGGGCCGCTTTCTGAACTGTGCGGTGACGACACCGCCCTCTGTGAGGCGCATCTGGCACCGTCTTCCGCGCCCAGCAGTGCCTAAAAATATGGCCGGGAGAGAGTTGAGGCTAGCTATCGCCGCGGTTGGGGAAAGAGACTTGTCATATCGGGCGTCTTCGAAACGACTTCGAGAACCCGTGTCAAGCACACACAAGCGCCTCCAGGGTCCCCAATCGCACGCGTACGGACAACAGAGTTGAGATCCGACAACCCTCTTGTAGAACGCAAACCCGTGGCCTGGGTGCGCCTACCGCGTCAACGTGCACTGGCGCTTCATCAGCGACCCGAACGCACGGCTCACCCAGGATAGACCGCATTGCTCCGGTTCCCCGGTGGCAGAGTAGATTCGACCCACAGGGCCGGATCTACTAACCGAGTACAACAGCCCAGGGTGAGGTCTTCTCAAGGATGTCGTTGTGAAACTCAGGTCCAGCAAACAGACGCAACCAAAGGGGGACGGCGGCGAGGCAACCATGACCTTCTTAACCTTTCGACAGTTGCGGTTCCGCTGCAAGCTCGGCTTCTCAATGTCCGGCCCCTCGTCGTGGTTTCCTCCAAATGGGTCGTCCAGGACACCTCTTCGATTGAATGCTAGAAGCTCCGAGAGACACTTCACCTCCTCCTTGCACACTGCGTGTTGCCATCAGTCGCCGGCATTCGCGCCCGTGTATCCAGAAGATATTCCCGACCCGCACCTGTCCGTCTTCACAGCCATGCCACGCCCGAAGGTGACCATATTCGGCACCGGCGGAACCATAGCGGGATCGGCCGCCGACGCCTGCCAAACGACAGGATACGCGCCCGCGGTGCTGACCGTCGATGCCCTGATCAGGGAGGTGCCGGAGCTGGGTCAGGCGGCCCAGTTGCGAAGCGAGCAGCTTGTCAACGTGGGAAGCCCGGACATCACGTCTGCCCAGCTGCTGCGCATGGCCCAGCGCATCCAGAAGGAACTTGACGGCGACTGCCACGGGGTGGTGGTCACACACGGAACCGACACCATCGAGGAGACGGCCTTCTTCCTCGAGCTGACGATACAGTCGGACAAGCCCGTCGTGCTGGTTGGTGCAATGCGGCCAGCTACAGCGCACAGTGCCGACGGGCCGATGAACCTGCTCTGCGGCGTCAACCTTGCTGCAAATCGTTGTGCGAAGAAAAGGGGCGTCATGATTGTGCTCAACGACCGCATCTGCGCGCCGAGATTCACGACCAAGACCAACGCCAACTCGCTCGACAGCTTCAAGGCTACCGAGCAAGGCTACTTGGGCGTCTTTGTCAACTCACAGCCTGTCTTCTACTATCCACCTTGCCGTCCACTGAGCCACAACTACTTCAACGTGACGCGCTGCAACGCAGCAGCAGGTCTGCCGGACGTCGATATCTTGTACGGCCACCTGGGTCTGCGGTCTGGTTTGTTCAAGGCAGCCGTCGATCAAGGCGCTGGCGGCATCGTGCTTGCGGGCATGGGGGCAGGATGCTGGAACACCGAGGACGGCAAGAGGATCATGTCCTTTGTCGAGAAAAGGGGCAAGGCGGTGCCAGTTGTCGCGAGCCGCCGCACCGCGTGGGGTTTCGTCGGAGGCACGTCCAACTACGGCTTGGGGGACTCGTGCATCGGTGGTGGCTTCTTGGATCCGCACAAGTGCCGTATCCAGCTTCAGCTCGCACTCGCGGCTGGTCTCGACGCCGCGTCCATCCGGGAGGTTTTCGAAGGCAACAGGCCGGGAGCAGCAGTCGCGGAGTCGAGGATCCGCGAATGGCGGATTCTGTAGTCCTCGGCCGGGCTGGTTCTGGTCGTCACAGAGGCGGGAGGATGCCGTCTTCTACTTGTATACTCCGTGGGTATCCGCAAGGACAGGTAACCAGGGGCCAAGGGGGGGCGGCGCGACTGGGGCGGCAAGACTTTGTGGAGTTCTGGGTGCTCATTGAGTCGCGGTTTTAGACGGGATACCACATGGTAGCATTGCGATGCTGGAAGCGCTGGTCAGTGAGGCAGGCAATGGGAGAGGCACGACTTGATGCAGTGCAGTTGACTGGCGACGCACCTGTAACGTGTACCTGTTTGGATGCACGATATTGCAGCCCAGTGCCCTGTACCTGCATGCCGGCCCTGACTGGATGTGTGCCAGCCCGTGGCTTGCGTGGATGATGGTGGAGGTTGCAGCGCTGACGACGCTGTGCCTGCTGCTCCGTACTGTGCGCGTATGCCACCCACCGATGATCCTCGATAGTGGGGATGTGGGTTGGTTTACAGGTGCAGTCGCAAGTGTCGTCGCTGGAAGCAGCTGGACATCACGGCATCGCGGCATGAGAGCCGAGCGACGTGAGGGTCGGTGAGTGCAGAAAAGCAGCGTTGACGATTTAGCCGCAAGAGAGGCCACACGTGGATGTAAAAGAGGCTGTGTCCATCCGCGAGCGCCTCAGGACGGACTCAGGAGGGTGACATGGTGTATGGATGGATGGGAGGATGGCGGAGTGGTGGTGGGTACATGTACTCGTACTCGCCCCTTCTTTCGCGCGTTAGCTCCAGCCGGTTTTATTCTTAGCAGGTGGTGCGGCTCGTCAGTCGCCACCCGACCTCTGTGTCTCGCTACTGTTGGATCTGACGCGGCTTGCTTCCTTTGTCGTACAGACCCAATTTATTACTTCGTATACAACTTAGATGACTGTTACGAGCATCAATGGTCGTGACCGGGACACCAGGTCGCCAGCAAGACATCTGCAGCTGCGCTGCACCGACAATGACATGGGGAGTCGTCTCCCCTGTGTGTTTCGCAGGTATCTCGTCTGTAGAGGCACTTGACGGAGCAGCCGTGGGAAGGAGGCAAGGGCGACGCAGCCCTCGGGACGACCTGTCCCGGGACGTCTGAGCCAGTGGGTGTCGCACCTGCCTGCTGGAACGGATGAACTGGACACTCCCGTCGAGTCCACGACGCGACAGGCTCGGGGCAGCCGCACCGGACCGACTTGCCTCGACTTTGGCGCTCGAACTGGAAGGCGCATGGACGCCCCCACGTGGCGTGACTCGTCCGCCAGCAGCACTGGAGCGCTCCATGGCACCCTGGCAAGCCTGGGGGAAGTGCCCCAGCGGAGCCGCGCCCCCCATGCCCCCCCAAAGCCCACCCGTGCCCCCTCGCTGTGCCCGCCATGGTACTCCTGGGCCCCCCTGTGCCCACCATCTACGGGATGGCCATCATCGCCATGCCCGCCACGGCCGCCATGGCTGCCCTGGCGGCGGTGGCCCGTCGCCTTGATTTGCGGCCACCAAACGGCGGGGGCCGCCGCACTGGCCCGTAAATTGCCTGGCGCTGCCGCGACGGCGGCCAACCATCGATTCCAGCGGCGCCAGCCTCTCTAGCGGCCCTCCCCATTACTGGTCACTGCAAGCCAGCAACTGGCCACCGGCGCCGCCCTCGTCCCAACTCCTGCCGATCTGGCGAGTCGCGCTCCAATTGACAGCTTTCCCCTCCCGTCGTCGTTTTTACTTATCATTCTCGTCGCATTCTCGTCGCCTTGGTCAATTGCCGCGTCGCGTGTTCTGTCCGTCCGTCGCTCGTTCGTCAGATCGCTCGCATCCGTCGAAACTACAACCCAAAGAGCCGGCGCAAACGGTGACACTAGTTTCACAATCACAGCACGCCCCGAGACACCCGCCTGCGCTCGCTCACCACCGTCCCCAGACAGCGCTACTTGCCGCATCCGTCACGCATACTCCAGACTTCGAGATTGACTTTGTTGGCCTCAGCGACGCGCCTGTGCGGTTCTCTGGCATGACCGAGCACCACGCCAACGATTGAGGCGCTTTTGACGCTCGCTCGACCTCCTGTCGGCCTTTCCTATCTTTTTCTTTCCTTGATTCCTCCAGCATTCGCTTCATGCCCGTCTGTTCTTGAGCTCGGCGTTCTGTCGTTTAAGCTCTCCGTCAGTCGACATGTCCGACAGCGACCTCGCCGCGACAGAGAAGCGAGCCGCCCACGACCTCGCGAGCCCGGTCCTTCCGTCTGTCATATACAGCAATGCCTCCAGATCCAAGGTGCCTCTTCAGCGCCGCCTCAAAGACGCCGCTGTTGCGCTCTACCAGGCGACCGTTGTCGAGCTGATTCTTCGACAAAAGCACATCCAGGCATCCAAGGATGGCCGCGCCATTCCTCTGGCCATTGAGCACGACAAGCCCTTGGTTGACACTCGCCGAGGCCATGCCTACATCTCCAACGATGTCCGCACCTCTCGCTACACGGTCTGGGACTTCATCCCAAAGCAATTGATCTTTCAATTCTCCCGAGTGGGCAACTTTTACTTTCTCTGCGTTGGTGTTCCTCAAATGGTATGCGCCCTCCCAGCAATAACTCGTCGTTGGCCGCCCCTTTTTTAACCTGGGCATCTAGATACCCGGACTCTCGACAACTGGCTCCTACACAACAATCCTGCCGCTGCTCTTCTTTGTTTGTTTGACTATTGTCAAGGAAGGGTACGACGACTACCGACGCCACCGTCTAGACAAGGTCGAGAATGCCAATTTCGCAACGGTTCTTGGCCGCGAGGACCTTTTCACAGGCAAGCAGAAGCCAGAGCGCCCCTGGGACCGATGGAATCCTTTTCGGACCAAGACAACCGCTGAGCCGCGGCCTGTCCCTGACGAAGAGTTCGAGAGTATCCGGTGGGTGCCCACGAGATGGAGCAGCGTCAAAGTCGGTGACGTAGTGCGACTCTCGCGCGACGAGCCCGTGCCCGCCGACCTCATTCTCCTGCACAGTGACGGCGAAAATGGCATGGCATACATCGACACCATGGCCCTCGACGGCGAGACGAACCTCAAGTCGAAGCAGGTGGCACACGACTTCGAGGACTGCGATACCATCAAGGGTATTGCCGCGTGCCAGGCAGAGTTTGTCGTTGAAGATCCGAATCCGGAGCTGTTCAACTTTGATGGCCGCGTCAGCATCAATGGCAAGACTGTGCCATTGACGCTCAACGAAGTCGTCTACCGAGGCAGCGTGCTGCGCAACACCACTTGCGCCATCGGCATCGTCATCAACACCGGAGAGGAGTGCAAGGTTCGCATGAACTCGAATCAGCACCCGCGAGCCAAGCGGCCCGCGCTCGAAAAGGTCAACAACATCATCGTTCTCACTTTGGCCGCGTACGTCGTCATCTTGTCCGTTGGCGTTTCGATGGGCTACATCCAGTGGAAGAAAGCGTACGAGCACCATGCTTGGTACCTGCGAGACGCAACCGTGCCGTTCCACGAGATCATCATCGCATTCATCATCATGTTCAACAACGTCGTACCGCTGGCCCTGTACATCAGCCTGGAAATTGTCAAGATTGGACAACTTCTGCTGCTGAACTCCGATGTCGGCATGTACGACGAGGAGACGGACACGCCCGCGCGATGCAATACCAACACCATTTTGGAAAACCTGGGCCAGGTCGGCTACATCTTCTCGGATAAAACTGGAACCCTGACGGACAATGTCATGAAGTTTCGCAAGATCAGCGTTGCTGGCACGGTGTGGCTACATGAGATGGACTTAGAGCCAGCCGAGCCTGAGGTCTCTCCCGATCCAGTTCCGGAGGCGCCAAGCTACTTTGCCAGAAAGCAGTCTGTGCACAAGGCCGAGCCGCTCAGCATCGTTATTCCAGAGGACGAACCTGAATCAGCTGTGACCCCCATGTCGCCGGGCTATTCCATGGGAAGGCGGTCATCTTCACATTGGCGGTCCACCGGTCGCCCAGACCACGTTCAACCCGAAGTCAATACCTCGGACCTCCTCGAGTACATCCGCCTGCGTCCGTACTCGGCATTCTCGAGAAAGGCCAGAGACTACCTCCTCGCCGTTGCCCTCTGCCATACCTGTCTGCCTGAAGTGCGCGATGGCAAGACAGAGTTCCAGGCGTCGTCGCCCGATGAGCTCGCACTCGTTCGCGCTGCCCAGGAGCTGGGTTATTCGGTCGTTCAGCGCAACTCAAAGCGTATCACGCTCCAAGTACCGCAGCCTAGCGGCCAGGTCGAGAAGATGACCTTTGAGATCCTCGACGTCATCGAATTCAGCAGTGCACGGAAACGAATGTCGATCGTTGTCCGCTATCCTGACGGCCGTGTGTCTGTCATTTGCAAGGGCGCCGACTCGGCGATCCTTCCGCGCCTCAAACTATCCTCGCTGGCAATGCAGAAGGCGACCGAGGTCCGACAGAGCGCCGATCTCGAGCGCGAAATGCTACGGCGCAGTGAGCAGATGGAGCCCCGGAATAGCTTCGGTGGCAGGCCAAGCCTCACGATCAGGCGAAACCCAACTGTGCGCCGTGAGCGGAGCTCGAGCCGGCGTCCAGCTGCCGACAGGAGCAAGTCTTTCGAGATCCATAAGCTTGGGCGTGCGTCGGATGACCGGCCCCGGGTTTCTGTCTCGTCTCCCCGCGGAGTCTCGTTTGACGTGTCCAGGAACCAGTATCTCAACGCTCCGGCAAACTACCAGTTACCAGTACCCGACCGTTTCGACTTCCTCAACGACCCTTCTATCAGCGACGATTCGGAAGTTTTCACCCAATGCTTCAAGCACCTGGACGATTTCGCAACGGAGGGTCTGCGGACGCTCTTGTATGCGCAGAAGTTTGTTTCCGATCACGAGTATCGCATGTGGAAAAAGGCATATGACGACGCTACGACAAGCTTGGTCAACCGCCAGGAACTAATCGAGGCCGCCGGCGATGTGATTGAGCAGTCGTTTGACCTTGTTGGCGCTACTGCTATCGAGGACAAGCTACAGAAAGGCGTGCCCGAGACCATCGACAGGCTGCGCCGGGCGAACATCAAGATTTGGATGCTCACGGGCGACAAGCGCGAAACGGCAATCAACATTGCACACTCTGCACGCATTTGCCGGCCTGGGTCAGACCTGTTCATCCTCGACGTCACGAAAAGCCCACTTGAGTGTCAACTGGTGGCCCTTGCTGAGGATCTACAAGCCGGGTCGACGCACAGCGTGGTTGTCATTGACGGCCAAACCCTGGGGGCCGTGGAGAAGTCGGAGGCGCTATCCGAGAAGTTCTACGCCATCATGATTCTCGTCGACTCTGTCATCTGCTGCAGAGCGTCGCCGGCACAAAAGGCACTGCTGGTGCGCACTGTCCGCTCACAATTGGGAAGATTCAAGGGCCGGAATCGCCAGGGCCTGACTCTGGCCATTGGCGACGGTGCAAATGATTTGGCTATGATCCAAGCGAGCCACGTCGGCATCGGAATCTCAGGGAAAGAAGGTCTCCAGGCAGCCCGCGTGGCCGATTACGCCATTGCCCAGTTTCGCTTCCTCCAGCGGCTGCTCCTGGTCCATGGTCGGTGGAACTATGTGCGGACGGCCAAGTTCATCCTCTGCACGTTCTGGAAAGAAATGTTCTTTTATCTCCCGCAAGCCGCGTATCAGAGATATAACGGATACACGGGCACCTCCCTCTACGAAGCGACGAGTCTCACGGTCTTCAACACGCTCTTCACCAGTCTGTGCACCATCTGCATGGGCATCTGGGAGCAGGACCTCTCCGCGGAGACTCTGCTGGCCGTTCCCGAACTCTACGTCTACGGGCAGCGGAACATGGGTCTCAACTTTTGGAAATACGTGCGGTGGATGGTTCTCGCCGCCACAGAGGGCGTCATCGTGTGGTTCAGCGTGTGGGCTGCGTACGGCAGCGCCGTGCCGGGAGCCAAGGATGAGGGGATCTACGCTCTGGGGACTCTGGTGTTCACCATCGGGGTCCTGTGGATCAACTGGAAATTATTGTGAGTGACTCATGATTGATTGCATCTGATCTCAGAGGACGACCCGCTGACTGAAACAGTATATTTGAGACGCATTACAAGGCCACCCTGGTCATGGCCTCGTTCTTCGTCACCACCATCGGGTGGTTCGCATGGGTCGCCTTCCTCGACGGCGTGTACGGCGCCTCGTCTGGGCCGTACTCGATCCGCCACACCTTCAGGAACGGCTTCGGGGCGGACGCCCTGTGGTGGGCGACGGTGTTCATCGTGCTGGGCTTCATGGGGCTCATGGAGCTGTGCGGCAAGGCGGCCAAGAGGGGCCTGCTCGTGGCCGGCCTCTGGCGATGGCCGCCGTGGGGAAAGAACCGGCTCAGCGAGAACGTCGAGGAGTGGGACCTTGAGCTCTGGCAGGAGATGGAGCAGGACCCCACGATCCGGGCGAGGCTCAGGCTCCTTGCTCAGGACGAGGAGAGCGCCGAGGAGAATACCGGCAAGGATGACGAGGACTCGGAGTGTGAAGAAGAGGACGACGCGGCGGCGCGTGCCTAGCTGGACAGGGCAAGGGTGATGCCCTGTGGCTCTGGTTTTTTTTCGTTCAATGATACCCCCACAAGAACATGATTTTGGTCGGGCTGCGAGCTGGATAGAGTTGGATAGACTATACAGTGTTCACTTAGAATCTTCAGGTCGCGGCAGATGACCCGACCTAGTACAATGCTAGTACAATGAAATCTATCCCATCTAGCGCGCCACGAACCATGCATAAGTCATGTCAGCCGTGATGCGGAAATGCAAAACGAGACTTAACCACCAATGTCTTTACGACGACGTGGCTTCGCCACGCTCGACATCCCGAGTGCCGCCAGCAGCCGCCTGATGCGACGATGTAGTCTCAGCTTTGCCAATGATGCCCATGTTCCAGAACGCCGCGGCGACGACGATGAGAGAAGCAATGCCAAGCCCAAAGTTCATATAGCTACCGGCGCGGAGACCTCTGAGGGTGGTCGGCTCCCAGGCCTCCATGCCACCTGCGTCTTTGACGGGAACGCCGCGGGCTCGCGCCATAACCGCTGTCTGAACAGCTGTGCTGATGGCCAGTCCCAGAGCACGGCCGAGCTGACCGACGGCATTGATGAGGGCACCACCAATGGCCTGATCTTCGCGCGGCAGTGTTTGAGAAGTGAAGAGTGTGAGGCATGGCCACAAAGTGTCGGCACTGATGGAGGAGAGCAGCATCGCGGGCAGGCCGTAAGCGAAGTAGGATGTCCCGGGTGGAATGGGCACAGCAAAGAGCAGAGACGAAGACGAAGCGGCGATTGTGCCACAGAGCAGGAGGAAGATGGCTGGTACGCGGTGGAGCAGCTGTGCGACGATGAGGTTGGCGAAGGCGCCGCCAACGCCTAGGGGTATGAATCGCAACGCGGTTTGTAGCGGAGATAACGCCTCATAGTTCTGGAAGTGGTACGTGGCAAAAATCACAAAGGTGTTGAATGAGGCGAAGAAGAGACCTGTGGCGACCATGGCAGCGGTGAAGCGAACGTTGGCGAAGATGGAGACCTTGATAAGAGGGGGCAAGGAGGTCCCGGCTGTGCTCTTCCGATGCTCCAGATACCGCTGCCAGACGCCAAACACGAGAATGGTGGTCAGAGAGACCACAATGACGACGGGAACCCATGGCACTGACCAACCCACGACATTGCCCTCCGTAAGAGCGTACATCAGAGCCAGGAGCCCTGCGGTGATGAGAAAGGTGCCTAGCCAGTCGATAGACGGCTTGACGTTGATGGGGCTCGGACCGCCGCCGCCGCCCTTGTCCCAGGAGCTCTCAAGTGAGGGAGTCGGAGGGATGAAGACGAGTCCGGCAACGGTAGCAGCCCCTGCCATGATGGCGGAGACGCCAAAGACCCATTTCCAATTGGAGTACTGGGCAACGAGGCCAGAGAAGATGTTGCCGAAGGCATTACCAAGCGGTGAACCGGCGGCTGTTGAGGACCAATTAGTGTATGGGGTCATTCCCGCAGTGGCATGTGAGTCGAACCGTAGCAACTAAAGGCATAGTTCTTGGCCTTGCCTGGTGGGAATACGACGCCGAGGATTCCAATCGCAGTCGGAACGTTGGCGGCTGCACCCTAGCGCGCCAAGCGTGTAAGTCGAAAGGCTCCATGCAAATGAAGGAGAGGGTTCATTTCTCACCAGACCGTGAAGCGCGCGGAAGATGTCAAAGGCAATCTCATTGGGGACGAATGCATTGGCGGCTGTGACGACAGTGACCCAAGCGGATCCGAGAATGAAGACGAGACGCTTGCCGTGGATATCGGCAACGCGACCCCAGAGCAGGAGAAAGCAACCAAAGGCTAGAGAGTACGCTGAGACGATCCACTGTTGGCGGTTCTCGGGGATGTCGAGCTCCTTTCCGATGCTGGGCAGAATGATGACGACGCTCTGGCTTGAGAGAGTCTACAAGAGAGCCATGTCAGCTATGAAACAGTCGCTACCGTCCTAAAAAGACCCACGTTCAGGAAAGCTGCGCCTGTCAGCGTGGCCACGAGGGCGATGCGGCGGGCTTTGGACATGGGCGGGATGCCCTCAGCATGGGACTTGGTCAAGCCGCGGCCATGGTTGAAGGAGTGTAAGGGGCCGGCGTAGGAGACTGTCGGGGCATTCGAAGACGAAGCCGCCTCCTTCGAGGTGCTATCCGACGTTGCTGTACCGGTGACAGAGGCAAGGCGGTGACCTCGATCCTCTGAGATGGCCATCCCGAACGGCTGCTCGCAAGACGGCGTGCCTTGGAGCAGAGCCGCGCCTCAGGGAGACGCCAGTATCGAAAGCTATATACCGGTGCATGAGGCTCGGTGGGTTGCAGCGGATGACGTGAGGCAGCAAGAGTTGTCTCGTGTGAATCAGGCAGTTGGCGAGAACTCATGCGATCCGATATAACGGCTGGCACAAGCAAGCAAGCAAGGGCCTGCATGCGGTCGTCCGGCGTTCGGACATGGCCGTCCCAGGGTCGACGGCCGTGGCGGAGCGAGGTTGCCATCTCTTGTACCGGCAGCCCGCCTGTCCCGTCGGGACGCTGTCCGGTGATGGAGGCGCATGTTACCTGGTGCCCCCTTGGAGCGGGTAGCATGAGGAGAGCTTGTGGGGGAGAGCCGCCCGCGATGGAACGCGGAGAGACGTTTGAGTTTGGACCCTTGCCAGAGTCGGCATGAGACGTGCAACTGACTATTAGGGAATCTACGTATATGGCGCCACCGAAGCGAACCACTGGCCACTGGCTGGCGGTGGTCACTGGCCACTATCGGCACCAACTCGGCACACGCACGGCAGTCGCGATCGGCAACGGCTGCTTGCCTTGCCCGTCCGTGCCCCCTGCCTGCCGAATGAGCGGGCGGCCGCGGGTGGGCCGGTGGACCGATGGAGGAGCGGCGGACGGGGAAGGAGCCGGACAGCTTGTTTGCCTGTCGAACGGCGAGGGCAGGAGCGTTTGCTCACCTTTTCGATTATACCGGCAACCGCCTGGAAAGTAGAGTAGGGCAGGCATGCCACTCGGCTGCGACTGCCTGTTTGCGCGTGCGGTATCGTCGCGTCGTCGCGTCGTCGCCGTCATCATCACCATCATCATCGCCAACGCCGTCGCCGGGCGCAGTCGTCGCTCATCTGCAGTCGAAGGAACGTGCGGCCCTTGTCAACGACGCGCCGCAAAGCCGTGTAACCGTCCGTCCAAGGTGGCAACACCAGGTACCTGCAGTATCTGACCCGCCCGGAATCTTCCAAGGTTTGTTCCAGCAGCACGACACGCATTCAAGGCGCCCCGAGGTGAGCTTGCTGCAGACCGGGAGACGGCATCCTGTCATGGAATCGCCGCCGCTCCTCCTGCGCTGTAACACAATCTGGTCCCACGTCACCCGTCATCCGATTCACGGATCTGCACGCATCCTCTTGTTTGCTCTGCCCCTGCGCGAGCCCATCTCGTCCCTGTACCGTAGATTGTAGCATAAGGTACCTAAGCTCGCCGAGTCTCGCGCCGCCATCTGGGCCCAAGAGACGGGAGAATGCCCATCTCCCGGCGCCATGGGCTCAGGCCTCGCGCATGTCGATCCCCATGCTGCTGCTTGCTGCTGCCGCTTCCCGCCTGACAAGGTTGCGACGGCCAGTACCCGTCGCAAGGCTTACAAACACCTAGTTACTACTTACGCTCAACGAGGCGGCGTCCGAGCGGCCGACGCTACGAGGGCTCACGGACCGCCGCAGCCACCACGACGCCATCTACAGGTACGAAGTACGTATGTAGGTATCCTCGACGAGCATGCTGCTGCCCGGCCCGCAAGGTGACACGCGCTGCAAGATCCGGCAGCTACTCGGGGCCATCTGCCACATTGGCGGGCTCCCTCCCGTCTTGGCCACGGGCAGTCAAAACGTCACACAGCACACGCTTGGCGGGACTTCATCCATCTCGACTTGCAGCATCAGATCGCCCCATCCATACACGCTTTATTTCCACGGCGGCGGTCTCTAACTAAACACGCTTGGTGTGACAATCTGTCCCGCCTCCGCCAATAAGCCAATGTCTGTCACGCCCACTGCTCTGTGAGACATTCCTTGCTCTCTGCCCATGACCCTTGCCGTGCGAAAGCCAAACTCCCCCCATTAATCGACAATGACGGCGGCGCACTTGGCGATTGTGAAAAGGACAGATCCCGCCCACGATGAACAAACACCCCGTTTTTTCCCTTTTCACCGAGGCAAGACAAGCGCGCAACGAAGCAAGCAACAAACACCGCGCGGGGCGCCGCACGACAAATCAGTCAGTCCCTTGCGATTCCCTGGAGAAGAAAACTCGACTTTGCAACCTCGTATCCTTTTCCATTTGCCAATGCCGTCCCCGCCGCCTTGATTCCGTGTAGGCCATTCTCAAATAACAAGGAGAGAAAAACTGAGAAAAAAGGGGTAATAAACAGGACAATCGTACACGTACGCATGGGCCGGTGGACGGGGTACCTTGCCAGCACCCCCTCCACCGCCAGATCCCCCCTTGCCGTCTCTGCAAGGGGCGCACGTATGGTGCGTGCTGAATATGGTTTTCCTTCCCATGCCTCCCTCCTCGGCCGGTGAAGCCCTCGCTGCCGCTCGTCGTTCCGGCCGGGCTTGCTTCGTCATGATGCCTTCTCCCCCTTCGCTCTCGCAGCCTCATCACCTCTCGGGACGGTACTTACTGCCCCGCCTCGTCCCGTACTTGCCTCTACCCCCCTAGTGGTAGTTTCCGCCCCAGCCGCCGCGCTGCTGCTGCTGCTGGCCGCCGTAGTAACCACTGCCGAATCCCTGGTTGTACGAGCCGTACGGGCTGTTGCCGTGCTGGTTGGCACCAGCGCCGGCGCCCATGCCGTATGCGCCGCTTCCGTGGAGGCCGTGGCCCTGGAGATGGCTCGGGTAGCCGCCGTACGCGCCACCCATCTGCGACGTCTGAGGCGGGGGCAGGCCACTCTGTCCGCTAGGCGCGGTGTTGGTGGCCGATCCCGGGCGAGGGCCGCCTCCGAGGGCCGGCGACGGGCCCGACCCCGTCTTGGCGTCGCCGAAGGGCTTCAGGTCGTCGGTCGATCCACCCGTGGCAGGCTGAGTCTGGCTGCCGAAGCCCTGACCCTGAGACTGGAAAGAAGACGCGCCGCGCGCGTAGCTGTCGTGTGCCCCGCCGAAGCTGCTGCCGCCCAGGCCGGGCTGGTTGCCAGCCTGACCAGATCCGGCGCGGCCGTAGTCGCCCAGACCGGAACCCAGTCCGCTCTCCCGATGCAGCGACGAAGGGCCGAAAGCGCCCGGCGACGAAGTGTGGTCATAAGGGGCGTTGGGCGACACGCCGTAGGGCTGTCCATACATTCCACCTTTGCCAGCGTACGGGCCAAAGTTACTCTGGCCGTATCCAGAGTAGTACTGGTGGTAGTAGGGGTTGGTGTAGTAGGGGTGGTTGTAGTTCGCATACTGCCCATGAGACTGCGGCTGCGCACCAGGAGCACCCTGCTGCTGAGGCTGCTGCGTCGCCTGCTGCTGCTGGGCCTGCTGTGACTGCTGGCCCTGAGGCTGCGGCTGCTGCTGCTGCGACTGCGCGGTGGGGTTGGGGGTTGAGTGGCCGCTGTTCTGGCCTTCGCCAGAGCCGCCGAACCGGGGCTGGTTGTGCATCGCGCCGCTCTGCGGGTACTGGCTGAGGTTATCGGCCTGGGCGTAACCACTAAACGCACGCTGCTGCGACGGGGGGCCGTCGTGCTGGCCGTGGACACCCTGCTGGGCGCCATACTGCTGCCCGTAGTAGTTGTAGGGGTTTCGTTCTTGCTGATTCGCGGTGTAGTAGTTGGAGTAGTCGCTGGGAGCGGAGCTGAAGGCGCCCGCCGGCTGCTGGGCAGGCGGCTGGGAGGTCTGGGCAGCGTAGGAGTCGAAGGGAGCTTGCGTGACGGGGGTACTCTGCTGGGCAAACGGGTCGACAGGCTTCTGGGCCGCAGGTGCAGCCTCCTGGGAAACACCATGTCCGAATCGGCCATACTGCTGAGCGCCGGGAACCGCAGCTTGGGGAACTGAAACATTGTGAGCAAGAGTGGCATAGAAACAGATGTCGCAAACAACGTACCCTGCGCGTGAGCGGCGGGACCAGTAGGCACTGCAAACACCGTCAGTAAAGCCTCGAGACGGCATAAAGAAAGTCATACCGTTTCCAGCCGGGCCAGTAGGAGCGGCGGCTCCAGGCTTTTGGGAGAACGGCTCGGGAACCGCAACGGGTTGAGAAACGGGGGGCAGAGAGGCGCGGGGGTGGGCAACAGGGGAGTCGGCTGGGGGCTGCGCGCGGGTCTCGGGCTCCTCACGCTCGCCATCAACGTCCTCCTCGCCGCCGTTCAGGCTGAAGGCGCCAAAGCGCACGGCCGCACGATCCACCTCGCGGTTGCCAGGCATGCGCACAGCCTCCTCTTGGTCCAAGACGCGTCGCTGGTAGCTGGGAGCCCGCGTGGATCGCTCCGCCGTTGCCTTGATGGCAGACGTAGCAAATCCACTGGCGGCGGCGCGCTGAGCCTGGTGTTGCTGCTGAGCGGCCGAGAGAGGCGTGGCGTTGGCACTAACGGGGCTCTGTCGAGGGTCCCAAGAGTCAGCAGCTGTGCTTGCGGCAGTGCCGGTTGCGGGTGGGTTGGAGTCGTCAACAACCTGCTCGAGATTCGTCTCCGTGAGCTCGTCCTTGGTCGGGGGAAGAGAGGCGTCGGGCTGTGCGATGGCTGGGACTTGAACGGGCTCGGCGTGCTGTGCAACAGGCGTGGCCTCCTCAGCTTCTTCGGTGGCGGGTTCGGGTTCAGGCTGGACAGGCTCGGCAGTGACTTGGGGTTCGACAGGCTCGACGGGCTTGGGGGCGGGAGCCTCCTTGGGTGCAGGGACGGGCTTAGGCGCAGTCGACTGTCGCAGCATGCTCGCCCAAGTCTTGGCTTGGGGAGCAGCAGCCTTGGGGGCATCAGACGTGGTGGTAGAGACGGTGGGCTTTTCCGCAGCGGCGGTCTTGGGCTCGGGCTTATCGGCTTGAGGCTTCTCATTGTCCCACGCGGACGACTCCTCGGTTGGGACAGAGAGCTGGCTGGTTTCCTTGTTGCGAGCGCCGTTGGCGCCAGCGTGAGTGGATCGGCCACGACCACCACGGGCAGCACCGCCTCTGTCGGAGCCTCGACCTCGACCACGGCCTCCCTCGGAGGCAGCACGACCGCCGCGAGCAGGTCGGCCTGCGGTGCTGGTTTGCTCGGCAGCTGCAGGGGCGGAGGTCGTTGCGTCCTTGCCCTTTGCGCGGGTCGTCTTCTTGGGCTTGGAGACTTCGCCCCACTGAGAGATTGTGCCTGTGGAGAGCAAGGAGGTAAAGATTAGCTTCTGAACGAGGTCGCGACAACAGCCAAGGGACAGGGTGAGGACGGATAGGGTGCCGGAGTTTGCAATCCGCTGGGCGAGTTGCAAAGCCGATGACGGACTGGGCGAAAATTGGCAATGGATGGTGCCAGACAACGTACCTTCAGCAATGCGCGCGACCGCCTCGTTCTCGTCGCCGTTGGTCTCCTGGAGTGCAAACAGCACATCCACCTCGGACCAGTCGGGGAACATCTCGCGAATCACCGACGTCTTGCCGCCATATTGCTTTCGAAGGTCGGCAAAGTCGCCCTCGTCGTCAAAGGCACCGAGGCCGTCGTCGGCCGCCTTGTGGTCAGACTTGTCGCCGTTGGGTCTGCGGCCACCACGACCGGCAAAGCCTCCTCTTCCGCCGCGACCGCTGCCTCTGCCGCGCGAGGCGGAGGGCCGTGAAGCGACTTCGGACATGGGGATGGGTGGGTTGGAGACGGTGGTGCGGCTCGCGCAGGGCTGATGGGAGGTGAGGGAGAAGAAGCAGTGGCTGGTGCTTCACCTAGCCAGGCTGCAAAATCGGCGTGGAGGCCCGCAGGTCAAGGAGCGAGGAGAAGGAAGGTCGGCAAAAGAGCCGGATGCGAAGTGCGGAGATGAAGGCGTAGATGTGCACGCGGCGGCGTGATGCGGGTTGATGAGGTGCTTGGCACAAGAGAGGTCGTGATGGTGCAGGGTTAAAGGGAGGCACGAGGTTTTCCCCGGAAGCAGAAGAGGCGAGCGAGTGGTTGGCTTAGGTCAGGTTGACGCAGGGCAGGTTTTGACTTTGGAGCCCCAGGCAGGCCAGCCCAGCCCAGTCCAGTGCCGCCCAGGGCAGCAGCAGCAGCACGCCTGACAGACGAGAGCCCAGAGTCAGCGCGCTGGCAGGCATCAGTAAGCCCCAAGGGCGAGGCGACCTGGAAAGGTACATGCGGTACGAAGCGCCTTGGGTCCAGCACCTGCCAGGCCAGCTCGTCCGCCAAACGCGCCGGTACCGTGAACCCACAGGGCGGCCACCCGCCCCTCACGCAGCTCCATCGGCTGCCACTAAGAACCTTTGCAGGGCACCTGCCCGCCTGGGGAGCGAACAGCCCAGGCCGGAGCGCGGTCCTGGTTGGCCCTGCAGCTGGGCCCGACCCACCGCCGACAAAGTACCTTAGGTACCTCTGCCGGTTGCCACTGCTCCAACTGCCAACCGTTAGGCGGCGAGCGGCTCTTCAGCTGGGGGGGCCTGCTGGAGGGATCGAGGGCTGGCAGGGCCCGACGTTTGCTGGCTGCTGCCACCGCCGACAACCATCCCCATGGATGGATCCTTCAATCCATGCCATCCCACCCTTCCAAACCCAGCCATCCATCACGAGTCGGGCCCCCCGTCCATTTGGGGCGAGCTCCGCGCAGCCTCCTCAGGGCTGACGGACGCTGCTGCAGGGCCCGGCCGGGCGGGCAGGCACACACACATGCAAACACACACAAACACGCGCCCACACGCGCCCAAGTCGCCCGAGTGACCCGATGCGCCAGTGCCGGGAGCCTCAAGGCGAACCAGGGTGCTGCGCATGTACTGATACCCAACATCTCTCATGCACTGCGTCTTTGACGCAAAGCTCACCAGCAACAGATTGGCAATGGCCAGTTCCCTTTGTAGCCTTTGGGCAAGTAATCTGCCCATGAGCAGCCAGAAATTGCATTGCGATTGCAATTGATGGCGTCAGGTCAATGCGTAGATCGTCTGGACCGTGTAACCGCTGGCCGTGGCTAACTTGCACGAGAGGGATCTCCCGATCTGCAAGGGCCCTGCTCGGGCTCAGGAACTGGGTCACTTGACGCATGAAGCCTGGCTCCAGTCGTGTGTACTACTGTACAAAGCAACTCTTTCACCCAGTGAACGTTCAAGTACATCATGTACGAGAGGAAGCTCTCGGTCGTTGCACCGTTGTTGTGACTGACAGACACGCAGAGGTACGCGCAGTCAGCAGCTGCCACATAACGTCTCGCGCAACGGGTGCGTTGCGACTTCGGCCGTGCTAATGTAAGATGGCGCCCCAAGAGCAATTGCGTTGGAGCTGCACAAGTAGCCCGACCCAGCTTTCGCTGACAGAATTCCCATTGCGTGGCCATTGACTCCAGCTCGAGTTCAAAGACACTGCATCGATGTTCGCCCAACGCAAAGCACCGCCGCATCAAGGCCAAACGAGACCGAGGGACCTGCGTCGCTCCTCTGCCTGAGGTGTGAAGTACGACCCAACGGTGGTACAGGTACTTCCCACCAGTGGCACTGGCCCCACCCAAGCTCCATGCCCAGACTGGGCGAACAACGTCAGAGCGGCGCCTTCCCTGAGCGGGCTACGATATCACGTGATATCGTCTCCTGCAGGAAGGCGGGTGGACTGATGCGATTGCATCGACAACCATCGTCACGCCTCACGTCTCCAATTTCACCCATCGTCCACCACGACGCTGCTGGCAGCGCTCTTTCGATTTCAGCCTGCCATCGGCAGAGCGAGCAGCCCTTTGCCGCTCTCCATCCGTTATAATCATCCGCCACCATGTTTTCCACAAAATCCGCCCAGTCGCTGCGGCGGCTCTTCGCCGGCTACCACGAGCCGCTCCCGTTGTCGAAGCAGCAGTCGCAGAAACTCCTCGACGGCCTCAAGGCCTCGTTTCGAAACCAGCTGGATCTCGAGTACGGACGAGGGTCGGAGAATGCCCTGGCCACGTCCAAGGTCACCGGCGAGGACCTCCAGATCCGACACTCGGCGGCAACCCAGCATCTCAAATCGATACTGTCGAATCCGCTCTTCAGCTACAAGATGGAGTCGCCGGCACAGTCCCTTATGGCTCCTCTATCCGTTCCCAGACGAGATCCTATGGATGTGTTCGACCACGCAGTCGCCCGAGGCATGATGACGCTAAAGGCTGCCACCGGGTGTCTTGTCGCCAAGAAGCAGCTGCTCTCCGACTCCGCCGCCGACCTCGCCTCCTCAGAAACGGCTTTGCGCATGGTTCGCTGGCTCCGCTCGTCGGGCGCCGATGGCGACCTCGCCTTTCTGGACAACCAAGCTTTCGTTCGGGCCCTGACCCCATTCCTGGTGGCGGAGGGCTTGGAGAATGCAGCCTGGGACTGGATCAGCCGTACCATCAATGACGCCACGGCACCCTGGGACAACGATTTGCGTACGAAGAGGGCGTCTTTCGTGCTTGCCGAGCTTGTACGGACGAAGAGCCAGCCTCAGTATGGCGATTTGGACGCCGCCATCCAGACGATCCTGGATGCGGAACATCGCTTCCAGAAGAGTCCCTTGCTGCCCGATCTACTCGTGCTGCCGTGGAGATCAGTATCGTGGCTCTCCACCGTGGAATCATACAGCAGAACTGCTCCTTCGGAGAAGTTGTTTGACGCCCACATGGCGACGGCAGATCTCCTCCGGCGACCGTTCACGGTCGAGAAGGCACACCTGCAACTACACCACCCCACACACCCTGACCACACGGCGGCGATGCACTTCTTCCAGGACCGCAAAAAGTTGCGAAAGCTGGTCCACCGGCTGAGCCCTGAAAAGCTCGACCTGGCCAAGCTCAAGGGCATGAGCATTATCCCGTGGATCGCCTTTCTGGGCCACGACACCGTCAACCACCTCACGCAGTCGGGAAGGAGTCAGGAGGCTGAGGACGTTTCGGAGCTGCTACGGTCTGAGCTGTCGGATGTATTTCCCGAGACGTTGAGCCCGACGTGACTATCCGCGGACGAGCAGAAACACCAGAAACCTACTGCGAGCAGCACAGGACCCAACCCTCACGCGATCGGCGAGCCAAGGCCAGCCAAGTGATCCCAAGCGTAGACGCGTCACGCCGTCAGAGGAGCTTGAGAGCAGAGGAGACCACTGCGCGCCGCGCAGAGAAAGCCCGCAAGGCGCATTATGAGCCTACCACAGGTCTCGAATCCCGATGCGAGGCCGCCATGCTGCACAGGAAAGCGCGCTTTCAGCACGCAGGAGAAGGAGACCAATTGTCTGAAGTTGGGCTTTTTTGTATAGTACTATACTAGCACATACGTGCCATGACGACTATCGGCTGGGCTGCACACAGCAACAGATCCGAATGAATATACCCACCACGCTTTTATATATGAAATAAATTTCCACCCTGTGCAGAATGCAAGCCAAGCTTAATCGGACTCGCTGTCCGCAGAGTCGGAGAAGCCGTTGAACTCCTCCTCGTCCGACTCTCCATCACCAGGCGCAGCCCCCTCGCCGTTGTCGCCTTCAGCGCCGTCTCCGTCTTCGTCATCATCCTGTTCCTCGACCTCGAACACGCCGGATATGTCCCAGCGGTCGCCCTTGGCCTTGCGGCTGACGTACTTGACGAACTTGAGCGCGCCGCTGTCGCGCAGGACAATGGTGAGTTTGTTCCAGGCGGCGGCCTGGAAGAAGAGGATGTTGTCGTCGTCGCCGCTCGACTTGTACACGGCGGCATCCTCGTCGGCGTCGTCGTCGCCGCCCATGTACACCTCGTGTCCGCCCACCTCCTCGGCCTCGACGTCGGGCTTGGCGGGCTCAGGTTCCGGCTCGGCTTTGGCCTTGCCCTTGCCCTTGCCGTTGGTCTTGGACGCGGCGGCCTCTTGCTTCTCAGCGTCGGCGGCGGCGGCGGCGTCATCTTCCTCCTCGTCCTCGTCGCCCCAGCCAGAGGTCGGAGTGATGCCAAGGTTGAGCTCCAGGCGCGGCTTGCCGTCGTGGCCGGTCGCCAGGGTGTAGTCTTGTCCGCGGCGGAAGCGGCGGGCGATGACGTCTGCGCTCTCGACGGTGCAGCCCGTGGCGATCTGCAGCCAGTGCCGGAATTGGCGGCTGGGCAGGAGGATGTCGAGCAGCTCGGTGAGGGGTGACTCCTCGTGGGAGGAGCGCAGCTGGCTGGGGTGCTGGTAGAGGTAGCGGTGCTTGTGAGGGGGCCGGGCCACGCGCCAGGCCGACAGCTTCTCGAGGGAGGCGCTGTCCTCTGGTAGCGCCACTCTCTCCTGCTCGGCGACGTAGTTCTTCAGGCGCTGCGCAAACTTTTTGGAGAGGATGTTGGCGAGGGTGATGCTGGAGTTCTCCTCGAAGTGCTCCTGGATCTGCTCCAGCGTGTCGGGGGTCAGGTACGTGGGCGCAATGTACTTGAGGAGGAACTCGAGATCGGCCTGCTCAAAGTCGTCCTGGCTGGGCTTGGGGTTCTCGACCTTGACGGGCTGGGGCCGCGGCGCGTCGTACTGCGCAGGGTTGCCCTGGAGCTGCATGAGGCTGCTGTTCTTGGCGTTCTTCTCCTCCTCGCCTTCGATGTAGCCGTCCTCGCCGATCTGGGGGATGTGGAACCAGCCGCTGATGGCCATGCGCACGCGGCCGCCGTCCTTTTCCAGCTGCTCCTTGGTCTCGGCGTGGTAGACCTCCTCGACGTCGTGGAAGCTCTCGCCGGGCTGGACGGCGAAGAAGCTGAGCTGGTTCCAGGCGGGCGGGATGACCTTGACGACGTCGGGCAGGGGCGTCTTGGCGACCTCGCCGTCCTTGTTCTCCTGCTTCTGGACGGGGAAGAGGCGGAGGGCACCGCCCCATTCGGGCTGCCAGGGCTTGTCCGGGTCGGTCAGGTAGAGGATGTAGCTGACACGGCGGCTGCCGATGACGTCGTCGTGGCAGAGCAGGAAGCAGCCGGGGGTGTAGACGTTGATGGCCATGTCGGTCTTGCGGCCGCTCAGGGGCCCGCAGCCGGTAATGGCGGAGACGTAGTCGCGGAAGGCCTCGGAGTAGACGGCGTCGCGCAGGGCAAGCAGCGAGGGGAGCTTGGCCAGGGAGGCGTCGTCGAGGCCGTCGAGGTTGGCGAGGTCGCCCGACTGGTGGATCTTGTAGATGTCGGTCTCCTTGGGGGTGAACTCGACGTTGCCGCGGATCTCGTCGCGGACGGAGCGCAGCAGCGCGTCGTCGACGAGCTCGTGGATGACGGCATGCTTGTAGGGCGCCGAGGTGGCGTACTCGCCCGTGTAGGCGTCGAGGACGGGCTTGTCGAAGAGGCCGGCGCGGAAGCGCTTGCGGGCCTCGTCGGCGGAGAGGGCTGCGGATGCGGGCGTGTGAGCGGGCGGCCAGGAGGGGGCACCTTGCGCGCAAGCCAGGGGAGGAGGTTGAGGACGAGGGCAGTGACATACACTTCTTGGACTTTTTGTGGCCGGCGGCCGAGCCGTTGGCCTGACTCTCGGCCTTTCTCTTCATGGCGACTGCCGGCACTCAATTGACTGGCAAGCGAGTATCGAGGGACAAGCAACGCCAATGCTGTGCGCAGAAAATAGGGAAAAAAGTCAAGGTCTCGATTCGAAGTTTGCGGGACCGAGGACTCTTTCTTTCGTCGGCTGGCGGTGGTGGTGGTGGGCTGATTTGACGGCGCGGCGACGCTTAAATTTTTCTGGGGCCGCAGCGCGCAAACACGGATGAACCCACCAACGACGTAACTTGAGAGGTGCCGGCCGGGGACCAGGCTGCACGTCGACGGCAACCTTGAAGCAAACATATCCATGGATTTAGCCATGGTTGCGCCCAGCAGCGCGCAAGCTGTGTCCTCGCGACCAATTGATGCCCCGTCCGACCACATCGCCATCGTCGAATGACGCGCGCAGGGGCAATCGAGCCAATTGAGCCTGCATCTGCCCCCAACGGCGGCGTCGCGACGAAACCCGTCCGTCCCTCGACTTTTGCGAAGCGCCGGACGTGCAGCATGTCTCGGGGGCGCGGCTGTAGCTTTCTCACTCACTGCGTCGTCGTTGGGAGCGGCGGATGGTGGATGTTTTTAGCATGGGCGCTAACCATCCAAAAGGTGTCCAGATATCTCTATCTCCCTTCCTCTCTCTCCTTATGTATTGCAGCACGCGGCGAGCCGTGCGATGAGGCCTCTTGATGGGCCACGTTGGCGGCGCCAGCCACCAGGATCGCCAGCACTATGGCGACGGAGGTGGTGACATCACACACGCTGGGTAGATGCGGCACTGCGTGACGAGCTCATACTCGGTCTGACAAACTGTATACTCGAATAGCAGCAAGGAGCTAGTATGTACGTAGCTTCAAGGTGAATGCAGCAGTTCGTGATGATTTGCTTTCTGCCCATCGTAATACTTCATCGGCCCGAGTTCAAAGCACGCCAGCGGGGAGACCGGGACGGCAGGTCTTGCTTGTCTTATATCATCACCACGTCCTCAATTTCAGTCCTACCACTCCTCATTCTCCTCGGAGAGGTCGACACGCTCAGACAAGTCGAACCCCGTCCAGCCCCGTCGCCAACGAGCTCCCCGCCAGGTTCTCGGGCCAGCAGCAGCAGACAGGCCCAAGTATTCCTCGACAACCGCCGGCAGCAGCCAGGTGCTCGCCGCAGTCCTCGACTCCATCCGCGGCTACTTCGCCTCGGCCGACGTCCACCCGGGAGGCTCACTAACACGACAGCCACACCACCCGGATGAATCGGTGGCAACCACGTCGGCGACGGCCTTGAAGTCGGCGGTGGTGCTGAGGATGTTGCCGGCGTGAATACACGTCAGAGCGGCGTCCGGGGCCCGCCGAGGCGCTCGAGGTCCCCGGGGAGCAGCTTGGGGTTGGTGTCGTCGGCGGCTGTGACCGTCGCCGAGATCGACCCACGCGGCAACGTTTTCCTCGTGGTCGACGGCGGAGATGACAGCGTCGTTGCCGCCAGGGCGTAAGAGAAGTCGCGCAGCAGCGGCGTGGTGGGGGACGCCGAAGACTACCTCGTTCAGGCGGGCGTTGAGGAAGGACGCCGTCGCCTTGTGGCCGTCTCCTTCACAGCTCTCTCAGTCGCAGCCGCCTACCTGGCCTTCCCTTCATCATCCTCACTGTTGCTCTCAGAGTCTCAGTTTCTTCGATATCAAGCGCAGAAGCACGGTCAAATACACAAGCAGATAATTGTACCACCGAAGCATCCCAACGCCTCGCTATAGTCTCATTCGTTCGTCGAGCCCCAAGTCGCGGCTGGTATGTGGGTGGTCGCCGACGGCATTTGAGCCCTGATTCGTCGCGGGTCGTTGCCGGCACGTCCTCCGTCTTGTCGTGGCAACGCCGGCCGCAAAGATGAAGAGACAGAATCCAATAGCCAACATGAACGCCGTTACCATGCAATGGATCGCCTCGTTCAGTCTTGAGTCATCAAACGGTCTTCCTTCTGGTTCGGACACTGAGAGGTCATAAAGCAGTACCCGGCGGTCGGTCTCGCTCACGTCTTTTGTTTCTTCCGGCCGTTGCTGGAGTCATTTGTGGTCGCAGAGTCGGCGCCGCGTTTGCCTGTGGAGGTCGTTGTTGAGTAGGCGGCAAATGTCATCTCCTCGTCCTCAATGTCACCCACACCTTCGTCTTCCTCGGCACATCGATCGCACTCCTGATCAAAATCGTGTTGCTCGGCAAAGACCCCGGCCTCGCATTCGCCAAAGGACCCGTTGTTCTTGGCCTCGAGGCATGAGAGATGCTGAGTCAGGTCCTCCCACGTCTGCGAGTCGCCGCATCGGGTACATGAGCCCAGGAAGATAACCATACGACACATACTGAAGGTCGTCGGCAGCGGGGGCTTAGGTACGGAAAGGCGGGTGTTGGTGGCTGTGGCATGGACGAATGGCGATGGTGGCGTGCTGCTGACTTGGACGCCTTTGCCGGTAGACCGGGCACGGACGATGTGCAGAACCGGGCAAGAATAATAGTTCTCTTTCTCTCGCGTTTCGAGGCGGGGATGAAAGTGAGATGGACAGGTCGCTCCTTGGTCGCCGATTTCGATGGTGGAAGTGATCAAGCCAGGTTGCGAGGAGTCTGAAGACGGCAGAGGCCACGACGGGGGATTACTCAGTGTTGCTTCAGTGCCATGCCGTGGGCAAACAAATGGCCCGGGGGCTCGGTTGGATTCGTCCACGGTCAAAATCGCGCGCCTTGAGCCAACAAGTTTGCGACAACCCGGGTACTTCGCAATACTTTACAGGCTTTTGCGTGGGTGTCGACAGCTCACGTCGCACAGCCAAACGAAGACGAGACGGCCCGAGCCGGGTGGACGAAACAGCGAGCAAGCGGAGGCTCGCTTGCACGTCTTGGATAGCCAATTGACGCAGGACGTACGCTTCCAGAAAATCAAAGATCCAGCTCGAGAGCGCTCGGTAGAAGAAACGAGGTTGCGGACGGAGAGAAGGCGAGCCAGGAAGGGGGGATGGGCAGAGGGACTGCGTCGGACGATGGACATTGGAGACTGGAACGGCCCAGCGACTAGACCGGCAAAGCATCCCCAATCGGCCAGTTGCGTCAACTAGCACAAGTATTGTGGCTAGCAGAGCATGCGTGGTGTGCGCACTCTGTTCGGACGACGGCCATGCGTCTCGGTGCCCACTTTGGGCCGCGTGCCCTGGAGCAGCAGGGTCAGCACAGCACGGCACATCCTGGATGAGTCTGTCACCTGTCATTTCGGCCAACACCAACGAGGGCGTTGTGAACGGCCCCCGCTGAAGACGAGGCCATCCCGCTGCCGCCGCCATGTGGGCCGCCACTCTGATGAGAGGAGAGCTATGGTGGTGCCCGCTCTGCGGCAAGGGACGCGAACATGCGCGCGGAAATCTCCGCGCAGGAGATTTCGCTGCCGTGACGGGTCGGGCGCAGGGAGCGGCGGGCGTGCGTGGCTTTGGTCTGCGGGTCTGGCGACGGCGATACGGGACTGAGTGAAGGTGAGGGCCGATACGGGGTGGTATCGTGATGCGCATCAATTCCATGTGGTCGTAGGTAAGGACCAAGTCCTCCGTACGGTAATTACTGTACACGTCTGTGTCTGGCGCGTGGAGGCTCCCAAGGGCAGGAGCGTCCGTCGTGGGTTTCCATTGTATTTTGATACACAATGTGCAGTACTGCACGTAACTTATTCCGCTGTTGGCAGGTACAGGCATAAATCTTGCGGCAGGCGCGAGGCAGTTCTTGCCCTCCCAGATGTCCAATCCCGACTCCCTACATTCCCAACCGCATTTGCTGCCTCCACCACCACCAACCCCATCACAAGCTGCGTGTCCTCCAGCGGGCATCATCGTGCACTTCCTCTTGCTTCTCCTCCTCTCCTTCTTCTCCTCCTCCTCCTCCGCCTCCTCCTCCCGCATCAGCCAGCGCCCGGCAGATGCCCTGCTAGTCACAGCTAGCCTCTGATCAGCGCCGCGACGAGGAACCGCGCCAGGCTCGACTTAGCCAACCCGCCGCGAGCTAAGTTACCTGAGCTGGTGAGAGAAGAGACAACCACCCCGCGGTCTCGACACCTCCAACCACAGCGCGGCCTGGGACATTGCGGGATCCAACACCGCGCCGCCACTAGCTTTGCGATGCTCCTCCACTTGGTCCATGTGCGGCGCGAAAGGGGGGAGCGCTGTGGCCCCGGGATTGGACCGCGGAGCTGGCCGCCCGACTTCCTAGTGGCGCTTGCCCGAGCCACGTCTTGAGGGGCATTTTGTCCCGTGTCTGTTGGTCCAGGTGGCTGCCAAAAGCCATGTGGTCGAACTGGCATCGCCTCCTGCAGCTTTTGAAATCAACCAGAAGTGACCCTGGCCGCTCTGCTACGCATTGCACCACGAGGACTGCGGCAAATGTCGATTCTGTCTGTCTCAATGGTGATGCAGCTCACTAAACATATAAAGCAGACGATGCGGTGGACAGCCCCCAGACGGTGTTACTGCCACCGCAACCGCCGACGTGAAACACGCTTGCGGCGGGAGTGGTTCCTGCAATGCTTCTTCCGCTCTATAGCGTCGCACCCACGTCCGCGCCGAGTTTGTCGTCCCTTCGACGCTCGATGCAAAATCGAGGACATTCTGTTCGTCAACACGAGTATCGGCGCGCCCTCGCCTTCGGTCAGCTAGGTTGTGAAATGGCCATAGCACCGGTTTCTCGTACACGACAAGCTGGCATCTCATGCCCGACTCTGGCCCGAGCTGTGCTATTATGACGTCTAGTACACCAATCTTAGGTATTTTAGGCATTTCCTTGATCGTTGGATCGCAACAGGCCGCGTAGTCCGCGCGTGAGCTGGATGGCTCTATAAGATAAGGGATATGTATCCAGTCTCCAATCTTTCTCTTTTATCTATTGGCCAATCGAGTGTTGTTCCCAGCTTCGAGCCAAAGGAACATTGCAAGATAAAATATGAACTTCATCTTATCCTTCGTTCTTCTCACCTTCTCCGGCGTCGTTTCGGGTTCACACGGTCCAGGTGTGGGTCAACACCATGCTTCCCCTCGTGGCTACGAGCTGAACTCTGACGGCGACATGCAGTGGTGTAACTCAAAAGACCATACCTGCGTTCTTCGCAACCCAGGTAGAACAGCAGCAGAAAAGCGAGATGCCGCCAAGTACCAGTGCCACGAAAGGTTTCCGGTGAGTGGCCTGACAGCACACCAGTGACGGTTGTGTCTCTTTCAGACAGGCAGGCTAAAGCTTCATCTCCAGTGCGAGGACGACGGCCACGACTGCATGTACGATTGGCAGACGAAGAAGTACTTGTGCAAGTGACAAGAGGGGGAAGAGAAGCGGAGGGCGAGCGGCAACGCTGCTGCGAGATTTAAGGACTAGGATGGTGAGTTTTGTTGCTCCCTCCTAATGAGGCTCATATCCGGCTTGCCTGACTCGACTGTTGCTATCGCAGTCATCTGCTTAACATGGACGATACAGGAGTCGTCTGGATCACGCGCCCAGGTCGGATGCAAGCCTTTCGCGATGAGACAGCGCCCCGGTGGCATGCTGTTGCCTTTCGGAGACTTCCCGTGAACTTTGCCACGCAGCATTGCGTCTACTAACAGTGTCGTGGACGCATCGTTGTGCCTGTTTCAAGTCGGACATTTTGGCCGCCTATCCGCGTTCGACATTGGCCTCTTATAGCGACGTACTGAGAACATGCGTCCGCAGCAGCCTGCACCTCGCTCGTGTGCATGATCTAGCTAGCGGCGGTGTCTCGAGAGAAGAGGCGACACCTAGGGGACGGGACTACTGATCGCCGGGCCGCATGCACTGTTCTAAATGCCGGGGCTGTGTGTGTGATTGTGAGACACGAATGGGGCTGAGACATGGCGGGCAACCTCCCCCCTGGTAGTTTTCTTGCTTTCTGGAAAGGGCATCGCTCCCGGATTGGATTGCCAGCGAAACGGTCAAGATAGTCAGTCACGTATGAGATGCACTGCAAGGTCCTCGTGTGTCCCCCGTCCCCCTCCTTCATAAGGACCCCCGGCCCGTTGCTGCATAGGTGGCTGTCTCTGCTGCACCGGTCCGATGCCTTGGTCCTGGGGCTTCCACCTCCGCCGGCCGTCCGCGTTTCCGCTCCCGATGGGTGGCGGTGACGGCGTTGTCCGTATGCATTTGCCCAATACGGCAGCGCGCGTGTCTAAGTGTGAGAAGGTTGGGTCTGTTAGCAGGTTCTGGCGAGCCTGTTTTTTCCTGTACGGTATACGTGATGCTTCCTTTTACACGCGCACGCGACGGCGGGACGAGCGAGGCATACACTCCGTCTAGGGCAGGGGACAAAGACTGCTGTGCCGCTCACGTTCATAGCCACGGGGGTAGCAATAGTGTGAAACGCAAATCCTGGGTAAAATATACGACGAAAGTGGTGGCGTTGTGCCCTTGCGAGGACCTGTGCCTTTTATCTTTTATATGTGATGTTCCACAAACGCCTGCCGCCCAACGACATTATGCGACGAAAGTAGGTCGAGAGGTATTCACGCCTCGCAAACGTGCCGTCACAAGACATTGGTCAGTTTGTCGTGCTGGGACTCGCACGAAAAGGATACTGTCTCTCGAGCGTATGGCATTCCACGTTGGCAAGCCGTATCGCCGGCGGCTGGACGCCTATTACCAGCCAATTTCAGCCCATCACGACTTCAGGGAAACGGCCGAGTCATCAAATATAGATCCATTTCAACGCAAATGCTACTAATAATGATCCCTCCGGCGGATCCATCCCATCCCAGACTCCGTACCGATGCCGCCCAAGGCTCCTGGCTAATGTCCTCTCATCAGACCACTTCTTCTTTTTTTTTCTCTTCGTCTTCTTCTTTGCACTAAGCATAACATATCAAGGGGGTGGGTGTTTGGGTGTTTGGTTTTTAAAGGGGGGGTAATAACGCAAATACATGAAAAAGCGGTAGGCATGAAGCGGCAGCTGGGTTGGGAGGGCGCACGAAACGCGCCGAAACACAACGAAAATAGGGACCTGCGCTGACGGTCAAGTCACCCGACATGTGGCATCAGAGGTCAGATGGTCGATGGTCCTTGTCAACCCAGTACGTGTCAGGCAGCATCATCAGAGCCTGGTGCAGGAAGGGCGCCGCGCTCTCTGCGCAAGTCCAGCGAGCTCCCGTTGCCCGTTCAAATATCTCGCCGCTCACGTTCTTGCGCGGATGCGGAGAACGCTGTCAAGCTTTGTTTGGGTCACTCTCCTCGATGACACGCTCGACGAGACGGCTGCGGCGAAAGTCAGACATGCACGAGAGCTGGACCGCGGGCCCCGATAGCCTGTCGCTGGTGAGGAGAGGCCGAGTCGCCGCCAGTTTGCTGCGGGGCAACATGCAGGCGTAGCCAGCTCTCAAGTCCCTACACCAGCAGGGTGCCGTGCGTTCCCTGGCCTCGGGTTCGACTCCAGTATCCCAAGCTTCTTCTCCTCTCTTTGTTCCTCTTGCTCTCCGAAAGTGGGAAGCATACGGCCCAACGCAGCAGCATAGTGTTGATTAGTGTCGACTTTGCAGTGGTGTTTCTCAGGTTCCCGCGCGCATCGAGTTCATCGCATGGAATAGGGGGTATACGTTCATCAAGGCAAAACGCAGTCGACTAGTCGGAAAGCGTCCTCAAGGAAAGAAAAGGAGAAGAAAATGTTGTACAGTCGTGGACACCATCATCAACGTCATGGTTGGAAGCTTGTGCCTCGGGACCAGGAGGCGAGCTGAGGTCAATCATGTCAAGGCATCTCAGAAAGACGCTCTGCTCGGGCAATGCACGGAGCGAGCTCAATCAGGGTCACCCAGTCATCAAAGCGAGCGGCCCCGCCACCACGAAAGGAACATCACTGGGCTCCTGGGGCCGGGGCTCCGGCCGGGGCTCCTTGTCCGCCCTGCTGCTGCTGCTGGTACATCAGGGATTGGTACCAGAGCGCCACATAGTTTTGGTAGCCGCCATCTGGATACGAGTCAGCATGTCGAGGCTTTCACAGGTGGGTTCGGATACGCACACTGGGCATACGGGTCAGAAGCGTCGCCAGCCGGTGCTTGAGAAGCTGCTTGGTTAGTAGACGCGCTCGGTCCAGGTTGGGAGTAGGAGCTTCGGTCAAGATCCTGGTATCCGCGGCCTCGTCCGCCGCCGCCGCCGCCGCCGCCACCTCCGCTCTTCTGTCGCTTCGAAACCAGTCAGAAATCACAGAAAGGAATATCAAGGGGGGGGGTCGTCACATACCACCGCCTCGACCTTCTCGTCGATTGCGAGCTTGGCACGCTCGATGCTGCCGCGCGAACCAATGAGGGCAATCTCTCTCTGGACCTCTCCGGGACCAGAAGACTGGGCAACGTTGATTTTGCATCCGGTGGCGTTCTGCATGTCGCGGATGGTCTCTCCTCCTTTGCCAATGATCATGCCTACGGCGTCAGACGGAACGTAGATGGAGTCGTTGAGCTTGTCCGGGCCGCCTCCACCAATATCCCGGGGAGGGCGGTCGTTGCGTTCAGCTCCAGGTGCCTTCTTCGCCGCGGGTCCATCGCCGCGGGTATCGCTGTCCACAATCTCCATGATGAAGTCTTTGGCGCGGGCCGCGGCCTCGACCGTTCCTATCAGGTTCACGGGCCGCAAGCCGTTGACGCTCTTAGATTCGCCAACGATGTTGATGTGACATCCCGATCGCTCTTGGAGGTCTCGGATGGTCTCGCCTCCGCGGCCGATGATGAGGCCGACGGTGCGGTCTGGGACCATGATCTGCATATGATCCTCGCCCTCGCGGAGGGCGGCAGATCCACCCCGACCCTGATCCCGCGGCTTTTCCTGCTGGGGACGGTTCAAGGCGCCCATTCCGCTATCTTCGATGATGCGGTTAATGGCAGCCTTCACCTCAGCGCGGCGCGCCCGCGGACCGGAGATCCTGCACTGGCGGTGGGACCCAGCATCGGTGGGAGCCAGGAACTGCACGCGACAGTTAGACTCGGCTTCGATGCGTCGGAGGTTCTCGCCCTGTCGACCGATGATGAGGCCGACGAGGCTCGATTCGATCTGTATCGTCTCGGAATTGTCGTCGCCCCCGCGCAGAGGAGACCTATCGCGACCGCCACCACCGCCACCACCTGCGCGAGGCGAGAACGTGCGACCTCGCGGAGGCGGCGAGTACGAGCGGTCCCGGCCGTAATCGCGACCGTGTGCCCCACGACGCTCATCCCTGTGATACTCGCCTCGGGGAGGGGAACGGGATCTCGAGCGTCGATAGGCACGATCGCTGTTTCTCGAGTCGGAGCCATATACAAGAGGTCTGTCGTAGGAAGTGGCTCCCTTCTCGGCAGCAAAGGCTCGCGCTTGCGAAACGATGTCGTCAAAGCTCATGGTTCCAGAGTTGACCGGGCGGATCGCGCTCAGATCGACGTTGCCGCTCGCGGCAGGAGCTGGAAGACCCGAACCACCATAGCCCGGAGGGCCCGCAGGCGGGGGAGGGGCACCGGGGTATGACCCGGGCTGGGTCGACGACGGAGCTGGATACCCATGGCCAGGAGCTCCCGGGGGGGTCTGTGAGGGCGTCGTTGCGGGCGGTCGCTGGGCTGCTACAGGCAACAGGGTCAGCCATCACGGTCCGTTGAAAGCTACGTGTGTGGATCTTGCGGCTTACCGAGCGCAGCAAGGATGCTCTGGATGTCAGGCTGGGGCTGTGAATCCGCCATAGCCGCGGTTCAGTGGGCAAGATGCGAAGACGGAAGGCTATTCAGCGGCTGCGGCTGCGGCTGTCACGGCTGGGCAGACCACGACGAAGGCTTTCTCGGAGGCGAGAAGGACACGCGGCTCAGGAGCAGCAAGCAGGTTTATGGGCTTGTCTTTTGCGACAGCGTCGAGGTGTGTCTTGTTTGGACGTCGGCCGCGATTCAACCTCGAGCGCAGTGTTTGGAGTTGCACAACGGCAGCGAGGGCAAACTTGTGCGAGCTGGTCGAGGTGGTCAGGGCACGAAGCCTGGCCAGCGTTACAAATGCGTTTGCGCAAATGGGAGCGGGCGAGGCGGTCGCGAGGTTCGATGCAGGACGCAAGACGTCTGCCCGGGAAGGGAGACAGGAGAGAGGAGAGGGTTGCCGGCGACGGCGAGTGGCGCTGCTGGATCGTCTGACCTCGATCAGGGCAGGCGAGAATGATGATGGCTGGGTGACTGCATGTGCCCTTGGGGATCGTCGCCTCCAACTGCCACGGCGCAGCTTGGGCAGTCGATTTTTTCTTGCGCCTGGCGCAGTAGCGCCGCCGGAATAACCACGTGCCGAAGCTGCCGCCTTCGCGTGGCGCTCAGGCGCTCCGGCGCTTCTTCAGTTCGAGGCGGCAGCAGCATTGGCCCACATTCCATGCCATTCGCTTTGACTTGACTTGCTCGACTTGATGAGCGTCGGTCGGGCGAGGCTGGACCTTGGATGCTTGGCTGGCCTGCCCTGCCCTGCCCTGCCCTTTTGCCTTGCCTCGCCTTGCGTCCCGCCCGGAACATGAGGCAGGAACAAGGTGGTCTGGCAAGGGGGGGCCCGGTCCCATAAGTACCGAAGCATCTGCTGATGTACCCCTAGATCAACACACGCATACTCATGCATTTGCTCTGCTTTGGAAGTCAAACGGCGTCGGGCTGCAGGAAAGAAACGGGCATTTCCCACAGGGTACACGAGTGTGCCCATTAAAGAGCCGTACTGCAGCGTGCCAACGCCAACGCCAACGCCTGCGCCTCCGAGCGCGCCTCCGAAGACGGCCAACGCCCACGCCCGTCCCCGTGACTGTGGTGACTGTGGCCCCCGTTCCGTGATGGCGGATCCCGCGCCCTCGTATTGTTCCTGGTGGTGGGCACGGCACTGTCGGCGTTGAGTTGCGCAAGGGGGACGGACAGCACTGTGCTGGCATTCCCTCAGCCGGGGCAGTCGTACAGTATCCATGGATGTGAGGTCGCATTGCTACGATCCCCGTTTCACGTCGGCAAGACGGCCTCGTCTGAGGCACGTCAAGCAAAGCATGATACCGCGCTGTATCATGCACGGGAAAGGCGAAGAAGCGCCGCTGGCGACGGGCACAACAAGAAGCTCGCGCCTCAATAGACCCGCCCAGGCGCACCACGCCAGCGCCTCACCGTCCAACATGCTGCCCAGTGCGCGGCTGTTGACTGCTGAGTGGCTGGTCACCTCAGTCGTACGAGACCCGACTTCTTTGGTACAGGCACGGGCAGGCACAAGGCGCAGGCACAGTGCACCGAGGTACCCCAGATTGCCAGGCCGCTGATGCTACCTGCAGTACCACCTCGCTACAGACTGCGGCAGCAGCAGCACTGTTGGTTGGGTACTAGGTAAGGGTACTGCGACGCTCTTCCATGTGTGTCGCCGCCGGATGCCCGGCTTCTGCATGACTCCGTGGCGACGAGGCCCCCCATTACGTGGCCTCGGCCAATGGACAGGACGACTGTCTCTCGTGGTTCGTGTCGTGGGCAGACCTCTGGCGTTTAAGTAGTCGGGCAGATCGCAACCACCTCGCATGCTGCGATTTTCCATTCCGCATACTACGACGTCCTACATAACACCTATTACCGTACCTCACCTTGATCAGCTTACCTATCCTCTCTCCCTCCCACCAGACCGTCGCCCTGCGGGACCATGACGCCCTGCACGGCCCCTGCGGGCAACTGACCTACCGGCCCTGACGGAAGCGCGCACTCTGCCATCGACGACTCAGCCGCAATCGCTTGCCAACGTTCCGTTCCCTGCCGCGACCATGTGCTCCAAGATCGTTGTCCAGTACAAATGCAAGCACCAGGTCATGAGGGGGAGCACGAGGTGCTTCCGTGAGGACTGCCCCGGCCGACGGGAAGAGATTATCCACAGCGAGGATCAGTGCGCGGATTGCGACGCGAATAAGAGATTCCATTCCGCCAGGTGGTGTCCTGTTGGATGCAACTGCTGCGTGGTGATGTAGGTGGTTCGGGCCATCGACCGGGGCCATGGGGAGCGACCAGAGTCGGCGACTGCATCGGCCCCGACATCCAAGCAGGTTGGCTCGCCGCCATGATCAAAGAACAGGGGTTATCAAAACGGACGATTTCATATTTGTTCCGAAGCGGGACAAGACGGTCAAGCGAAGAGGCTGGAAGCTGGACAGCCCAACAACTCGAGGTTACCATTGGGTCGGGTCAACGAGGTTCGAGAACCATGTATGAAGTTATGAAGTAGCAACTCAAGCGAATACCCAAAAGTCCCCTGCGTCACGATTCTGCAGCCCAGTTTGCCCATGGCAAGCCACCGCAGGTGGTGTTGACGTTGCACAACGGCCCGCGCGGAGGACGACTTACACGCCGCCGCCGTTGACGGCGCAGGGCCACAAAGCGAGACAGAAACGCCCGCGCGTCCAGGCAAGGGCTTGGAACGCGAACATTGATGCACGTCACTTTAGGAGAAATACAGCCTCGAACCGGCTAATATCTCAAGGCCATGGTTCCCCGCATGGTGGGAAAGGCGCGGCGGACAGGCGACCAGAGGAACTCGGGGGCGGGGACAGCATGACGGTTCCACTGACAGCGGCAATATGCTATCCTAGATCGCATTTACATGTACATGATGAACGGGTTCCTGTACGGACTGACAGACACCGACTCGGGAAGGGATGCTGCGCGGACAGTTGACTGACGAGTGCAAGCTGCGCGAGTTTCGATACAACCTCGGGCGCATCACCCACTTGATAGGCGCCGTGCTAATCCTGCAGGCCTGGCGGTTTTAGTGCATCGCCCACCACGCATTGGGGCCGTTGTCAGACCACCCGTGGACGTCCATAGTGGATGTGGGGGCACAGCACATGGAACTGGGACTGGCTCGATTCCCCCCCCCTGGCCTGAGAGGGCCGGACGGCTGCCCTGGGAGGCTTCCATTGCTTCCCCGTCCGCCCCAATGCGACGTAAGACTGCCAATCTGGCGAACCCTTGGCTGGCGGACCCCAGATTTGCCCCAACCCGCCGCCTGTCGATCCATCTGCTCGTGCGTGTCGTGCTGCGCTGATGACGCCCCTGCCCTCCTTAGCCTTTTAGCGGGCAGCTACCCTATTACCAGCACCTTGACCCGCGCTGCAACGCCGCTGGCCTTCACTACGCTGCACCCCATCGTCATCCCTCATCGCACCGCACTCCCGCGTCCGCTCGAGCTGATCCCCCCAGCTCTGCGCCAACCGCCGACACGCCATCGCAATCAGCCCTCACGCCATGGCCAAGAAGGCGCGTCAACGCATCAGCTACGGTGAGTCGCCTGCGCCGCGCCTTGCCGTGTCGTGTCGTCGGTCCGCTGTCGTGACGGGTCGGCGGTGCCTCCTCATCGCCGTCTTCGTCGCCAGCCCCGCACCGTTGTCGTAGGACCAGCTCCGCGCAGCCACCCGAGACATTGAGACCGCGACGAACCGTGTGTTGCAGGACCCTGCTCTAACCCGTCGTTTTTCTTCTTTGCAGTCCTCGAGAATGCCAAGTCTTCCGCCGGCGGCCATCGCCTAGGCGTCAACGGTCTCGCGGTCGACGCGGGCAACGGTATCCTGTGAGCTCGATTCCCTGTTGGCCCCTAGCCCTCCGCGCCCGCAGCTGACCTAGCGGCCTCCTTCCAGATACTCGGGTGGACGAGACGGCATCGTCTGCGCCTGGGATGTGAACCTCGCCCCTTCTCGAGCTGCCGCCCAGGATGGCGCCTCCAAGACCGCGGACCAGCCCCCGACGACCGCCTTCCGCGCCCAGTGCCAGGCGCACATGCACTGGATCAACGACATCGCCCTGGCGCAAAACAATACGGCGCTGGTGTCTGCCTCGTCCGACCTCTCCGTCAAAGTGTGGCGGCCACACTCCCAGGAGGACAACACGCGGGCCCTGACCATCGGCGAGCACGCAGACTACGTCAAGTGCGTCGCCACGCCCCCGGCCGACGTCAATGCCAATTGGGTCGCATCCGGCGGCCTCGATCGCAAAATATGTCTGTGGGACCTGAATGGAGCCGGCAAAACGCTGGAGTTTGATGTCAAGGGCGAGGAGATCACCGAGAAGGGCTCTGTCTACGCTCTCGCCGTTGGGCGCAACGTCTTGGCCAGCGGCGGGCCGGAGAAGACTGTTCGACTATACGACCCCAGGACGGGCTCCAGGGTCTCCAAGCTCGTCGGCCATCTGGACAACATTCGCTCCATTCTGATTGACGAAGCAGGCGACACCATTCTGAGTGCCAGTGCCGACAAGACAATCAAGATGTGGAGCGTCAAGGGCGGTCGATGCATGTACACCTTTACCATGCACGACGAGAGCATCTGGTCCCTCTACTCGGACGACCCCCGCCTCGGCATATTCTACAGCAGCGACCGCTCTGGCCTGGTAGCAAAGACCGACGTCCGCGGGAGCCTGGAGGACATGGACGATGGTCTCAGTCTTGCCGTCGCCCAAGAGCACTTTGGCGTATCCAAGGTGGTTGCCGCTAACGGCCACATCTGGACAGCGACCAACAGGTCCTCCATCAACCGCTGGGCAGACGTTGATACGAGTGGCGACATCAAGCTGCCAGAGGCTTTCCGACACCAACGGGCGGCATCGGCAGCGTCCCACCGACCGCGTCAATCATCGCTGTCCAAGGTCGACGCCCCCAAGGACAAGGGGAAGGAGATACCTTCCGAGTCTATTCTGCGGCTATCGAGCACGGCCGTCTTCCCCTCAAGGTCCACGCTTGACCCAGAGTCCAATACCCTGAACGAGACCTTGGCCAGGAGGGGGTCAGAGGTCATTGTCGAGCAGCCAGATCCCGAGGTGAAGCCCATTCATCAGCTGCCAGAAGAGACCATTGAGGGCCAGTTTGGTCTATTGAAGCACAAAATGCTCAACGATAGGAGGCGCGTTCTAACTCTGGACACCGCTGGCGATGTCCTTTTGTGGGACCTGATTTCTGTATGTAAACCCCAGGAATGGCATATGGAGGCATCACTGACATCCTTACCAGTGTACCTCCATACAAAGCTTCGGGAAACAGCACCTAGAAGACGTCGAAAAGCTGGTCAATACCCGCGAGGCCGTGGCTCCGTGGTGCTCGGTTGATCTCAGTTCCGGAAATCTTACAGTGGTGCTGGAGCCGTTCAACTGCTTTGATGCCGAGATTTACGCCGACGAGCTCCAGCTGCAAGAGCCGATTGAGTTTAGAGAAGACCAGAGAAGTACGGCCCCAGAGCCCACGATGCTCAGGCTCACTGTATCATTTGGCTGACCACGCATGCAGTCAGCCTGGGACGGTGGATTCTTCGTTACCTGTTTGCGAATCTGATCGACGAAGAGATTAAACGAGACGAGCTATACCGTCAGAAGCTAAACGAAGAGGTTGAGAAGAGACTAGCCGCTAGACGAGCCAACGCGCCGACAGTGATCGATATTCCAGAACCTGGTCTGCAGGGGCAAGATCAGGTTACGACACCCCGAGCAAATGGGGCTCACCTCCACGTTCCGACACCAGGCCTCGGAATCGGTCTCGCAAGTCCCGGCCCCGCTGGGAGTCTGCCGGGAGTCCCAGAGGAGGCAGTGGCTAGTCCGTCCGAGCGACGCATCTCTGCAGAAAAGGACGACTACTTCTCCGCTGACGCATCCGCCAAACCGGCTGCGACCCCAGCAACGGACGAAGGCAAGACATCGACGGATGAGAAGGGGAAAGACAAAGACAAAGACAAGGAGAAGGCCGGCGACGCTGCCAAATCGCCCAGCACACCTTTCGGGAAGAAGTTTCGCATGTCCTTCAGCTCCAAGAAGCTCGGTCGCTCACTGTCCCAAGCCACCCAGGAGAAGCCGGTGGTCACTGAGGACAAGGCCGAGGAGTCGGAATCGTCCTCGAACCACGAGAAGGAGGTTGACGACAGCTTCTTTGGCGTCGTTCAGAAGATCCGCAATGAGTATGACAAGCAACTGGCCGAAGTGCCGGACAAGCTCGTGGAGACGCGCGTTACGCCGAGTCTCCCTACCGAAACGCCAGTTTTGAAACTGCCCCCAGGCACAAAGGTCATTATTCAAGAGGAGACTTCTGGAGGTAGCGCAAATCTCTACGAGGGCACCGTCGAAAATGTCGGTCGAGATGCCGACATCATCGAGCAGAAGGCGCCGATGTGGCTGGGAGACGTTCTGCTCCAGAACCAGATTCCTTTGAAGGACCCCGTCAAGATTTCCTTCGTCCTGCACCCCATGGGCGACCTGCTCCCCATCTCTCCGGCCGACGGCACCAACAGGCTCAACGCGAACAGAATGCTGCGCGTGAAGAAGATCTTGGCGTATGTTGCGGAGAGAATCGAGGAAGTGCCGGAGGAGGAAGAGGAGGATGAGGACGCGTTGCAGCCGGAAGAATACCTTGAACTGTACTGCAACGACCAGGTACGCGTATCTCCACGGCCACTACAACTTCTTGCGAGCTGACATATTTCTAGTTGCTCAACCCGGCGATGAGCCTGGCCACCATCCGAACCCATGTGTGGAAGGGCGGCAACGACGTCGTTCTTTACTACAAGGCGAATGGCCGCAAGGTCATCAAGCCTCTGAAGCAGCCCTCGGAGACGCCAGCCGCCGAGGGCGAGGGCACAACCCCGACCGCAGGCCCACCTGCGCCAGAGGCCGGGACCGCTGCGCAGTCGTCATAGGACCGCTCTCATGTTTACTCGCTTGCCATATTCAGTGGACGCAACGCATTCCAGGGGTCGAGGTGTTTGTGGGGTGTTTCTATTCTATTTTTGAACTCTCGTCTGGTTTGTTTGTACATGAGCTGGCGGGGGGCCTACCGACCCCGGAGCGAGCGATATAATGTTCTTGATCCTCCGTCTGTCTGTCTATGCGGGTAGAGGGATCACATGGCGCAGGATCCCGTGTACAAGCGTCTATATACCTTTTTTGGTACTCCTCGTTCACGTCGTATCGTACAGGCGCCGCCTTGCGGTGTCACGCCATTGTCCGCATCGTGTTGATGGCCCACTGGTAGCTTCCGAGGAAGATGGCGCCGCCGATGGATATCCAAGTGACGCGCGGCGCGACGCCCGCGAAGAAGGGCCGCACGCCCTCCTCGCGGGCCATGCGGCGGAAGACCTCGCCGACCGAGACGCGCTCCTTGGACAGCATGACCCTCGTCTTGAGGACGTCGAGGGGGGTGGTCGTGGCGGCGGCAATGGCGCCGGCCACGCTGCCGAACACCGCGCTCTCCACGCCCGACACGTCCCCTCCGCCGTCGCCGCGCCGGCGCCGGCGCCAGGCCTTCATGGCCTCCCACAGCGGGAACTGGATGACAGTAAAGGGCACCTCGCGGAACACCGTGATGCCCCAGCCGCGGTACATCTCGCGCCAGACGGCGCCCAGCCCATGCGTCGGGTACCGACCGAGAATGGCGCGCAGAGCGGCGGCAGAGGAGCCGCCGTGCAGGCCCGCCTGGGCGCGCTGCTTGACGACCTCGGTGGGCACGCGGACGGCGCAGGCGGCCACCTCGCCGAGGCTGGCTGCGACCATGTGCGTCGCCGCGTCGGGCAGCAGGGCAGCGCCGCGGTCGCCATTCGCGCCGCCGCCGCCGGAGGAGCCCAGCAGGCCCTTTGTGGCCTCGTACGTGCAGAAGAAGAAGGCGGCGCCGGGGGCGGAGCCGACGAGCGCGGAGCCGATGCCGCGGTATATGCCGGAGAAGCCGCCCGAGGGGAAGAAGCCGGCCGAGGACTGGAGGCGGGTCTTGAGGGTGTCGAGCGGGAAGAGGGAGAGGTCGACGGTGGTGCCGGCGAGGGCGCCGGCGAGGAGGGCGGACTGGAAGGGAGGCGGCGAGGAGGACGAGGACGACATGGCTTTTTCGTGGGGTCGAGGGCGGGCGGAGCGCGCCTCTCTCGTTTCTTCTCTAATTCTATCGCTCCCCTGGGAGTTCGAGTGTCGGGAGGAGAGGAGGGGAGAAAGGCCCGGAGCCTTTGAGCTCCCAAGGGCGGAAGAGGGGGAGCAGGTTCGCGTGGAGGGGTCGGATTGATGCTGGGTGGTGGTGGTCTGTTGTAAGTGGGCGCGGGTGGGATTTCGCAGAGTACGCAGTCGAGAAGCTGCGCCAGTTCGTTATCGATAGCGGGTCGTTCGCCGGAGGTCGGAGATCGACGAACTCCCGTGCAGCTCCGTGGTTGCGGCACGCGCCATATTACCCTGCACCGAAGGTACCCGCGCGGGTAGCGGCATAAACGGTGGTATTCGTCGTCGTAGCCATTGTACGTTTGGAGTGGATTTTTGTATAGGTGCAGAGGCCTATCGATTTGATGTAATTCGGTGCTTTGATGTGTTGCTCTGGAAGAGACTATATCCCTGAACTGTCCGGGGAGTGTTAACGCGATTCACTTCAGGACACAGACTGGAGTGTGACACCAACAAATGCCAAGCTCCCACAAAGTGTACTACATCTGCATCCGACACCACCTGCACTCTGTCCTTGGCACAAGAGACACCTTTGTGAGCTTCTCGTGAAACCATATATGCACCTCTCCCGCGCCGAGATGGGGCTCCAAGTCCACGACAGCAGCAGCGATGCATGCGTATGCTTGCCTGCGCTGGGGCCCCCTAGGCGTGTGCATACGCAGCCCCCCGTCGAGACTCACACATGCAGGGCAGAGATGGACGACGCCCCTCTACACCTGGCCTCACACCCATCCCCAAACAAACATCCAATGCGCAATCCGTAATTAAGAGAAAAAAGGGGGTCAATTGAGCCCCTCCCTGTGTTTTGACACGCCGTGCACCCATCCGTCCGTTGAGCCTCCTCGCGTCCCCTTAAGGCCCACCGCAACGGCCATGCTGCTGCTCCTCTCTCCCTCTGGCAGATACAATAACAACCACAGTAAACCAACATGTGAGCTCCATTTGCGGAGCCCCCCCTTCGTCCCAAGTAAGATCCGTAGCAGTACCGTACTGTGCAAGTACGCAGCCCCAAGATTCCTTCTACATTCCGTCACGGACGCTCGTCCCCGCCTTGGACGTCTCCTCGGCCGCGCGCTTCGTCCGCTCCTGCAGCTCGCTGACGCCCTCCTTGGACGAGCGGTCCGCCTTCACGGCCTCCTCGCTGTCGGACGCGAGCTCCGGCTTCCAGTGGCCCGAGCCCTTCTTCTGCTTCTCGAGCGAGTCGCGCTTGTGCTTGTCGTAGTCCTGGTCGGTTTCTGTGTGCCCCCACGACGTCCCAAGGTTCGATGGTCAGTTCACATACTTTTCCCAGTCACCGTGGTGTAGCGTTTTGTGATGCTAAGGGGGAAGGAAGAGATGGATTGGGGTGGTGGAAACGGGGCACATAGATGGGTAACAACGTACGGCTGGACGACTCCTTCAGGCCCAGGCGCGCGCTCGTCGACAGGGAGAAGCCCCGGCCGACGACGGCGCGACCCATGGTCGCCGTGCGCAGCGTGTGCGTGGTGATGAGACTCCGTGCGGGCATCATCTTGAGAGCGATTGAGATGAAAGAGTAAATTCTGGGCGATTGGAAGTCCCGAAGAGTACGTGGCGAGTATTTTTCGTTTTATGTGACGGCCGATTCGACAGGACGCAGACTGCTACACTCAACGTCGAGTAGTAGAAGCAGCTTGGAAGGGGGATATGCCAAGCCAAGGAGAATCTCGTCGAAGGAGGGCAGGGGGAGGGCAATTGAGTCGTATTTACACGTTACAGTGATTCTAGAAAGAAGAAGAGAGGAAACAGAGACGAAACAGCAGCCGATGCGCTGATGCCATGGCACCGGCATCTGCCCGCAATCGTGCACCAGGAGGGCGTTGTCCGGGGCCTTGACGTCACCATTTCCGCATCGCCCCGTCGTCCGACCTCCTCGGGTCTGCGTGCGCGCCCATCGATCGCCTGCCCGGTGCGCCAATTACCAGCTGCCAATTACCACCGGCCCAGGCCAGGGCGAGGAATGGCAAGCAGACCCTCAAGAGGGGTCCAGATCGGACCTGACACGGGCGAGAATGCCAGCGTTCTCGAGGCCCCCTGACGTTGTCCACATCGGCGCATTCTCATGACGCACGTTCTGCCATCCGCCAGCGTCAAGGTCAGCCCCCAGGCCCTGTCGCTCATTCACTTGCTCACTCATTCACTGTTCACTGGCAAAGACTGCGCTGCTTCTTGAACATATCGTATATTCTCATCTGCAGGCCATTCAAGCCGCGGTATCTCGCAACCTTTGAAGCGCCATAACCGGAAAGCATGCCAGCCATCGTCACACAGGACAGGCGTCAGATCCCCAACAAATTGGTAACTAACACCAGGGCTCGAGGGCCCAAGAAATCCCAAACAAACCCCCATCGCAAACCAGATCATGTCGTAACTGTGCCTCCTCATGCCTCTCCCATATGCTCGCCGTAGTAGAGATAATAAACCCATCCCAGTGACAACTCATCCAATGGCACCCCCTCCCGTGAGTGATAATAGGCAACGCAACCTTGGCCGCCGTACGTACAAGAAAACAGAAAATGGACAAGCCGCTTTCCCATTTAGTTGCACATGGGGGATCTCGCAAAACAACCCAAACGACGCAAAATGCAACGACCAACTCCCCGTAATCCCAATAGAGCCCGTTTCCAGTTGGATGATATGCGCGCGCAAACATCAAGACACCCGCTCGTCTGTGCCGACTGCCGCTCGCCCTAAACAATCCCGTATGTGACGCGAACAGAACGCAAATCCAGATGTTCGTCCGTCGTCAAGAGTCTCCCCTTTCTATATGTTCTTTTCAAAGGTTTTTTGGTTTTGCCTCTTGGTGTGAAGTCGTGACCCGTGACCGTGAAGAGTGGGTGGTAAAAAAAAGACATTTTCGGAGACCGCAAAGCAAGTCTCCGTCGCAACGCGCGCCAGTGTAAGGGATGAAGGGATGCCGAAATCATTAGTCCCAACTCCGCCGTCGGTGCCGAGCACAACGTGGCCCGAAATGCAGGTCTTCGTGCACAAAAACAACGCCTGTTCGCGTCGGTGTCGCCTCATCTCGCGGGGCGGGGCGCACCAACTTGTCCAAATAGTGCATCCGGCAAGTATTAAAACAAAACGAAGAAAAAGTGGCATCGAGCCTTCTCAATCGCGTCGCTGAATGGTCCTCGTGGGTATCTGTTGGAGGGTGTTTGTCGGTATGTCGATTAAAGAGCTTGTACAGATGGTTGGAGAGGTTGAGAGTCGTCTTCGTCCAGCGGTCCAGCAGCCGAGCTGGGTGCCTCAGAGGCACCAGCACGGATGCACGCCGTATTATAACAGACCCGCCCTCGAGAATCATAGCCCGCAACGAGAAGGTGTTGCCGCTTCTTGTCTTGCTTTGGTGTGCGCCCGCCATAAAATGAGGCAGATGCCGAGAAACGAACAGACGGTAATCTCAGATTACAATGCACGACACCCGGCGGCAGAGCTGGAGCCCGACCTCGCATCCATCAAGGACACGCGAGGGCGCGACTCCGAAAATACTCTTACCACCGACGGCCGAGCGGCGTCTGCATGCCGGCGGGCGACACCGAGGGCGGCGGGCTGGACATGGAGATGCCAGTCGCAGGGTTGATGATGGGGATGGCGTTGCGGCCGCGCGTGGCCGAGGGCTGGTGGAGCTTGATGCTCGACTGCTGGCTGTGGAAGCTGGGAGGGATGAAGGCGGGGGAGGACGAGTTGAGAGAGAATCCCGGAGCAACCGTCTGGGGCTGCTGCGTGGGCGAGGACTCGGGCGAGTTGCTCGCGAGCGACGAGCGTTCCGAGGCGCTGGAGATGGAAACCAGCTGTTCGGGGGACCAGTCAGAGGCACTGCTGTGCGAGGGGGAATAAGGCTCCACCAGGCTGCTACTCACGTCGGTCTCGGTCAACAGGTTGGGGCAGAACTCAAGGTCGTCCTCGAGCTCGAAGGAGCGGCCGGCCTCGAACTTCATGCGGAACGCGGACAGGGCAGCCGACTCGTTGAGGTCCTTCATGCTGCGAGCGCCGCGGAACTGCCTGTGCGCGTTCTGGGAGACGGAGAGCCGAGGCGCACGGCGGTTGCGACCGCCGCCGCCGTGGTGGTGGTGGTTGTGCGACATGGGGGCGGCGTGCGCCGTTTGCGCATTGTAGTGGTAGTATGAGGCCATCATGTGTCGTCCAGGGCGGAGGCTGTGGTTGTTGGATCCAGTATCGGTGTGGTTTGCGGCCAAGCGACGAGGCAATTGGGGGCGGCGTCGTGGAGAGGATCGGTGTGAAGGCGCGTTGGAGGTGATTGTTGTTTCTAGCTTTGGAGCGTGTGCTGTTGAACAAACGCGAGGTCGCGATGGCTGCGTTGTATTGAAGCGGTAGCGTGGAGGGGGATGGTCGGAAAAAGAAAGAGAAGCAGAGATGGAGGGAGATGGAGATGAGGCGGCGATGCAGCGGTGTTGGACCGGATTTGCTTTTAGGTGAAGGGAGGAGAGTAGCGGAGGGAGCGGTACGGCGCAGAAGGTACTGGTGGGCAGTGGGCGAGAAGGGGGGGTTCAGTCCGGGCTGGAGAGGACGAGTGCGGCGGGTTTTTGTTGGTTGGGGCTGCCACTTGCTCCCACTTGCTCCCACTCGCTGGGTTTCCACTCGCTCGCCGCCTGCAGCGAGTGAGGACGCACCTGAGGGACCCGAAATGGGGAGCCATGCCGCAGGCGGCGAATGGGAGGCGGGCAGCGCTGGGTCCGTCGCCTTCGCCACCACGCAGTGATTGGGCTGGCATGCAGACCACTAGACCGCAGTGGGTCTAGCACAAGGCCAGGGGTGGGCGCCAATGTTGTAATTTTGGGGCGGGGTGGGCAGGCGAGACAGTGCGCGGGACAGTGTCGGGGACGCCCCGGCCCAGGCGGGCTGGCTGGCGCACGAGGGACGGCGAGCAGGCCAGGGTCGCCCAGTGGCGCTGCCGCCAGAGGCAGCCAGAAGCCGCCAGAGATGACGAAGATGGCTCGCTGCGAGCGCCACCTGGCCAGAGGAGCACCCGGGCGGGCTCGGGGGCGGATGAGGAGTCACCAGCTCACCTCGCGCTGGACTGACCACCGCCGCTGAGGCCACCACCTAACCTTGCGCCCGCGCCGCGCCGGGTCGCTTCTGCACAGGACAGTCATCAACCCGCCCGCGGCAAAAGGGACGAAAGGCAGGCCGGCGCTCAGCGTGGCCCCGGCGGCGGCGTGCTTTCATCCCACAGCCAGTCGCCAGCCGACGGCCGCCGCGCGCGTGTGCGCCTCGCAGGTAGGCCCGGTAGCCAGTACCTCTGCCACGCAGCCACCGGCGCTGCTGCCTCCGGTACGATGAACCTCTGCGTCGCCAGCGTCGCAACCCCCCCGAGGCAGATGGCAGGGTATCGCCCGTTGGCGCACAGTCACACCACCGAAGCCACACGGTCACACCACCGTGACGCTCCGGCGCCACACCCAGTGCCAGAAACGGCGGGCCCTCGCATTCCAGCAGCCTCCGCCGCCTGTCACTTGACCGGCCGCATTCTGCTGTCCCTTCCTCCGTGCCTGCGTCGAGTCCCTGCCTCGATGGGTAAGCAGGGCCCATTTCTCTGCTGCGTGCCTGGTTCCAGCTCACGCTCCAGAAGGCCGAGGCGGCTCTGGCCCGTCTGGCTCGTCTCGAAGGATTCCTCCCTCCCTCCCGTTTCCCCGAGCTGTGCTGTCGCTGTTGCGCCGGGACAGTCCATCCCTTTCCGGCTCGTCCGAGTCGAGGGCAAAGGCCGGAAGGGTGCACTGATGACGAAGTTGGTGCTCGCTCGCAGCTCGCCTGGAGGGGCCCATCCGTGCCTGGCCTGGCAGGGCACTGGGCGCCCACGGCACCTTGCTGGCCAGCACTCGAGATTACCCATGCAGGAGCCCATCGCCAGGGCCTGGCGCCAGAGCCCATCGATTCTGTGCCGGCCGGCCTCGTCAAGCTCGCCCAGTCTCCCTCCCCCTCCCTGCAGACACGCTCCCACCAGCCCAGCCGCTGGTGAAACCCGTCACTGGGTCCCCGTCCCAATGTGCCAGTACAGAGAAGGGACTGGACCCTTGGTCTGGCGAGCGGCATTGATGCATCGAAACACGGAGGGTGGCAGCGATCGGCTGGGCGCCGGCGCCGGCGCCGGCGACTGCGAGCTGATGGCTGACCATCCTGCCCACCCGGGTTGCACCAGGCAAAGGAGGACAAGGCTTCCAAGCCGCTCGGCGAACCTGAGGGACCACGCCGGCGTCCAGCGTCAGCAGGTCCCAAGGCGACGGGCTCGTTGCCGGCGGCTGGGCCGCATGCTGTGCAGAGCGTGGCGGCTGGGAGGGGACGAAACCCGCCCCCCTTCCATCGCATCCATCACACTGTGCGCCAGGCGCAGCACGCAGCAGGCAGCACGCACCTCGACGCACGCACCGGGCTCGAGACTGGGCCGCCCGTTGTGTGTGGGGCACCACAGCCGCCTTGCGGTGGTGAACAAGCGAACAAGTGTGCATCTTTGGTGCAGCGTCGACGTGACTGGACGGCCCAGGACGGCGCTGGCGTCAGCCACGCCACCCCAGGCTGGCGCACGGATCGTCCCTCCGCCATTCGGCAGGCCGGATGATGGGCAGTGGATGAGTGGGAGCACCCGGCTGCACCGCGGGCGAGCGCCTGACGATGCGCCAGATGCAGACGGGAGACGCAGATGCAGCCGCCGGGGCTGAGCTGGAACCGGCCGGCGCTGCACTCTGTGGGACAGTAACCGTGAATCCAGGTCGACCGTCCGACGGACGAGCACGATTGTACAACAGCAGAGCCCCTTTCAAACCGTCGCACGGCACCAGATTTGATCATGAAACACCGTCGTCATAGGGCGGTGGCTCTGTACAGCTCCAATGCCAAACGTGGCCAGAGGAAGCGGCCGTGGGCGAGACATTGAGGCATTGACGAATGACACTGGCTGGCACCAACGACAATAACATTGAACGATGCCGGCGTGAATCAAAACAGAGACGAACGCACGCTGCCCTTTCGCAGCTGGAGCACCCTCGACGAGTTGAAAGACATATTGGCATCAACTTGCGGATCAGCCGTGCTCGGGACAGGTCTCGCCTGACTCCTCACCTCGAGGGGTCCTCCACGGTCGACCCCACGTTGTGGCGCGCCCTGGCCTGGCATCTGGGTCCCTTCTCGGCCGGTCCCAGTAATAGCGACGGCCCAAGTGACGCGTCGCCCTGAAGTGTCCAGCCCAACAAGCGTGCTCCTGGCCGGGGCGAAGAGTCATCTCCTGGGCGTGCCCGCTTGGCATGCCGTGCATTGTGCTGCACCGCAGAAAGCACGATGACATACAGAGGGCGGTTTCTGCCCACCGGACAGCCAAGACGGTGCGTGAAGGAGGAGCAACAATACCTGACCTAGCGCCGCGGCCCAGGGCAGACCAGGCCAGGGGTTTCCTGTCCGGTTCCTGCGTCGCCAGCCTCCTTTCCATCTGGTCGGACCTGCCGGAGGCTAGCGAGCTGTGAACCCGGCAGTCTATTCAGCCCGGGCTGGACGAAGAGCGGTGGCCGGGCGAGGCCCGTCCGCATGGGCTTCACCGTCGCAGCCAGCGCAACGACCACGGCATGCGACATCACCGGCGAAAAGAGGATCGAGATGCTCATGTGCAGACGTCGCTGAAGATGATTGACTGCAGCGAATGACGGGCATTAGGTTTTGACGGGTCCTAACGGGCGTGAACGCGACACACCGCTCTTTGCGTCGAGGCGGGTCCCCTTTTCTTCTCTTCACCACTTCGTCCCGCCCGCCAGCCTTGCGGCGCACCGTCCACTGTCGCCTCACTCCCTCCCCCCTCCTTCGTCGGCAACGGCGGTTTTAGGGGTGGGTGGTGCGTCTCGCAGACCACGCGGAGGAGAGCTTGCGCCCGTGTCTCACTGTGAGGGGCTCCCCCCAGCATTGCAACATGCACTAGACGCTCAGCTGCAGCATCGGCTCCCCCACAGGCAGACTGGCCTGGTTTGGTTATCGCGGCGTGTCGAGGAGGGGGGACGGGGGCTGGACGTGGTTGGCCCTGGGCGCGCAGCCACCCGGAGTCCGCGTTGAATCGAAGAACCAAGCCTCCCGAAATATCTCGAGCACCCGCCGTCCACCCGCACCCCAGCCACGCGGGTTGTCCGCTCCGCCCCGAATGAGACCTCCGGCGATGACGGAGGCTGCTCCGGCAGAGACAGGGTCGCGAGTCTCTTGTTGCACGACGCCGCCGCCGCCGCCGTTGCGACTTGAGATGGGCATGAACTTCTGCTAGACAGATGCGATGCGAAACTGCGCGCTATGAGCTGGTTGTACGGGCGATGAGATGCCCGACTGCACGGCAACTGGTGCCAGTCTCATGCCCGAGCGTGCAAGTTGCCGTGGGCGGACCGCCTTGTTACAAGACGCGCCACCTCACGGACGAGGATGCGGTGCCGTTGAAAAGCTCCCGACTCGCAACGGCGTTTCCATGTCCGATGCCTTGTTGCCGAGAGTCAGCGCCCAGCACCGCCGACTGCAGCAAGGAGCCATGGTGAATATTGCCAGCATTGGTCGACAGCCACCAAACGTCGGAACAGACAAGGTGTAGACGATCGTGCGCGCCCACGACGATGAGGTCTGGCCTCAGAGCCTCTACAACGGTAAACAACACTCGCTTGCTACGGGTGGTGATTATGCCCGCTCACCATGGCTTCCTCGCCCTCACTCGTATGCTACGGACTATACGCATGTCCGCGCCCGCACGCTGAGCGCAGCGGAGTCCGTCGGCCCCGCCCGTCAGGCCGCTCCCTCGGCACTCATTCGGCTTGGGCCGCGCGCTCGCCCAGCGGCCGCCCTCGAACCGCTCATCTCAACCAAGAGCATTCCAAGGACGGCGAGTGAGGAAACGACGCAAACATGGTCCATCGCCTCGCCCTTTTCGGCTCGAGCCGCGCGGTGGATGCTGCTGTCGTGACTGCAGCGGCATGTCTTTCGCTTTACATCTGGCTCCGCCCCGCACTCGGCGAGCCATCCCGGCCGAGGAGGCACATCACCTCGAGAGCCCGTGAATCGGCTCGATCGACTTCGTCGAAGGGTGCTTTGCCGTATCCCCCTGACGTCTTCCCTGGTGGCCGTGATGTCGAAACCGAGTATGGGACGATCAAGGTGTTTGAATGGGGACCCGAGGACGGTGAAAAGGTCCTGCTGATGCATGGCATTGGGACACCGTGCGTGGCTCTCGGGGACATGGCCAAGGAGTTTGTCGAAAGGGGGTGCAGAGTCATGCTATTTGGTGAGTCTCATCTGGAGACGCTGGTTGCCTTTGACCCTCTTCGCTGAACAGCGCCTAGACTTCTTTGGCAGAGGGTATTCCGATGCGCCAGTCGACGTTCCCTACGATGAGCGGCTGTACACGACCCAGATCCTCCTCGTGCTGGCGTCGTCACCGCTTCCCTGGACCGGCTCCTCCGTCTTTCACCTCCTAGGCTACTCGCTAGGCGGCGCGCTTGCCGCGTCCTTTGCCGCCTACCACCCGTCCCTCGTTCGGTCCCTGACCCTCATCTGCCCTGGCGGGCTGGTCCGACCCTCGCACGTCAGCTTCAAGAGCCGCCTGCTCTACACGCAGGGCATCCTACCGAGCTGGCTCGTCACGGCCCTGGCGCGCCGCCGGCTGGAGCCGAGGCGCGGGGCCAGCGCCGACGTCCCCGAGGGCGAGGATGCGGATGTCGACTTTGACGAGGTCCCTGTGTCGGTTGAGAGCCGGACGGGCGTGCGGGTTGGCGACGTGGTCAAGTGGCAGCTGGCCGAGAACGACGGCTTCGTGGGCGCTTACATGAGCACGATACGCAATGCCCCGATCTATGGGCAGCACGAGAAAGTCTGGGTACGGCTGAGCGACGAACTTGCGCGGCGGCGCGGTCCCGAGCGGGATATACCCGCGGGCCTGGAGGGCGGGCGGATATGTCTGATACTCGCGGAGAAGGACCCTATTGTCGTCAAGGAGGAGTGGATCGAGGACTCGAGGGCGGTTCTTGGTCAGGACGGCGTGGACGTTCACGTCGTCGGCGGTGGCCACGAGATTGCCATCTCCAAGGGCCGGGAGGTGGCCGACGTTGCCATGACGGCTTGGAATAGACAAGAGAGAACCATAAAGATAGATGACCAGTCTTTTATAGCGCTATAGAAGTCATAAATCCAAACCAGCGCCGACTCCAACCATGCGTCATTCGTATCATTGCCGGTCCGTGGCGTGCAGAATCCAAAACACTTGCCGTCCAACACCTCATGCTGTTCATGGGCCGCCTACTCCATGCGATGCTTGATAAGATTCTAACTGGCGTCTCCATGCCGCCAGCGCAACGCCTTACTTGTCCAACCCGCGCGCCTTGACAAAGCGGTTGATCTGCTCGCGCGTGAGCTTGTCGTTGTATTGTTCGTGACATTCGTAAAACGAAATGATCTCCTGCGTGGCGTCGACCATGGCGGCTATATCGACGCCGCTCTCGGCCAGCCACGCGGCGAACTGCTGCACACGCAGCATCCTCGCCTCTTGCTGCCTCTCCTTAGAGTCAGCTGCCTGCGGCGGCGGTTCCGGGAGGCCGTTCGCGCGGGCTTGTGCTTGGCTCAGCGCGGCATGAGCGGCAGCGAGGCCGGCGGCGGCGGAGGAGCCGGACAGACTGCCTCCGGGTGTTGACGTATTTGGGCGCAATACCAGAGCGAGCAAGATGGCCACCAGGGCGATAATGTGAGGGGCGCAGAGCAGTGGCAAATCTGTCATGTAATGGTCGTTGATGACGGACCGGGCCAGCTGGACGTCCTCCTCAACCAGCGAGAGCTCGCCGCGCAGCGAGCTAAGCGTCCTGTAGGGCTGATGGACGATGAGCTGAGAGCTCATCTCGCTGATGAGATAGAACTCGCACTCGCCGAGCTTGGAGGTGTCCAGCCCGATGAACTCTTGCCACAGCTGCCTGGCTTCCGTGACGATGAGTCGGATGTGCTGAGGGGCCTCCTCCATCTTGCACGCTAGGTATATGGATGTCGTGATGACGAGGTAGGGGTTCGTCCGGCGGATCTCGACGCGGGAGTAGAAGCGCTTCAGGTAGACCTGGGCCGTGGCCATTGCCTGCTGCCGGATGCTCAGGCGCTTTCCCAGGCGCAACAGCTCTGAGGCTCTTGGTCAGCGGCGTGACACGCCCTGCGCGAGACAGAAAAGGGGCATGACGAGGAGAGGGGAGGAGCGCATTGCTAGGCTCACGTTGGTTGAAGTATATAGAGAGGTGCCTGGGTTGGGGCAAGGGAAACATGCGAACGAGATCGGCATTGTCGTCCTCGAGCTTCTGGCGCATCGACGCCAGCTGGTCCTTGGTGAAGAGCCAGTGGCGCCGCTGCGTCGACTCCCAGTAGTTGGCGGACATTGCATTGCCCCCTGGGAGCGCCGCTGGAACACGCGCGGCGACGCTGTCTGCGCGGGGGCAGGCAGTCGGGCGAGAGCTGCGATCGAGTCGTGAGGTGTCGATGAACGTTGGAGACGTGACCGCACGCGCCGAGTCCGGCGGCGTCGGTCGTGTGGTTGGACGGTGGGGGGGACCGATACGGGGGGCGTTGCAGCGGAGTTTACTTCGTACAGCCCTGAAAGTTACCGTTCAGCTGCGGGGCGATAAGATAAGCTGCCGCGCCGCAGCGAGCTGAGAGGCAATGGCTGCCCCGTGGTCTTGGGCCGCCTGGATGCAGCTTGGGAACGTGCCCGCGGGCCCCCTTGCCCACTGAACAGGCTGCTAAATGGGGCATCTCTGATTGATCGTGGCGGGCACCAAACACCCGAAGGCGCCCCCCAATTTTCCCCAGCTCGGGGCTTGCCAGGCTTCCATCCCACTGCCAGGCCGCCCGTCTCGGCAACGCGCGGAGAGCGGCACCTCCAAACCAGAGCTGCCGCAGCTTTGCATCATTGGCTTGGCCAGCCCAGCCCTCCCTCCCAGATCCCAACCTTCAATCCCTCACCTCCTCCCGCACCCTGCAGCACAACGTCACCGCGGCTGCCCCGGCCGCCTTGCGCGCAATTGACCACCTGCACCGACGCCGTAACATGCGTTTGACATAGCGAGCCGAGCCCCCTCCCCCCCGACGCGCGAGCCGACACAGTTTTTCTGAGGTCCATCGAAACCGGCAGAGAAGACAGAGACCCGGCCGCACCTCGCGCGCGAGATATGAAGTCGCCGTGAGCCATGGCCCCCAAGGTCGTCACCGGCATGGTGCGCGGGTTCGAGGAGTCCCAGAACCAGCGCGATGCCCGCGTCGAGGCCCTCTGGGCCAAGCTCGACCCGGGACAGTCGGGCGAGCTGGACCTGAAAGGCCTGAAGAAGGGTTTTCGCAGCATGGATCATCGTGAGCTGCCATCTCCCCACCACGGCGGCCGACGCCGTTTGCTGATGCTGCCGACGCAGCGCTCAAGAATGCCGACGAGCTGCTGGCCAAGGTGATGAACGAAGTGGACACAAATCACGACGGAAGAATACAATATGAAGGTACTGCTGCCTTATGCTTAATCTCTAGTCGAGCTGGCGGGCGAAGCTTATCGCTTCCTTCCATCCGATTCCCCCATATGCTCGCATAGCTGCGCAACCATCACTGACGCGCGCTTCGATCTGTTGCAGAGTTTCGCACTTTTGTCGAAAAAGCGGAGAAGCAACTCTTTTTGCTGTTCCGAGCCATCGACAAGGATGGCAACGGAAAGCTCGACCAGGCCGAGCTGCAAACCGCATTCCGAGCCGCCGGCCTGACCGTGTCGAACCGGAGGATGGGCGAGTTCTTTGCCGACATGGACAAGAACAACGATGGATACGTCACCTTTGACGAGTGGCGGTACGTGCAGCCATCGACCCTGCGGTCTTTTCTTAGCGGAGGCGCTGCTTTCATTGTCCTTGCACGACGCTCGGCCAGGTTCTGGTCGCTAGACGTCTCGCGTGCGCATGGTCATGTGCCACCGAGTGTCGCGAGACACTAGATCACCATGCACCCCAACAAGTCATCGGCCTCTGGCAGTTGCACCACATGCCGCCATTTATGACATCGTCCATATTATCGAGATCAAAGGCTGACGATTCTTCAGAAACTTCCTCCTCTTCATGCCGGCGCGCGAATATGACTCCCAATTACGTGCCGTGCTCTCGTACTACGAGTCCGTCGTCAACGTCACGCCAGAGGGCGATTCCACTGTGAGCGAGGAAACGTTGGAAGGCCTAGGTACGGGCAGTTCCTCATATTACTCTCTTGTCTACTCCCTCTTCGGCTCCCTCCTGAGAGCCGGCTTTCCTCCACCTCAACCGACAAGTCCGCCGATATCACCACCTTCATTACCACCCACAAAACGTGAAGAAGCGGATGAGGCGGTAGACGTGCTGTCGAAGCAATCACAGGGAATGGACGCTGCGGAGGCGACTGTGGAGACCGTTGTCGACGCAGCGGCGCCGCGGCGCCAACAGTCGATCGCAGACGACAGCGCAAGGCAACGCGGCGATGGCGATGGCACCCCGCAGGATAGCCTGGGAGAGTCACAGACCGGCACAAAAGCCGCGCGAAGAAAGAAGTTCGTGCTGACAGACTATGCGCCTGATCCAGGTTACTTCCTTGCGGGTGCCATCGCCGGGGGAGTCTCGCGGACAGCCACCGCGCCGCTAGATCGTCTGAAGGTATACCTGCTCGTCAACACCAAGAGCAGCTCGGAGACGGCTGCCGCGGCGCTTAGGCAGGGCCGCCCGATAGCGGCGTTGCAGAATTCGCTGCGACCCATCAAGGATGCCGTGCGAGACTTGTTTCAGTCCGGCGGACTCCGCAGCTTCTTTGCGGGTGAGCCACCTCTCTCTCCCTGTCCGTTGCCAAGGCGTCCTCAGTACTGACTGCGTACTAGGTAACGGCCTGAATGTTGTCAAGATCATGCCCGAGACGGCTATCAAGTTTGGGTCCTACGAGGCAGCTAAGCGTGCTTTGGCAAACCTTGAGGGCCACGGCGACCCCAGGCGGATCAACTCGTACTCGAAGTTCACCGCAGGCGGTGTCGCCGGCATGATCGCACAGTGAGTAGCTCCTGGCATCCCCGCGAGAAAAGATTGTGTGCTGACAGTGGCAGATTCTGTGTCTACCCACTGGACACACTCAAGTTTCGCCTTCAGTGCGAGACGGTCAAGGGCGGCCTGACGGGAAGCGCCCTCGTCCGCCAGACGGCCATCAAAATGTACGCCGACGGCGGAGTCCGAGCTTGCTATCGAGGTGTCACCATGGGCTTGGTGGGCATGTTCCCGTACAGCGCCATCGACATGGGCATGTTTGAGCTGCTCAAGAAGTCGTATCGAACCTACTACGCCAAGAAAACCGGCTGTCATGAAGACGACGCGAACCCCGGCAACATTGCGACGGGAATGATTGGCGCGACATCGGGCGCCATTGGCGCTACCGTGGTGTACCCGCTCAACGTGGTCCGGACTCGACTGCAGACACAGGGGACGGTGATGCACCGGGCGACGTACACGGGCATCTGGGACGTGACGACGAAAACCATCCAACGAGAGGGCTGGCGCGGCCTCTACAAGGGCCTGACGCCGAATCTGCTCAAAGTAGCTCCGGCACTGAGCATAACGTGGGTGGTGTACGAGAACTCGAAGCGGATTCTGGGGCTGCACTGATGGGCCCGTTTGAGCGTGCATATAAGCGACGAGAGGACCGGGGAGGAGTATATACATGAAAACCCGCCCGGAGCAGTGGGGAACTGGGCGGCTGCCCGGAAGCGCCACAGCCCTACGGGGCGACGTCAGCTACGTGCTGAATATCTGGTTCCTTTGTTTGGATGGCCATGGCTTTGGCTTATGACGAAAGCATTTCAAGGGTCGACCAAGACCCGTCAACGACATGGTGGAGGGGGCAGATGTTTGCGGTGGACGGATAGATGTGCGGACGACGGGTCGGCAAGATCTGTCAATGTGATATCCCTCAATGTATAGAGCCATATCAGGAGCCCCGAGAGGCCCTAGCAAACGTCGAGCAGATCAAGAGAAGCAAGCTCGAAGTTGACTCGTCGTTGTCTCTCGTGTCTGTCAAGACTGTGTCGAAGCCGGTTGCGGTATCCGATGATCGATGCCAAGAGCTTTCGATCTGACACGACGAGGATCCCCCGTCCAAGCAGCCACATCAGATTAAGCTGGCGCGTCTCGAGGGAAAAAAAACCCTGGCGGCGTGGTCGCCGCATTACGAATGACACGGCGATCAGGCCCTGCAAGGAGGTTGGCGGCCCATCCGTCAGCCCTGCGAGCGGCCGCGGTTCGTGTCACACCGCACGTCACTAGCGTCGGGGGTTGCGTGCGCTGCTTACGAGGCTTGGTGCGGGCCGGGTACCGCGACCGATGGGGGACGAGGGCGCTGGAATGGGAAGCTCGGGGGGGATTGCAGCGCCGGCGAAGCGGGGGGGAGGGGGACGGAGAGGGCGCGGGGCGGGATGGATGGGCGGTTAGGGGGACTTTTGGGCTGGCCGGGGCAAGCCACTGATTGAGCGCAGCAGCCCATCGAGAGGTGCAGTTTGTGCATGTCGTTCGCTGTGCGGGGGCGGACGGTGCGATGCGTGCCAACACTGAAGATTGAAAAGCTCGATACTTCGGTGATGGAAGGACTGCAGAGGTGCGCGGATGAACAGTACGATGAGCAATGGAAAGACCATTCTCTCCCCCCATCGCTGCCCGCAGAAGACTGACAGTGTACTTGTTGATAACGTCCATCGACGGTCAAAGTGGGCAGAAGAGTCGACAGAGAGTCCGGGGTCCAGGCCGGAGGGGTGGAGCCGCCGGCCTGGGGATGAAGATAACGGGCGGGCAGCACCGTCCACGGTTAGCGGGAGCCTCCACTCCACTGTATGCAAGGCAGTTTAGCGCACCGCGCCGACGATGAGGTGCTGGGAGGTGTTGCTGTGAGATGGGGCAGGTCCGGCAGGAACGATCCATGTCTCTCGCCCTCCTTCCTTCGGCGAATTCTGCAGTTGGAGAAGAACTCTGCGTTTTTCATCCTTTCTTGCTCTCGCGGTTCCTCTGACCTGAATTGAAGGGTTTCTTCTCGCGCTTGAAAGCAATTGAGCGGCAAGGAGAGTGTGAAGCGAGTCGTGTCCGTGCAGGCCATCACCCGTCTTGCGCTCTCCTCGAGGGTGTCTATCAACGCACCTCTTCGGCACGGCTGCTCAACCGAGCAGGTGAATGCAGGACGACAAAACAGACGCGCAATTGCTCATACATATCTCTGCCGTCCCTCGTCGTCTCTTTGGCTACGAGCTCAGGTCAAGACCCCCCTGAGCCCACTTGGTTCGCGTCTGTTGCTGCAACGCCCACGCATCCTCGCAGCAATCGTCGTCAGCTTCATTCCACCCCAGCCCACCACCACCCTCTCGTTCCCTCTCCCAACTGCACACTCACGCACGCCGTCGCCGTCTGGGGTTTTCTGGCCCCTTCTTCCCCCTTTTTGTTACCGGTGCTACGCGAGGCGGTACGTGCGACTCACCAGTGCCCGAGAGCCCGACGCCCCCTCGTCCGTGAGCCGCCGCCATCATGCCGGCCCCCTACTCGGACAACATGTACTCGGACATGGGCCAGGACGCCTCCGACGACGAGCGCGATGCCCTGTCGCCTACCGACGGCTACTTCCACGCGTCTGCGTCGTCTGACGCGGCGTCATCGTCTGCCTTTGGCCAGCAGCCCGACCAGCACCGGCGCACCTCGTCCAACGTGCCCTCCGTGCCAAACGTCCTCGTCGAGGATCCCACCCTGCGCGACCAAGGCGCAAAGGCGAGAGAGGCCGAGCAGGAGCGCCAGATAAATAACGCCGCCGGCCAGCAAACCACGTCGTCGTCACCATATCCACCGCAGCTGTCGTCGACGTCGTCGCCACACACTTCTCACCACCCTACCCCTTCCGCGTCGGCTGCGTCGCCTCCCCAGGGACCGACCTCACCTGCGGCCAACCCCTCACCCTCCTTTGTCTCATCGCATCATCACCGACGCAGCGTCGAGGAAGACGAACCCGTCCAATTTCCCGGGGACCGTACCCGCCTCCCCTACTTACACACTCCCTCTCATACATCAACACACGCGACCGCCCCGTCACAGCCGCATCATCATAGCCAGCTGGACGCGCCACCTGCCTACTCTCCTTCCCCTTCCTCTCCTCCCTCAAGCCAGCCTCAGGGCTACCAGACGTTCGCATCCCTCTCTGAAAACGCGCGTACCGGAAACGACAACAGCAACATGGGTGTCCCGGAGGAGCATCAGGCCCTGCTGCCGCGCCATCCCGAGTCCATGGGCGGCTCGCCTAACGGCCCTTCGCATCCGAGATGGCAGAGGCTTAAAGACTCGATGAGCTCGCCCAACCTCAGGCCCAAGCTCAAGACCATTCTTGGCGTGCTAGTCATCTTCTCCATCATCTTTGCCATCTTTGGTGGCATCCACATCTCGTCCTCTTCCAGCCACAAGGTACGTCTTATGCCCACACCAATCGCTGTTCGCCTCATCCATGCTTCTGTGTTGTGTGACTTGTCGCCACCTTTGGCTACCTGACGCACCCCTCTCCGAGATGAATCAATCACTCTTACTCATGCCCGATGCCCTGTCTCATCACACATTGATACTCTGCCACTCCCATAGCGACAACGAGAAGCCTCTGCTAACCCGAGCCCATAGAACCCCAAGTTCATCGACAAGGATCCCGTCCGGGAGCCAGACATGGGAGGCGACAGCGACCTGGAGTGGAAGCCCGCCTACGGGTGCCGCAACACCCCGCACGTCTTTGACAAGCGCACCGCCACAATCAGCTTCGGAGGCGAGCGCAAGCTCAGCGTCAAACAGACCATCGACAAGAGTGATCGTCCCCGCAACGGCCGACAGCCCCGGGTCTACGGACAGCTTATCGTGCGTCCTGCTGGCGACGACAAGTCCGAGGGTACCATCGACCTCGAAGTCATTTCTAATGATGCGGAGCTGGGAGTAGAGGTTCACGCCGACCTCGACGGTGATGACCAGCTTTTCAACATGATCACTCCGCGGGCCCTCGATTGGTGGTCAAACTCGGGCGACGGGCCGTGCATTCAGATGCGTGCGACCATCTGGATCCCCCGCAAATCCTTCCTTCGGACCTTTGCTGTCGACACCGTTCATCTCGATGTTAGCATCCTCGACGGACTGGTCCTCGGCGTATCTGATACCACGACTATCAAGACTATTGTTGGAGGCTTGCGAACCTCGCTCCCCAAGGACGTCAACGATGACGTGATGCCCTACACTCTTGAGTCCCGCAAGACCATCATCGAGACCGTCAGCGGCAACGTCAAGGGCTGGTTCCCGCTCTACGACCTTCTCAAGATATCGTCTGCCTCTGGAGATATCACGACACAAGTCGGCCCGAAGCCCGCCAACAAGGACTCTCCTGAGTCCGCAGTCCTCCAAATCGGGTCCATTTCTGGCGAGGTGAGCATCAAGGAACCCCTCGCTGCGGCCATCGCAGATGGCAAGGCAGGCAAGAAGCTGCCGGCGCGAGACTACGTGATCAAGGTGGAGACGGCATCCGGAGACATCTCCGTCGAGGCGGCCACCAGCAGCTCCGGTACCTTTACTTCGACTTCTGGCAATTTCGATCTGAAGCTGCTCCCCGTCTTGGAGAAGGATCTGCAAAAGTCGGAGGGCAAGCCCCAGCTCTCCACGGACACCAAGAGCGGCAACGCTCGCGTGACGATTCTGGAACCGCTGTGGACGAGCACTTCGGGCGCGAGAATGTATCCGCCTGGACGTGCTGCGCCGGGCAGCGATGTGTTCCTGCCTCCGGTGGATGTCCCGCTGCCGCCGTATGTCGATGACGGCAACGATGCACCGAAGAACCCCGAGAAACCTCAGAAGGGGCCCGACGATGCCCTCATCATCATCCACCCCCACAGCGCAGGCGAGATCAAGGCCCGCAAGGCCGATGATGGCAAGACGCGCCCGGCCCTGAGCGTGCTCGAGGCGAAGCACTCGTCCATCAGCGGCGACGCCAAGCTCTTCTACCCGGCGAGCTGGACTGGACACTTTAACCTCCAGACCATTTCGGGGAACACTGCGGTCCACGGCGAGGGCATTGAGATTATCCGCCGCAGCCGGGGCATCATGAAGGTCATCGAGGGCCGCAAGGGCGACGGCGAGTCCGATATCAAGGTGGAGAGCATGTCGGGCAACATGGGGCTGCACGTTGGCAAGGGCAACTGAGTGTGCTGGGGAGATGCTGAAACTGAAGCGCCTCACAGCAGGCGGTGTAGGGCTTGACGAGTTTATGTCTACAGACTGTTTTACGGCGTCTGAATAGCAATAGCGATATGGCTGGAATTTCTGGGATCAAGGAACACGAACAGTAAGGGTCGATGTCATGTTTTGGGACGTCGCTAGCATTGAATTGTATCACACGTCGATGCCATACTCTCTCCTATGCACTCGATGTCAGACGTAGTATTAGACACGGGCCACACTTTTATTCGAACAAGGCATGTCTATATTGTATGCGTATTTACGTATGCGACGATGCTCTTTCTATCTGAGGCACTCATGCATCGCCCCCAACGCGCCTATGACCTCGCAACGTCCAACTCGGCCGTGTACCAGTTCGTTATCGCCTTTGTGTCTCCTGTGATGGCGACTGTGTCGTAACGACTCCTGGCCTCCTTGGCGAGGGCGCCGTTGTTGACGAGGCGGCCAACCCACTTGCCGTGCTTGCGGGCGGCGGCGACAATCTTGTCGATGGCGGCGACGAACTCGGGCTCGTCGCCGCGGGCGGGCACGTAGCCGAGCAGGGCCTGGGCGAGGTCGTTGGGCCCGATGAAGACGAGGTCCACGCCGGGAACGGCACATATCTCCTCGACGTTTTCGACGCCCGCGCGCGTCTCAATCTGTATCATGGTCACGATGGTCTCGTTGGCCGACTTCATATACTCGGGGATAGTAAGCGCATGCGCAATGGCGGGAAACGCGGAGCCCTGCCCGCGGAGGCCGTGCGGCGGAAACTTGCAGCTGCGGACGATCTGGGCGGCCTCGTCGGCGGTGCTGACCTGGGGCACCATGACGGCGTGGGCTCCCGTGTCGAGGGCGCGCTTGAGGACGTCGTGGGCGGGGCCGCGGACGCGGATGACGGGGGAGACGCCGAGGGCGGAGACGGCGGCGACGGCGTTGTGCATGGCGTCGTCGGAGATGTGGCCGTGCTCGCAGTCGAGGATGAGGGCGTCGAGGCCCGTGAGGGCGAGGACCTGGGCGTGTCGCACGGAGGGGAGGGCGACGAAGGTCATGAGCGGGTAGGAGGCGGATTTGAGGGCGTTGAGGAGGCGCAGGCGGGGGTTGGAGATGGTGGTTGTGTGGGCGGTGGGTTGGGCCATGGTTGCTGATGCTGCTGGATGATGTTGCTGGAAGCCGCTGGTGATGCTTGAGATGCTTATTTGTGATATTGCTCCGTGACGTTGCTCTGTGGTGGTGGTGGTGCCGCTGGATGATGATGCCGATGGTGATGCTGGCCGATGAGGCGTGTGTGTTGGGCGTCACGATGGTGATTGTGGTGGTTGGTGTTGTTGGCGAACAGAAGACGGCAAGACGACATCTATTATTGTATCGTGCGCGGAAGACTTGCACGGTCTAACACCGCATCTGACAAATGCGTAATTGACCAGATCCTGCATCCCAGACGAGGCCACGTTTTTTTTTTCTCTCGTCTTCCTGCCGCGAACAACAAACGACAAGGTTGGCTGCATGTCGTCGCGCGACCAGGGACAGACAGGGAGGAGCTCCTCCCAAATGCCAATCCCCATGGGCAGAGCACTTACACGATGGGCGTGGCACTGGGCTAGGTGCTGGCTTGTCGCCCCACAGCCCACAGCCAGCCGTTGACAATGGAGCTCCTCCTCCTCCTCCCTCCTCCTCCAACACACCCCTCCCTCCCTCCCTCCTCCCCGTTCGTCCCCACCGAGATAGAGCTCCATATTACCCCAGATTGGCGTTCCACCGGCCGGTGTGGGTTCCCCTTACTCGTTATCCGCTGGTGGTGGTGGTTGTGGCTGCACTGCAGACGGGCAACGGCCTTGGGACCCCACTGCTGATGGCCTCGAGGGGCGTGATGGAGGCGCCGCGCCGATGTTCGCAGCCTCGCAGAGGGAGGTGAGGGCGATATAACATCACGGCTGTTCCCAGGGCCGCACGCCGCCGCTCGGGATGAGCAGTCTGGTCAGAGATCTCCAGGTCAAGCGGTTGAAGGGCTGGTGATAGCCTCTTGTGCAAGCATCACAGGAAAGCGTCTGCCCGCCTTGTCTGCGTCGGCATCGGTGCAGGCTCTCCTCGTCTGGGGCTCACCGAACGGAATTGCTCAACAACAACAACGGCAGGATATGCCAACGGCAAGGGATTGATCGGATCCCGTCATTCACATACTCGCGCCGTCCACCCGGCGGTCAACTTCTCCCACCATGGACGAGCTCACCAAGAGAAACTCGTCGCATGTCGAGGGCGAGAGCGGCATCACGTACCAGCGCATGCCCGACTCCCTCGCCGGCCTCACGCCGGACGAGCTCAAGGCCGCCAACCATAAGCTCGTGCGCAAGATCGACCGCATCATCCTGCCCATCATCGGCATCCTCTACATCCTCAACTACATCGACCGGCAGAACCTGGCGGCGGCGAAGCTGCACGGCATCACCGAGGACCTGCACATGACGACGGAGCAGTTCGCCACGTCCATCTCCATCCTCTTCGTCGGCTACCTGCCCTTCCAGATCCCCAGCAACCTCATCATCACCAAGATCGCCCGCCCGGGCCTGTACATCTGCGTCGCCGTCGTCATCTGGGGCAGCATCTCGGCGGCCACGGCGGCCGTCCGCACCTACGGCCAGCTGCTCGCCGTGCGCGCCATCCTCGGCGTGTCCGAGGCTGTCTTCTTCCCCGGCGCCATCTACTACCTGTCGGCGTGGTACACCAAGACGGAGCTGGGCAAGCGCATTGCCAGCCTGTACATTGCGCAGCAGGTCGGCAACGCCTTTGGCGGGCTGTTCGCAGCCGCCATCTTCCAGCTCGACGGCACGCACGGCATCGCGGGATGGCAGTGGCTCTTCATCATCGAGGGGTCCGCCACCGTCGGCATCGGCGTCGTCTGCGCCTTCTTCATGCCCGAGTTCCCCTACAACAGCCGCATCCTCTCGCCCCTGGAGCGCGACCTGGCCGTCTGGCGCGTCGAGGCCGACGCCGGCGCCGCCGAGGGCACCGAGACGGAGGGCGCGCTGCGCGGCTTCGCCAAGGCCCTGACGGACCCCAAGCTGCTGCTGCTCATCTTCTGCAACCTGCTGTCGCAGGCGCAGGGTTCCATCGCAAACTACTTCCCCACGCTCGTCGCGTCGCTCAACTTTGGCAGCACCATCAGCCTGCTGCTGACGGCGCCGCCGTACATCCTCGCCGCGGGCGTCTACTACGCGCTCATGTGGTGGTCGGACCGGCGCAACACGGCGTACCCGCTCATCGTGGGCTGCATCGCCGTCGCCGTCGCCATGTACGTGATCCCCATGGCGACGCTCAGCGTCGGCGCGCGCTACTTCTCCATGATGGTGCTGCCCTTTGCATCGGTCGGCCCCCAGCTGCTGCTCTATAAGACCATCAACCTGCACCTCGCGCGGCCCGTGTCCAAGCGCGCCGCCGCGTCCGCCTTGGTCAACGCCATCGGCGGCACGTCCAACATCTGGGCCTCGTACCTGTACTATGCGCCGCCTCACTTTTACGCCGCGTTTGGCACGCTCATGGGCTGCGCGCTGCTGTTTGCCGCCACTATAACCTTTTATCGCTGGCTCGTCCTGCGGGAGAATAGGCGGCTGGACTCGGGTGACCCGGAGGAGGTTGCCAAGGTGGTTAGGGGAGGTGTTACGGATGAGATGGTGCAGCTGAACTGGCGCTACGAGATGTACTGATGGACTTTTGAGAGTGCTCACTCTAGTTTCGTTGCAAGCACGAATGTTAATGGCGCTTGATATTCCGTACGGCCTGGTGAGAGATTATACAGCGACGGCTCGTAATGAGCCTGTGATTTGAACACTTCTACCTGGGTTTCATGTTCTCAGAGATCGACATTCTGTCGACACGAATGAGTGAAGGTAGTTCTTTGACTGGCAAACCACGGCTTCATGCTGGCGTCATCCACATAAATGTCTAGCCACTGTGCCCTCCGTCCCCGAACTACCGTCGTGATGGTTAATTCGTTACGAGAATCAACCATTGATGACTACGACACTGTCAACTGTTGCTGGCGCTGGACTAAAAAAAAGAAGTAATTCAGCCACTAACAGTTACCATGATGTCTATTTCCACGAAAAACACATGCACAGTGCAATCGCCAGACATTTCGACCATCAAGCGGCCCGCCAGATAACTATCAAGAGCCGTTGCCGATCTCGGGGGTGGGACCCGATACGTTAGTCCCCCAGCCCCATGATAGCGGAACGACCAAGCAGTTGCCGAACGGCCAGTTGGAGAACCGGATTGGCAATTGAGGCGCCCCCTGTTGACTGCGGGGAAGGCCCCGTTCAATATCCAGCCATGCCGGGGCCGGTGTAAGCAGCCAACCTTACAGACAGGAACTGCAGTACACTCTGGGAGTTACCTCGTCCCAGACCTCCACCTCCGCATTGAACCAAGCTCGGGAGACAAAACGCAATCGCTCGACTCGGCGCGGCAACAGACGCCAAAAGGGCGTTACCATGTCCATCTCCTCCGCCGCCGTCGCCGTCGAGGCGAGGCCGCCCCGCCAGCCCTTCCAGTGTCTCGTCTGCCAGAGCCGCTTCACCAGACACGAGAACCTGAAGCGGCACGCCGCGCTGCATTCTCGCTCGCGGGATGCGACGGCGCTGCCGTGCGAGCTGTGCTCGGCGACGTTTTCGCGGTCGGATCTCCTCCATCGACACATGAAGCGGAAGCATCATCACCTGGAACATGAAGACAAGCGGCGTCTGGTGCGGCGTTGCGACTCGACGGGCGGCGCTGGCGTGAGTCCTCGAGGCGGCAAAGGCCGCTCTCCGTCGCTTGGGGATACTCGGCAGAGCTGGAACCTGAGCAATTTTGGTTTGGATAGTACCGATGGGGAGTCGGCGGCGAACATCATGGTGAGGGATATGGACTTATGGTCCGGCGAGTCTCAGTCCCTCCCGTTCGGCTTCGATGGCGGCACAGACACCCCAAATCATTCCAGAAGCTCAAAGACCAACTCGCACTTGGATCAGACGCCGACGAGCGATCGGACGGGATCCAGGCCCCTCGCCCATGCCCTGGCTGACCTCGGACCCCCAGACGCGCAGTTTCTTGAGCCCGACGCCCAGCTCCTGTCAATGATGACATCGTCATCCGCCTCCTTCAACACCAACATGCAGAGTCTAGGCTTCAACTCTCCGTCATCCATCGAGCTACCCCCAATACAGGACGACTGGTCCCCAACCGAACCGCAGTTTGCGCGGGGCTGCCATCTCTTCTTCACCCACATCTCACCCTTCATGCCCTTCCTACACCAGCCGACCTTTGATGCCTCGCAGGTAGCCAGCCACTTGCTGCTCAGCATGCTCTGCCTTGCATACCAGTACGACGAAGATCCAGACTGCGACGAGAAAGAAGGCTCGGGGGCGTGTCTCGCAGAGCGTTGCTACCTTCGAGCACGCACACAGGTTGCCTTGAACGAGGAGTCGGCGCCGCCAGATAGCGTGTCCCTGGTGCAGGCATATCTGCTGCTCCAGGTCTACGCCATGATGTATCTCTGCGGCGACGACTCGTCGTACGCGCTCCGTGCGCACTCCAAGATGATTGCCCTGGCCCGCGACGGAGGGCTCATGCACCCGACGCCAGCGGCCGCGTCCTCTGCGACCAGAGACCTGGACTCGCTGTGGCGGACCTTTGCGAGAGCCGAGTCGCACAAGCGGACGCTCTTTGCGGCGCACCAGGTCGACACGCTGTGGTACCAGTTCTTGTCGATACCGCGACAGCTCTCGCACCTGGAGATCAAGCACGAGCTGCCCTGCCCTGAGGAGTACTGGGCGGCGGCGTCGGCGACGGAGTGGGCGCACCAGCAGCTCGTCGCCGAGAAGCCCGGCTGCGCGTCGCTGCGCTACCCAGATGCGATCCGACGCTTCATATCCCCCAACGCAGACCTCGACACCATCCCTGCCTTTGACGCATACGGCGCCGTCAACGTCACGCACTTTCTCGTGTCGAGCGCGCAGGAGATTTCAGGCTGGTGCACCATGACGGGCATGCTCAGCATAGAGCGACTCGAGCCGCTGCGGGCGTCGCTCCTCGCGCTGAGCCCGTTTATCCGCCGCCCGAAGCCTCCGCCGCCCGCGACGGACGACATGGACGCCAAGGGGGAGGAGTGGCAGTCCACGAGCGCCCGGTTCTGCGAGGGGGCGTGGGAGGCCGCCATGATCGACGTGCAGATGTGGTCTCCGTCGCACACGGGGGGCATCGTGGGCAAGAGCATGGACGCGGTGCTGCACCAGCTGACGTACCTGGCGCCGTCGTGCGAGTTCCTGTGCGGGTCGGACACGGCGGAGGCGATACAGCCGCACGTCGACTGGTTCCTGGCGTACCTCGACGCGGAGCCCGTGCCGCGGGCCGAGGCGCCGTGGATGACTGTCTACGCGTACAAGGCGTTTATGATTGCGTGGCAGCTCGTCTCGGGGGGCGTGCCGGGCGCGATGCGCGTCGTGGGGGTGCAGGATGGGGACCTGGAGGGCGCGTTGGCGTGGGCGAGGGAGGTGTTTGGGAGGAGGCGGCGGTGGCAGATTGGGAGGATCATCATGGACTGCTTGGACACGCTGGCGGTATGAGCTTCGACCTGTGCGGCGAGGGTGAATCGTAATATGTCCGTCACATGCACGGCAAAGGGATGGACGAAAGGAGCAATCACTGAGCTCTGCTGTACGAAGAAATGCGTATATGAACGAGGTATAAGACAGCGGTATCTTTGTTGGAGCCCTTCTATATCTATCGCCAAGCGCATACAATCACCTCGCCAAGTCTCCCCCTCAGGCCTGCGCAATACACTCAATCTCAATGACGGTGCCGTCACCCGGCGGAAGGGCCTGCAGGCACGACCGCGAGGGCATGGGCTTGGGCAGAAAGTCAATGTACACCTCGTTCATGGCGGCAAAGTCCTTCATGTCGGCGAGGTACACGTTGTACTTGACGACCTGCTCGAGCGAGGAGCCGGCGAGCTCGAGGACCTCCTTGAGGTTCTGCAGGACGGTCCGCTGAAGAAGCACAATGCGCGTATCAGTACCACGTGTATACGTGAAGGTAAGGACGGTAGCGCAGGGGAGAAGTAGGTATAGACTCACCGTCGCTTGCTTGATCTCTCCTGTGGCTGTTTGGCCGGCGCAGAAGACGAGGCCGGGGACTTTGGTAGCCGGGCCTGTGCAGAAGAAACACCTGGTCAGCGGAATCATACAGCGGCAGGATTTGAAACAAGTGCCACAATACTTACAGTTGTGTGGCTTGGGAGGGAATTTCTCGCTGGAGATGAGTTGGCGGGACATGATGCTGATGTATGCAGTCACCGACGTATTGAAATTGAAAGTGAGTGAAGCGGTGCAGGGACAAGAGGCGAGATAAACGTGGGCGAAGGGCGTTTAAGCTGTAATGTCCAATCCAACATACATTCCGACATCTATCATTGCCGTCAACTATTTTTTTAAAGAATAATTCGTGGCGACTGGCGGAGCAATCCTTGGGGCCTGATGCGCCGTCGGGGAGAGTGTGGAGGCGCTCCGTCAACGACTCCTCCTCCGCACTCCTCCAACATCAGGCCGGGAGGAGCTCCTCCCACCTCCCCCGCAGGGTCTGACCAGAGAGTCTTTGGTCGCAACACCCCAATTTACATGGAGGACAAACTCGCATTGCTACGGCGGATGGGAGCTCTTGGCTGCGATTGCGGAGGAGTCTTCAATTCAACTGCGAGAACGATTTGGAGGAGGAGGAGGAGGAGGAGGAGGGGGGAGGGGAATGGCGGATGCTCAGTATAGGCGCCTCCTATCCCGGTCAACCAAACTATGACAACGGAGCCGGAGGACGGTCACGCGCCCATACTTGGCTTCATTGAGAGAGAAACAAGTCTACTACTAGCGACGATATTTGCCCATAAGCACTTAGACCGGAATCTAGACAACCGTATAAGTGAAAAGATCTCCGCCATCAAACCAACATCCATCCAACCATCCATCCATCCATCCCAGCCCCCCCCTCGGATGAGACGACCCATCATCAAACAACATTGAACCCCTGATTCCCATACTTCACTCATCCCATCTCATCTCAAGACCAAAATAAAACAACGGAGACAAGATGGCGCCCGCAGCACCCTTCTGCCCACCGCCCGCCGACCTCCCCGGCAAGCCCTCCGTCCCCGAATGGGTCCCCCCGCCCGTCACCAGGCAAAAGGAGGACTTTGCCGAGCTCACCTCCATCGACCTCTCGGACCTCGACTCGGACGACCCGGCCGTCGTGGACGCGCTGGTGCGGGATGTCAAGCGCGCAATCCGCGAGGACGGGTTCTTGTTTCTTGAGAACTATGGCGTCTCCCTCGAGCAGGTCAGTGATACTCTCTCATGTATAGAGTGCCGATATTGAGGGCCGCAATGATTTCTGGGAATGGGCAGTTGTTTCGCTGACTCTTGTTGTTGTTGTCCCGTCTGAGTAGCTCCATCGCCAGTTTGCCCTCGCGCAGTATCTGTACAACAACATCAGCGAGGAGGACAAGCAGGCCCTCCTCTTTCACCCCGAGACGGGCGTGTGGTCCGGGTACAAGCACCCGTACGGGTTCAAGGTACATCCATCAAACTTCCACACCCGCTTCCGCGGAGACAGCCTCACACACACATACACACGCACAACGTCTTGCTAACGCCCCCTTCCCTTCCCTCCCCAGCGCGAGCGCGGCACCCCCGACGGCATCGAGCAGTTCAACTGGTACAAGCCCGACTGGGAAGACCCCCTCCACCGCGTGCCCACCTGCCTACACCCCTTCATGGACGAGATCGAGTCCTTCTGCACCTACCTCACCCAGTCCGTCAACCGGCGCCTCCTCAGCCTCCTCTCGCGCGTCCTCGAGCTCCCCTCCGACGCGTACCTCTGGCAGCGCGTGCAGTCGCACGGCGGCCCCACGGGCGAGGGCTACTTCCGGCACGCCCTCTTCCGCCCCGTGCAGCGCCAGACGGTCGAGGCCTCGCGCGGCCTGCGCATGCACGGCCACACCGACTTTGGCCTCACGACGCTGCTCTTCTCGGTGCCCGTCTCGTGTCTGCAGATCTGGGGCCGCGACGAGAGGTGGTATTACGTGCCGTATAAGCCCGGCGCGCTGGTCGTGAATATCGGGGACACGCTGGAGATTGTGTCGGGCGGGCACTTCAAGGCTACGCGGCATCGCGTCTTTCAGCCTCCTGCTGATCAGCTCAACGAGGAGCGCCTCTCGCTCGTCTTGTTCAACAGCTCCATTGGCGACTTGCGCATGGCTCCTGCGGAGGGTGAGTATAGCTAGAAGACACCGCACTCGAACGCGGAACAAGGACTGACCGTGCGTTCTTTATCAGAGTCGGCCCTCATCCAGCGAGAGGGCTGTGTCGACGAGCAGGGCGTCTACCGCGAGTTCAAGAACCGCACCGCCAAGGGCAGTCTCGTGCCCACGAACCGCGAATGGCGCGAGATACAAATCGCCACTGTCACGGACCCTACAGACACGGTCCGCAACCGCATCGGTGCCGACCAGGTCCTCATCGACGGCAAGCTCATGCATCAGCGGGAATACATGGGCGTCAAGGTCGTCCTCCCCGTGTAGAGAGCGAGCCATGTATTGCAGAGAGTACAACACTGTATTAGCAAAATATGCAGCACTCATCCGAAATCGAGTCGGTGTATCATTACATGCTTTCGTTTCTCATTGCCTGAAACAGTATCCCGGGTACATGGTCTCGAGGTCCTGCCTGCAGCCCATGTACACAACCGCCGTCCGACCGCGCTAGATAACACATCTTTGACCATGCAGTCACCAAGTGCAAGATACAAGGCGGGTTACCAAAGGGCCTGTCCGTAGCAGAAGACAATAAAGGAAATGGGGTATCCAGTTGAGTATAGATAGAAGGAGAGGTTTACCTCAGCTGTCCCGCTGGGTACTCTAGCCTCCAGATTCCGTGGTTGTGTATATCTTGTGAGGCCCACAGCTGCTCGTAAATAGGCGAGATTAAACACATAGATGCGGCCAAGAAAAAAGTGTTGCTCGGGTATTGAGCATCATCAGCCGTCGGTCAGCCAGGGCAGGTCTCTGTTGCCAACCGCCGTGCACGTGAGGTAGCTGATGCCGTCCGAGGTGCGGCTCGAGCCGGCCAGGTCCAACTCGAGGCCGCTCCCGAGGAGGGGGCGCACAATGTCGCGCGCCATGGCCTTGAGCTCGTCCATGCGCTTCTCGAAGCGACGGAGATTGTCGCGGCTGTACAGCTCCGGGGTCAGCTTGAGAAACTTTTTGCACTCGTCGTGGCCGAGGAAGGCGGCCGGATTGCCGGAGCCAAGGGTGCGGTACGCGCGGCCGACGGACGTCAGGGGCGGCACCGCGGGCGGTAGCGACGGATGGTGATGGTGGTGGGCGCCACGGCCGTTGCGGTCGGGAGGGGGCTGCGGCGCCGTGTTGTCGGCGAGCCACTGCCGGAAGAGACTGATGACGAGCCACTCGAGATAGCTGTTGGACGGGGTCACGCGGTCGCCCCTCGGTGTGGTGAGGTTGAGACGAAAGAGGCGGCCCTCGACGCGACTGACGGCCTCCTCGAGCTCATCCACCTTGTCCTCGATAAGGTCCAGCACCACGTCCGGCAGCGCGGCACGCAAGCTCCGCTCACCAGCCGGCCACTGGCCGACGACGTGGATCAGAGCCTCCTGGAAGATCACCTTGCTGCGAGCGAGGTAGCCCAGCCGGAGGTACGAGATGGGGTACTTGGCAATCTGCTTCCACAGGCGCGACTGGAACTGAAGCAGGTGGTGGTCGACGCGCGGGCCGACTACGGGGAGGGCATCGTAAAGATCTGCGACAGCCAACAGCGACTTGCACTGCACGTACGCATCGGCAACGTTGATGGCGTCCAACACCGGCGGATAGTTGTAGAATATGCGAAACAGGTTGTCGTAGTCGCGCAGGAGGTCTTCGTCGGCTTGAGAGAGGCCCGGGCTGAGGCTCAGGTTGGCGACGGATCGGGAGAAGGAGACGTGGTTGGACGGCACCGACGACGAGTGGGAGTGGCTGCCACCTTTGCGCATGCTCGACTTGGGCGCCGACGCGCCGACGCTGGAGCCTGCGCCGAAGATGGAGGGGAGTGCGGGCCTGGAAGTGTCGTCGCCGCGCGTGTCGTCCTTTTGCACGAGCATGGGGATGTCGCCCGCGCCCGCGCCGGGATCGAGCTCATACCTCCACCTCTTGCGCGGCACGGCGCCCGTCAGGCCTGTCGGGCCCGTCGCTTCGAGTTCGGCGCGGTCGGGGATGAGGGCCGGGTCCTCGCCGATGCGCGCGAGCTCGTTCCCGCCCGCGAGAAGGGGCCGTGCCTTTGACCACTCGGACGAGGTGCTGGCCTCGAAGAAGCCGCTGCAGCGCGTCAGGGTATGGCGGTGTAGCAGGTAACGATTCTCGGCGGCGCCGGCGCGGACCACAATCTCGACATCGCCGCTCTGCGCGAAGACGGGGAACTCGTTCTGCGGGACGTACGAGGCGCCGCCGGCGTGAGAGCGGCCGTAGCGCTTGGTGCGGGAGAGCGAGGGGCGCGAGACGACGGATGAGGCGGCTGACGATGTGTGGTGCGCGCGGCGTGAGTGATGAGGGTGGTGGTGAGGATGGGGGGCGAGCGCGGAAGACTGGCTGGGTTCGGGCTGCGAGACCATGGGGGAAGCGAGGCGGCTGGCGATGGGTCACGTCATGGGGGAGAGACGAGGTCGAAGCCGTGAGAGTGGTTGAACTCGATCAGCGGCAGAGGCGTGCAACGACGGACGACATGCGGGGTCGCGGCGAGAGGGCGACGATAGATTAGTACGCTGAGCGTGGCGATGAGATGGGTCGTGATAGAGATGTGTCTGTGATAAGTACGCCGCGGATGGGAGGAAAATAAGCTGGCGGCAAGGCGTGAGGAGTATACGGGCGGAGAGAGATGGGGAAGAGAGCAGAGTTGTGGCGTGGTACACGTGAAGCTGGGGCCCGTGGTGGTGGTCTCGCTGGTCTTCTGGTGGTTGTGAGTGGCGGCAACGGCTGGAGGGGCGGCAGTTGGAGCGACAAAAGGCCGGGCTTCAACACTTGCAAGTAGGCGCGCGAGTGAGCAAGCGGCTGCCAAGCACAAGACGCGAAACGGCTCGATATGTGAGGTGAGGTGTGGAAACAAGCATGACTTCACGCGTGGTTGCGGGCCGGCCGCCGGGAGCAAATCGCGACGCCAAAAACGCCTCGACATGAAATCCGCTGCGGGCGTGCCGTGGGGAGCCATGGATGGAGCTCGCGCCGGGGCAGCAAGGCTGACTCGACTGTGTCCGTGCTCTTGCTTTGCTCCTGCGTTGCGCCTGCGTCTGCAAGCTTTTCCCGGTGACCCTTTGTTCGCAACGGGGGGCCACGGCCCCTGTGTTTTGCCACTTGGGGCGTCGAGGCAATCGAGTGATAGGCTCTGGTTGCTCGGGAGAGCTGCAGGCCTGCATGCGCGCGATGCGGGACCCGTTGTCGTGGATGGAGTGTGCAGGGCCAAGTGGCTGTTGCGACAGGTCCTTGTTGAAAAGCGTGAAAATATTTTGCGACGGGAGGCCGCCGTGGGGTGCTATGGATCGATGGATGGTTCTCGGTTCGGTCGAGGTGCAAGTTGAGGGTTTTCAACAGCAGCAAGACGTCGAATGGATTAGGAATCGTGAGTCGTGAATGAGATCGTTCTCGAGGAAGGAGCAACACAGTCGGCGTGGCTTGTCCGAAACAGGCAGGGGCATCCACCTTTCCTGCCGGCCCCCGCCAGAGCTTCCCAGACAAGCTCCAACTCCAAAAAAAAGTGTCACGCAAAAAGGTTCCGTGTGTTTTGTCTGACCACCGACCCACGACATATCCGCCAGCGTCGACACTGCCCAGCGCCCACCGACCCTCCGCACACACTGCCTGGCGCCTTCTGCGCATCGTAGGCCCCAGAGCCCCGCGATGGAATGAGCGCTCCGGCTCGCGTCTTTCACCATGGCCCCAAGCCCGTCTCCCTGATCGAGTTCCGCGATGCCCTCGAAGCGGTATGCCTCCCGCGCTTCCCGACCGTGCGCTTTGCGCGGCCGCGGCGCGTCGGTACGTCGAAGCTATACCCACCTATGACCAATTCCGCGCGGTTCGCTGACGGTGGCGTGCAACAGCGCTCGCCGTGAGCGGCGGAGTCGACTCCATGGCCATGGCCTTCCTCTTCTCGAGCCTCTTCAAGACCCATCGAGCCCTCAAGATAGCCGACAACCCCGCCGAGAGCGCATTCGGTATCATAGTCGATCATCAGCTGCGGGAGGGCAGCGGCGCCGAGGCCTCTAGTGTGGCACAGGAGCTCAAGAGGTTTGGCATGAAGGCAGTCATCAAGCCGCTCAACTGGAGAGACGTCCGACGCGATGGCATGGATCCCGCCAGCCTGCCCAATCTCGAAGGCGTGGCGCGCACGATGCGATATCAGATGCTGGGATTGACCTGTCGCTATCTTCAGGCCACGAGCCTCTTCTTCGCCCACCACCGTGACGACCATTACGAGACGGTCCTGATGCGCCTGCTGGCTGGCCACGGCTATCGGGGCTTGCAAGGCATCCGCGCTGCCAACGCGATACCCGAGTGCTACGAGCTGCACGGCGTTTACAAGAGTGGGCTTCTCGACGATCAGATGCAGCGGCATCCTTTCCTCAGCTTCAAGCCCCCAAACAAGGAAATGAAGCGGCTTAGGATGATTTTGAGAAATGACTTTCATGATGAGCCCTGGAGTCATATAAAGACGTACCTAGGCATCAACGACATGTCTGCGCAGTTCCCCGGCCACATCACTCGCGATATCGATCCCCGGGTGCCATATCTGACGCCTCTGAATTGCGAGGACGGTGGCGTGCACATATACCGCCCGCTTCTCGAGTTTGACAAGGACAGGCTGATTGCCACGTGTGAAGCAAACGGCGTCCGGTGGTTCGAGGATCACACCAACACGGACCCGACCTTGACCACCCGCAACGCGCTACGTCACATGGCGAGGTCCTACAAATTGCCCGAAGCGCTCCAAAAGCCCGCCATTCTGGCATTGTCACAGAGGGCGAAGCAAAGGGCCAAGTTTGAAGAGGCAGAAGCACATCGCCTGCTGGTCCGAGAGGCGGTCATTCAGGACTTTGACCCCAACGCAGGCACCCTGCTCATCGAGCTTCCGTCTTTCCAGACCAGTGCGACGCGGACGAGGCGCCTCTTTGCGGCGGCAAGGGACGAGGCGCGCAAGCCCCGCCGCCGGGCGATTGCAGCCATCGCGGTGCGCAAGCTCGTTGAGTTTGTGACGCCTTATCTCCACTCGCCGCCTCTAGCCAATCTCGACAACGTGGTCGATCGGCTTTTCCCAGAGCTGTCGTCGAGCCCTGACGGCGAGATACCCAAGGCGTTCTCGATCGCAGGGGTTGTTTTCGAACCAGTCCTTGGCCCGCAGTCGACCAGATGGTTTCTATCGAGGGCCCCGTACAAGTCTAACCAGCCGTTACCGGAGAGGAAGCTGCCAGGTTATCTGAACTACAAACTGTTGTCCGCTGCCGATGGGTTCAGGGGGCCACAGGTGCGACACGGACACTGGCGCAGCTGGAAGATGGCCAAGATCTGGGACGGGCGCTTCTGGATACGTGTTAGCGCCTGTGTGCCGGCAAGGTTTCACATACGACCGTTGCTGCCGCAGTTTGCCAGGCAGTTTCGACTGGCCTTGCCGCAGAAAGAGAGAGGCCGCTTCGAAAGGATTCTAAAGTACTACGCCCCCGGCAAGGTGCGATACTCGCTCCCCGCGCTATACAGCGTCGAGGCTGGCAAGGGAGCTGACGCAGCCACGCCTGCGTTGACACTACTCGCACTCCCGAGCCTCGGCATTCATATCCCCGGCCTGGAGCGATGGGTAAAGTACGAGGCCAGGTACAAAAACGTCGACGTCTCCCTGCTGGGCTTGAAGAGACGAGGAGGCGAGCGGCCTGTCGTTGGATACCGGTCTCGCAGCAGCAGGTCTAGGCGGGTGCGTACAAGGCGTTTGGCGAACCACATGGGCATCCGCGACCGCGCATGACGTGTGTAACGGATGGCCATGCTGTGATAACTTGTGGAAAGAGATATATCCCACTTGAGTCTACTGCCGTAGCCTGGAGCAACACGCATCGCCTGTTTATGGCAGATGCCGAACTGTTGGTTCGCCTCATTATGCAGCTCGAGGAAGGGTGAGGTGCGTCAGTGTAGCAGTGTCAGTTGTGATGGCTCCGCCAAGCTCCTCATGACAGCCTCACAAAGCGCCTGGCCAATCGCAGCGACATGAGCGAGGCGGGTCGCGCAGCAGTTGCGGGACGGCGCGCGGTCCGTGGCATTTTGCCCGAGCTGCATTCTGTGACCGAGAAGCGGGCTTGCGGCAGTTGATTGCAGGTTGTTCGCCCGATAGTGCTACACAGGCAGTGACTACACCGCTTTGTGGGTGCTCAGCGATGTAGCTTTGAGTCCACGCCTGTTTCACTTATCCAGCCCAGCAAATGATACAGTGAATCTATCATGACAACGAAGAAAGGTTTGAAAGGCTCTTACGCGACCTAAACCACTCTGCTGCCTGTTTCTTGGGTTGTGACACAGCCATAGAATGCAACATGTAATTGTTGCGAATCTGTTGCCAACCTTTATGAATGACGTTGGGTAACAATGCTATACAAATGTCGGAGCAGTAGAAGCCTCCCGTATCTTGGCGCGGGAGCCTCCACTGAAGCTTATAAAGGTCTGCCCCGAGCCTATAGATATTGTATGTCCCGCAGACTTGAGATACTGCGTTGCTTGACCTTGACTTGAGCCAGCCCGCCTCAAGCACTTACTGCAAAGCCGACAGGATGCCCTACATGCACGACTGGATGACGGGTTTCGCCGGGCAGCCCCAGTGGATAGCTTTGATGGGAGTAAGTCTGTCGTGTGCCCCTTGGTCCTTAATTACCTTACCCGTTTCATGCACAGCGAATGCGTTACTGAAGTTCAAATCGGGGAACCCCTCAGGTGTGCAGCAACTCGAAGACGGCATGCGTCCTCAAGACCGCGCCGTTCGACAACGCGGCCGATGCCCACCTCCGGAGCCGGATGGCGGAGCTCCATCGACTCGGCCTGCCGCACACATTTCAAATCAGCTGCCCGGAAAACCAGCCCGTAAGCCAAGGAAATCACCCCCTTGAATGCCACGATCATTTCTGGACGGGCTTTATTTTCCCCAATGCGATGCCACAATCACTAATTCACCGGGCGCCTTTGTCTACAGTGCAAGAAGCCTGGCGACCCTTGCGGCTGGAGCAGCTGGGGCGTGCAACACGCAAGCTGCCAGTTGACTGAAGACGGTAGCGTAAGCTTTAGGGCCGCCCGCAGTGGCGGTTACAATGCCTGGGGGCCAGGTGGGGATACGATGATACTCATTGGGCCTGAGAGACCTCTGTGAGCTGCCGTTGGAGAGTTGGCGGTGGTGCTTCAGGTTTATAATTGACTGATGTACGAAGAGATATTGACTCTAAACAATGATGCGTTAAGGGCCATCCTTTAGAGGGTGGTCGCAAAACCACAGTACGGGTTCGGTTAGACGAGGCGAGGCGGGGCGAGGAGGGGCCGTCGCGGACGACGAGACGCGCAGCAATTGCGAAACGGCGCACCGTCTGCCCATGTGGTTTTCTGCTCAGGTTGCGTTGAATGAATGAGGTGCGGCTAGCTTGCGGTAGTCGATGGCCGCTGTGCTTGCCAGACCGTCTAGGCACATTGGACAGGGACGAGACTGCATTGCGCGCATTCGGGCCCAGCTTGAGACAGAGTTGGACGTCCGTGGTACATAAAGGCGGTTTCGGTTCGGGTACGTGTAGCCGCGTATCTATGGCGAACTGTTATTGCTGATGCAAGCTGGTGTCAAAGAACTATGGACTGGCAAACGTCATGTATGTTATCGTCAAGGTTCCTATAAATACGAGCGTAGTAACTCAACTGAAAGGGACAACGTCCATCCCATCTCCCACGTGCTTTGCAGAACTGAGTTGCCAGCCTGTTCGTCTCTCACCTTGTGCCAGTCCGCCTCAAGCACTACCGATCCGACAACACGCCCCGAATTCACGACTGGGTAACGGGTTTCTCGCAACACCATGACCGGATTGTCATCATGAGGGTAAGTGTCGGGTCCCTATCCGCCTATTCCGCCCATCTACATATGGAGTTCGTCGTGTTAACAAAGTGAATCATCCATCAGCGATGCAGCACCTCCAAGATATCTTGCACTTTCGACACCGGCCCGTTTGATGACGCAGACGACGCTATGCTCCGGGACCGGATAGCGATCCTGCACCGGCTCGGATTACCACGCATGTTTCAGATCGCCTGCGCGGAACAAAAGCCTGTAAGGGGCCTGTAAGGAAACCCGACCAAACCGTCTGAACTGTGAAATCAGATGCGATGCTCATTCGCTGGACGTCGTGCCACTTTGCAGTGCGAGAAGCCTAGCGACCTGTGTATTTGGGCCAGCATGGGGCCACAGTACGCGCAGTGCCGACGGGATGCAGATGGGATCTTGAACATATTTACCCCGTCGGGTATGAATCAGGAGCATTACCACTGGGAGTTGCCTGGCAAGAACATGGCTGTGTGGATTGGGCCGCCCTGCTGAGCACCGCAACAGCTGGTGCTGCTGCGTTCGACGCTTGCCTCCAGCCCCAGGGTTCTGTAAGATACACTCCTACGCACTTATACGTCTTACTATAATTACTCTCAGAGCTATGGCCAGAGGGCCGCCACTATGGAACCATGCTACGATGCCCTGGGTTCGGTGAGGCGAGGCGGCGAAAAGGCGCCGGCAGATGGCGAGGCGAGCAGGAGTTACAGGACCCTTGATTCGTGCACAATGCATATCACCCGCCCTCACTAATACCACTGGAAGTTACCCCGGAAAAGTAGGGAGCCCTTGTTCATGTAAGTTGAGTTCTGTGCTGTGCCATTCTTTCTGGTGCCCTGATGTCATGATGAGGAAACAAGCGCACAATGACGGGGAAGAGAAAACAAGTTCAAATCAATCCCTCTTTCCTCCGCGTACAATCTTTGACACCGCCCTTGGTGTGTCTGTGCCTCCTCGGGGCTTCGCCGCCCGTGCCTTGCGTTTCGTCCCCCGGACCATGCGCAGCACCTATGAGTCGCGCACGCGCCCTTGTGTTCCCCTGCGCGCCGTGGACGACGCTGAATGGGAAACCTTCCGCGGCTGCGACCTGGGGCGAGCTGAAACGTGTGCGCGCCCGGCAGAAGAGTGACTGGTGGCGAGGCGTGAGGCGAACGGACCGCCAAAAACTCGCGTCGGCCCCAAAGCGGCGGCAAGTGGGCGCCCCGTCAGCTTCACGGAAGGCGCAGCCCACTGGTACTGGGCGCTTGCCCATCTCGCTTGAAATGAAACAGAAATCCTCGCCTCGCCTCGCCTCGCCTCCGTGCACAACCGCGAATTTCAAACCTTGCAACGCCTAGGAAACACCATCAGCCAGCCAAGAGTTGGGAATGTTGTCGTCTCGCTGAGCCGCCTTGCGTGGCAGCGCCAGCCCACGGGCCGTCCGTCCGGCCCTCCCGGAACGCCTTGCCGGCTCTGCCTCCGTCTCAGCGCCGGTGGCGACACGACGCGTCACGCCGCGCTCGGCTAAGTCTTGTCGCACAACCTGGTCCTTTCATCCTCCGCTGAAATACTCTCCTCCCCCGCTCCCGGGGCCTTTACCTTCCGATGAGGCCCTTCGCGGCCTTGCCATCCGGCCACGGGCCGTTCCGGCGTCGGCGCCGTGGGTGGAGCCGAATGGCGTGCGGAGCCTTGACGCCGCCGCCGCCGCCGTTCGTCGGTCCCACTTCCATCCGTTATCCACGAGACCAAAACACCACCTAGAAACGTATCAATATTACCGCTCGGCCGTTGAAGAACGACGACGATGTTGATGGGCGCCGGCCGGCCGGCCGCCCTTCATTTCGCACCGCGATTCCTATGGTGTGTTGTTCCCTTGGGGCGGTGTCGTCCCCGCCGTTCCTCCGGATATATTTCACCCCGAGGCGGCGCGGTCGGGACAGGCCCGAACGTCATGTCCCGAGGCATGGGAATCCGTTCGCTCTGCCCCTTGCCCCTCTGAAACGCCGCATCGTCAATGATGCGGTATTCCCAAAGGTGATCCAGCAGGGGAAAGTCTGGCCGGATACTTGCGGCCGTCACACCCTTGTAAAGGTGCTCCGCGATGTGGTACATGCGCTCGCGAAAGACACCCGACTTTTTGTCTCGGCGATTTGTTTCAGCGACGAACTTCATGTCGCAGAACCAACAGCGGCTTTCCCGAGGAAACCGATGGCCCAGATGGCCGTCCGCGACGTGTTGTATCCACAGCTCGACCTGGTCAAAGGCGAACTCCAGAAAGCAGTGTGAGAGATTGCGAAACTCGCAGGGGAACCCCCTGAGGAGCATGTCCACTCCCGGATCTGTCGCCGCTACATTCGCCTCAGACCACGACTGGGACCACGCATAGGCGGGCTCCGGAACATCGGGACGCTGGTCGTATTGGTATTGCACCGCAGGTCCCCGACGAGGAGGCGCGGTCGACATGGAATATGCAGTTCGATCATCGAAGTCGTCAAAGGTCGTCGTGCAGTGCGTGGCACTGCTCGCCCAGTCTGACATTCGTTTGCCAGCCTGGGGGTGCTGTGTCATGTCCGACAAATCCATCGCCATGATCTCCCTGGCGTAATAGGGACCGCCGACGGTTAGGGGATGGGGGACCAACCCGTCCCGAAGCTGACGGGCGTTGCTGATGATGATGGCGGCATCGGCCAAGCCAGGCGCCTCCATGGCTGCGGTTGGTGTTGGATTGCTGGCGGGGACCTGGCCTGACCTGATCCGGATCATGACGATTCCACGGACGACGGTGATGAGGGGTGACGGCAGACGACGATGGCAGAGGCTTTACCAGGGTATCGAATGGTTTGTGAAGATGCGGCAATGAACCGGCGAGCGGGGAGGACGCTCCCTGCCCAAGCCGTGGACAAGTCGGTCACGATGGCGGCCACCAGCGGCTAGAACCGAGCGGCGGGGAAACGTGATGGCTCGCCAAGGGGAGCTTTCGCGGCCAGACCATGGACGACGGGTCACCGTGGGTGGTGATGGCCGGCACGGGGGAGAACAGGGTCAAAAACAGCAACAGAACGTGGGCGGGAATGCTGCGGCTGTTCCCTGCCCAAACGCCAACGATGCGGTGTGTTTTGGGCGTCGACCGATGCCCGGAAAGGCAGATGTTGGAAGGATGCAACAGGGAGCGACATGCCTCCGCCTACTGCGACGGACTACCTTGCTTTGTGTGGGAACCTCACCTCACAATGACCCCTCGCTGCGAGAGTGCGTCAAATGCGCCGCGGCTGCAGTTTGTCCAGTGCGGGCACGTCTGCCGACGGTGTTGCAGCGCAAATCGTCGCGAGCGATAACATCCCAGCCCAAGGATAGACGCAACGATATTCTATTACGACGGCTTGGTCAGCACGCCAATCATCCGGGGGATGGCGAGCATCGCAGCACATGCTTGGCTCAGCTTCAGGATAGACTTCGAAGCCCCCGGCGCCGTGGGCGGCTGCCTGTGCTGGCTTGGCCGCGGATGTTGGCCGGCTGAGGTGATTCTTACAGGCGGACGAAACGGGGAGCGAAGCCCGCACGCCCGTCTTCTCCAGAGCCGTGTCGGCCGCCGTGGTACGCGTGCCACCTGCCCAATCGTGGCACCGTCTGATGCTGATGAATGACGAAACGTGCCCGAGGGACGAATCGCAAAGACACACCTTCACCGAAATTGACACGCTGTTGCACGGGCTCTGAAGGACGACGAACCCGTGACTGCGTCGATTTGCTCAGCAGCTGTCCACGTCTCTAGCGTGGATACGAACGTTGGGAAGCCGTCGAGACGTGAGAGGAGTCGCGGACCATGTTGGACCAGGAGGTTGAGGATTCTCACGTCGTCGCCCAATGCCCCAAAAAGGCCACGCGGCGCGTTAAAGATTCGGCTGTTTTGCCGTTGAGGAAGGCCTGGGTTCCTGAGACGCAAAATGGCGTGGGGGACAAGGCACATACAGTGAATGGAATGGGGACAAAATCTAGCGAGGGCTCTGGGGCGGCGCGGGCGGCGGGAAACGCGGGAGGCCGGGATCTTCATGCACGACAGCAGTCGGCGGGGAACCGCTGATACCCTGAAAGATTGAGGCTCAACGAGGGACCCCGGCCCTGTGTCTCATTGAGTCATCGTCAAGCCAATGCGAACCCAACGACACCCACCAGCGTCGCCGTTGTCGATCGTCCAATGCCGGGACAATCATGAGCAGTGTGACGTAGGCTCAGAGCACGCGGCCCAACCCGTCGTCGAGCGACTGGCTGTCGTGGCAACGTCAGCCACTGGCGGTGACATTTGCATTCGACAGGCCGCTCCGGTGCATTTGTTTCTGCTGACGGAGATGCAGACTGCAGGGGCAAACACGGTGCGCCGTGTCTATTGTGGCCCTCCGCAATGCCGAGGACATTGAGCCAGGGCCACTTCTCATCCATGGCAAATACACTATACGATACTGTACTACGGAGCCGCGTGGCAGAGGACGAAATGGACCACAGGATCCACCCCGACGGCACCCACCTGCACAACCAAGGTTGTCGCTTGTAAGTCTTGGGCTTGCTACTAGCCGCAGGCCTCATTGGCGGATCTGATAAGGGCAGCCAGTCAACTGAAGAGGGCCTGTTGGACAGCACACTCTAGACTTGGTCTGCGGTGAGTTGCCCGCGAAAGGCACACATGTCGAGACGCGAACAGAGGCTACAGAACTCTTGCACAGCTCTGCAGGTGCTTATACTCGACACAGAACTCCAAAAACTTATGATTGCGTCCGTCGGAGTGCTGCCATCTATCCACGTCTTCACAATGGCCCCGACCGGCCTTGGCCGCCCTGGCGCCTGCCTCGTGCTGTCATAGGATGCATCCGGGTTCATCCAGCTCCGCGATAACATCGACATAGTCGCACATCGTCTTGCGCGGCTTCCATCTGTGCACACACGTCCGGCCTAATTCGTTGCACTAGATAGTTGAGGTGAAGAATCAGTCTGGATGTACGGTTGGCCGCGGCCTCGTCTCCTTCCCCCCTTGCCCTCTTTCTCTCATTATTATATCCACATACCTGAGAATCCGTGTGACAGCCGAAGTCCACACGCTGCGTACGCACCTTGATGCCCAAGGGGCGTTTGAGTCGGGTTACTACGAGGACCTCAACTTTGCATCGCTGGGTTTCAATGTCACAGCGCTGCATACACCTGCGTTGTCAGTGCCTTGCTCGCACAGTGACGAGGCTATCAGTGACTATGGAGCAGGGTAGCTACTGCGATGGGGAGGAGAAAAAGAAGGGCGGGGGCTTGTAATCCTGGTATGAGGGTAAGGAGACGGAGGTCGAAGAGGAGCACTCACGCCTATCCGCGGCTCTCTCTCATTGACCTCCTGAATTTCGCGAACAGCATCGTTCACATTCGAGAAGGTCCGATCTAATATCCCTTCCGGCCAGTTGGCAGAAGCGGTAGCCGAGAAGAGCCATAAACAGAGGTTGACGTGGTGTGACGCTTTCATGACTGGACGTCTAAGGGCTTCTTTTCCGGAGTGAGATCTGGGGCCTTGCTAGTGTTACTGCTGAGGCGCAAAAGCAATAGAGACGCGGAGAGAGAGACGGAGAGAGAGAGACGGACATAGAGGAAGAAGAATTCCCTTGTATAATACGTATGCGGTGCACGTAAGCAAGTGTCATTGTGCCATGACTTAGAATCACTTGGCCGTGCTGGAGTGCCCATTCGCCCGTCGCCCGGGCCTCTCCATGACGTGAATGATGCACCGTGACAGACGCGCGTATTTTGCTTTAGCCCACTCTGTGCCGTGTGTGGCCCAGGCGCGAGTTTCGAAAACGTGAACGGAACACGGGCCGGGCGGCGTTTGATGACACACACACTGGAGGAGTGCACATCGCTTGCGCAAACATGGTTGTAGGCCATATACTCAAACTCTTAGCCGAAAAAGTCTCGACGCTGGATCTGATGCCCGTAGCGTACCAACTAGATGTAGCCAGCCGTGCGTCATAGTCAAGGAGCTTTTTGACCCTGCCCGGTTATGGGTTGGCATGAAAGCCGGGACATACAATCCTGATCAATATATAACCACCAGTATAAGCCATATTGTGTGGGGAACAGAGGCAGGGGGGAAGGGTAGTCACTCCATGACCAAGGTATAGAAGCCGGCCAACTAGAAGTCTGATCAATACATTACTCTTAACGCGACAGTGCATGAAGAAGGACCATGAAGAGCATCAAGAGGAGTCCGCCCATACATGTATCTCCACCAAGTGATGAATGTAGCAGCGGTAGCGACGATGGACTTTGTAGCCGCCACGACTCAGCCCGTCGAACCTCGATCATGCCCCAGCGTATTTGTTTGATGCCCATCACTGGATACACCCGGGGTTGTCAAGCTCCGCGATGACATGGACATAGTCACAAATCGTCTTCTCCGGGCTCCACCTATGTATACACGTCGAACCCAACTCGTTGCACTAGAATCAAAGAATTATATCGCCCGTTAGCATACATACGAACGGTCGCGGCTTGGTTTCCTCCACTGCTGTTTCCCCCCTTGCCAGACATCAGGAGTGAACTTACTTGGGAATCAGGGTCGCACTCCAGGCTCTTTTGTTGGCTTTTTAGATAGTAGGACCCTTGTCCGGCCCACGCGTACCATGTCCTGATTGTGCATCGCTGGGTGCGCACGTCGCAGCGCTACCTGCGTCGTCAGAGTCTTGCTGGGGCCAACTGCGACTGGTAATGATCAGGGGGGCGGGGGGCTAGCGAGCACTCACGCCCTGTCGCGGCACGCTCTTGGTCCACTCCAAAGCTGCCTGCCGGGCATTTTCCATGCTTGAGAACCTGATAACCAACGGCGACTCCTGGTCTTGGTGGGGTGGCGAAGTGGCAGAAGTTGTAGCCAACAGGATGCATAAGCAGGCGTGGACGCTGCGTAAGAATCGCATGACGTCTGAGGGATGCTTCACTGCGCGGCGCGGAATTAGGGATCTTCTGCATGAAGGCCGCTGGCAAGCTGTAGGGCGAGATAGGGTGGAGGCAACAATATGAGTCGGCTGGCGAGTGGAAGGATGGAAGAAGGGAGGGGAGCGGAGGGGCGAGCCGCTTTTAAAGAGCACCATATCCGCGATGGTGACTCCATGTATCATAACGCCATGGCTGGTTGACTGACTGACTGACTGACCTAACCGCGCAAGAACTACTCTCCTCGCACGGAAGTATCCATGGCATGGACAGAATCTCGTAATAGAGCCGCGTTCTTTAACTGGAAAGGTACCGGCTGCCCTGGCTCGCGCTTCTCACACGTGAAACGGGCCCACGAGATGACGTACACAATTCTATAAACTGGTGTATACGCCCGGACGCAACAACGCAAATACAGCGCGGGGCGTCTACTTGTATCCTCGGCAGTCTGGGGTCGAGTACATCACGGCAGTCGCAGATTGTTAGCCATATACTTTGGAAGCGCCAGCCGGCGGCCTCTATCTACCTCACCGTCGAATTTGGACACCAGCAGCCTGTGTCAACTGAGATTGACCAGTTGCACGCCACAGCGTCGCCAAAACAATGGGGCGTCGTCAAAAAATATTGAGCAACTTCTAATCGAGTGCGAGAAATGGGCTGCTCTCACACCCGAGTCATTCCACACGGTACTGACCAACATGCGGACTTGAGGATTTGATACATGTAGGTTTCAATGCTATATATAATGAAACAAGAAGAGGGAATGACGGCGAGAAGGGTGTTTCGAGGACACCATCCATATCCTCGTAGAGGGCGGGGTGTGGCAGCGTTTCAATAAAGATGAACTCGTAGGCGTTGTTCGCAGCGCGTTGCTGAGATCGAATACCGCTGGGCAAGTGAATTGAAAGCTGGCAGCCCAGCCTTGGCCCCCCGGCGTTTTATTTACTCAGTATCTGAACACACCCGGGTTCTGCCTGCTCCGCGATGACATGGACGTAGTCGCAGATTGTCATGTCCGGATCCTACCGGTGCATACACGTCTGACCTAGTTCGTTGCACTAAAGGGGTGGAAGAGCATAGGGGTTAGCACACACGCATACACATTTATATACACACACACACGGACTCTCTCTCTCTCTCTCTCTCTCTCCGTCTTTCTCACACACGCTCCGGCAATCACAGCTCGGGCTCGCAACGACGTCTGTTTCGGGGGGGGCAAACCAACGTACCACGGAGTCGGGGCTGCACCGGTAGCGCGTTGCCCTCTTAAACAAGATATAGCCACGGCCCACGCCCCACCGCGGCACGTACAGGTCGATGTGGCACAACTGGGTTGTCATGTTGCAGCGCTGCGTTTTTTTCAGTCATCGTCAGAAATCCGTACTGCTACTTCGGCTCCTCTCGGCTGTTGCTTCGATCGGGAGGCGGTGGACGGGGTTGGTGGCTCGGCCCCCAGCCGTCACATCTCTTGGGAGGGGAGAAAGGGAGGGAAGTGAAAAGGGAGTGAAGCCAGGGCCGTGGGGGGTAAGGGTAAGGAGAACTCACTCCCACGAGCGGCTGCGCCTCATTGACCAGTGTCGCGGCCTCTCGTGCACTCTGCAGGGTAGGGTACAGAATATCTTTGTTCCCCAGCGGCGGCAAGGTGGCGGAAGCGGTGGCCGAGAGGAGGCATAGACATGTGCTGAGCGATACCCTCATGGCGTGTGTGTGTGTGTGTGTGTGTGAGTCCGAGGCCCTCTCGCCGAATACAGAGTTGGTGTTAAGACGCGGCAAGCTGGAAGAGAGAGATATGGCGAAAATTAGGAGGCAAGAGGAGGAAGAGAGAGCGCGAGTCAAAGGCCCCTTTTGTATACCACGTCTTCGGCATGAGAAGCATAGACAGTTTCATGCCTGACTGACTTAACATGAACAAGAAAGGGGCGAGGAACAGCGTCTCTTGACAGAAACATTCTGTGCGCCGCCACGCAGAGTTTCGTAAACGTAAAACGGGACCGGACCCCGCGTCGACGCATTGTAGAGTGGTGCAGACGCGTGGGTGAAGGGGGCACGGGCGGTGTTGAAGCAGAATAGAGTACCCCGTGCGTGCCATTCCCCGCGTGTGCCCCCGCGCGTATTGACTACTAGGTATTGATCAAGCCATGTTGCATAACGGCGGTGCGTCTCGACTTGGAGACCTGCTCATAGAGCGTTTCGTTTCTTGTTCACTACAAGTGTCGGCATGGGAACCGGGACGGTGGACGGTGGAGGGTGCGCGAGGCATGCGATTCACAAGGTGTAGTAGAGACGGCCTGCCGGGAAGGCACGGGCTATGTATGAGATGCGTACGACGAAAAAGTTGGGGCCGCGGTGCACAGGACGGTTTCATATCTGGCCCAGGCACGTGGGATGATCTGATGATGGCTGCCCCTCTCAGGAGCTCGCCCATTGCACGTCAATGTTGCTGCTATTGTCGAGTTGTCGAGTTGTAGAACGCCACTGTCGAGAGTGATATAATACGCCTTCTGTATGCCGAGTCCCCCCCATGGTCCTCGTTTCAAAATGATGGCGGCGATGACGTCGCCCTACATCTAAACCGACATGAGTTCTACCATGGCGCGCTCTCGCGCCTCCCGTCTCAGACCTTCGACATGGACGCCCGGCCGCCTCACTCCTCGGGGCTGCACAGCACCCTCGCCTTGGCAATGACGTTGCGGAACTGCATCTGCCCGCCGTTCTCGTCGCCGTGCTTGATGACACCGGGGAAGACGACGCACCAAATCTCCCTGCGGGCGAGCGCGTCCTCGTCCTCGCCGCCCACGTCCTCCATGGTCTCGGGCTCGAACAGGACGCGCTGGTGCGGCAGCACGACGGGCATGTGCACGCGCAGCACCGCCTTTTGCACCACGAGCAGCCGCGCGAGCTCGACCGAGTTGTTAACGAGGACGCGGAGGGCCGAGTCGCGGGCCGAGGACGATGATGATGATGGTTTACTGTTGTTGTTGGTAGTGTTGCTGTTGCTGACACCGGGTGAGCTGCCGGTGGCGGAGGGGGAAGGGTTATTGGGTTCTGAGGGCGGACCACTGGGGGCAATGGCGTCCAGAAGGCGGTTCACGCGCGCAATGACGGCCTCGACGAAGCTGCTCGTCTCGTCGTGCAGCATCTGGTGGGGGTCGCGGCGCAGGAGGGCGAGCGTGGACGAGCGCCACTGGTTGACGGCCTCGTCGGAGGCGGCTGCGGCGAAGACAAGTCAGTATCCGAAACAGATGGAATCGCAAGAGGCGTGACAAGGCATACAGAACGAGCAGAGCAGATCCTCCATCTGCCGAAAGGACCGCGTTTGCTCCGTCGACAGCCCCACAAAGTAGGCGTCAAAGACCATCTCGACGAGGATTCTCGACACGAGAGACTGCAGGAGGTGGACTTTGGAGGTGAGAACCAGGTCCTCGTACATGGGCACTAGCTCGCTCAGTTCGGCAAGCGTCGCCTCGTCCACCTTGGTCAAGTCTGTCGTCCGCAGGCAGTCAGCGTCACGGTGCCAAACACATGGGACGCGGAGACTCTCGAGGTAATGGATGCTCACCCAGCTTGGCCTTTCGAAAGTGCATTATGACCCAGTTCTGCAGCCCGTTGCCGAGGCGCGCCATGCCGTCGCCAAACACCTCGTCGCTCGTCTGCGACCCCGTGCGGGTGCTCGTGCTCACAAACTCCTTGAGGCCGCGGATCTGGCCGCGCAGGCTGCGCACCTCCTCGTCGCGCTCGCGCAGCTCACGCCGCAGCACCTCCCAGCCCTGGCGCAGCTCCGCGCGCTCCGCCTCGCGCACGTCCACCTCGGCCCGCAGCAGCCGCAGCTCCGTGTCGGTCCGCAGGAACTGCTGGTTCAGCGCGCTGTGCTTGGCCTGCCAGAACGTCGCCGTCTCGCTTTCGTTTTGGGACAGCTTGTCCAGCTCCCGGTGGAACTCGCTCTCCATGAGCGCCATCTCCGCCTCGAGCGCTGCGATCTTCTCGTCGCGCTCCCGCAGCTGCTCGCGGTGGAGGTTCGCCGCGTCGCGCGCGTGCTTGTCGGAGCCCCCGCGACCGCCGTAGTGCCCGGTGCTCGAGTTGGGCCGCCCGCCGCCGCCGCCGTCCTTGTCTTTGTCTTTGTCCTTGTCGCGGCGATCAGACAGAGACACGCCGCCGCCTGAGCCGCTGCCGCCGCCGCCGGACGGCCCGCCCCCGTTGTTGGCAACTTCTTGTGCGTCGTCGGCCGTGGCCACGTTGCTGTTTACCATGGCCGCTCGTGGCGGCAAGGCCGGCAGGTTGCCGCTGCCGGTGCCGCTGCTCGCGTTGTTGGCACTGCTGCCGGCGCCGCCTGTACCATGTCTCCCGGAGGAGTGCGCTGGGCCGGTGCGCAGAACATGGCTCCCGCCGCGGCGCTTCTCGGGAGTGTGCATGCTGTGAGGGGTCTTCGTGATCGTAGTCGTGTCGTCAAGGCGTGGCAAGGTCTCGTCCGTCGTCGCAGCTCCGCGGGAGCTGGATCAGCATGATTGCAGCTGAAGCAATCTGCCGCGTCGAAGCTATAGGGCACCCATGCAGAGAAGCAATGAAGCGGATGTGGAGGTGTAGGCAAGCAGGCGTGTGGGAGGTTCGCGTGGCGGTAATGCGGTAGAGCGTGTCCGGTGTTTGAAACAGGTGAGGTCCGTCGTCGAGGTCGTGTTCACGTCAGATTCCAGGCAGGCTGCGGTTACGATCGAGTGGGGGGGTTGCCAGGCTGGAGCGTGGGGAGCTGAGCGCTGGATGGTCCACGCGGGCGCTGAGGCGGGGACGTCTGCTGAACAGCGATAGCTTAACCGCAGCTGGAGGTGTCTTACAGCGCGGCGATGGGAGTGCTTCTCCTCCACTACTGCGGCCTTCATTGCTGCCTACGACGCCCATCAGACGGCAACGCCGAGCTCATGCACGTCTTCATATCCATATCGCCGTAGCCAAGATGCCTCCTGGATGACTGTACCTAACCCTCCGCCTCACGGCTTTCAACACGCTGCACGGCGACACACCATCATCGTCATGCCCTTCTAAAAAGCCACACCATCGTGACCCCAAACATCGTCGAGGCTAACCTCCCTATACTTGCACCTCAGCTTCCACCTCATACGCCTCATCGTCGTCGCTCCCCTCCACCTTCTTCGCCCCCATCCTGCACACCGCAATGCGCGTAACAGGCAGACCCTCCACCCACTCAAAGTCGTCGTACCGGGCCAGCACGTCGCGCGCATCCAGCATCATGCGCTCTCTGCTCCTCCGCCCACCGCCCCTCGCGCCCTTGACGTAGATGGTATTCACCATTGTCGCGTGCAGCAGCATCGGCCGGCCCTCGTCCTCCATCAGCCCGGCCTCGCGGAACGGCGCCCGCAGCCTCTCGCAGAACGGGTACAGTAGACCCTCCTCGTCCGTGGGCGGCGCGTACAGCACCGAGGTCTTGTGCGGCGCTTGCATGGCATGTAGGCCGCGGAGGCTGACCGCGATGCTTCCGCCGCCGCCGCCCTCGCCTGCCGCCGCTGTAGCCGCCGGGGCAGGCTGTGCGTTGGGCGGTAGCGCGAGCGGCGATGTCGTCGTCGTCTTGGACGCTCTAAGCTCGGCGAGAAGCTCGCGCGGACGCAGCGACCGCAGGACCTCTGCCGCCTTGTCCACGCCGTCCTGCTTCAGGCTCATGACGCCGAGCGTCAGGTGCAGCGTGCCGAGCGGCCGCACGGCGTCCTCGGGCAGCGCGAAGCTGTTTGGGCTGGTGACGTCGGCGCGGAAGGATGCCCAGGCGCGTGCGAGCTGTGGCGACGCCAAGGGGATGCACAGAAAGTGCGTTGGTGCTGGTTTGGGCGGCATGGAGATTTAGTTTGAAGTGCTCGAGAGAGCGGCTTGGCTGAGGTTGAGGGTCTGGCGGGATAGAAATGGCAATGATGGCCACGGTCAGGTCGTACTCTCAGTGAAATCAAGAGCGAACAATGCGGTGCAAAGTCGACTTATAAATGGATGTTTGTTGCTGGCGGCGCAGGGGCTGGTGCTCGCACTGGATTGCGAGTGTCGTCGGGTCTCTCAGAGGCAGCCAGTGATGAGGTGGTTCCATGAGGCTGGCGGAGTCTCGCAGTGCATGCCCGGGCTTGCAGTGGACGGCGCGCAGTCCGCGCCCGTCCCCGTGGCGCTGAGCGTAGGTGGCCTTCCACCTGGGCAGGTTCTATGCACCGCCTCGCCCAGGGCTGTAGCGGCCTTTACAGGTGGAGAGACCAGGCGCCCTGCGTAGGCACCTATTTCGGTTGTTGCCTGCAGCGGCCACGGAGCAGCACCCCAAGGCAAGCAAGGATACATGCCATCGTGAAGCAGCACGCCACCATCGCGCAGGCCGTCCAGGGACACACCTTGGGACACGCGACAGCCTGGTCGACCCAACGTCGCATCCAATTAATTACCGTACTGTCCTAGCCGGCCGCCCTGCGTCCTTGACACGTCCCGTCCCCGTCAAACGCGGGTCTGCTGGGCCCCTCGGACGGGAGCCTCGCCTCTGCCCAGGCGCGCCCGGCACGTGTCGAGCACTGCCGGCGGCCTCGTCCGGGGCCATCCTTGCTGCTGCAGCGTGCCACACATCCACACGCCCGCGTCCAGCACCCCTATCCGGCCAATGCAAGGCGACTCTCTGGCCACGGCAGTTTCGACGTGTTGGGGTGCAGCCGCCCCCATGTCCTCAGCCGCTCTCTACGGGCCAGTCGGGTTCGCACTTTGATTAAGTCGTTTCCGGACTCCGAACGGGTGTCCTGGAAACCTGGGGCAGAGGCATAGGCATCCATTGTCCTTTACTTCTCTGACGTCCAACCCCAGCCCGTCCTGGGCCGAACCCGTCTCCAACAAAAGTACACAATGCCGGTTGAGCATCCCGACTCGATGCGGCCCTGCGTGGCGGCCCGGGGGATGCCCATTGGTGGGTATCTAGGCGTCGTCGCTCTTGTCCTTGTCGCCCTCGTAATACTTCCTGAGAGCCTTCTCGACAACCTCGTAGTCCGCCTTGACCGCCTTCAGCGCTTGCTTGATGCGCTTCAGACACAGTTCTGAGTCGGGCTCCTCGGTTCCGTCCTCGTTCTCGTTCTTGCCGAACCGTTGAATCTTCTCACACCCGTCGCGCACCTTGACCAAGCCCAGCGTCGCCGATGAGCCCTTGAGGAAGTGGCCTAGTTGAGATAGCTTCTCGAGGTCCTCGTCCTTCCTGGGACACGCCAAGTAGCAACGCGCGGTTAGCCATTCATCCTTTTGCAAGCCAGCCCGCCGGCCCGGCCACTCGTGCCAGCGCTGCCACGCACGAGGCGCACCATGGGGGGTTTCCAACGCGATGAGACTCACAGCGCCTTGTCCATAGATTCAAATGTCTCTTGGGCTTGGTCAAAGAAACCAAAGACGATCGAGGAGCTAAAGTCCTGGTCCCCGGGCTCGTCCATCTCGAGGATCTGGTTAAACGTGCTCATGTCAACCCCGTCGCCGAAGTTGGACTCGCTCTCTTCGGGCGCAACCTAGCCAAGTCGTCGTCAGTCAAAGCACACCCGTGGCGGCCCTTGGTCCGTTGCGCACCTTGTCCTCGGATGGCGCCATGGCGACGATGAGATGCTGTTTGCCTCGCGACGTCGACGCCGGGGGAGGGGTAAGGCCGAGCGAGTGAGAGTGAGAGGGGGTGCCCGTGAGTGCCTGAAGCCACAGCAAGAACTGTGCAAAGCGGGTCACCGGTGGAGAGCGCGCAAAATGCGGACTGGATCTTGCAGTCGCTCGAGCGAGAGGTCAAAAGCAAACAATGATGATGAGCAGCGAGGGCGTGGGTTGTCGCGCCGTAGGCAAGTCGTGTGCGGCCCTACAGCGCAGCGCAAGGTGTCAGGTATCGCAGGGTGAAGACCGGGATCGTGACGTTGGTCGAGACGGGGGCGGCGGCGCGCGAGGCGGCTCTCGGGGCGGGATGTGGCGTGAGAGGTGGTGCCGTGACCTGGTCGCAGCTCACCACGCAGGCTACAGGCGGCCCAAGAGTCAAGCTTCAGCGACGGTATTAGTAGTAGAAATAGAATAAAATGCAGGCGATGCTGGGAAATGCGCCGCTCGTTTGTCGCCGACGATGTCCAAGTGTGTCGTGCCGCGCCCGTGTCTATTATTTCGGCGGGACGGTGGTCGGGAAAGCGTGTAGGATGACGGGAGGATGTTGGAGGAGCGGCTTCCGTTGGGGCTCGAGGGCAGGCAGGGCCGGCGCTCTAATAATATTGCTATCCCCCCCTGTGCCTGACTTTGGCCAGCGCAGCGCCGAGACGGAGGCTGCTGGGTGGGCAAGGCGAGAAGGGTGTGGGTAGAGGCTAGAGAAGAGGAGGAGCAGCGTCTGTGAGCAGCAAACGTCAGTGGATGATGAGCTTCGAGAATCGGCCTCAGCGGGCCGCTTGGTGGGGTCAAGAGTGACGCTGCTGTTGCGTGGCGGTTGGACGGTTCGGGGGGGTCGAGGCAGCGGATCAAAAGAAGTGGTGACACTATTGGGAAACAAAAGTCGCCCGCGGAGACGGCGCTCTCGCGACTGACGACTTTCGCTAACTCTGGCGACAAGCCGTCGTCGGCAGCTCCAGGCCAGCCTCTCTGTCTCTCGCGTCTGGCAACAGAAAGAGAGGCATTTCAAGGCGGGCCCATGCCGCCCCCGGGACTGCGTGCCAGCCAGCGCGTGCCATCCCAGCAGCTCGGACGGCGACGATCAGACATGCGCCAAAACCGGCGAGGCTGCTGTGGCCCTGTGCTCGTGCCGCCAGCGCCCCGCGAGACGAGGAGCGTGGGTGGGCCTGCGTTCCGACCCTGGCCAAACGGCCGAGTGGGCTGGCGATGGCTGGCGGAAGAGGAAAGGGATGGATGAGCGAGCGACCTTTGGGTAATGCACCCGGTGCTGAAGCTGAGCGCGAGACCTCCGACGGTTCCTTTTGGCCTGGTGTCGTGCTGGCTAGAAGGGTGTCCGTCATGGCGTGTACAGGGGTTGCATTGGGGAGGCGGGCATCGTGAGCAGGGGGAGAGCTTGGAGGGACAGGCGGGCAGCAGGCACAGGAGATTGTCGCCTTTCGGGATCGACAGGGATGCGGCCGAACAAGATCAGACGAGGCTCGAGGGCAGTTGCAACGAGAAGGAAGAAGTCAATGCAGACAGACATTACTAACGCTTCTTGAAACACCGCCAGGTGTGGGATAGTATCCAAAACGAGAGTCGAGGCGCCGGCTACTCGGCGGAGCGGCAGTCAAAGCGAGTCGCTCCTCGGGCACGGTCAAGAGGCAGAATGAGAGGCGGCGGGAGCCAGAGGGAGGGAGAATGAGACGGCCACCGATAAGGGGATGCGGCAGTCACTCATTCATATGATGAAACGATAATGCAATGTCAAGGGTCCTGCTATAACACGGCACAGCACGGCACACAGCACAGCACTCGCAAGGGACAGGTAGGTAAGGTGAGGTGAGGTAATCCATGAAGCAAACAAATGTGGTCGTGGTTCTGGCCGTCACCTGGTCTGTGCCGCGGAACCTACATGATGCACGGGGACAACCTACCCAGTGTCTACTGTACTTGGCGGTAGCGAGCAGCGTGAATGCTGCTACTGGGTACCAACGCCGAAAACCTCGAAGAACGGAGGCACCCTGCCCCGAGGCGGGCAGGCAAGCAGGTTGACGTCGGTGGACGTTGTTGTCTCTTCTCGCACCTTCCCGTGACGTGCTGGGCCGGGGAGCAGGCGTACCTGCCTTGTGTCTGCCCCTCCGCGGGGCACCTGCCTGCGCTAAGCTACGTCGAGCTACCGCGACGTGGGAGGTGAGGTGGGAGGTGCAGGCGCCGGGCGCAGGTGCAGCTGCAGCTGCTGGAAACTTGGTGGTTGGTGTTGGTGTTGGTCGCGGTGTCGTTGTCGCTGCTGCTGCTGCTGCCGCTGTCACTGTGGGCGCGGGCGTTGGTGACAGATCCACGGACCATGATGATGGGGCCGCTGCGCTTGCCGGCCCACGACAGGGCAGGGCCAGGGCCTGTAGGTTGTGGGCAGCCCACCTCGGGAATCCATCGAGGGCATGGACCTACCTGACCTCACCTCAGACCATCATACTCCATAGTGCTGTAGTCCATTCCTACGGAGAGAGATGCTTCGGTGCTGGGGCGCCACCACCGCCTGCCCTCTTGCCCAAACCAAACAGCCGGGCCGGAAGACCCTCTCCTGGCGTCGGGTGCCATGCCATCATGTCATGAGGCAAGAGCCATGCGGCCAGCCATGCTACAGCTGTGCTAGCCGTGCTCGCCACGGAGCCCATGAGGGTGCCTCCACCGCGCCTGCCTCTCTGGCCCTTCAAGTTCCCCTCTTTACCCTTCCAGGCCCGAGCTAACTAAAAAGCCGGCCAGTCGAGGTCTCCAGGAGCTAGGTAAGCTGGGCCCCAACACTTGCAATCGGGGCGCGGCGACGGCGACAGTGACAGCGACAGCGACAGCAACAGTGACGACTCGAGGAAGGTAGTACAGTCGCACCCCAGCATCGCCCTGCCCGGGCTCCTTCTCCTGCCCCGTCCCGTCTTCATCCAAAGCTTTGCGAGTACTCGTACTGTACAGTACCACTTCAACGCTTCATACTTCGCAGGTGCAAAGTTCGTACCTGCCCACCCCCAAGCCAAACCCCGGCGCCCGGGCAGGGGTCGGGCAGCCGGTTACATCATTGGACCCCTCCTGCTGGGGACGCATGCATCGTTTCGACCCGCCCATCCATCGTTGACGCCACAAACACACTCACGCACACACCTGGCCGCACGGCCTCACACACAATCCGCCAGACAGACACACGTCTCGACACAAACGGGCACTGTTGCGCGCTACCCATGCTCGCCATGCCACACACCAGCACCTTTCTCCTCCATGCGCGCGCCCGCTCGTCCAGCCTCCAGCTCCAGAGACTGTTCGCAGTGTCCCGAGGCTCTCACAGAAGTCTCATCCCGTCCGCGCCTTGCTTCGACTGCAGCCGGTGAGCTGGCACCGGGGTTCCTCGTCCTATCGGAGCAGGGCGACTCGATCACTTGCCTCCAAGTCAGGCGGCCACCACGCCATGGTTGACGGACGACGCAACTCTTGCGCGCACCATGCCCTGTCCTCATCGGCCTTGCCAACTGCCTCGTCGCTCGACAAGATTGGCCGGACTGTGCAAGAAACCTTGCCCGAGGAAGACGTCTCCACTGGCGTCCGGCAGCGGAGCCGTACGCAGGCAGGGTCGAACGAGCCTAAACATCTCGCGTTGCATTGATCAAGTCACGGCGGCCTGATATTACAGCACTCCAAGACGTAGCTGGCCCGCGACTCATCACACATCCGGGGCATTGTTGGCCGCGCCCCCCGCCGTCTTTCTGCAGCGGCCCTGCCCTGGGTCTAAGGATCCTGTCATGCTTTTAGCGTCAAAGGCTGTAATACACCACTGTTGGTGTTTGCCGTCCAACGAGTATCAGCAGAGAGACTGCGTACTCGGTATCACGGTTCCAAAGCATAAACCAGCAGGCCTCAACCATGGTCAGATAGGCCGCCGGCATCGTACACGGAAGCAGCGCTCCGCTGCCTTACGAGCTTTTCATCTTTGTCGAACCACGTACGGAGGCGCGGCGCATCATTGGCGTTTCCTGGTGATCGACGCTCACCGGTGCCGAACCCCTGGAGCGAACGCATCACGGCCGTTGGCTGGCAAACAAAGCTCGGTGTGTGCTGTCTTTGGTGCCCAGCGGTCCCAGGGTGCGGAGCCACTCGACCGCCGCACCGTGTCGTTTCCGGCGGCCTTGCCGAACGTTTTGCCTGTGCCCCCTGAGGTTCCGCCGTGGTGAACTCCCGATCCGCGGCAAGACGCGCAGAGGCGGCAGTTCTCACGTCGTTCCACCTCGCGACACGCCCACACTCGCATGCAGGGTCCGATAATAGTAGATCAAAGACCCTGACTGACTGACCGACTGCCCGACGCACAGACACAAACACAACATGTTGCTGGGAAGATGGATCCTTTCGACAGAGGTGGCAGGGAGTCGCAACGCTGCCGCAGCCTCCGCGGTGGGAGTCGCCCGAGACGATGGGTTGACCGCGCTTCCGAGTGTCAGGACGTACAAGGACGTCATCGTACTTCTGGAGGGCCACTTCGCGCGTCATCAGGAGCTCCGTGTGCGTTCTAGACCGCGTCTTGCACGGAATCCTGATGCAGGCCAAGCAAAGTTCCTCTGCCGGCACCAAGCAGCACCCGTCGAGCCTTGATCAGTTTTCCTCATCGCTTGCGACGTGCGGCTGCCTCGACGAGTGTTTCGTGAGACGGCGGGGAGCCGCGGTGCCGCCTTCCGGCTACGATACCGCTTCCCCGCGTCCCCCACTTGGCGGCCCAACAAGTCAGGTCAAAAGGGAATAAACTCCGGGAAATTGGATCGGCGTTGAAGTCGGCGACGATCCCGGCCCCAGGGCGCATCACCTGAACATCGGCGGTTGACGGCCTCTTTGTTTCTCCTTTGATTTTCTGGTGCCGACGCAGTCCTGCTTTCAGCGGCTCGGCAAGCGTCTTTTTCGTCCAGCCACTTAAGTGCCCGCCAAGACGGCGGCTGTTCAAGCAACACAGACTACTAGCACATACAAGTACAAGAGGGTGTATTGGTCACGGGGTTCATGTTCACCGCTGCGCCGTACCCTACCAACCGCGCCGCTGGGCAACTATCTTGTCTGACCGTCTTACCTAGTATACAGTGCAGTACAGTAGTGGACCAAGTAACGTGCTGCAGGACTGGTGTGCAGATGCGACGCGAGCGCGAGAAATGCGCGGGTCTGCGCGCCTAACCATGTTCTCCTCCCGCGCAAAGCCCAGTTTACATTTCGTCCGAACATTTGACGCAGGGCTTCGGGTCCGAAATCTGCAGTAAGCCGGCCCGTGCAATCCAGCCGACTCAGGTGATCCTTGCCCGGGGGTGGGCCAACATCGGTCACTCACGGGGAAGGGTCCTTGACTCCTTGATCTCGTGCGATTGAAACTTGAAAGAGTCGTCATTAATGCTGCATGTAATTGACTGAAGATGCCATTGCAAGCCAAAACTCCTACACCGGCCCACCAGCCGCCGTTATTTGTATGCATGTGTAGCCTCGCCGGGTCACTCTGCCAGACAGGCACGGGAACGTCACCCCAAGGAACGTATCGGTACCGCTAAAACACCACCTTGCTCGCTACGCTCAACAACCAGGCGGCGTCCTTCCACCCGCCCTCGTCGCTGGCGGGCGGCGGTATCCTCTCCAGGGGCGCGTTGGACACGCCCTCGAAGTGACGGTCCGACCAGCCCGTGCGACCGGTCCGCGGCCGCTCCTCGTCCTCGTCCACGACCGACTCGTCGTCATCGTCCTCGTCGTCCTCTTCGTCGTTTTCGTCCACCGAGAAGAGCGACCAGCCGATGACGTTTGCGATCCACGAGCCGCCCTTGCCGGTCTGCCCGCGGCGGACGAGCCGCCGCACCGCGTCCTCGTCGTCGAACGTGGTGTCGCGCTCCAGCTCCTCGAGCTTCTCGTCGAGGTTGACAAAGTCGGGTCCGGAGATGCCCGCAGCCGCCGTGGGGGTCTCCTGGTGCGGCGACTGGCTGGGGAAGTAGGACGCGGAGGAGCTGCCGTCGGCGGCAGCGCCGCCCGTGTGCTGCTGCTGGTGATAGCTGTGGAGGGCGTGGTGGTGGGCGTGGTGCTGGTCGTAGGGCGTGCCGGCGTGGCTGGCGCTGCGGTGGTGCTCGCCGCCGCCGCCCTGGCTGAGGCTGTGCGACCGGCTGTTGAAGCGGCTGGGCACGCGGCTCCCGTTGCCGCCGTTGGGCGTCGCGTAGCCGTCGTCGGTGCCGCCAAAGGCGGAGCTGCCCCTGCGGCTGGCGGCGGCGACGGAGCGCTCGCGCTCGAGCTCCTGCTCAAAGGCCTCCTCGTCGTCGTCGCGCATGGCCGCCAGGCTGGTGGAGCTCTGGCGCGAGACGAGCCACGTCTGGCCCTTGTACTCGCGCGCCTCCGAGGTCATGAGCGCGCCCGCGCGCAGCATCCAGTCGCTGTCATTGCGGTCGCGCGGGCCGAGCCCGTCGTCGCCCCTCCGGCGGCTGCTGCGGCGGCGCGGCGTGGCGGTGCCCGACGTGGCGGGCCGGCGCGTCGTCGTCGTCGCCGTCATCGTCGTGCTACCGGCCAGGTAGGTCGACGACTTGCTCTTGGCGATGAGCTCGCTCGGGGCCGAGGGGACGCGGGCGTGGGAGCGGGAGCGCGAGGGCGTGGCGGAGCGGGAGAGCAGGCGGGGCGTTGTCGGGGCCGACTTGCCCTCGAGGTAGGACGTCGTGCCGCCGGCGCCGGCGCTGCGAGGCGGGTTCTGGTGCCAGTACTGCTGCTGGTGCTGCAGGAGCAGCGCGTCGGGGGGGAAGTCGTCGGCGTCGGTGCCGAGCGGGAGCTTGACCGTCAGGGGCGCGAGCGTGAGGTGGTTGATGTTTGTGGAGGAGCGGTTCTTGCGGCGGGCGCGGTCCGCGTGCTGGTTGTAGGCGACGTCCATGATGGGAATTGGGGGAAGTCCGCGTCGGACGTGATGGGGATGTGGACGGGGAGGAAGTGGAGGGCCGATAGATACGAGTATGGGGTAAGTATGAGGGCGGCGGTGACCGGGGGTCGGGGGGAGCTTGAGTGCGCGCGCGTGTGTGTCCCCGTCGGGCGGTGCGATTTCGTATCTCCTCTGTCGATGTGTCGTCGGTGATGGGATTGTCGTGCAACCGTGCTTGATTCCGAGATGGGCGGAGGAGGGCAGCACGACTGGCGTCGATGCTCTGTTGGGGAAGCTCGCAGTCACAAGGAGGAGGAGGCTAGTAGCAGCAGCTGAGAGATGAGAGGGAGAGCTGCGGCATCGGTCGGCTGGTTGTCGGCACGGGTCGTAGCGCCTCCCAACGAGGCTTAATAAATGGCCAGGGCCGGGTCTCTCTCAATGGCCCGCGGGGGGTGGAGGGGGTAGGTTGGTGCAGCCCGAGGGGCGCGGCTGGCTGGCTGGCTGGAGCCGATTAGGTGGGAGACGGTTCACATTCGCAACCCACAGCGCTTAGCCCAGCCCGAGCCCGCCCCCAAGAACCACCTACCCGCGCCCGCCCAGGAGCCGGGGCCGAGGTTGGGACCAGGATCAGCATCACGGCGAATTTTTTTCTTTCTTTGCCTTGTTCTTTCGTCCTTGCTTGGTTGCCCGCCCTGGCCTGCACGTAGCGGATCTCCCGTCCCGTCTCGTATCGCATCGGGCATCCCGGAGCTTATCGCGAGATCGCATCGGGTCACGGGTGCGCGCCCATGGTTCGTTCGCGGCGGGCATGGATGGCGAGAGGTAGGGCGGGCGCTGCTGCGTGACGTCTGGATGGGAGGCTGAACAGGCGACGGGTCACGCCACAGGGCGGGCGCGGACAGCTGACAGCGCGCCACGGCGGGCAGCTCCAGGCGCTGTATGGGCTGTACCCCGCTGTGGGAGGGGGAAGCACTGAGGTGAGGTGCTCACCTGCGGCCGTGTAAGTCGATGGATCGGTTTCTCTTCATCGCGATTATCCGGTCGTGGGTGCGCCCGCGCTGGTGCAGTGCAGATGGAGCTCCGGGCTCTCCCTCATGCGATGCAATCAATGTATGAGGCACTCATCGCGACAGCAGCTGCTTGTCGTCCGTTGTATCGTATCGCTGCTCCCTGCCGATGGCATGCTCTTTTCCGCCTCGGCCTGCCACCGGCTCGGCCACGGGCATGGCACGTCGACTTGCTCGGCGCACTAAACAAATGGAAACTTGGCGTGCCATCCGCCCGCCCAATGCACCGCAAATTTTCAAGCTGCATGGCCGTGCCTAGCATGCCATGCCTAGCCGCGACACCGTCGCAGGTGGCAAAAGAGACGGGCTCATTCTCAGGGTCCGGCACGGCTTCCATCAGCTGGATTTTTTTCGCCTCGTCTATTCTCTCTCTGGCTCGTTCGTACGACCCCCCGATGGCGTCGCTAGCTGACGGCGTTTGGTGGGCCAGCGGCCGCCCGCCCGCCGGCGTTACTGAGGGCGTCGTCCCGACTCTGCCCGCGCTGGTCCACCCGGACACGGCACGGGCTGCAACGGCGCCTCTCTTCTGCTGCTTCTGAGATGATTCCTCTTGGGTGAGGCGTTCTCTCGGCCGAGAGCCGCTGTCCGATGATGACTCCCTCCATTTTCATGCTGACGCCTTGGCTGGGTGGCGTCAGTTCGTACGGGACCTGCCCAGGCGCGCGGGCCATGTCCGAATCTTCCCTGCGGGACAGGAGTCAGAGCATTGTGAGCTTCCCGACTCGTCCCGGCATGTGTAGAGCCGCTGATATGCCAATGCCTCGACGGTATGCCTATCGAGAGCTTTGGAAGCGGCCTGCCGGTTTTGGTAGTCGCATTCGATAACGCAGGGTCCTTGTCATGGCTGCGATCTTGGTGGTTGCGCCTTATCCAGGACTTAGACGGTATCAGGGAGGACCCCTACTACTCCGTAGACGAGATAACGACATCAGGATCTGGAATCAAAGGATGTTCCAGGGTCTTTGTGTGATTTTGAGAGCAGATGACCTGCCAACGCCGTGTCCCATTCTTTTCCTGTACCGTAATGCCCCCCCAAGCCGTGCTTTCGCGTCGTGAAGCTGTAATACGACAACATTGTATCCGTCTATGCCCATGCGCCACAGCCATGCCAAACACAAATCATTGCATGCGCAAGTCAAACGTAGTTCCCAACTTTTCCATGCCGTAGCCGTCAAGGCCAGATCGGGCTTCACTTTGACAAAAAGAAAAATCCAGGGCCTTGGGTATTCCCGGTCAGCTGCACATCGTCAACACAGCCGCCGCCGCCACAACAAAGGCGAGCGCTCCCGCGGCCGCGGGAGGCGCCGCAACCCTGCCGGCGGAAGAGCGCTCCGGGTCCGGTCCCACGGGTGCCTGGATCCAGTCGCGCGGGACCTGAGCCATCACGTCGTACCAGTAGTCGCCAAGGAGTCGGTACCCCCTGTTTGTCGGGTGGATGCAATCTCGCAGCTCCGAGACGGGAAACGCGGTGAAGTTGGCGGCGAGCACCTTGTGCCCGGCCTCGAGCCGCGGCCGCGTGACGGCGCCGGGGATCAGGGACTGGAACAGCTGCGTGCGCGGCGACTGCTCCGGCCGGCAGGTGTCGATGATCATGGCGACGAGGACGACGGCGTCGGGGCACGCAGCGACGATTCTGTCGACCAGCGCGCCCAGGCGCTTGGCTGCGGCCGCAGGGTCGTTGCCCTCCGTCGCGGTCGAGTTGTTCTCGTTCATGTCGTTTGTCCCGGCGTGCAGGAGGATGATGTTGGGCCGCTGCTTGAGCGAGGGGCCGATCTCGTCCGATATGTACTGGATGGTCTTGCCGGGCCACGCCGCCTGCATCCGCCAAGACGGTCAGCCGGGGGACATGCCCTTCTTTCTTCATACGTGTTCGTCCGTCATGGGAACGGGGGAACGGAGGGGAGGGCGGGTTGGAGACGCACAAAGTAGCCGTCGTGCATGGTGCCGTCTGGCGTTGTCGTGCTACCGGCGAAGACGACGTTGTCCTCTGAGACACGGAGCCCATGTCAGCCACGCGCGATATCGCAAACTTGTCTCATACACGGGGAGGGGGTTGCGCAGACTCACTCGACAGGTCCGCCTGCAGCTGGCGGCGGTAGCCGTCGCCGTCGCCGCCATCCGTCTGGCTCAGGGTGCCGAGGGTGATGGAGTCGCCGGCGCAGAGGATGCGAAGCTCGGTGCCGGCCTTGATGGCCGGACGAGTGCCCGCGTCGATGTCCTTGGATGGGGTTAAGACGCTGGGTGTCGCGTTCCTCTCGACCTTGGCATTGCTGCTGGCGATGACGACCTGCTTGGGGGCGACTGCGGCTGCGGCTGTAACACCGACCAGGCAGGCGAGGGCCGTGAGAGCCGCGGGGACGGACGGCGCTCTCATGGAGGGCTCGGGCGAGGCGCTACAGTTTGTTGTGCGACGGCGGCAACAGCAGCAGCAGCGAGGAGGGCATGGCAGCTCTCGCGGGATGCCATGGTGGCCACCCCGTCTTAATAAGAAGACTGGAGCTGGGAATACTAGCAGCAGACACACCGATCTTGGAGAGGTGCTAGTTGCGATGCAGTCAAGCAGAGACGAACGACCTGGACTCCACCACGGAGGAGGCGCCCCCCACCTACGGGCCCGTTGAATCTCCAAAGGCCTGGTCGGCCCGCCGGCCAGGGGCCAGGCCAAGCATCGCCAGGGCTGTCGTTCAGCCCAAGCTCGGTGGACGGTGCCTGTTCACCCACGTACTCGTACATCTACAGCTGTGCCGGGGTTTGCGCCGCCAGGCGGTGGAGATGCCGTGCTGTCGTCAACGATGGCCTGTTCTTCAAGAACGGGCCATGGATTACACGCACCGTGATTGTCTTCTCCCCCGTCTCTTTTTCACATCACGAGGCTTTCACGCAAACTCGAGAAGGCGCTGCCAAGAAGACCAGCACCCAAGCCATCAAGCTTCATCAACGCGTCGAGACCATCGGCGTCTTCCACTTCGGGCCAGCCGGGCGGGCCGGGCGAGGCGATTGCGAAACGGCGACCGGGTCGAGATCTTCGCCTGCAAGCAAGGTTCTCTCTCTCTTCAGCCGCCCCGGCCGGGACCCTTGCCCCTGCGGCGGAAGCGCGCCCTGGGAGCCTCCCCGGGACCACTGCGGTTCTTCTGTCTTGGCAGGGATGACTCGTTGCTGGAATTCTTCTCGCTTGGGTGAGGTCGCGACGAGAAAATACACGTAGCCGGCGCTCGCAATGAATGCTCGTACCGGCATGGACGCTTGATGCCCGCGGCGGCTGGAGCATTGATGTAGCGCACAGAGGCAACGCGGAATCTCGCAGTCTTTTTTGATACGAAGAGGCGCCCACGCCGCACCCTTTCATGCAGGACTCCTGGCGACAGCGCTTTGACAGTGGGCGCATGGGATGACGTCTGTGCGATTTGTCCTTGTCGGGAGAAAGCAGCCCGAGATCAGATGACAAGGCGAAGAACTTGCAGGCGGGGATCTCGGCAACTCGAGTCGTGACACGCGCTTCCGTCAAGCAACTCTTCGTTTCGTAACATAAATCCCACGATTGCATGCCATGTAAAGTGTACTACTGCCTTACCCATGCATGTATTACCGTCGCAATCCAAGGGAATGCCAGTACCTATACGAAGTAGCGCAAGGTGGACTACGCTGCATTCACGGGAGCCTTGGTTACATTTCATCAGCAGACCTGTATACTTGGTATTGCCTACTTTGCAAGAGAGTCGGCATTCCTGAGTCCTGACCACGGTCACTATCACTTCACGCCACAGCCCAAGCTTGACGTATTGGTGCAGGCCGGTGCACAAAGCTGCCCAAAATTATTCAGCACTTGTGCAGGGCGTGGCCATGCATCAACGGCGGGCCCGCCCATTTTGTTAGTGGCTGCAGCAGCCTGAGCGGGTGGATGCACACTGGCCAATTGTGCATGCGCAGTGCCGGATTTGTGCAGGGGTCCATCGGCGCGAACAAAAATTTGGTCAACCTGCGCTTTTGCACAAGCTCTGGTTGGCGGAGACGCATTTCGATGATACTTCAAGACCGCAAATATCGACACGACGACGACTCTCAAAGGCGCCCTCCGCATGCGCTGCCCGTGAGAAGCGGCCACGATGCGCAATCTTCGCAATGTCCGCCTCGGCCGCTGGAGCCATGCCGACATCACCTCGACCTGTTGGGACCCGGAGAAGGATGAGGTGCTCTGCACCGTCGGGCCGTCGACACATAGCTCTGCCATCGAGCTGGTGAGGGTATCGGAGAAGGATCTCACGTGCGTTCATCTGAGCCACCTTTGACACACTCAATATACTAACCGTACATCATGCAGCACCTCGCACAAGACTGTCGCCAGCTGGGATGCCCCCAGTCCGCATCCTGACCTGCCCGTGGACACCGTCGTCAGCAGTCAGTACCTGAGCGGTTCAGGGATGACATGTCTTGTTCTGGAGGGCGGAGACATTGTCACGGTCCAAGAGGACCAGTTCGCCGACGATGGCGCTCACATCGAGATCATGGGCTCCATCGACGCCGGCATCGCCGCCGCACGCTGGTCCCCCGACGAGGAGCTCTTGGCTGTCGTCACCAAGGACAACAACCTCATCTTCATGGGCAGCACCTTTGACCCCGTTATCGAGGTGCCCATGACCTCTGAGGACCTCAAGGCGTCCAAGCACGTATCCGTGGGATGGGGAAAGAAGGAGACGCAGTTCCAGGGCAGAGGCGCAAAGGCCCTTCGCGATCCTACCATTCCCGAAAAGGTCGATGATGGCCTGCCGAGCAGCCACGAGGACGGCTCGACGACCATCAGCTGGCGCGGCGACGGCGCCTTTGTTGCCATCAACTCGGTCCAGGAGGGCAGTCGGCGCGTCATCCGTGTCTACTCCCGCGAGGGCGAGCTTGACAGCGCGAGCGAACCGGTTGATGGGCTCGAGGGGACTCTGAGCTGGAGACCCGCAGGCAATCTCATGGCGGGTATCCAGCGACTTTCTGACAGAGTCGACGTCGTCTTCTTTGAGAGAAACGGCTTGCGCCATGGACAGTTTACGCTTCGCTCGCCCCAAGGCTCCGTCGTTGATCACTCCAAGATCCGTCTTCAATGGAACTCGGACTCTACGGTCCTGGCCATCGCCTTGGATGGCATGGTCCAGTTCTGGACCATGGGCAACTACCACTGGTACCTCAAGCAAGAGACGCCCTTGGCTTCGGGGTGCCCTCAGCTTTCATGGCATCCTGAGAAAGCCCTGCGTTTCGCGGCTGCCACCTCCACGCATGCCGTCCTCACCGAGTATATCTTCCACACTGCGCGTGGGTCATGTCTGCCTCCTTACGACAACGGCGTCGTTGCCGTCATCGATGGCAAAACCGTCAAGCTGACACCATTCCGGACGGCAAACGTGCCGCCACCCATGTCTCTTTTCGACGTCGCTTGCGAATCTGCTGTGGTCGATGTCGCGTTTGGTCACCAAAATACCTCCTTTGCGATCCTGCACCGCCAGGGCGTCGACATCTTCGACATGCCCATGAAGAATGGACGGTCCATCAAACCCCAGCTCAGAACACGGGCGCCTTTGGCAGGCCCTAGTGTTCTACCGCTGAGGATATCCTGCATCTCCAAGGACGAGTTCCGCGCTTCGTTCTCCGACGGCAACGGTATCGTGCAGGCCAAGGTTGACGGCCAGAGCGGCAAATTCGGTGACGCTGTGGACGACAAGCAACGCTTGGTGTCTACGTCCACATTCGAGGACGAGGAGTCTATTGAGGGATATGGTCAAGACCTGTCCGGAAATCTCTACAGTCTGTCTGGCTCCAACTCCGATCTCTTGCCCGTCAGATTCGCGATCCATCTGCCGTGGTTCGAAATGAGCAAGCCCGAGGGCATCATTACTGCCTTTGGTCTTTCGCGGAGCGGCCACATCTATGCCAACTCCCGGCTCCTCGCAAAGAACTGCACCTCCTTTATCGTCACGCCTAGCCATCTCATCTTCACAACCAGCAACCACTTTGTCAAATACGTCCATCTATCACCTGACGTTGAGGGTATGTTAAGCCAGCGACGCTGTGGGAACTGGCAGCAACTAACAAATCACATAGCGCTTCAAGTCCCGGCAGATGACCCCGAAAGGGACGAGAGGTGCCGCAGCGTTGAGCGGGGGTCTCGTCTTGTGACGGCCATCCCCACCAACATGAGCATCGTGCTTCAGATGCCGAGAGGCAATGTTGAGACCATTTTCCCGCGCGCCATGGTCGTCGCTGGCATACGCAGCCTCATCGAGGACAAGAACTACGCGAGGGCGTTCTCCTACTGCCGCACTCAGCGTGTCGATATGAACATTCTGTACGACCATCAGCCAACGCAGTTCCTGGCCAGTGTTGGCCTCTTCCTGGACCAGCTCAAGGACGTGACGTACATTGATCTCTTCCTCTCATCTCTCCGGTATGTGCTCTTCAACAGTTCCAAGAGGGCTTGTTCACTGACATCGTTTCAGAGAGGACGACGTCACGCAGACCATGTACCAGGACACCAAGCGAGCGCGGGCTGGACCCCTTGGTGGCGTCTCGGAGGTCGACCCCTCCACAGACATTGCGAAGCCGTCTGGCTCGAAAGTAAACACTGTTTGCGACGCTCTGCTCAAGGGTCTCCTTCCTCGCAAGTCGACCAACCTCCAAAACGTCATCACCGCCCACGTATGCAAAGCGCCGCCTGCACTGGACGACGGCCTCGCCCTCGTGGCCGAACTGATGCGGGAAGACGCAAAGGTGGCCGAAAAGGCCGTCGAGCACATTTGCTTCCTCGTCGACGTCAACCGCGTGTACGAGCACGCTCTTGGCCTCTACAACCTCGAACTCGCGCTTCTGGTCGCCCAGCAGTCGCAGCGCGACCCCCGAGAATACCTCCCCTTCATCCAGAACCTCCACGCCCTCCCCGATCTCCGACGCAAGTTTGAGATTGACGACCACCTCGCGCGGCGGACCAAGGCGCTCCTGCATCTCCAGGCTTTGGACGCCTTCGACGAGCTGTGCAGCTACACCACGAAGCACGCGCTGTACCAGGAAGCCCTGAAGCTCTACCGGTACGACCAGCCGCGCCTAAACGCGCTCACGGAGCTGTACGCCGCGCACCTCGAGTCCACGTCCGCCTTTCGCGAGGCCGGCCTGGCGTACGAGTCGCTGCAAAACTACGTCAAGGCGACCAACTGCTACCGCGCCTCGGGCGCCACGTGCTGGCAGGAATGCCTCTACACGGCGCAGCAGCAGACGCCGCCCCTGTCCGCCGACGCCATGGCCGACCTGGCGACGAGCCTTGCCGACGCGCTCTGGGAGGCCAAGGACTACCGCGCCGCGGCCACCATCCACGTGGACCACCTGTCGTCGCTCGAGACGGCGGTCAAGTGCCTCTGCAAGGGGTACCACTTCGCCGAGGCGATGCGGCTCGTGGCGCTCAGGTCCCGCCCGGACCTGCTCGAGACGGCCGTCGACGTGGGGCTCGCCGAGGCGCTCGGCAGCACGACCGAGTTCCTCGCCGACTGCAAGGGCCAGCTGCTGGCGCAGGTGCCGCGCATCGCCGAGCTGCGCCGCAAGGCGGCCGAGGACCCGCTGGCGTTTTACGAGGGCGAGCGCGCCGGCGGCGCAGACATCCCCGACGACGTGTCCGTGGCGGCGAGCTCGCGCATGAGCACCAGCGCCAGCCTCTTCACGCGCTACACGGGCAAGGCGGGCAGCGTGGGCACCGCCGGCACGGGCGTCAGCCGCGCCACGAGCAAGAACCGCCGCCGCGAGGAGAAGAAGCGCGCGCGCGGGCGCAAGGGCACCGTCTACGAGGAGGAGTACCTCGTCAACAGCGTGCGCCGCCTCGTCGAGCGCGTCGCCGCCACGGCCGCAGAGGTCGAGCGCCTCGTCTTTGCGCTCGTGCGCCGGGGCATGGCCGAGCGGGCCCGCGCCGCCGAGGCCCTCATGGCCGACGTGGTGGAGGCGTGCGAGCGTGCCGTCGCCGAGGTGTTTGCCCCGGCGGCGGCGGCGGCGAACGGCGGTGGCGACGGGGGCGATGCGGGCGGGGGAGCTGCAGCGGATGGGGCCGCGGCCGGCGAGGACGCTCCCGCGTGGAGGGCGACGGGCGGCGACGCCGTGCTGCAGGACTGGATGGCTGGCCGGAGCAAGAGGCTAGAGCCGCCGGTGCTGCCCGCCATGAAGAAGCTGGCCCTCCTCGGGTGATGCAGAGACAGCCCACGTCGGCATTCAGCCTCTTCTTGAAGGATAGGGGCGGTTGGATAGACAAAATAGTAAACATCGCATGGTCACGGAGATGGAGGTGTCATCACTGAGCACCACGGCTCGGCACGGCGCAGGCAGGCAGGCAGGCATAAACAGTCATCCTTGAATTCATGTCAAGCAATACAGAGACCGCCCATCTCGCTTCCCGCTATGATCAGAAGAAAACCAGACAGCGCCACCAGCAAGAAAAAAAAAGGGGGGGGCTTCCCACAGCAACATGTTTGTATAACAGGGGGAAACCGGCCGGGCAGGCGGTGTAGTTGTAGCGTAGTGTACGTATGATACAATCTCGTTATACCTATCAGATCGTCGGATGCATCATATACGTGGTAATCTCGAGCCCTCCCCCTCGCGTGCGAGCCGGGGGAGGAGTCTCATCCGATTTGCGTGTCAAGACACCTCGTCGAGTTGCCTAGTATAGAAAAGGGGGGAGCCATTCGAACCGTGCCGCCGAATCCTCGTCAAGCCGCCTCCGTCGGTACTTCGTCCGGGATAGTCGCTTCGTCCGTCTCCGGTGCCTCCTCAGGCGCGTCCTCAAACGCCGCCTCGTCCTCGCCAATCGGGTTCTCGGGGATCATGCCGTTCTGGCGCTCCCACACCTCTCGTCGTATCCTGTCGTCCTTGGCCTTCCTGGCGCGCTCGACCTCCTCGAAGCCGCCAGACTTCTTCAGCTTGCCCTCCTCGACAAAGTTGGCAATCTCCCTCTGCAGGGCGTTGCCCCGGCGGCCCTCGAGCTCCTTTTGCCGCAGCTTCTCCGCTCGTTCGATGGCCTCCAGCCTGTCCTCGTGGTTGGGCTGCAGTGCTCTGACTTCGCCGAGCACATCCTCCTTGGCGGCGTTCTGGTCAAGGCTGTTGCCGAGGTTGTTCAGGCCTTTGGAGAATTGGCGGGCAGAACCAGCACTCTGGCCGGTTCCGTTGTCCTTCATCTGTTCCTTGGTCGCCTGCTCCACGAGCGTAAAGGTCTCATTGGCCTTCTCCAAGTCGTCGCGCAGGTCCACGAGCAGGTCCTCCATAAGGCGGAGCTCGTCACGGCCCTGGCACACATCCTCAAGCTCCTTCTCCCAGATCTTGGTCCAGATCGGCTTCTCCTGCGTCATGTACTCATCCATCCTCTTGAGCTCCTTGCTGAGGCCGGCAATGTCCTTGGCCACGCCCTCGAGCTGCCGCGGCAGGGGACGCACACCGCGGTGCACGACATCCTTGCGCAAATCTTCCACGAGGTCCTGAAGATCGTCGACCTTGGCGACGAGTCGGTCTGAATCTGCGTTAAGTTGCTTTCGTCCGCTGGTGACATAGGAGTACCCGGCATCACCCTCAATATCCGGGATCGCTGCCTTGGTGGCTGCCGTCTTGACGTTGGCAGCCTTGCTGCGAATTGCGGACATGGAGTTTTCGACTTCGGTCTGGAAAGTAGAGTATGTCTGCCGCATGACGGCAAGGTCGCGACGCAGACTACGCAGCTCCCCAAGCTGTCCCGCGCCGAGTTTCTTGCCAGTACCCATGACCGGCTTCGAGCCGTCCACGACCGGCGTCGCCGGGGGCGCCGTAGCCAGTCGAGCCAACTCGGTTGCAGTCTCTCGTTGCCGGTCGGAGACTCTTTGGAGAGTGACGCCTTGATCGTCCACGTGCTGCTTCATTTCGCGGACAATCTTGGTCAGCGCAGACATGCCGTCGTCAATGTGTCTCTTGACCTCGTCGAGGGCCTCCACGTTCAGCACCAGGACGGTCCGGTCCTTGACGTCTGACAAGTCCTCGAGCTCGTGGCGCACGCCAGAGACAGGGTCCTGTATGTATATCTCGGGGAGGTCTGCGCCGTTCTGCTGCGTGTTCCAAGAGAACTTCTCGATGAAGGCAAGCTGGAGCCGCCCTATCGAGAGCTCATCACGTCCTTCAGGAAGCACAATCTTCTTGACCTTGGACTTGTACTGCAGGAACAGCGTGAGGTCCTTTGTCGGCGTAGGCGGTGGCGACACCTGAAAGAACGATTCGTTGTGCTTCGGCTCGGGTGGCTGGGAGACGCTTGGCACATCCTCTGACTTGATCTGCTCCTTCTTTGACGGCTCATCGTCCCCTCGTTTCGTCTCGGATGCAAACGATGACGGGTCCGGCAGCGGGCCGCTGACAGTGGCGCTCGGGGCGTACTTCTCATCGGGACTTCGTACCGCCGGGCTTTCTGGCAATGCCTTGGATGGCTCCGCCACTGGTGTCGGGGGTTCCTCAGACACGCGGCTCGGGATTCTGGCTGGGGACGAGTCGAGGCCAGTGTTTCTCGAATGCGTCGAAAGGGCTCGGCTGTGGCGGACAGACTCGCGGGACTGCACGGCACGCAGCGACTCTCGCGCCTCCTTTTGTCCTCTGTTCGGTATCGGCGTGGTCTGCGGAGGCAGCATGGGCACCCCGTTGACGCCGCCGAGATGCTTCGATATTTGGTATTGAGAGTATCGTCGCGAGGCGCGGCGCTCGAGGTCGCCTCCCTTTTGCAGTGCGGCCAGGGCGCTCGACTGGCTGTCGGGGGGCGGCGGCGGCGGCGGAGGAAACGCGCTGAGGTCGCCCATCGAGGACGCTGACGGCATTGTAGACTCTTCGGGCGGGTACGGCGGCAGGACGGGGATGTTTTGCATCGTGGTGCTGGAGAGCGACGATTGCTCGGAGGCGAGGGAGCCGCGGGACTGGTCTCTCTGGGCGTTGAAGCGACGACTGGGCGACGTATTGATGGCTGTTGGCTGGGGACGCTCGCCGCGCTGCGAATCCGGTCGGTAGCCGTTCTCCAGACCCTCTTCCAACAGGTTCGTGAGACCGCTGGTCCCGCTGCCTACCGTGCTTACGCTCGTCGTCCGCTCCGGTAAGGGATTGCCGTCGCGGTCCTTGCCCTGCTGCTTCTGCCGCAGCCTCTGCTGCTTGCGCTTCAACCCGTGCAGCAGGTTGATGATTATGTCTCGTATCCTCGGCAGGTATTTTTCCAGACTCTCGGCGCTCGCTTCCTGGCTCAACGTGGCCTCGAGGATGTGTCTGAGCAGATCGGGGACGTTGCCCAGATCGGAGGTATCGACGTTGATGGCGGTGAAGGCGCGGCACGCCATGTTGAACTCGTAACCTAGTCGAACGTACACGTCGGACACCTGGGAGTCAGTAGCCTGGCCACGCGACCACTGCGTCAGCGTCTCCAGGAGCTGCTTCGTCGCGACGAGCAGATGGGTGACGCTCTTCTCAATCTGGGACAAGGGCATGCTCGAGCTGGAGCTGCTGCCACCGGAGCCCTGTACGATTCGGAGCAGGTTGAGGTTAGTCTTGTGCTTCTTTCGGCGGCGCAGGTCGAGGGCGCGGCGCCAGCCAGAAGGGGCGCGCGCGGCCATCAGGAGGGCAGGGCTGCTCACATCGCGGGTCGTCCGCCTCGAGCCGCTGCTGCTCTGGGCGGATCTCGACGAAGCCGTGGAGGAGCGTGGCTGCATGGCGGTGCCGGGCGAGTTGGGCCGCACGTTGGGCGGCGGGCCAGGGTCGGCGCCGGGGGAGCGCCGTTGCGCGTAGCTTCGCTGCGATCCGGACGCGGGCTGCATTGTGTCAATGTGTCTTGGGGCTGCGACGATGCGGTTCGACGGATGCTCGAAGGCGCGGCGGCGGCGTTCAGGGGGGCGGTCCGGACGCGGGCCTGGAGGGCGAGGGAGGCGGTTATGAGCGACTATACGGAGTGGCCGGCGGAAGAATTACGCATTAAACGGACGACGGGGGCCGGTACGGCATCGAAATAACATGGCCCAACGAGCGGCGGCAGGCGACGAGCAGACGGAGCGTCGGGCGTCTGCGGCGGCGAGGCGAAGGAGCGTTGAAAGTGTCGAGGTGTTGTTTTTGGCCGACAGCAGGCGGCAGGGTGCTGGTGGTGGTGGTGCTGGTGGTGGTGGTTGCCGATCAGGAGGAGCGCCAGTCTAGTCTGGCCGAGCCTGGTCTGACCTGGCGCGCGTTGCCTTCGAGTCCTTTCGCGGTTGGGCTACAGGACGAGGTACAAGCAGCTGTGGGTTGCACCGAGAGCGCGTGTGGCTGGGTTCGCCCTCGTGGAGCTGGCCGGCCAAGGTACTAAATTAGTACCCCAATGCCTACAGTGTGCGCTGTCCTGGACGGTCTCAAGGCCCGGCCTCCCTCCGACTCCACTGGACCGCCTGGAGGCACGACGGCCAGCCACTGAGCGCCGGAAGGAAACGGGGAGCTCTCCAGCTGCAAACGCACGTGCAGCGCCCAGCTCGGTTGCGCTGGCCTGTGCTGTGCCCTCAGCTGCCAACTGCGTGCCGCGCTTCCTCTTCGTATTCGACGGTGCTCTTTTGTCTGTCTCGGATACGTGTTTCTCGGCAGCACACCATGTTGGGGCTTGGTGTGTGTGTGTGAGGCAGCCTGTCCGGGCGTCGTTTCACAGTATGGACGTTTTGTTTTCGCCAGGTCATGTACGAAGTGCCTGCCCGCAGCCCTGGAGGCGTCCGAGCGGCGGAAACAGCGACAAGAAACGGTCACTGGCTCCCAACTCAGCTGCTGTGGCCAGAGTCGTGCGGTGCGCTGCCGGTGACACATGGCTTCGCGAGGTCGACGGCTCCGATTCGACTTTTTCGTAGATGGCTCGCATATGCAGGGGGCGTCCTGCTCTGAGGCTGTGACGTACGAAGAAATCGTGCTGGTACCCTTACGTATGCATCCCCAAAACTCAAACACCTTGTCCGAGACATGTTGCTCGTTGGCGATGCCGTCTCTCGAGCCATCAGGCCAGCCTTCGACAACGGCCTACCCTAAGTCTCAGCTCACCCTCGCCCCCCGTCTCTTGACAAGGTGCAGGGGAGCATTCGGCATTGTCCACGACCCTCACCATTATGGCACCCTGCTACTGGTTCATCGTAGAGTTTGGTGCCTGCGGCTGGCGAAGCGTGACGGTGGAGCGTCCTGTGTGGCTGGCCCCAAAAAGGCCGTCGTGTTCGTCATGATGCAGCGGCCTCAACCAACCTCTCAGCTCGCAGTCCCCAACCCGGGCGTCGCGATCCCTCCCGCAATAGCCGAGCATCCCCGACGTGCGACCTGTCCATTGACATGACTCCCCGACTCGATCCCATTTCAAAGTCACATGCCCGAGCATCTCGTTAACCAGGATGGGGGAACTCGCGGTCGCTGTCATCGGGGCCGGGCCAGCAGGTAGGTCGGCATGTCACCGTTCATCTCATCGCTAGCTCATTCTTACATGTTGACAGGATGCATCCTGGCCAGGATGCTCTTCCGCAAGGGTATAAATGTCAAAGTGTTTGAGGGCGAGGCATCACCAGATTTCCGCAGCCAGGGAGGAACGCTAGACCTCCACACAAAGACGGGCATGGCCGCCATGAAGGCAGCCGGCCTGTTCAGACACTTCCAACAGTTTGCCCGCTACGACGGCCAGTATGCCGCCATCGTCGACAAGGACCTCAAGTACCACATGGTGCGTGGAGCTGAGGACAGGTGCCTGGGCGAGCGCCCCGAGATCGATCGCGCGAGACTCCGGGAGATCTTGATCGACTCGCTCCCGCCGGGCACGATCCAGTGGGGCCACCGGCTCACGGCCATCGAGGGCAAGACGCTCTTCTTCGGCAACACGATATACTCGGGATTCGACATCATCGTCGGCGCGGACGGGGCCTGGAGCAAGGTCCGCCAGATCATCGACCCGGATTTCCGGCCGCAGTACACGGGCGTTGCCATGACGGAGCTCAACATTCCGGACGCCGATTTGACGGCGCCCGAGATCCACAACATTGTGAACCGCGGCAGCGTCTTCGCCAGCAACGAGGGCCAGCGCATCTCGTTCCAGCAGATGGGCGACGGGAGCATATGCATCTATGCCAGCCTCGTCCGCCCGGATGCCGACTGGATGAACCCGAAGAAGTGCGGTTACGACCCCAGGGACCTGGAGGCTACCAAGCAGGCATTCGAGACCGAGTTCGAGGACTGGTGTCCGCAGCTGCGCGAGGCCCTGAGACTGGCGCAGGGCCGCTGCATTCCCCGCTCCTTGCATATCCTCCCCATCGGATACAGGTGGAAGCGCATGCCGGGAATCACCCTGATCGGGGATGCCGCGCATCTCATGACGCCGCATGCCGGCGAGGGCGTGAACCAGGCCCTCGAGGACGCCATGCTCCTGGCCCGCACCATCGCTAAAATCGTCGAGCGCAGGAAAGACATAGATGGCGAACTTGTCGCCTTTGAAAAAGCAATGCGGGCGCGCGTGCGACCTGTGCAGCGCCTCGCCTACGACCTCTGCCAGTGTTGGATGTTTACTCCTGGCGTACCCAAGTCGGTGATGCCCAAGGTGATCAGTCGCCATGCCCAGTCTCGGGTGCCAGCTGTCCTGCGCCCTCTCGTCTCTGCGGGAGTGCGCGTTTACTACTTTTTCAAGTACATGCTGTGCGAGCGAGGGTCTGCGACGGATGCTCGTTGACCAAGGTAAGACTGGGGTGGATGGCGTCAGTGTCTTGACCAAGATGAGTTTTACTTTGTACACGTATAATACCTGGCCAGTACTAGGCGCCTGGCGTTTACAACTTGTATACCTTTAATAGTAATCGTATTTTCAGGGCCGGGTTGGTCTTGAGCAGCTACGTGAGCAGTGCGTAGCTCGTGGCGACTGATCGGGTGAACATCCGGAGCTACGTGTAGGCTCCATCATTTCGCTGTGGCATGTCCTCGGCAAAGGCCGAAGACGGCTTCAATATCCATGAGATCGAGGGTAGTATCATCACGCTGCAACACGAGCAATTAGCATGCTGCACTTTGTGTCAAGTAGGCCAGGCACCAGAGCGACGCGCAGCCGGGGATAGGGCTGACACTAACATCGTGCCCCGCGTTGATGACGGGGCTCCTCGACCTCAAAGTAATCGACCACAGTCTATCCAAGGCAGCCTCGAGAAAAGCCAGCCAGACAGTCACAATGCCCACCGAAGGAGTCAAGATCCTGCCGTCGGGAAGGAAGAGCTTCATCCCGCTCGAAAACAACCCCGAGGTGTTCACATCGCTCGTGCACGACCTCGGCGTCTCGGAGGAGCTGGGCTTCTTCGACGTCTACAACCTCGACGAGCCGGAGCTCCTGGCGCTGATTCCCCGACCCGCGCTCGCCCTCATCTTCATCACGCCCCCGGACATGTACTATGCCGTGCGCAAGGAAGACGCCATCGAGCAGGCCTCTGACAAGCTGACCTACGACAAGAGCGGCGCCGACGAGCCCGTCATGTGGTTCCAGCAGACCATCGCCAACGCCTGCGGCCTCATCGCGCTGCTCCACTCCGTCTCCAACGGCGAGGTCAAGAAGTTCGTCAAGAGCGGCTCGCTGCTGGACCGCATCGTGCAGCAGGCAGTGCCGCTGAAGCCGGAGGCGCGTGCGGCGGCGCTGTACGACAACGAGGAGCTCGAGCGGGCGCACATGCGGGCCGCGAGGTTGGGCAGCTCGGTGCCGCCCCCGGCCGAGGAGCATGCTTCGCTGCACTTTCTCGCGTTCGTCAAGGGCAAGGATAATCACCTGTGGGAGCTTGAGGGCGCGGTAGATGGACCGATCGATCGCGGCGAGCTGGGCGAGGGGGAGGACTTGCTGAGCGAGCGGGCGCTGGACCTGGGTGTTAGGAGGTTCTTGAAGCACGCGAACGGCAACCTCCAGTTTAGCATCGTTGCGCTGGCAAAGGAATAAGGCTGGTCCTGGCTCCTTGTAATGCAGCTGGACGAGGATCCTGATAGGGTCACAAGGCATGACCAGTTTACCAGGCCTCCCCCAGGGACATCAATGACATTGAAGATTCACGATTACATGACTTACGGGCCACGGTTATGCATTCAAAACGTGGAATACTCGCTCAATAATAAACAAAAAAAAAAAACGCCTTGAAATAACTCGAAATGAAAGGCTCCGGCGATAATTACAGGTCCCCAACGGCATTCCCGCGTGGCAGCTGCAATGCGACGCTGTTCGTACCGTGAAATTGACCTGCTGCCATGGCCGGATGGCCTCGTGTGACCTGGACCACATGCTCAATGCCAGCCCAGGTCATGGCCCAAAACGGCCTCCACTGATGAGGGGCCCTGGATCGGTGGGTACGGGGACGGACACGGGGCGTGGCATGGCGCCCGGCCTTAAGGTCCCCACAGCGTCCCGCCTCAACCGCCTTCCGTCGCTCCTACTCCCGTCCCTACCGTCCGGTCTCCGACAACCTCGACACCACATGCCCTCTGTGCGACTCCGGGACCGGCGGACTACGCATTCGACGCAGAAGCCCGGGCTCGCTCCATCATGGACGCGTCTCAGGCACCGCTCATGGCCGGCGAGCCGCGGGACGATGATCCCGACCACGACGCTGACCACGACGCCGTGCAACTGGGCTCAACACGCCCAGAGGACAAGGCCCCCGAGGCGGGCTACGGCGTCTTTGTCCTGGCTTTGACATTTGCGGCGGGCATAAGCGGGCTCCTTTTTGGATGCAAGTATCGCCTCTGTTTGCCAGATTGAACGCGACTGACCATCGTCGACGCAGACGACACGGGCGTCATCTCGGCCACGCTCGTGTCCATAGGAACCTCGCTCTCAGGCCGGCCCCTCACGTCGTTGGACAAGTCCATCATCACCTCGTCCACCTCCCTCTTTGCGCTCCTCGCCTCGCCGCTGTCCTCAGTCCTAGCCGACCGCCTCGGCCGCAAGCGCGTCATACTCTACGCCGACGTCCTCTTCATCGTGGGCGCCCTGCTGCAGGCGGTCTGCTCGTCCGTCCTTGTCATGGTCGCCGGCCGGTGCATCGTCGGCGCAGGCGTCGGCGCGGCGAGCTTCGTGGTGCCGCTGTACATTGCCGAGGTGGCACCCGCGTCGCACCGCGGGCGGCTCGTCACGATGAATGTGCTGTTCATCACCATGGGGCAGATGGTGGCGTACGTGATCGGGTGGCTGCTGTCGACGTACGCGGACGAGGGCACGGGTTGGCGGTGGATGGTTGGGCTTGGGGCCTTGCCGGCCGCTCTGCAGGCTGCCGTGGTTGTCTTTATGCCCGAGACGCCGCGCTGGCTTGTCAAGGTTGGCAGGGTCTCTGCCGCGAGGCTTGTTATCGAGAGGGTCAACGGCGGGGAGGCAGCGTCTGGACAGCACGCAGACATAATTATCAGGGAGATCGAGATGGAAGCCCAACAAGAGCAAGAGGCGCGGCGGCTGAGGGCGCACCAACGGGCTGGGCCCTGGAAGTGGCTCGGGGCCTGGCAAGCGCTGTTGAGCGAGGGCAAGAATCGCAGAGCGCTGGCCATTGCATGTCTGTTGCAGGGCCTGCAGCAGCTATGCGGATTTGTGAGTCTTTCCCCAACTCGCTTGGTTCTACGGACGGCGCGCTCATATGTTTAGAACTCGCTCATGTACTTTTCGGCCACCATTTTCATGCTCGTCGGCTTCGAGAGCCCGACCCTCACGTCGCTGGTGGTGGCCGTGACCAATTTTTTCTTCACGCTCGCAGCTCTGGGCCTGATTGACCGCATCGGACGCAGGCGCATCCTCCTCTGCTCGATCCCGTTTATGATCATGGGCCTCCTCTTCGCGGCGTTTGGGTTCTCGTTTCTCTCGCTAGACCAGACGGCGGCGGCCGGCGACGGGAACCAGGGGCACCCAGGCGCGGCGAGCCTCGTGCTCATCAGCATCATGATCTACGTGGCGGCGTTCGCGCTGGGGCTGGGCAACGTGCCGTGGATGCAGAGCGAGCTGTTCCCGCTGGCGGTGCGGTCGCTGGGCAGCGGGGTGGCGACGGCGACCAACTGGGGCGCCAACTTTGCGATAGGGCTGACGTTCCTGCCCATGATGGACGCGCTGACGCCGTCGTGGACGTTTGTGGTGTACGCGGGCGTCTGCGCGGCGGGATACTGGCTCGTGTGGAGGATATACCCGGAGACGGCAGGGCTGAGCCTGGAGGAGGCGACGGCGCTGCTGGAGCACGGCTGGGGGGTGAGATAAGGAGGCGAGGGAGCGAGCGTGCGACAGATCTGTGTAGATTTTGCATTGTGCCATCTTCCGTTGATGTCATTTCCACCCAGGCAATAGCGCACGTCTTTCGGGGCAGGCAAATGAGGAATCATACCTCTGTGTGGTGAGACGAGGATGACGGGCTGCATGTTTGGCGGGGTGTGTCGCTTCCACTGGCACTGGTGGCCCCTCCCGCGGCGGCCACCTGGGGACAGACCTACCCCTGTCGGCCACGCGGTGGTCTGTCGGGCATTACGTCGTTGTGCAGCACCAGGTGAGCCCACCACCCACGCGTGGGCTGCTTCCCGTCCGTCCCTTGCCGAATGGAGCTTGCACCAACAAGCTCTCCTCGCGATTCCGAGCCGCCAGCCAACTGACGGGAGAGTAAAAAAAAAAAAGTCGTGCATCTGACTGGCAGTGGGGGGCGGGGAGGTTTGTCAGTTTGATGCAGGGCCGTTTAACCTTGCCTAGAGGCGCGCTGTCGGACGCCCTGTAGAACCCGACGGCGCTCCACGTGCAGAGCCCGATGAACGGAGATGCCGGGTTTTTTGCTCGGTGACGTTTTTGCGGCCGGCGTGCCTGAACCTGGAATGGATGGACCCTCCATGCGTTTCACTTTACAGGGCACCTTGCACCTCTGCCCGGGGCGCAATCAGTACGACTATCTACAGGCCAACCTGGGCAGGACTACCGCCATGCTCTGTCGCGCAGCATGACTGCCTTACTCGTCGCCCTCTGGAGCATTCTGTGACGGCATTGAGCTGTAGATGAACATTTACATAGCATGGAGACCGGCATGTCGGTACGAATGACGACGATGCCCAACAACAAACAACACGGGACAAGGCAGGCCCCCGTTGCGGACTGCCGGGGCCCGCTGCCGCTTTGTCATCGCGAGGGTTCGTCACTGCAGAATCTGCAGCAAGCTCGCGCGTCGCGACAACGCCCCAATGCCGACACCACAAGCCGCCGGCCGCCGCCGCCTTCATCATCCGTCAGCGCAATTGGCGGCTCGCTCTCCTCCAGGGAAGCTTCCCGCCCGTCCACACCACCCACTCCATACCCACCTCACTGACTAAAAGGCACCGAAACGGCGACGACGACCACCGTACGTACGTACTAGCTGGGTCCCGGAACGGCGTGCCGCCGCATCCCTTTTTTTTTATGCTAGTTTCGGCATCAGCGAGCGACTCGGCCGGCCGTTGGGGGGCGAGTCCGTCAATCAAGCCGCGAGGAGCCTCCCGAACCCATGCCCATGCCCCCATGCATGCAGAAGCGACCATGCCCCCCCCTGTCAGGCGATTTGCACAACGGCTGCGCGTGCTGCATGATGACAAGTCTGCCAGCCAGACAAGAGACAAGACTCATCAACGGGACGGGGTTGAGAGGCTTCCAGAAGTCCGAGCAGCGCGCACGAGTTTGTCCGCGGACTCTCCACGCACGACGTGGGAAAGCTCCCAAATCCGTTGCTCGAACGATGGATGTATGCATAAAGATGAAGCTGTTGCCCGCCCACAATGCCAAACTCAATTCCCCATCGCTCGACAGAGATACGTAGTCGTCGTCCTAGGATCCCCAGTCCAAGCCCAGTTTGCCGACGGGCCTTGTTATTGTCTCAGATTTCTTTGCGGTTGGCCGTCTTTCCACACTCCCCCGCGGTGACACAGAGATCGAGAAACCTCCCCCCAAGCTGTTTTGTTTCTTCAGCGATCTACTTAATCTTTCGTGTTACACACGACCAGCGACGAACGAGTGGTGCACGCAAGGCACTCGCTCCAACACCGAGGCCGCACCGAGTACCGACCGCGCCGCACACACGCCGAGGCTCAAGGCAAACCTTCGGGAGCAGACCCGCCCCGGATCGGTCGGCAAATTCTGCTGCGATTGGATGCGTGGCTCTCTTTAGCGCTACAGGCATCGTCTTAGTACCATCGTCATAAGCAACCCCCCGACGAGTCGGCGCAAAAATAATACCTTCCACCAGCAGCGTCCCATTCTGCGGGAGGGAAGAAAAAAAAGAGGCTTGCTTGGTTCCTGCCTAGTACGGGTACAAGTCCTTGCTCGGCCCTCCTCCTCCTCTTTGTCATTTTAGACTTTTCTCGCCTTCCTCTGCTCGTTCAATCGACTTGCAACCTCCTCTGAACGGCTGTCTCGAGGCACAACAGCGGGTTGCGACCGCGGTAGATTGGGATACCGCAGTGGCGTCATCGTCAACCAACGCCCGAATAACAGCAACATCTACTACAAGAACAGCAGGAGCAGCGCTCAGCGTTCCAAACCGCCACAATGCCCATGGACGTTGTGGACCAGGAGCTGAGCACCGCCGCGGAGGCGGCCTCGCCTGAGCGCTACCGCCGCCGTGCCAGCAACGAGATCGAGCGCGTCCTCTCCGCCTCGTCGGCATCGACCGAGTCGGAAAGCCGCCGCGGCAGCCTCTCGCGCCGGCAGATGAGCCGTGTGTCGACGGCCAACGACCTCGAGCGACACCCAACGGCGCTGAGCCGCATCGCGACCCAGCGCACCCAGCACAATGCCACCGTCGGGTCCGAGGGCCGCATCAGCAGGAGATCCGTCGTCTCCAAGCCGCTGCCGCCCTTTGGCGCCGGCAAGCCCTACCCGCCGCCGCTGCCAGAGCGCGAGGAGTATGTCGTCGAGTTTGACGGCCCGCACGACCCTCTGCACTCGCAGAACTGGCCGCTGCGAAAGAAGATCCTGACGGCTGCCATGCTGGGATACACGACCATGACGTCGGCTTTTACGTCTTCCATCTTCTCGTCCGCCACGAGCGTCGTCGCGGCGCAATACGGCGTCGGCACCGAGGTTGGCCTGCTGGGGACGACGTTTTACGTCTTGGGCTTCGCCTTTGGTCCGACGCTGTGGGCACCTCTGTCCGAGTTGCGCGGGCGAAGGCTGCCGCTCGTCGTCTCCATGTTTGGCTTCTCCCTCTTCTCCATTGCCTGCGCCACCGGCAAGGACATCCAGACCATCCTCATCTGCCGCTTCTTCAGCGGCTTCTTTGGCGCCTGCCCGCTCGCCGTCGTCGCGGCCGTCTTCTCCGACATGTTCGACAACCGGACGCGTGGTATCGCCGTCACGCTCTTCTCCATGGCCGTCTTCACGGGCCCCCTGCTGGCGCCCTTTATCGGCGGCTTCATCACCTACTCCTACCTCGGCTGGCGCTGGACCGAATACCTCGCCTCCATCATGGGCTTCGCCGCCTTCATCCTCGACTTTCTCTTCCTCGAAGAGACGTACCCGCCCGTCATCCTCATCAGCAAGGCCGCCGAGCTGCGTCGCCGCACCAGGAACTGGGGCATCCACGCCAAGCAGGAGGAAATCGAGGTCGACTTTGGCGAGCTGGTCAGGAAGAACTTTTCGCGTCCCCTCCGCCTGCTCTTTACGGAGCCCATCATCCTGCTGCTTTCCATTTACATGAGCTTCATCTACGGACTGCTGTACCTCTTCCTCACGGCCTACCCGATCGTGTTTGTCGGCGTCCACGGCTTCAACGCGGGCCAGTCGGGTCTCACGTTTTTCGGCATGATTTGCGGACAGCTCCTGGCTGGCGCGTCGGTCATTGCGCAGCAGCCGTGGTACATGCGAAAGCTGGCAGCCAACAACGGCGTTCCTGTTCCCGAGTGGCGTCTGCCCAACGTCATGGCGGGAGGCATCTCCTTTGCCATTGGTATTTTCTGGTTCGGATGGTGAGCCGCACCCACCCCTCAACAGCATGAGTCTTTGCTAACAGACCGTCAGGACTGGCTACAACCCCAACATCCACTGGATCGTCCCCGCCCTCAGCGGCCTCTGCACCGGCTTCGGTCTCATGTCCATCTTCCTTCAGGCGCTCAACTACCTCGTCGACGCCTACCTCATGTTTGCGGCCTCGGCGATTGCCGGCAACACGTTTATGCGATCGCTCTGCGGTGCGGGATTCCCGCTGTTCGCGCGCCAGATGTTTGAGGGCATGGGCATCCAGTGGGCCTCGACGCTGCTGGGCTGCGTGGCGGTGGTGCTCGCCCCCATTCCCTTCGTCTTCTACTACTACGGCGCCCGCATCCGCCAGAAGAGCGCCTACGCCCCGACCTTTTCCGCCCCGGCCGACCCCGTGGACGAGGAGTCGGAGGAGAGCAACGCCGACGGGGCCGCGGAGAAGCGGGGCGAAGACGCGGCCGCGATGGCCAACGCGCCCCGAAGGGCGAGTGACGAGGACGGCCCGGCCCAGACGGCTTGATCGGCCCGTCGGGAGTCGGGAGTGCATTGAATGGTGGTGGAGGAGTTGCGTTCTGCGGTATGACGGGGAGCACGGCGTTTTGTCATCTGGCATGGGTCCGCGCGTCGGGTGGCAGCATTTGCTTTACTCGGGTGAGATTGCGCCGGATGCCCGGGCGGTTTCGCGGTGGCTGCATTTTGGGGTGTTTGATACCCGTGGAGGCGGTGACTCTGGCTGCCGGGTCGCGATAGTCCTGTACAAAGGAGCGATCTGGAGCACACATACTTCGTACAACATAATCGAACTAATGCAAAATAAAAATAATCCCACTGAGACGAAAGATGCACAGCTGCTTGTTAGACAAGGTGAGGTCCGTTTGTCAGACAAGTTTACGTCTACGCCCTTCAGCCCAAGGTGAATCGTCAATCCCAGCACGCAAAAGTTCCGGCGTCGTGAAACTTCGTCGAGCCAATTGGGCCGGCGCCGGTGCCGGGAGGGACGCAGCGGCAGCGCGAGGCCGCCCGGACTTGAGCCCCCGCCTGCGCTGAGCGTAGCGTATCCATGCTCCCCCGTGCCGTGATCCGTCGTCCGGACGCCCTTGGGCGGTGCTGGTGCTGGTGCTGACTGGCTCTCTCTCGGCCGATCGCGCGAACGGGGGCGGCGGGCTGAGCCTCATTGATCCCTCGGACGCAGGCGGTGCATTTGTCATCTGAGTGGGAACGAGGGGGGAGGCTCTGCAGCTGCGGGGACTAGCCAAGGAGCAGGAGGAGGAGCAGTAAGAAGTAGTAAGGTAGGTAGTAGTGCTGAAAGTACGTCGTACGGGGGAACGCTGTAAACGGATGCTGCCGTAGTTAAGGTGGCAGTGACACTGGCGGAGAGAGCCATGTTGTTTCTACGCGGGGAGAAGGGGGGTGGTGTATTAAAAGCAGCCATATCGCCGCCCGCCTTTCAACACAACGCACGATCCAAAGCTGGCTTGCCCGCGCAACAACGACTCTCTTTACCAAACCACACATCACGCAAATTTTTACTGCCTCTAGACGGAAAGAAGAATGACGACTGAAGAGACGAAGCGCTACGGGGAGTACGACGGCGGGTGCCACTGCGGGCACGTCAGCTTCTCGTTCAAGCTGTCGCCGCCGCTGGACGAGTACACGGTGCTCAACTGCAACTGCTCCATCTGCCGGCGCATGGGCTACCTGCTCATCTGTGGGTGGCCGGATCCGATTCCTGAATGAGAAAATTTGACCCGGATAGCTCATCGATTGGTTTTGTCATTAGATCCCCCGTACGAGGACGTGACGTGGCATAATGGCTCCAAGGAGCGGTGCTCGGTGTATGAGGTGAGTCTTGTTGCTGCTGCTGCTGTCCACGAGCCGCCGCCTTTTCCAAGGACACGGCCGGGGGTGAATGCTGGATGATAAGGGCGCTCACAGTTGAGGCGCGCAGTTCAACACAAAGACCAAGGGCCAGCTCTTCTGCCCCAAGTGCGGAGCGAGCATCTGCATTGACTTTCGCGAGCGGGACCCCAAGACCTACGGCATCAGCGTGCGTTATCATCCCGTCCCTCCCCTTCTGCTCCCCCCTTGCCCCGGACAAGGCGAGGCAGGCTAGGGGACATGTCAATTGACGAGAGCGGGGATGATAATCCCTGGGACAGGCACGCACCATCAACGGCATCGACCTCGACAAGCTCAACTACCGCAAGCTGGACGGCGTCAACAAGGTCGGCCCCGCGGGGGACCTGTCGGGCCAGGAGAGCAAGCTGCATGAGCAGCAGCAGCAGCAGCAGCAGTGATTCAAAGTGCCGCGACGACGCCGGCGTGTCGATGGCTTGCGCGTCTGTTCCAGCGGCAATGTTGGATGCAGTACTTCTAGCGGCATGCATGCATGCATGCATGGACGGATGTTGCTCGGCTTTTTGCGTGTCATCATGCTCATCAGGGCAGGCGAAGGCGGCGGCGGCGGCGGCGGTGGTGGCGTGGCTGGCAGCTCGCTGGCCAGGATGCCAGGCAGGGAAAACTGCCGATGGGGGGAGGTCGTCGTCTGGGCGGATCGCGATCTGGGGGCGCGCGGTGGAGCACTGCACAGGCGCGGGCGGGCGGGCAGCCATTTACGCAATCCACGGGGCGATCGCCAAACCCAAACTTCTGTGCTCTTTTTCGTTGCCGTAGGGCGTGCTGTGCTGTCTGTCCACATGCGCGTTTGTAAGCCAAAAAGGCAATTGACAGGATACTTTGGAATTATTCCGAAGGGGCTGGCGGTCGTGGAGGATGCGCATATGGCGAGGAGGGCTACGGGAGAGACGGACGACTGCAATGGCTGTCAACTTGACAGGGCCATCGAACTCGGAGGGCAAGGCAGCGAGGCAAGAAATCGAGGCCAAGACGAGACTCCAAGTTGATCGCCAGAAATTCAGCTGTGCCAGGGCCGGGCCAACGCCGTCCGTTGCCCTCGAGCGTAGTGTTAGTCGCCGGCCGTTGAGCAGATCAAACGCCCCCCACCGGAGCTTTTGGAGCTCGACCGAGCCCAGGTACCTCGCCTCCAGCGCTGTCATGCCCCGCAGACACATGTACCGGCCTGCGATTTTGGCGCCGCGAGCCTAGCACCACAGCTACGTCATCGAGCTCGCGCGGTCTTGGAATAGCTCCCCAAGATGGGCAAGGAATGATGTCGTTGTGCCTCGCCTCGGGGGGCCCCAGGAGCTGTCTGTCGATATTTCTTGAATTTGGGCCTAGAGTCGAAACTTGCATTCTTTTTCTTACTCTTTTCCCCCTTCATGCCCATTTGCAGGTGGTGTCCGAGCCTGGCGCATTCAACTCTCTCTCTCTCGCGCGCGCGCTCCGCAGGACTGGCCCGTGTAAGTGAGTGTGAGTGAGCGATCAAGAGAGCAATAGCCTGCCACAACCCGGGGCGCCGCCGCCGCCGCAACCGCACATTCCCGCCCAAAAGGCCGACGAGCTCCCATCACGATGAACGTCAACGAGCACGTCGTGCCCTCGGGGCAGCACTACAGCGGGCGCAACCGCGTGCCCAACATCCAGCAGTTCATGGAGCAGCTCGACAAGGAGAAGAAGGAGCGCGACGCCGCCATCGACGCCGACCTGCGCAAGAACAAGCAGAGCAAGGAGGTCAAGGACCACCAGAACACGGAGAAGCCCACGCGCAAGGACCTGCGCACCGTTCGCGACCCCGTCACGGGAAAGGACGTCGACATTCGCGATGCGCAGATGGATTTCAAGGAGGCGGCCGACAACCCGCAGGTATGGAACCTCCCCCCTCCCCTCCTCTCTTCAGTCGAGATATGAAGCCCGTGGCGGTGGGCGATATAAGTAGAAAAGTGTATGTGCTCACACGCCCTGCCTTGCTCCCTCTCGCAGATGTCCATCCCCAACGAAAACCTCGGCAAGCCCACCACCGCCAAAGTATCCTCCAACCAGTCCGGCGAAGAGTACCGCCAGGCGCAGGACATCCTCGCGCCCCCGGACCCCGTCCAGGAGGGCGCCACGTCCGACGTGCCCATCCGCAGCGAGAAGACGTCGGTGCTCTTCTACAAGACGCCCTCGGTCAGCTACGAGCCCATGTTCGCCTCGCTCGAGCGCAAGGCCAACGTCCTCTGCCTCGGCATCTTCTTCGCCATTGTCCTCATCGGCAAGTTCTTCGGCGGCAGGCTGCTGGGCCTCGTGCCGCTGGGCTTCTGCGTCGCCTCGGGCGTCTTCCTCTGGGTCAAGGACGTGATCCGCCAGGGCCGCGACGTCGAGTGGTCGAGCGAGCAGGAGCGCGGCGAGACGGCCACCGTTAACCTCATCCCCGAGTCGGTCGAGTGGATGAACACGGCTATTGGCATCGTTTGGGGGCTTATTAACCCCGAGATGTTTGCCTCTGTGGCCGATACGTGAGTCCCCTGGACAAGAACATTACGACTTAGTGCTAACGGCGCGCAGGCTGGAAGACGTCATGGCCGCGTCTGTTCCCGGCATCATCGAGCACGTCCGAGTCGCCGACATTCAGCAGGGAAACAACCCCATCCGTATTCTCAACATGAGGGCCCTGCCCGACTCGCACGTCCAGGACATCAAGGACGAGATTCACAAGGAGAATGAGCGGACCATGGACCCCAACGAGCTCGCCGCCGCCGAGCAGGCCGGCTCGTTTTACAACATGGAGGTCTCGGTCGCGTATCACGCCAAGCCCTCCGGCGAGGACGTTGCCTCCAAGGCCCGAAACATGGGCATGCAGCTCGTCTTTTACCTGGGCATCAAAGGGCTCTTTGGAGTTCCCCTGCCCATCTGGGTCGAGCTGATCGGTCTCGTCGCGACGGCACGAGTCCGACTCCAGCTCACGCCTGACCCGCCCTTCCTCAAGACCGTGACCTTTACTCTCATGGGCATCCCCAAGGTGCAGGCCGGATGCACGCCCATGGTTGAAAAGGGAGTCAACATCCTCAACCTGCCCCTCATTTCCAACTTTGTCAACTGGGCCATTGGCGCAGCTGCGTCCATGTACGTGGCGCCCAAGAGCATGACCATCGACATGAGCAAGATGCTCCAGGGCGACGACATCAAGAAGGAGACGCTGGCTATCGGCGTCATGTTCATCCGCATCCACAAGGCCACGGGCCTCAGCAAGCAGGACCAGAGGGGAAGCAAGGGCGGCGGCTCGGACCCCTACATTACGGTCAGCTGGAGCAAGTTTGGCAAGCCGCAGTTTTGCACCCGTGTCATCCAGGACGATCTGAACCCCGTATTTGAGGAGACCTGTGGCCTCCTGGTCACGAGCGACCTCATCATTGCTGATGAGCAGCTCTCGATGGAACTGTGGGACAGCGACCGCTCGTCGGCGGACGATGTCGTGGGCAAGGTTGAGCTCAGCATCCAGAAGCTCATCCAGCACCCCGGAAAGATGTTCCCTCAGGTATCGAAGCTCCGCGGCGTCAAGGCCGACAGCAGCATGCCCGGCGAGCTCCACTGGGAGGTTGGCTTCTTCGGCAAGACGCAGTTCCGCAAGGCGCTCCGCACCCAGGGCCAGGACATTAAGCTGCCCAAGGAGCTGGCTGACAAGCCCGAGTTCCAGGAAGAAAAGGGCGCCGTCGAATCGGCGGAGGAGGATGCCGTCGTTCACACCCCGCCTGACCCCTTGTGGCCTTCGGGCATCCTCAGCGTCGTCGTTCACCAGATTGTCGGCCTGGAGCTGGCCAACATCAAGGGATCCGACGGAAAGCGCAAGGGCAAGGAGTACGAGCCGGCACGGCCGGAGGCTGGCGAAGTCAAGGAGGAGCAAGGTAGCAAGCTGCCCAGCTCGTACTGCACGATTCTTGTCAACGACGATCTGGTCTACAAGACGAGAACCAAGGTCGTTTCCTCGCAGCCCATCTTCAACGCCGGTACAGAAAAGTTTGTCCGCGATTGGCGGTCTTGCGTGGTTACGGTTGCTGTGCGCGATTCGCGCAACAGGCAGCACGATCCCATCATCGGGGTCGTGCCCCTGAAGCTGTCTGACGTGCTGCAGACGAGCAGCGAGTCCACGAGGTGGTATCCCCTCGATGGTGGCATTGGGTTCGGCCGCATCCGCATCTCCCTGCTCTTCCGCTCCGTCGAGTTGAAGCTGCCCCCGCCGCAGCTGGGCTGGGATATCGGCACGTTTGAGTTCATGTCTGATGCCATCACCATGACCAACTACGCCCCCGGCAACCACGTCAAGATGAGGCTGCGCACCGGCGGCTCCTCGGCCTCGGTCAAGAAGCACTTTTCAAAGAAGACAGAAAACGGCATGGAGATTAACATTACAGGTGAAGACGGGCAGCACCACATGCGTCTGCCTGTGCGCCATCGGTATCGATCACCGATATTCTTCGAGTTTTACCCCGGCGGGAGCCGCAACCCCGACGCATACGCCGCGGCCTGGCTTCTGGAGCTCACCGACGGCGAGGAGCGCGACTTTGACCTGCCCATCTTCAAGTGCGACAACAGGCTACGGCTGTCGCAAAACTACATCACGCAGGACAACTACCGGGACATCCCCGACATGGACATTGAAGAGATCGGCCGCGTCCGGTTCCGGGGCCGCTTCTCCGCGGGCACCGACACGGACCACATCCGGTTCGTCAGCGACAACGACTCCCGCGAGACCATCGAGGCGTGGGAGGCGTGCTACGCCGAGGGCGTGCGCGAGCAGGAGGTGCACGCCGAGGTCCCGCCCCTGGTGCAGAAGCTGCACGACGAGTCGCTCACGCACGGCCGCGACGTGCTCGCCCAGGCGGACGAAAAGGACAAGGAGAAGTGGCTGGCCAAGGACGGCACGGACTGGAGCGGCGCATTCGGCAAGGACCCGCGCGAGCTCATGTCCGCGAAGAACGCCGACCGCAACAGCGAAGAGTACGACGACTTTGACCAGGACGACGTTGACGACGAGGATGACAATGACAGCAGCAGCCCGGATCTTGGCCTGCAGGACGGTGACTCGGATATGAGCAGCGACGCCGCCGGCCGGCCGTCCATGGACACGCAGGGGACGGGGGCGACGGACTCGTCGGCGCACAGCAGCGGCAGCAAGAACCCCATCAAGGCGTACAAGGACTACAAGACGCGCAGCAGGGACCTGCACCGCAAGCACAGGGGGCTGATGCAGTGGCGGCCGATGCGCAACGCGCAGTTTGCCAAGGACGAGGCCAAGTATGCGGTGAGGAAGGTGACGAAGCTGGGGGCCCTGGACGGACGCCAGCCGGACGTCGAGACGGAGGTCTAAGCATGGTTGTGTTACGTGTATCTTGTGTTGGGGTCTTCTGTTGACGAGGCTATGAGGTTGGGGCGTTTGTTTGGTTATGTTTTTGTATAGCCGGGACTTGGATAGTTTGCTACGACCTTTCACCCGGGTTACGTACGTGATGAATGTTTTATCTCATTACTTCATATATTAACTGTGCGTGTTTACAAGCTAGAATTTTTCGACAAACGGGCGGAGGTCCAGCTCCTGCGTGAAAGCCGATCTGTGCTGGGTATGCAAATGCCAGTAGCTCTCGGCAATCTATATATCAGAAACACATGTCAGCCCATCTCCGCAGGCCACGCAAGGAAAGAAGAGTAGTAGAAGAAAGAAAAGGGGGCAAGCCTTACAGCCTCGGGCTTAATCTTGCCGTCCTCGACGCCGCCGTTGGCGACGCGGTCCTTGCCCCAGGGGGTGTCGATGCCGCCGTCGATGATGGCGAGGGCGACGTGGACGCCCTGGGGGCCGAACTCGCGGGCCAGCGACTGGGTGAGGGCGCGCTGGGCGAACTTGCCGGCGGCGAAGGAGGCGAAGCGGGCGGAGCCGCGGACGGAGGCGGTGGCGCCGGTGACGACGAGGGTGGGCGGATGGGGGGAGGAGGGGACGGCGGCGAGGAGGCGCGGGATGGTTCTTTGGGCGAAGTAGAAGAGGCCGTAGCTGGGGAGGAGCGAAAGTAAGCGTCATGTCCTGATGTTGCCCACATATACACAGCACATATCCGGGCCAACATGGCGACCGCGGCGACAGACGAGGAGACAATGGCAACGAGAAAGGGAAAAGGGGACAAGGGAACACTCACGCGCCAGTCCCAAGGCTCGTGTCGAGGTCCTCCTTGGTCAGCTCGAGGAAGGGCTTCACCGCAAAGCCTGCATTGGCGTTGTACACGGCGGCGGCGAGCTTAGCGCCGGGGAGGAGGTCGCGCTCGATGGAGGCAAAAGCGGCGTCGACGGCAGCCGGGTCAGCGGCGTCGGCGGAGATGCCGTGGGCGGTGCCGCCGGCGGCGCGGATCTGGTCGACGATGGGCTGGTACGAGGCGGGCGAGCGGGCGAGCAGGACGACGGGGTAGGTCCTTGCGAAGCGGAGGGCGGCGGCGGCGCCGGTGCCGGAGCCGGCGCCGGAGATGATGGCGTAGAGGGCGGGAGCTGCCGCGGACATGGTGTGAAGGTGCGTGTGGTTTATGGTGTTTGGGTGTAGATCTCTTCCTTGCTCTTCGCGGGGAGGGAGGTTTGATGACGGATTGGATATATCCGGCCGGGTGAGTGTGTAACAGCGCGGGGGTGTGGTGGTTGTCTACACGGGGTGCCGGGCGTTTATAAGTTGTCACCTCGCGAACCACTGAGTGATGGTCAAGACCTTTGACAGAGATACGCGGGGTACGACGACGATGAATTATAATCAGATTCCGAGGCGCGGATCAATGAACACAGGTCGGGGTGCGTTGACGCAATTGACCCTTTCGGGGTCCACGGGAGCATGGCGGGCGGGCTTATAAAGCACGCCAGCCCAGCCCGTGCCGGCGCTCCGGGGTGGCAGCATCCGCGTTTGTCGATGGTGCTGCCCTTGGATGGATGGCGCCATGGAAGTACGCCATGGCCACTTACGTACATGAGGCTACATGCCGCGAGGGGGGGCGGGATGCGCTTGGTATGGCATCATCGCGGGACTGTTTCTTTCGCTCGTGCAGAGAGATATGGCGGCTTGATTGCGGCGGCGAGATAACTGCGGATTCGCGTGCGTGGATTGTGGTCATGTGCGGGGCCGCTGCCAGCAGGTGCCGGGGCCGGGAGGCGGGAGGCGGGAAGAACCACCAAAGCCCCACTGCGGCCGAGTCGAGGTGTTGAAGAGACATGGCTGCGAAGGGGGACGTGGACACTGTTTCGATCCTACATGAAGTAGGGGAATATTCACTCGAGAGTATGATGCGGCGGCATGGAAAATGAGATGTAAACGTCGCTAATGCGGGATACGGCATCAATGGCCTGCCTAGAGGCGCACATCCAGTGCGATGCCACTGGACATCCGGCTTGATACTTGCGACTTCGATAATGTGGCTCCAGGCTGGCAAAGCAAGAGCAAATAGTACTAGCAGGCAAGTACATATCTCGGACTAGGCGTCGCTAGTGACAAACGATCTTGTCGTCGGACTTGGGCGTCGCCATACAACGGGCGAGCTTCGCCGTTGCTGTTGCACCTGTCAGTCAAACGCTGGAGGCTCAAAGCAGGTGGGGCAGCCACCACCACTACGTACCATCCAAACGGCGAACCTCATTCAGCGCCGACTTCACACCTCACTCACACTTAGCCAACGTCCCGCCTCATCACCGACACGTCCCCAGCGCCGCGCCGAACGCGTCCCTGCGCAACGCCCTGAAAGCAGACAAGCGCCAAATCCCACCGTACACTTGGCACCCTCTCAATCGAGCTGCTGCGGCCGCAGCGCCGCGTTCAACGCCTCTACAATGTCAGCCCCGGGCGGTGCAGACGCGCCTCGCGATATCCGCTCCTTCTTTACGTTGCGACCACAGTATCACCAGCCGCAGCAACGGCCGCCGCCATCGCAGTTACCGACACAGCACCACCAGATGCCCAGATCACGCACGCCCATGAAGCGCTCGTCGCCCACGGGCAGCTCCGAGGAGGAGGACCCGCTATCTGGTGGCTCCGCGCGAACCGTCTCCCGGCCCGTCGCCGCGGCGAGGCCGCCCATGTCCTCGACATCGCGCATCGCGGTCATGCTCCCCGCCTCGCCCGCCAGCAAGGGTCACGGCCCTCCGCCACCACGGCCCGTCGTGTCGGATCTTGTGCGGCGTCCCAACGCCCATTCAGCTACCGTCAAAAAGGAAACCCCCGTGCCGCTGCCGCGGATACCCAACTTTCCTCAGCCCGCGTCCGTCTCGGCACCGCCCACGTCTGCGTCTACGCCTGTACCTGGCCCGGCCAGCGGCGGCCGCGGCAGGCCCAAGGGCTGGAAACCCGGCATGTCCTACTCGGTCATGCGCGGCAACGGGCCGCCCGGCTCCGTGGGTCGCCCCCGGCAGGTCAAGGTCAAGGCCGGAGCGCCTCCACTGCCGCCTGGCATGGCCAAACGGCGCGGCCGGCCGCCCAAGGCCCCCTCGCCGCCCCCAGACGCCGTGTACCGCAGCCTCAGGCCGCAGTTTGTTGAATTCCTCTGCGAGTGGGCCGGCTGCAAGGCCGAGCTGCACAACCTCGAAACCCTGCGGCGGCACGTATTCGCCATCCACGGCCGCAGCGAGACGTGCTTGTGGGCCAAGTGCGCGGCCCTGGAACCTCCGCGGACGCTCACCAACGGAGACGAATTTCGCCAGCACGTCGAGGAGGCGCACCTGGTGCCGTTTGCGTGGCACATTGGCGACGGGCCGCAGAACCGCGAGGGCGGCGGCGGCCGGGGGCCCGTGGAAAAGGGGCGCCGCGGCGGCAGCGGAAGCAGAGACGAATACGATAACGACGACGACAACACCTCCAAGGCGAGGGTGCCGGCGTTTCTGCTGGACGCGGACGGGAATCAGGTCACGCCATCGGTGCGGGAACAGCAGACGGAGGACTTGGCTACGTGGAGGAGCAACCGCCGCAAGCTCAAGGAGCTGCTGATACGCAGGAACGACGCGCTCCCGGACGAGGATTCGTCGGATGAGCCGGAAGACGAGGATGGCTGAGCATGATGGCGCGATGGGGAGGGGCCCTGTTTATACATGGAAGCCGGCAGATGGATGCACCAACGCGTCCGTCCCCGTTGCAGCAGATGCCCTAAAAATAAAAATGTCCGAATCCCGTCTCCTGAGGAGGCCCGCGTTGCACCCCTCCCGCCGGGGACTTGTAAGCTTGCCTTGCTTGTTCATCAATGCGCTGTCACGTCCGCATGCGATCCACGGACAAGTGCACCCAAGTGCCGACGGGGTCAAGTCAGTCAGTCTCGAGTGGAGTCCCCATTGTATCGACCCCGGAAGACCGGGCCACCACCACGAGGCGGCACGGGCCCCTGCTCGCATCGTGCTGCCCCGAGCGAGCGCCCTTCATCGCGAGGGAGCAAGGGGGTGACGCCAGCAGTGACATCATTGCAAGCCAGCCACGCGCGATGGATACAATTCAATACGATGGCATGGCTTGCCGTGGAGACACGCGGTGGTGGCGGGCCGGCGGCGGGCTCTGGGTTTTTCTACAGCAGCGTACTTGAGCACACCAGTGGACGAGCAGTCGATGTACATGAGAAGCATTGTGATAAGCCCCCGCGCCGACCAAGAGCGGGCAAACTGCATGCTGCTTGTACACCCCTGGCACTGCGGGAAGATAACGCATTTCGGTGGCACCGAGGCACGCAGGGGACGGGCAGAGAAGGCAATGGTTCGTGCCAGGAAGGGAAGCCCAGGTGCGTTCTGGGCTGCTTCTAGAGCGATGCACGCGTGGGCTTGGGACTTGCCCTTGTGGGAAGGGGGATGGATGACGGGCTGGGCTGGGCTGGCTAGTTTGGTGGTGATGGTGGTGGTGGTGGTGGTGGTTGCGGCCGGCGCCGAGTTGGAGCCGATGGGGATGGGAGGGAGAGGACTCAGAGGATGGGGGTCCTTCAATGCCCGGGCTGCCGTGCCTGCTGCTAAATCTGGGGGTGCATGGCGGGTGATGGATGCTGACGAGGGGCCCGGGCTTTTTGTGCGACGCGGGATTACCAAGCACGGCAGCAAGACGAGTTGCCTCCATGCCAGTGGTGAGGGGTTGGATGCCGGTTCGCGCGGTGTCAAGTCCGCGTGTGCTTCGAAAAACGGGATTCGTCCCCCGGTGGCTCTCTTTTGGGGCCGGAGGCGTGCCATTCTGGTGGTGAGCGAGAGCGGGCGGCTTGAACGGGCAGGCAAGGCAGGCATGGAGCGGGAACGCCAGTGAACGAACTGCAGCACCTCACCTAGTTGATGGGATGGATGAGGTGGGCTGCGCCACGGCCAGGGAGGGCGACTGAGGGAGCCAGTGGCGGGCTAGAGCCTAGCAGCACGCTACCTATGGGGATTGGGGGGAGTCTGCTGCCGCACTGTCGAGTGGGAGGATGGAAGTACACTCCAGTACCTCAGTTGGGTCGGGTCCCGTCTTCCATCCCAGGGCAGGGGACCTTGGGCGGTACGGGCAGCGCCAGTAGGTACCACACCTGCGCTGGAATGCAAGCACTCGTCTCCCGAGGCACCGCGGCGGGCGCACGAACGCAGATGCAACCCGTTTTCAGTCGCGCAGTCGCATCGCATCCCATCGCATCACATCGGATCGCAGCATCAATCAGCGGGAGGCTGTCTGGTTCGCGGCGGCGGCGGCGGTGTGCCCATGCTCCTCCCTCTCCTGACCGGCAATGGCCCGAGTCATTCGCCTGTTCGCGTGGCCCTACCTCGAGTCTGTCTGGTGGGACGAGTTTGGGAGCAAGACGGTGTGGTCGCTTGAATTGCTCGCTGTGTCTGCCAGTCTTGTCAGTCTATCGGTCGGTCGGCCCGCCCGCCTGTAGGCGAGCGTTGGGTCTCGCGACGGAAAAGAGTCGAGTTACCCCACGCACCGCCAACCCTCTTCATCAACCCACCACCACGACGTACCTCCACGCAGGCATGCATGCACGCATCTGGCAGGCTACATGTACGTAGGTGCATCTCTTCTTCGCGCAACCGAGGCGAGCAAGCGTTGGCGACAATGACCTCGACCTGCTTGTCGATTGGGGGCGGGGGAGGGAGGGGCCCAGGCGGCGCCGTGAACGCCCGCCTTTTTCGCTGCTAGCGCGCAGCCACTGGGGACAATTGCGATTGTGCCAGTGCCCGCCGCTTCTTCCCCCTCGATTGGCGGCGCCCCCCCTCCCCCACCACTGACGTGGAACGGCTGATCCACTGGACGGGACGGCTTCGGTGCTTGTTTCGGGGAGGGGCGCTTTCGACTCGAATGTCTGGGTCTGTGGTTGCTTCAAGGTTGGAGGAGGTTCTGGGCGAGGCGAGGCGAACCGACAGACAGACCCCCCCTGTCTGCAGCGGCTGCCGTGCGCTGGTCCTCGCTGTGAGCCAACGACGACGCCTTGGATCCCACGCACAGCAGCCTGCGCGATGCCAAGCGGGGAGGGAGAGAGAGAAGGCGGGGGGCAAGGCGAACCAACGGTGCTGTCACTGCTCTCCTCTTCCTTCCGATCAATGCCACCGAAACGGTTTGCACTTTTGTTCAGGCAGGCGAGGTACCTATGTACTGTAGCGTACTTTGTTGTCCGCAGGATTCATGTACCGTCGAAGTGTAGTCCAGCCGCGGCGGCCTGGGCACCTCTCAGCCGCCCGTCCAAGCTGGGGCGTTGGGCCGGCGGTGCTGAGCGGTAGAGTTCCAGCGGCCGCAGCGCTGAACCGCCGGCTGGCGTCAACCGCCCGTCGTCCATGGATCCTGGAGAACGTGTCGCTGGGGTCGGGTACCTAGTACGCGGGCGGTTTGGCAGTGCAGTGCCTCAGGCACGTCCATGGCTGGCCTAGCGCCCGAAACCGCCCACTGTGCCGTTGTGCATGGACTGAGGTGTCCCGTTGAGCCTGTGTTGTGTGCTGCTCTCGGCCGCCACTCACCCAG